TTTTCCCCCTTTCTTCTTTACTGTCGGTTCGTCCTTTTTTTGTTGCCTTTTTTAACCCCCTTGGGCATTCATTCATTCTTTCTATTATGCTTTGTGCATTCCGATGGGTGGATGATAATATCTAGGTTTGCCGAATTGTTTGTTTCTTTTTGTCTTCTGTGGGTAATGCCGCCAACAACAACAACAATAGCAACAACAATCAACCGAAGAAGTGAGTAGTACGTTCGCTTAAACTTCTCATCTCGTTTAGTCTTCTTTTTCTCCTTGCTCTCCTTTCACCCGTTCCCTTCAACTTTCCCCCATCTGACTCTCCCCTTTCTGGACCCTTTTCTTTTTCTTTTCTTGCTTTCTCAAGAAGAAAAGAAATTGTTGAGAGCGCGCATAATCGATCATTTTGCAAACAACGCTCTGCCTTCTTTCCCTCCCTCGCCTCCTGCTTTCCCTCTCTCTCTTCCTTCCTTCCTTCTTTTTGCTTCCTTTGTCTCCTCACGCTTTGTGCGTACTTTTTGTTTTTGTCCTTGAACTACTAAACAAAGGCAAATGTACGTCCATCATTTACTACGACCCTGGCCCTTTCCTTACCTGCACCTCAGCGCTCTGTTTCTCCAGATGCTCGCTTTCTTTTTCTCTCTTTTCCTTTTGTCGTCATAACCCCCCCCCCCCCCCTCTTTTTTTTTAAGGCGCCCAAGGGGGTCGTCTGGTTGTAGTCATATGGGGGTTCACCATTTGTTTTATTTTCCTTTCATATATACACTTGGGCACCAAGGTTAAGAACAATCGATAGTGGTCCTGGGGTTTTGTTGAGCAAAAATATAAAGAGTGAAGGAGCGAGGATGGTCACTCCATTTGTCCATGGTTCGGCCCTCCTCTTCTCTGTCCTTCTTCGCTTCCTCATCTCTTGTGCCTTCGCAGCAGATAATCAAGAAACAACAAACAGCAACCGTACTTCATCCTGCTTCCCTCTCTCCCTCCCTTCCATTCCCCCTGTCTGTCTGTTCTTTCAGGCGTCCCCTCTTTGAACCCTCTTTGATAATCACCCTCGCTTCCCTCCCTCCTCTCAACCCATCTGTCACTCTCGGTCCCCCATTGAACTTTGTTTTTCTGTTACTGTTGATGTAATTTGTAGTGGCGCTTGAAGTATGATCCTTGGACTGCAATCCAAAAAAGAGAAGGCGTTGACAAAAGAAGGGTTGTTCCAGTCTCTTCCATCGGGTTATTCCTCTCTCGCTTCCCTCGGCTTGCTCCAAGAATAGCAAACCATTGGCCATGTCCTTTTGAATGAAGGGGTGCCAAAAAGTGTGAGGCAAAACGGAAGGGCGGGAAAAGGAGGCTACTGCTCGGCGATGGATGAGGTGGGTGGTGTTAGGATGAAAAGTGGGGGGAGGAGGGAATTGTTGTTGTTGTTGTTGTTGTTATTGTTGAAGTTCTCTGCGATCCTGCTAAAAACGATACATTGTCTCTTTGTTCTCTCCCCCTATTTTCTCGATTTCCTCGTGTGCCTGTGAATGAGTGACCTGAATGTGTGCAAAGGAGGAGTGTGAATAAGGGTGCCCGTGGGCATGTTTTTCATATTTCCGTGTCAGTTCGGACTGTTTCGCTGTTTCCCATCATCCATTCCATCCACTCATCTCATTCGATCGTCTGTTCAGAACAAGAAGGTTGGACTAATGCCGAGTGACCCGGCAGGGTCCATCATTACTTTGTTATAATCTTTTACTTTAATCCGTAACTTTATTTTTTTTACATTCAATCGGTTGCCCATTGACGACCGATTGCCAATTATCGATACGATTGAGTTGTTCTATTTTTCTTCTTCGTCCTCTTGTTCTTTCTCGACACGGCTCTTGCTCTTCTTTTTTGCTCACTATTTTTTCTTCCTTCTTTCTCGCCTGCCTTTTCTTTTCTCTTTGATTGTGTAATGTGCTGACACATGTATTTTTTTTTCTTTTCGTATTTTTACTTTTAACGGAAGTAAACGAGTGAAATGTGTTCCATGCGTTCGCGTTTTCTACTTGGGAGATTTACTCTAAGTGCCCTTCCTATTGTTTTGAACAGAATCTAACAAGAGTAACGTCCTCTTTTCTATGCTCACCGCTTGCATCTTTTCTAGACACAAAACTCTCTCTCACTCTCTAGCCGGTTTCTTTCAACAAAGGACCTTCTGAAATGTAAGTGCTCTCTCGCTCAATCCTCTTCCCTTCTTCCTTTCCCTCCTTCGCTTAACATACCTTACTTCAATTCAATCGTTCAGCCCACTCTTTTCCCCTTCGGATATCCTTTGGAAAAGAAAGAGGAGTGGCATGTGTTGCTGTTTTAGTTGCTTGGGCCAATTGTGTTTTTTTCCTTATTTTTTGCCTCAAGTACATGCCCATGCACAACAGAAGACAACAGCAGGGTATATTTTCAACGCTCACTTTTTATCGTTCTTTCTTCTTGGTGTTGACATGGACCAGCATGTACATCGAGGAAGGAGAAGGATATACAAATGCACGATCACTATTTTTTATTCCAGATTCATATCGATTGTCCCCGTTTTGTTGTTATTTCTTGGAAGGAAAGGAAGGAGGGAAGGAAGGACCGAGGGAAGCTGTGGGGTGAATTAGCTGATAAAGTCTGAGAGAAACAAAACAATTGAAAAAATGAGAGAAGGAAAGACCCATCGACAACTCTAGAGCATCAACACAGAACAAAAAACAAGAAACAATAGAGAGAAAAAGTATTTGCGGATGCATGGATGGACAATCATGGGCGTGTGAGAGAAGAAAAATAAGAGATGCGAGGCCAAAGCAGAAACAGAAGCGATGCAGGCGAAGAAGAAAGGGAGCCATGCACTTTGTTTTATGTTTTACTTTACGTACTCTTTTCATTGTTCGTTTATTTATCTGATGACTAACCTCCAATGTTCATTTGGATGTGCATCATTGTTCAAAGAGTTGTGTGTATGCTGTTTTCCGTGTTGACATTCAAGGTTAAAGATTCAATTCAATAATGTCTTTTGCTGCAGTCAATTAATCACTTCATGGTTCTTTGTCACCCTTTTTAATCATTTTTCATTCCATCTATCCATGCATTTACTATTATTTTATTTTATATTATTTTATTTTATTTGATCAATTCATCCTTACTTTTTTTTCCCTCCTTTCATTGCCCATGGCATCCATGGTCCCATGGTGCATATAAAGTGTTCCTCCTCTTTATCTTCCACTTCCCTTTTCTTCTAATTCATTGAGCCTTTTTTAACCATTCTATCTCTCCTTCTCTTCTCATCCTTCTTCCTTAATTTCCGTCCCTTGGTTCGTCACTTTTTCTCTTTTCTCCACTTCCCTCCATTTTTACCTTCCTTTTTTGAATCGCAACTTTCACATTCCCTCCTCCTCTTTTCCTCCCATGTGCTCATCTGTCTTCCATTCATCCTCTCGCCTTCAATCATCACATCCTACTCCTTCTCACTCTTCTTCCTTCTTCTCCTCCAACCCTTCACCTTCGCCTACGCCACCCTCATCACCATCACCATCACCATTGTCATATCGCCATCCTCCACATCATCACCATCCACTCCATTAGCCCGTCATTCGGCTTGTAAGTCTTCTCCTCTATAAACTCTTCTTCCTCGTTCATCACCCAATTCTCTTCCTTTGTTTCCTTTCGCCTTTCTATCCCCACGTCTCCGTCCATTAGTGTAGTTGTTGATCATTTGTGTGTTACTTTAATTTATCAACCTTCCCTCAACACCCCATCCCATTCATCTCGCACCTTCACCTCCTATACCTTCTCCATTCTTCTTTCATCGACACATCTATCGCCGACTCAACGGCGGCTTTTTTAACTTGGACCTTTCTATCAAAAGCCAGGCACTCATATCCCCGCACGGATCCATTTGGCCTTTTTGAAACGCCCTCTTGTTTTTCTTTTTCTTTTTCCTTTTTTTTGATCTTCACGCGCCCGACAGACAAAAAACAAACAGACTATTATGCTTTATCTCTGTATTAATCCCCAATCATATCCAACACCATCCCTCTCTCAACCACCAGCCAACCCCGACCCGGCCCCCTGCCAACAGCTCATAAACAGCTATCTCGTAGCTAGCTTGTTCTCCATCCAATTGCTCAGATATCCATCCACATCGTCCTCCTAAACGAACGTATATTAATCCCCAATGTGAAATAGCTCTTTCCTTGTCCTTCTCTTTTCTCTTTTTATTTCTTAACTCATACCACTCACTTTTTTTCCCCCACCACTCCTTTTTCCTTCGTCACTTTTCCCTCCACTTTTCTCTCTCACTCATCGACTAATTTGAACATCTTCTTCTCTTCTTCTCCACTTTCGCTCTCCCACATCCCATCCACCTTCCTCTCCCCCACCCCCCGCTTTCACCGCCACTTCAGTCACCCTCCCTCCCCCTTCATCCCTCTATCTCCTCTCCTTCTCCACCCAGGAGAATTCTGTAATCAATCTTAACCCTAAACCCGAAACACAAACAGGTCCACATCATCACCATTATCGCCGTCAACCTCGTCCAACCACCTTCTCTCCACTCTTACACATCCCTTCATTTTCCCGCCTTCGACGACTCTCCCTACTCTTTCCTTCTATTTACTTAAAGAGAGCAGCCCGTCCCAACCACCCCTCACCATCCTTCCCTCTTAAACCCCCCTTTCAACCCGACACACTATCGAGCAATGACCGTCTCCACCTCGATTCAGGAGGACGTTTCGTCAGACCTAACAGGCAAACCACACTTTCGAGAAGATCAAGATCAAGATGTGGCCCACCCCCACCCCCACCATCAACAACAGCAACAACAACAACAACACCATCACTCCTTATCCGACGACACTCCTCGACGCACACACCACCTTGCACCGGGCGTCCTATCTCGCCATTCCGAAGAAGAGGTCCAAGGTACTTCCTCTTCTTCCCCTTCTGCTCATCGTAACAACAACAGCAATCACCATTCACAGCACTATCGCCATCATTCAACAAGTAACTCCTCAGAACACATGACACAGACACAGACACAGACACAGACACAGACACAGACACAGGCACAGCAAGCCATAGCACATCCCAACGACAAACGTCAGAGAAGCCATAGCTTTGACGACCATCAACAACAACAACATCACAACAACCATCTTCATCACCAACGCGACGACTATCGTATCGACAGGGATTCTCGTGACCCCGAGATGCACGATGGTGGCAACATCCATTGGGGTGGTGCTCGACATGAGCGCGAAAACAACACGTCCGAACAACAGCGCCGGCCAACCTCTGTCCGATCTACCTCTGAGGAGCATCGTTTCAATCCGTACAACCGTCACTTAGACGCTGGCCGGATACATGGTGGTGGGGGTCACGGAGACCGAGACCACCGCGATCACCATCATCGTCACCACCAGAACGAGCAGAGTCCCTCGGCCCGAATTGACGGTCAGCCAGAGGAGGATGCCGAGTTTGATGAGAATATCTCGGATGAGAACATTCAAGAGGGCGAAGATGGTGAAGAGGATGAGGATGAGGACGGGTCGGAGGAGAATGATGAAGATGGGCGCAACTCGAAGGAACGCGATGGCGCGGCCAAAAATGAGGATGGTACATGCAGCCTTACCTTTTCGATGTATCACAACCAAAAGCCCGTCAAGGTGCGGAGCATGTTTGTCGACAAGTTGTTCAAGTATGGTTTACTCATTGACTCTGACCACATGTATCAAACGAACGCGCTTTTTTTTTTATCGGTCTTTCATCTCGTACTAATGCACGCTGGCCTATTGCCCTCTTGATCTTCTCCAATCGTCTTTTTGCATCGTGTTTGGTTATATTATGCTCCGCTCATGATACACAATAGGATGGTAGAAGATCCATCGATTCAACATCTCATCTCGTGGGCCAAGGAGGGAGATATGTTCTATGTCTACAACTGTGTCGAGCTCTCGGACACCATCCTGCCGCGGTTCTTCAAGCACAACAACTGGCAGAGTTTTGTCCGTCAATTGAACAGTATGTGGATCAATTCCTTTTCGCAATTCATTTTTCTTTTTCCTACTATGCATTGAAATGAATGGCGAATAGATCGATCAAACATGCACTTCATACGTGAACATGGCACGGGTGCGGACCCTGACTATCATGGCTCACTCTTCATAAGGAATAATTGCAATTAACCAGTACCCCCCCACCTCTTTTTCATTCCTGGATACACAACATAGTGTACGGATTCCACAAGAGTAAGTGTGTCATCCAACCCTACCCCTGCCTATCTATACTTTTCCTTCTTTTCCCCGTGGGAAAAGTGCGCAGTAGCATTGCCCACTGTCGGTTGTGATCAGATTGTTGGATACTCACCCATCTCTTTTGTTTTCTTTTTTTCCTTCTTGCAATCTTTTTTCGCCCTTTTGTTGCCTTCCCCCCTTCTCCATCCGTGCAGTCTACCGTTATGATCGAGGTAAGTTTGATTCACTGGATATTCCATCCCGCTGCATGCATCCCTTTGTTTGTTTTGTTTGTTATTTCCCTTTTTTTTTCTTTTTCCGTTTAATTTGAATCGTGGGAGCGAAGCAAAATGAATTTTCTTTGTCCTCTCCTCTCCTTCCCCACCTCCCCAAGAATCTGAATATCCCTAACCCATCGCTGTCGCCCCACCGCCGCCGTTCTTTTGTTCTTTCTTTCTTCATTTTCACCCATTGAACATTACTATCTAGAAGAATCGACACTGAACAGGAAACGACCCGAGTCCCAGCGATGGCAGTTCTATCACCCACAGTTCCAGCGTGACTTTCCTCACCTGCGAGCTAACATTAAACGCAAGTCTGCCCGGTCGATGAACACTGCACCAGCGACATCCAGGGTTGTGTTTGAGCATGGGAAAGGGTACTTTCTTCAGAGAAATGATCGCTCTCGATCGAACAGCGGAGATGGGCCTCCACCCCCTCCACCACAAGCAGGAGGACTGGGGCATATGCAGGTAAAAATTGATTGACTACACGACCTCGCTTTTGCATCCATTTTCGCTTTATACCACGAATAATGAACTGACACTCCCTTCACTTTATTGTATATTCATCCCCCTTCAAATAATCGATCGATAAAAAAGGGTCGTCATGGCGAGAACGGTTCTTCTCCTACGTCTCGACATGTCACTGTAGGCCGGCAGCCGTCGCTGAACGACAGCCCAAGAGACCACCACCACCCCGAGGGGCGAGGAGATGGGATGGTATGTGCCACCAAAATTTTCTATCCCGCTCCGTTCATACAACTCTAACAAACAACTTTGACTGACATCTCTTCTTTTGCGCACAGGCATTTCCTGGATACCAACGCCAACACTTTCATTCCGATGAACGATATGCTGTCAAGGCTTCATCCGTGTCGCCACATGCTGCTCATGATTCTCACCATGGTCGGCTACCACCACCACCTGGACACGGTGGAATCCACCCTTCTTCGTCAGATCCACATGGTCCTCCATTTGCTCCTGAGGAACGGTCGGCGATTGCAGCGGTTGGTCATCTTCGGAACCATAGCTTAACCAGAGGGGTCTCTTATGAGAAGGGCAGTCTCTTTGCCCTGGGTGCTGATGCAGCTTCATCATCCCCTTCTGGCCCTCACCATCCAGGCGGTCCTCGTGTTGGACATCGCAACTCGGATAGCGCCATCAGCCCACCGTCCGTGAATGGTCCTGGGTTCGGACAGCCTCACTACCCACAGGACTCGCCTCATCGGCCACCCAGACAGCACCACCATCACGGCTCAATTAACGATGGTCCCGCGGGCACCCCATTGTCATCCTCGTCGTCTCCAAGAGGTCCTTGGCCAGCCGCTACCAGTCACCATCTCCCACCTGCAGAGGCTCTTGGAGGAGACGAATGTGCGGCTGGTCGCCATGGTTCGGTGCCTCCGGAGCACATGCATCCTCATCCTGCATTATCCTCGCCACCCATGCACCCACAACATTCGCAAAATTATCATCCTAACCACCAGCAGCAACAACAGCGTCATGACTCGCGGCATCGACACGGTCGATTGCATTCCATGGGAGGAGGCCCTGTTCCAAAGGATCTGCCACAACCGATTCTCTCATTACCCTCTGGTAGCACTTTCAACACCCCCCACGCTCCCCCTCCTCCTCCCTCTAACGCTCAATCAATCCCACCACACCACCACGCACCTGCCGGCGCTGCTGGTTCGCCCACCCTGTCACCCTCTGCAGCAACAGCATCAATTATCCTGCCACCGTTCTCGGGTCCTCTCACAACAGGTTCCTCGCCCACCTCAAGGACAGGAGATCCGTATGTTGTGATCAAAGAACTCGAACATCGACTCCAGTCTGTCGAGGAGGCCTACATGTCCTTGAGACAGTACACCCAGAAGCTTCAACAGAACCAAGCTTCGCAGGATCGGACTATTGGATGGATGCGTGAGCGAATTGACCAGATGTCCGATGCTGCAGCACTTGGACGCCGAGGTATGCTCTTTTTTGTTGTCACTTTTGATTGCGAAATGGTATTACTTGCATCCGCTAACATTCTCTATCCATACCGCCACCTCCCCCAAATAGATTCGATTGCATCCCCATTGACGCCTCAGTCAACAGCCAGCTTCTCGGGTAACAAGCGAAGAGCTGAGCCATCACCCGAAGATGCACGGACTCGTGCGCGTTTCGAACAACAGGGCCTTCCCCCTCTTTCTGGTCCTCCTACTACTGCTGGTGGACCACCTTCGTCAATCCACAGCCCCGACATGCATGCCTTTGAGCACGGTCGTGGTGGTCATGGCCGTCATGAGTCTATGTCTGGGCCTCATCATCCCCAGCAACAGCAGCATCATGCGATTCCTTCTTCTCAGACCGGTCCCTACCCGCGTCTTCTTACCTCCCTCGGCCGTATTTACTCTTAATTCTATTGTGTTTTCTTAGCCTTGTCTTTTCTCGCCTCTTATTTTCATTTCCCTTTCCTTGTTTTTCTTGCATCATTTTTGCCTATTCATTTTCCACTTTCTCGTTTTTCTTCGCTAATGTCTTCCCCTCTTGCCTGTTATTTTTGCCGCCTTTTCTTTCTTTTTTTTTTCCGTTTGTTCTTTTGTTATGTTGTATGTACTCTTAGTCGTAATAGTCTTCCTAATCTCGCATAAAACCTCTGCTCTTTTGTTCGCTCATGTTCTTCAGTCTCCATCAATGACTTTTTTTTTTTTTGTTGCTCGTGAAACACAAAGAAATTCCGTAAAGACAAATGATGTTATCGCAATTTCCCGGTATTTTTATTGCAGGGGGAGTTGGGCTGAGTAGAGAATTGTGAAGGAGAGAGCGATTGAGTTTTTTTCCTGTCTATCGTTGGATATGTATTGTTTGACGTTGTTTGTTGGAGGGAGGTTGAAAAAAGGTCGTAGAAAAGTTGGTGAGTTGGACAAAATTTAGTGGTTCTCGCCGGCGGGGGCGGCGTGTCCATGTCCGTGTCCATGTCCGTGACCATCCCAAGGGTGGCGGAGACCCTAAGTGTTAGTGAAGGCGATAGAATAATATGGGGATGTCAGTCAGGATATGATAGAAGGGGTGTCAATTTGGTTGTCGCGTCCTGTTGTAGAAACTGAAAGGGCGGATGGAGGGGGGGGGGGGTCGGGATGTGTCCGATCTTTGTTTTTGTGTGCGGTATTTGATCGCAAATCCAATGGGTGACAACAGGGCGGTGGGTTCTTTTTTCTCGTCCGGTAGCAAAAAGGTGTTGCCTTGCGTGAGTGACGTCCAATTGATGATTCTTGACAGAGGTCCTGGTGCTGGTCGTTGTGTTCTCTGCCCTACTGTCACGTCCCGATAACTCAGACAACAAAAACACTTAAAAACACGCCTGTAAAAGGTGCTTGTTATCCATCGTTCCAATTGATGTCGTGCTCTGTGTAAATGTGGACGTCCGTTACTTGTCCTGCTCCTGTCCTTGTTCCTGTTCCGTCTTCGTCCCACCATCGTTCCAGCAAACTCCTGAACATCACTTCGGGTTCCTGTAAGGTGAGGAGAAGGAGGGGATAAATAACGTACGAGGACGACGGGGCCTTCCTCCTTGGCCTTGTACATGACCCAGAACCACATGGAGGCGCCGAGGGTCTTGGCAACGATAGAGTAGCGGGCAGCGGGCATGTGTGGGTGGAAACCGGCCATTTTTGTGTATATGGTGATGAGAATGGAGTTGATGATGTAAACTGCAAGTCGATTCGATCTCTTTGAAAGTCTCCAATCTCCGGCGGGCAGAGGCCAGTCCATGCCGTACTGCAATCCCATCGTTTTTGTCCGACGTGCGATTTAAGCCGGATACGGTGACGTATATTGCAACCAAGAAAAAGCGAACTTTGCCAAAAATTAGAGTGGACCTGCTATCCCTGCTGTGTGGATCCACTTGAGAGAACTTGAGGAAAAAACAAACACATTTTCAGCAGTCTCGCAAAAAAAAAAAGAAAAAAAAAAAAGTTGCCTTGCCCACTCTTTCACTTCAAGTTACCTACTTCCCCTCCATCACTCTCCATCACCCGTCTCTCCATCCCTCACTACCCCCTTTCCCCTCCTCCCTTTCTCTCCTCTTTTAATACGACAAAATGGGAAGACTCCGCCGCTCTCGTGTCCACAAGGGAATCCGTGATATCAAGCGCAAGTACCGCACCAAGCGTTACATGCGAGATATCGACCAGATCCATGGCGATATCCAGCCTGAGAACGCCAGCAAATACGAGAAGCCCGAGCTCGACCCCGAGTTGCCTGGACTGGGACAGTTCTACTGTATTCAGTGCGCGTACGTATCTAGGGCTATTTTTTTGTGGTTGAAAGGGAAAGATTATTGAATGGAAGTTGTCCTGGATTGGAAGGAAAGAAAAATGGTTGACTGACATTGTTTGATCTTTTTTTTGTTTAATGTGATAATTAGTAAGCACCACATTAACGAGGAGTCGCTTGCGGAACATCAGAAGGGAAAGATCCATAAGAAGAGGTACAGCTTGGTTCAACATTCAAGCGCAGGATATAAAAGGCTTCATTGGCCCAATTGGCATGGACGATCAGGATCGTTAGTTATCGATCTAAGATAACTCATTACAAAGGCATCAAAAAACTCACCCACCGCTTTGTATCTGCACCTTTGTTCATAGATGCAAGCTGCTGAAAGAGGAGCCTTACTCGCAGGCCGAGGCCGATGCCGCAGCTGGACTCCAGAGAGCCGATACCAAGCCCAAGAAGGCCAAGACTGAGGCTATGGATGTCGCTGAGAACTCCACCGCATAATCAGGGAGGCGTAATCGATTCCAGCAAGGAGCAGGCAGCGCACTCTATTATATTTCACTTCAATACTTCCATTCATCTTCATTTCATCGTACTTGTACACTAGCATTTCTTCATCAACCAAAAAAAATAAATAACAAATACCGAAACACATTCCTTCTCTCGCTCATGTTCATTGGCTATTTGGAGTTGTTTTGATATCAGATGGGGCATGGACAAAGGCGGACAAATGAGGAGAGAGGAGGTTCTAGTATCCTAATTCGCGGCCGAGGGCCCATGCGTACAGACGACTGTCCAAGACCAGCTTGGACTGGCCGCCGACTTTTTCTTGAAGATCTAATTATTTGTCAACACAGCGGAGATAAAGAGTCAGTTTACTTGGTACATATGGAGATCAGGCTGGTGGACGCTTCTTTGTGAGAGTGAAAGTTGATCGTAGGGTACCTTGAAGGGATTGGAGCAAGCCTGGAAGAGGGAGGACGAGGACCTGGAGACTCCATTCGTCGTCCTCGGGTTTTGCCTTTCGTAGAGGTGATTCAGGCCCCAGCAGCTGCTCCTCTTCCGTTTGGACCTATTGTATGTTTCGACATGCCAAGACAAGATAGTTAGAAACATTTTGAACCATAGAGATCTGCCGCAGTCGCTTCCCACAACATCCTGGCCGCGAACTCCATTTCCTCTTCCTGTAGAATTCCATCCCAGCTTACCTCAACGATTACGAAACGAGTGCACGATCCCGTCAGACCAGGCTCATACGAAACCGGGACACCGACATTGACAATCCTTACAGCATGTCCAGCCTGGGCACTGAATCCGGTCTCTTCTTCGAGCTCTCGCAGGGCTGCGATCTCGGGGGATTCGTCGGCGTCGATGAGTCCTGAGGGGAATTCGAGAGAGTAGGCGGAAAGTGCGGGGCGGTATTGAATGACGAGGACGACATGTGTTGGTTTGTTGTGAGAGGTTTTGATGACCGTTATCACATCCACCGCTATTGATTGTAATTGAGGAAAAGTTGTATGAAGGGTGGTGAAAAGTGTGGGGGTAATTAACACTAGGTGTTGTTTATCGCGTTTCGCTCCCAATCTCCATTTTGTTGATGGTGTCCTTGGTTGACTGGACTGATATGTTTCTCACCATCTACGGAAGCGGTGTTGCCGAGAATATCGCCGTTGTTAGATGTAGGATTGGTGGCAGAGACGGGTTTGATTCGGCGACAGACCTCCCAGCCGCGTGGTGTTCCTGAAGGATCCTGGAATTGGATCTGGTGTAAGGATAACCATCGGCCCTTTCCAAGAACTGTCTCTGCAGTGTGTTTGATATCATGGATAACGGGGTTTCCTTGTGTCATCATTTTTCTTTGTTTTTGGTGGCGGGTTTGGCGAGGAACAAGAGACAGTTTGAAAACGAAAAGTGAAGAGTGGAGGCGTTGGATGATTGTTCCTGAATATGCGCGAAGGAAAGGCAGGTGACTGGTTTTGTGTAAGGTTGCGCAACGCCTTCATGAATTTCGAAGAGGTACGTCGCCGCACTGATGATAGTCCACGTCTGCTCGCTCGTTACTTTTTTGAAGAGCTCATTCATTCGTTTTCCTCCTTCTTCATTCCTCCTCTTCTTCACATTCACCTCCACACACTCCGCTTTTACTTCACACACTCCACTTTTTAAAACTGCACACACTTTCTACCTCACCACTCTCAAGAAAAGCATTAATAACAAAATGGACCTCGTCCCTCATATCTTCCACGAACAGGTAACGCGGACTTGACTACTCAGCCATGCTTGCTTCGCCAAGATAAATGTACGCCTTTAAAACTCACACGCCCACACCTACCTGTTAATTACTTCTTCATCTCTAGCAAGAGGGAAATCTCTGCGCCCAACATTGTCTGAACTCGCTCCTCCAAGGCCCATACTTCACTGCAATCGACCTCGCAGATCTGGCACAGCAGCTCGACCAACAGGAACAACTCGCATTGGACAATGTTGGACCGGGCGCCAGGGCTGTCAAGAGTCAGAATATGGACGACTCTGGATTCTTTTCTGTCCAGGTATGCTACTCTTCTTCATAGTGAGAGGGTTCTTAATTGAAGTGACCATTCGAAGTTTTGATCTAACTGACGGTATCACTTGAAATATGATGTACATAGGTTCTGAGCCATGCACTGAGTATCTGGAACATCCAGATCATCCCCTGGGGGTCCAAGGAGGTTGCCGACGCCAAGTCCAAGCCAGAGTACGTCCCTCGCTCTTCTCCTTCCTCTATGCTACCCCCTATTTTCTTCCAGTGTGCTAACTCTTCTCGTCTTTAATCAATTAGGCGAGAGGCAGCGTTTATTTGCAACTTGAACGAACATTGGTACACACTGCGACGATTCGGTCCCTCCACACAACGATGGTACGACCTCAACTCGATGCACCCTCGACCTCAGTACATGTCTGCAACATATCTTGGGATGACGCTCTCGCAGCTCGAAGCGGGAGGATATTCGATCTTTGTTGTCCGGCCTCTTGGATCCGTCCAGCCCGCTCCCGAGACATCTTCATCGACAGTGGAGGCGTTGGCACCGAAACAGGAAGCGCCGGTACAGGAGGCGCCGGTTGAAGAGGTAAACCCCGCGTTGACAGAGCGGCAGGAGATGGAGAGGTTGAGGAGACAACGACAGGAAGAACGGGAGAGAGCTCTTCAGGGTCCATCCGTGGACTCATCGACAACAACTACTACAGCTACCACGGACGCGTCAACGAAAAGGACCAGGGTTGACCACACAGGCGAAGAAGTCGGGGACGAACCTTCCAACAAGAAAAACAAGGGCGATCTAGTCACAACACCTTCATTCCTGCCTCGGTGTGAAGTTGACATCTTGGCAGCTTCAATGCCAATAGTCGAAAGTGCTTCACAAGGAGCACCCAAGAAGGAGCAGAGTTTTGGTGGGTCGGGGTACCGTTTAGGCGGGTCGCCTCCTCCTCCTGCAGCTGCGTCGCTTCCGCCGGGGTTTGACTATGAGCAGTTTGGAGGACAGGGGGATGAGGATGCGGAGTGGGAGATGATGCAGGAGGCCATTGCCCTGTCTTTGAGTAGCCAGCAGAAATAAATACTACCATTTTTTTTGTCTCTTAGACTCATGATGGTGCAGAAGTGAACATCTCTCCGTTGTTGATATCCCGTTCAACGTCAAACTGCAGACACGGTATTCTACTAGGAAAGAATACAAATATGTTCACATGATAGGTAGCTGAAAACGAGGCGTTTCCTTCCACAAACAGTGCGGACTTTTGTTTTGAACCATTGGGAAGCTACCCATAAGAGGATACGGGAAAGTGACGATTGAGCAGAGGGGGAAAGAGTCGGGGTATGTCTATGGTGTCCAAGTTATGCATGTTACATGTCGATCGATACTCTTTTACCGTTTATGTACTCCTCTTTACGGCAGTGTTTTTTTTTGATGCTGGTACTTTTGATGGACAATGGTCCGGTTGGGGCCCCGGGTCATTTTGGTGGACTTTCCTCCTCCCAGCCGTTTGGGGGGGAGGAAGGGGGGAGTCCTCAAGTCACTCAGTCAGGATCTACCTGTTTCTTTCTGAGCGAAGAAAAACTTACCGAGATAGTCATTTTGCGCACCAGAAAAGAAAGAAAAAAAATGGCCTGATCTGAGTGGCAAGCCACTCGATCAGTTCACAGCTGAGGGACAGGCGATTCTTTATCAAATCTGAGCTGGGAGTGCAAGTGTAACCATCAACCAGCCTGGGAAACGAAGCACAACGCCTTCGTCTTTATCAACGTGCACTTTTCTACTTTTCTCCTTTCTTTCTTCCTCTCCTTCCCTCCACCACTCCACCCTACTCTCCACCGCATAGCACGTACATACACCATGTCGGCAACACACACACCACACCCCTACTACCCCCTGGACTTGATCCTCGACCACTACGTCCCCAACACCTACACCATGAGAGACACCCTCATCGTCCTCTTCTCCACCTTTGGCGCAATTACCGTCGGTTCCATCGCTCTCTCCTACCAAAAGCGAACCACCACCATCCGTGGTCTCGGAAACCAGTTGACTTTCGTCTGGTTCGTCATGAGTGGATTCATTCATCTCTTCCTCGAGGGCTACTTTGGGGTGTACCATCGCACCTTGGCGGGCGATCAGTCTCCTTTGGCCCAGGTCTGGAAGGAGTATGCGCTTTCGGATTCCAGATACTTGTCGAGTGATTCTTTTGTTCTTATCATGGAGCGCATCACCGCCGTAAGTCTTCTGCATTTTTATTAGTCGACACCTATTGCCGGTGTGCCGATTTTACTCCCTGAACGCGTTATATTAACCTTGTTTTATTTTATCTCCTTTTCTTGTAGTTCGCGTGGGGCCCATTGGCGTTCTTCACAGCATACGCAATGTACCACAACAGACCTTCTCGCCACATCGCCCAGCTCGTCGTCTCTCTCGGCCAGCTCTACGGTTGCGTCCTCTACTACGCCACAACCTTGGTCGAGGGCTCTCCCCATTGCGACCCCCGCCCTTACTACTACTACTTCTACTTTGTTTTCTTCAACATCTTTTGGATCGTTATTCCTATAATCTTGATGCACAACTCGGTCAAGAACTTGTACCGTGCTATGAAGGTTTCGGTCGAGGCTGAGAACCAGTCGAAGAAGGTCAAGAAGTCCAAGTAAAGGGGATACAATATTGGCATAGCATAGCATTACCTCTGTTTCTTTTGTCCCGTTTTTCAATCATTCATTAAAAATATCTTGTTCGCCCAATTCCTTTAAGCAATAATGTGTTTTGTGATCCTTGACACACTATTCGAACAAAACAAAGGGATAATACACATTTGACCTGTGGACAGCCCACTTTTCATGTGCTTTCCTTAATGTCTCAAGGATTGCTGCAAGGCGTCATGATCGCTGCCTGTGCCCAGTGAGCAGGCAGACCCACACAAAGACATTCATGCAAATGCACACATCACTATCAAGCATAAGATGTTTTCTTTATTCATACTTTCTTTCATCGTTATTACAAAAAGTGTTTATATTATCCTGTCCTGGTCCTGTCCCGGTCCTTGCTGTGCGCTGGCGTGTTCTGACGTTGATTTCCTAGTAAAATCCGGAGATCTTCCTGCTGACTGGAACCCAGAGAGAGAGCCGCTTTAGACGCGTCTCTGGGGTGGTGGTGGAGGTGGTGGGGGAGCTCCGCGACTGGTTGTAAGAAAAGAAGAAAGAGAGAGGAAGAAACGGTTCCCGAGAAAAGCCGTCCTTGTGGTTGGTCATCATTGTTTCTGTGTCCGTCGACCATAGCGATCCTGATATTCATGTTAATCGCGCCGCGCCCCCTTTTCTTTTCTAAGGCCTCTTTGGTCCGGTCTGTCGCCACCGCCACCGCCACTGTTGTTGCTGCCGCTACGCCCGCCCAATGCCTTGTATTTCTGTATATTCCGTTTTCCGTTATCCGTATTTCGCTGAATGCCTGAATACATGTTCTCCCTGTCTGATGCTAGTCCCATGTGCGCCCAAATAAAAAATACAAGAGGAGAGAACAGAACAACACAAGAACGTAATCCCGGATCCCAGTGCCAAGAACGCTTGCCATCTCTCCTGTTGTCCGATTCCTCGTTTCCTTATTATTTTATGTCGAGGATGATGTCGCCTATTTGTGTTATACTTCTTTTGTCTTTCGTCCAACTGATCTTCGTTTGCCTTTGTTCCGTTAAATTGCCAATAATGGGGATTGATAAACAAGTGTCGAAAGTCTCCGCGCCACTCCCGTAATATCCAAGGATTATAGAAAACATTGTGCGTACAACTGAGAGCGTGCAGACAAAAAAGAACCAGAAAACAATGAAAAAGATCAAAGCAGCAGCCAGTAAAGTAACATTCATATAGATAAGAGATAAAACAAAGGTAGACATGACTTACCCATAGGGGCTGGGAGAGCGTCCACGACCGCCATCACGGTAGTAAGGGGAAGGAGAGCGTCCACGGTAGCCGCCATGGCCTCCGTGACCACCACCGGGAGGGTGGTAGGGGGAGCGCTGGCGGTATCCGCCGGGTCCACCATAACCGCGGTCAGGCGATCTGGAGTAACCACGACGGTGGCCATACTCATAGGGATCACGTCCGTAGTGGGGAGGCGAGCGACCACGACCACCACCACCACCACCACCACCACCGTAGCGGGGAGGAGGAGGAGGTCCACGGTGGTAGTCACGAGAGGGTCCATCCACAGGGCGTCTGGTATCAGTACCACGGCAGTATCTTGCCAAATGTCCAGGCTGACCGCACTTGAAGCACTTTCCAGACTTCACATCCATGCCTTTTTCACTGGCCTCAGGGCACTCGCGAGCCCAATGACCGGTTCCGTTGCAGAGGAAGCATCCGCTGCCGGGTCCTCCTGAGCGTCTTGACCACTCTACTGAGATTCTGTTGCCGTCCAGTTCGTATCCGTTCAACTTGCTGACTGCATCGTCAGCATCGCGGGGGTCCTCGTATTCGACGAATGCAAAGCCTCCATGCTTCAACTCGACAGAGATTACACGACCGTACTTCTCAAACTAGTTTTAGTAGTTGTAAGGACATTTATAAATATTAAAAGTATGTTCTACACCGAGTTCTGCCTGAAAACATGAACCAGGTCTGGCCAAACAATACTATAGCTGCACTTACAAGTTCCTCGACGTCTCTTCTCTCCGTCCTTGGGCTCAAGTGGCCGACGTAGACAGTAGAGTGGGTGCTGCCGGCAGGAGCAGCGGGGGCGGCTCCTTCAGGACCTGCTATTTGTGAATTCAGCAAAAGTGTCAACAAAAAATTGATCAGTAAAAACAGCAAAGACCAGTTCGGCTCTGGAGAATATCATCATCCTTTCCCTGCAAGCGATAAAAAAGGGCAAGGCTGTCGACACCTACCAGCTGGGAGTGGGGGTGGTGGGGGTGGGGGTGCAGACATGGTAAGTATGTTTGTTGTGTGAGGATGGTGTGAAAGATTGAAACGTTTCTGCTGCGACTCTGCTTGAGCAAACCCCAAAAAATAATGTATACGTCATCTCTATTTCCTGGGAGAGAGATAGAAATATCACCTGATATATAATTTATTTCCCGACCATGAAACATCGACGCGGGCCTGATTGCTTTTTGATTTGCCACTCGCAATCACCATATAATCACCTTATTCTTCTTCTTCTCTCTTCACTCTACCGTTGACGACTGCATCCCATCATGACAGCCAGTCGCAAATCAGGAGGCTGCGACATCGCCTTCTACCAGGCTCCCGACACCATCGCCCAGTTCGAACACATCCGCCCAATCCTGACGCGTGATTTGCAGCAGTCCAACCCTCAAGGTCCCATCCCCGCCTCGGGCGAGGAACTCTCCCTCTTCATCCACGCCTTGCAACAGTTCCAGGAGGAAGCTCTAGGCATCAACCGTGCCCCCACAACTGAGGATTCAGCTGCTGTTTCAGTCAGAATTCCCGCCAAGGTCTTTCCCCGTGGCAACACAGAGGCCATCACCCCCAATGCTCCCGTTTACAACATCCTTTTGGCTGCCTACAAATACCGTCAAAACCAGGGATGGGCTGAGTGGGACTTATCCAACCCTGCCAACACCACTGCTTACATCCAGCTGGTTGCTCACATCCGGGACGCCCTTGTTTCGACAGGAATTGTCAAGAACCCTTCTATCGCCTTTGGAGACTCTGTCAGCCCTGAGGAGCGGGCTTCTCTTTCAGCCTCGATCCGCACACTGGGAGGTAATGTAACCATTCAGTTAATGTGCTTGCTCTTTTTTGTCCACAAATTTCAGGCACCAGGAGCATGAAGTTTTCACAGACTCGTCATCTAACATCTGATGTGCCACATTTAAAATAGGCGCTATCGCCGAGGACCACCAACAGGCATCTCATATCGTCCACGTTGTGACAGATAAACGGGACCACTCTGACGACGGTGAATGGCTCCGCACATTGGAAGTGAAGGGCGACAGGGTGTTCATTCACCACTGGCACTACCCCGATTCGTACGACGAGTGGGTGGCAGACCCCTCCGGAGACTTTGCTGACCCAGAGCCTATTCCCGAGCACCAAGGATCCTGGAACGTGTCGACTCGTTGGGTCAAGGACAGCGCAAAGTACTCAGAGTGGATGAACGAGGAGGATTACGATTCAAACAATAGCAAAACCAACGAGCAAGGTTCAGATTCTTCCGCCCCATTCAGCCAACGCTACAGGAGCAAGCGCGACAACTCGGACCAGGTCGAGTCAGACTCCAAGAGGATCAAGCGCAGCTCTTCAGAGTCCCTCATGGATACCGGCGATAACAACGCAAAGCCCGCTGAGCCCACCAAGAGCTCATCCGAAGACGCCAACATGGAGGAGACCACTACTTCTACTGCCGCTTCGACTCAGGAACAGGAGGGCACACTTGCGGCTGATGTGGACACTATGGAAGTCGACGCTGAGGCTGAGGGCGAGGCTGAACCCAAGCCTGAGGGTACACCTGCCAAGGACACCGAGCCCAAGGAGATGAGCGTGACAGAACAAGAGTCGAACCGCGGAAGCGCACCACCAGAGACAGAGGAGGCTTTGAGCCAGGCCGAGGCAGAGCGTTTCCAGTTGGAGGAGGAGGCTGGCCGCTATCTCTCTCGACAGACACAGGAGGTGATCATCCCATCCTACGCCGCATGGTTTAACCTCGCAAAGATCCACGAGATTGAGCACAAGTCATTGCCAGAGTTTTTCAATTTGAAGAACCGCAGCAAGACCCCTACTGTCTACAAGGATTACCGCGATTTTATGATCAACACCTACCGCCTCAACCCCTCTGAATACCTCACCGTCACCGCCTGCAGAAGAAACTTGGCTGGAGACGTCTGCGCCATCATCCGCGTTCATGCATTTTTGGAGCAGTGGGGATTGATTAATTACCAGGTAAGGCACTGACAATGTCAACTGTTGACATACAGGACTTTTTTATTTTATTTTTCGAGTTGTCTAACCCAACCCTTTCTTCTCTTTTATCGCAATTAGGTCGATCCTGACACTCGCCCTTCGACTGTCGGACCTGCATTCACTGGCCATTTCCGCGTGACGGCCGATACACCCAGAGGTCTTCAGCCCTTCCTCCCAAGTGTGGCGGCACCTACAGCAGCACAGGCAAACGGAGAGTTGAAGGTGGCGACGGCCAGCGCACCCAAGACAGAGGCCAACATGGAGCTCCGACGCAACATCTTTAGCAACAACGCCGCAGCAGCATCAACCGCGACTACCAAGGAGGGTGAGGAGCAGCACCCCGACAAGAAGCAGCGTTTCAACTGCTTCACCTGCGGCACCGACTGCACCAAGATGCGTTACCACAGCGTCAAGACCAAGAACTTTGAGCTCTGCTCTAACTGCTACCTCGAGGGACGTTTCCCCACGACCATGTCGTCAGGCGACTTTATTCGTCTCAACGCTCAACACTTCAAGCACGCCACAGACGACACATGGACAGATCAGGAGACCCTCTTGTTGTTGGAGGGCTTGGAGATGTATGACGAAGACTGGAGCTTGGTCGCTGAGCATGTTGGAACCCGCAGCCGTGAGCAGTGCATCCTTCACTTTTTGCAGCTGCCCATTGAGGATCCTTATCTGGGTGCTACATCAGAGCGCGAGTTGGGGCCACTTCAATATCACCGCATTCCTTTCAGCCAAGCCGACAACCCCGTCATGAGCGTCGTGGCGTTCTTGGCAAGCGTTGTGAACCCCGGTGTGGCTGCTGCTGCTGCCAAGAGTGCTTTGAAGGAGTTGGCCCAGGCCAAGATTGGCGCTGAGGGCGAGGTCACTGAGGAAGCACATACTGAGGAGGCTGATAAGGCCGCACCAGTCGAGAATGGAGATGCAGAACCCAAGGCAGAGCCACAGTCTGGTGAGATGGATGTTGACAAGGTTGCAGGAGAAGACACAGAGATGAAGCAGGATGGAGATGCATCGGCCGACATTGCGGGCTTGCCTCGTTCGACTTTGGAGAGGGTAGGAGCAGCGGCTTTGGGATCGGCAGCAGCCAAAGCCAAGGTGTTGGCCGACAATGAGGAGCGCGAGGTCCGGAGATTGGTTACACAGGTTGTGGAGGCACAGCTCAAGAAGATGGAGCTCAAGTTGCAGCAGTTTGGGGAGTTGGAGAGTGTTTTGGAGACGGAGAGGCGCGAGCTGGAGAGGCAACGACAGCAGCTGTATCTCGACCGGTTGGCGATGAAGAAGAGCATCATGTCTATGCAAGAGAAGTTCCAGTTGGCAAGGCAGACCGCCAACCCACAAGCGATTGCCAATGTTACTGTCCCACCAGGAGGTGTTACCGGTACCGGAACGACTTTCCAGAACGAGGCGACGGTCCGTCAGCAGCAGGAGCAGGGCCAAGGGGTGGGGCCATTGACCCGAGACCAGAATGCAGAAGGAGTTGTCGTGATGCCATTGCCATGATAGACCTTCCCTCTTCCTCCTTTCCGTACAGATAGTAGCCCTCCCTTCATTCCCCCTTTTTGTCCACTTTTTCATATATTTTGTTTTATCCAACTAGTAATCTTTTTTTTCGTTGTTGTTATTTTGTCCGTGTTCCTGCACATATTGTAATAACATCATCTTCCACGCAACTCGTAATGGTAGCCTGCGGAAGTGGAGCAATTGTTGCAAGTTAGGCAGAAGGAGGAGAATGCACTATGCGGGGATGATGGTGCAGTTTGAATTGCAATCGGTCCTGACAGACGACAGAAGAATGGCGCTTCTCGAATTTTTATTTCATGGGCGTTTTGATTCAGTCCGAACGGAGCATTTCAGAACGAACACGAGCAAAAATGCTATGGACCTCGGACGACTATAAAAATCGACATTCATCCATCCTCTCACTTTTTTAATTCACTCACATCATCCTCTTCCACTTGCTCTCCCACTTCCTTTCACTGATATACCGGAACACAGCACCATCCACTCATACCACATACAACAAAAAAAAAATATGACGCGTTCAGGATCCAACAACAAGAAGAAGATCACGACCGTGGTCCTCTTGGGCTCGATCGCCTTAGCAATCACCCTTTTCACAACCGTGGCCGATGCAGCCGCACCCAAGATCCCCCACAAGGCCGACATCTCCCACCCCGAGGGCTCAAGCCCCTGGCCCACCTACGGCGAGAAGCCCAAGACCAACACACCCGAGGTCAAGGCCTGGGTCAAATCGATCGACTGGTCCAAGGTCCCCAACCTCCCCATCCGCCACACCGACACCCCTGGTGACCCACCAGAGTGTCCCAAGAAGGGGGTCCCCAAGGGCGATTGCTGGTGGACTTGTACAGGTTGCTATGCACCCGATGATGTTGTTGATTGCCCCGGGAAGAACGATTGGGGGCTGACGTTTGATGATGGTCCAGAGCCCGGTGTGACCGAGAACTTGTTTAGTCTGCTGAAAGAGAAGAATGTTACGGCGACTTTCTTTGTTACAGGAATGAAGTCGACCAAGGCGCCTTGGTTGCTCCAGGATACTATTGATCAGGGTCATCACCTTGCTTCTCACAGTAAGTCCCTTCTTTTTGGTCATTCATTGTTGCATTATGTTATGGGAAGCATAAGTATTGACAATATTGTTTTCTCTCTGGTGTGCACAATTAGCCTGGTCGCACTCGGGATTGACCACCTTGACCAACGAGGAGATTGTTGCTGAGCTCAAGTGGACTGAAAAGTACATTTTTGACCACACAGGGTACAAAATCAAGTACTTCCGTCCTCCCTATGGTATGTTCTTTTCTTCTCTCTTTCACATTCCACTGTTTTCTCCCATGCGAATGAATGCTTTGGAGATTTCTATCTTGCACTGCTCTGTTCTCCACCCCAATTTCGATGGAGTATGTACACAAGAAGCGTGAGGTTGGCTGGATTCCTTATTCCAAAGAGGACCGTTGGGAAGAAATTTCTTGCCAGAGAGGGGTGTATGATCGAATCTACCGATTTTTTTTATCAACGCGCTCCCCTATCTCTTTCTATCCCCCCTTTCCGCGTCGCCCCCCCTCGCACTCTCACTCAGAAACCTTATCCACATTCACCACTAATCCTCATTACCTTTCTACAAAAACATAGGTGACATCGACAACCGCGTCCGCGCAATCGCCCGCGAGCTCGGCTTCAAGTCCGTGATCTGGTCAAACGAATGGGACACCCAGGACTGGCAATTGGCCGAGAACACCATCTCCTCCAAACAAGTCGTCGGAATCTTCAACGCGGGTCTTAAATCCCTCCCCGACAGGAAGAAGGGCGTCATTACTCTCCAACACGACGGCGACAAAAAGTTGGTCACCATGGCCAGAACGTTGTTGGATATGGGTATCAAGAAGGGGATGAGACCTATGAATATTGCTCAGTGTCTGGATGATAAGGTTGGGTATAACGCCGTCCCTGCTTTGCCTGCTTCAGCAGCACCCAAGAAGCCTGCCGCACCTGTCGCTGTCCCTGATGCTGAAGATGAGGACGTGACGCAGGCTGGTGGTGTTGAGCCCGAGGTTTCGATCTCGACTTCGCCAAAGAAGGAAGACCATGGAGCAGTTAAGGGTGCTGCGAACCCTGGAAAGAAGTCTGCTGCTGCAACTGTTTCTGCGGGTCTTTCGGTTGCAGGCTGGACTCTTGCTGCCGTCGTTGTCTCTTTTGTTCTCTAAACTGTTCGGATTTTTTTTCTTTCGTTTTCCTTTCACCTTCCCTCCCTCCATACCTGTGTTTGTACTTTGTAGTACCCCTTTTAATGCTCCTCTTTTCCTCGTTCAAAATAAAATGCTTTGCTGGTTCAATCTCATACAACATGTTCCTTTTGAACATGACAACCGTCTCAAGCATGGCACCAAGAATATGGGAAACAACAAGAAAAGCACTTGTTTTAATACTCATTACGGTTTATCTCTTTTCATCATAAGAAAAAGAAGCAAACAAAGCAAAAAAACAAAAAAAGATGGCTCCAAGTCTGCAGCCTCTTAAAGCGCATATTTCTGCGTTTTTGGCTTACCACCACCAAGCACGACGTTCCCTTTCATCAAACATTTTTTTCTTCTTACACGATCCAATTCGGTATCCATCTCGTCTCTTTCAATGGGGTTGCCGTTGGTGGGTCCCCTATCCATGACCAACTCCACCACCACCTCGTCGATAGCGTTTGTTGAACCGATTTGAGGATCAAACTTGGCGTTCGATGCCTAGACGTTGCGCTTTTCTGGGTGGCGACCGACATGGCCTATACCATTGTTATATAGTCCTGGCTATGAAGCTTTGTCCCTCGTCAATCCACAGTGCGCCTTGACTGATCGCGTTTTCGAAATCGGCTTCCTCTTCTGGGGATACAGTCCTGCTCTAACTTGCTGCCTCTCATCTCCAGATTCCTTGCCCGCCTCCTCGGATTCGGTACAGTCGCACATAGCCTCTAAGGTTAATAGGCGAAGCAAAAAAAAAGATAGTTCTGGTCAGTTCTTTCTTTCAATCGAATGTTCATGCAACATCCTTCTCATGTTAGCCCACAGCGAAGATGAGTACTTACTTCGACGGCGATCAACAATTATCCTGAACACTCCACGATCACAATACTGGGGATTTTCCGGGCGGTCGCCAGCTCTCTTCTAGGCGTTCCGGCACCTTGACGGTGTGCCAGTCCGGATGTTCAATGATCAACCTACACATAGCATTATAAAAAAGACAGCAGAATCAGCAAACTAATCAATGCCAAACTCTGCGATCAATTGCTCTTCTGTTTTCTTTTACAAACCACTCACCATTATATCTCGGCTCCTATGCCAAGCAGATGGTGGCAGTTGGGTGATTTTCTCACCGATTGTCCAGTTCGTTTTTGTTATGTAGGACGATAACTTGCTCACTTTGCGAAACAGACGATGATGCTTGGCCGATATCGTGTTTTTTTTTTTTTGTTGATTGTACTTGTGAAGGCCAAATTTTGTCGTTTCTCTCATCTTTTAATGGAGGCCGACACGCTTTCTCTCTTTTGTGAATGAAGACCCCCGATATTGTTTTTTTTGGTGTTTTGGTGAGGGGGGAGGGGGGAGGTGGTTTTTGGACGCGCTTCCTGTTTTGGTGGACAGTTGGTTGTGAGGATAAGTGGTTGATTGAGTTTGCTTTTTTTTCATGACCGTTTAAACCATTTTATGGTGAATATATTTTTCTTCAGTATCGAAATGGAAGGGAGGGATGAAGGGAAAGGGGGGGGGGATTGAAGGAGGAGCGGGCAAGAAAGACAAAGCACATTCGAAAAGAAAAGGGATGCGACGTGACGGGTGATCGGGTGTGCTTTGGGCAGAACCGCGTCTGAAGGGAAAAATATTTTTTGTTATTTCGAGAAGAGCCTACTGCATTGGCGTGATGAGAAATAAAAAAAGAGCCCGTGAACTGATTGGTAGCAGGGTTTAAATCACTGTTTGGGGATCCCATTGCGTGTCGCCAGGTTCAGATAATGATCGTCAGGTTTTGTGGACTACGAGTTGGCGTCAAGCCGTATACTATTATTGAGAAGTATGGGATTGGTGTTATTGGGTAAATTACTCCTGTAATTGAGTCTTTTGTTATTATCGTGTTGGATGGGATAATGGAGATGTGAGTAAGCACACCCCTTTGTTCTGATTGTGGATGGATGAGAGAGTGACATTCCACATGGGTATATTGTTCTTGAGGTATGTGGAACATAGCTGTTTTTTCTTGGCTCCTATTTCGTTTCTAACTGAAAGAAACATCATAAATACTCCTTTTTTTCCTATGCCCCTAATTCACAACCCAACCCAACCCAACTCGATCACCTCCCTCGGCCATAGACGACAGGCGAGATCTCCTCAGTAGGACCAACAGTCTCATTCTTCAACCCAGTAGAACCCGTCTAAAAGGCAGTCGACGAACTGACAGCCAAGGGCATCATTGCCGTCTCACATCACTGATATGGAACCGACATTGAAGCTGCCACCAAGACGCGTGGGCTAGACTTGATTGTTGGTGGACATTTGCTCACTTACTTCGGTGACCCCAAGGATGCGATATACCAAGGCCCTTATCCCACGTTGATCAAGAATCTTGATGGGGAGGGGACACATATTGTTCAGGTACCCTATTTTTTGTCCGTGTTTCATTGATGCGATGGTTCATTGTATCTTTTGGTTTGCGGTATCTAATCTATGTAGTCTGCGATGATGATACGTGGATAGGCATACTGCTGGGGAAGGTTCATCGGGAACCTCGACATCTCATTCAACCCCGAGGGCAAAAATCGTTTCCTACGCCGGCGGGCCTGTCCACGTCGACCATTCCCTCCCCGGCGACCCCCCGCCCTTCTCCAAAAAGTCGACGGCTGGCGTTCAGAATTCGAAGCCTGGTCCTGGATATGTTGGAGGGGAGTTGTCGTGGGCATGAACGCTGAGACCGGTAAGGCCGTCAGCACATTCATTCAAGCCTCTGGCCTCCGCTTTTCCTACGACTCCACAAAACCCGCGAACGGTGCCTCGAGTCAAATCATCAAAGCCGAGATCCAAGACCGCACCAAGAATTGGCGCCGGATCGTCCCTGGGCAAACCTACTCCGTCGTCACCATGGACTTTGTGATGACCGGTGGGGACAACATCCTCGTCAAGGAACCCCGTACCCGAAGCTATCGCCCTCAAAAGAATGAACGAGATCCTGATTTCGTATGTCGAGACGGGAAAGTGTATTACGCCACGCCCTATGTGGATGGGAGGATTAGCGATGTGGAACCGGGGATGGAGAGAGATTATAATGAGATGATGGCGATGGATTTGAAGAGTTATTTGGGTAATAGGGAGGGGTGTACGCCTGGATATTTGAGGAGGCAGTTTCCTGAAGGTCCTGAGCAGATGAATCGTGCCTATTCGCACCTGCGTAGATGAGTTACACCAGAGTTGGGGAGATGGGGAAGTGGAGGTAAGGGACGATAGAAAGAGAAAGATGAAGGATATTAAAAGAATAAGATACCCCTAAGGTTTGCATGGATAGTGGATTTACTCAGCGTTCCTTGTTTCTGCATACGATTACAAAGGACATCTTAGTGTTGTGTCTGTGTGTTAACCCTTTTTTTCTGTTGTTTGTTTGTCAAACGAAGATAAAAGAATACATCTCCGCCCTATCCGTTGTGTCGTGTCGTGTTGCGTTGCGTTACGTTGTGTTGTTTGTTTCTGTGTGTTTGAGAAGTGATTCTGATAGGATATGTCTCTCCTTTGTGTCTGGGCGTATGAAAATTGGCGGCAAAAAAGATTTTTTTTCGATCAAACCGAGGGACAGGAGACAGGAGAAAACAAGAGGAGGGAGTCAACTCCGAGACGAAAGAGAGAGTAGCAGGAGAGAGAAAGAAAAAAAAGGAGACGCAAGGACATGTAGGAGAAGAGGAAGGCAAGGCATATAATGCTTGAAGGATTGCTAATTGCTATTTGCTAATTGGCAAGGGGAGTCCTGCATGGACATTGAATGTCGAGTCGATCGGGTTGAAATACTGGCGGCGTCAGAGCAACCACGGCAACCAAGTGTGCCTTTTATTTTCTGTGCTGTTTCATATACGAGATCCAGGCAGGGTGTTGTTGTGGTTGCTGTCGTCGCGTGTCCCTTGGGCCCTGACTCCTGACGTAAGAGGGAGAGGGAGGAGGGAGAATATTATTCTGCAAAAGCTCTCACGGTGGACAAACAACAATGACTTCATCCCTTTTCTTTTTGTCCTATGTTCTGGCTGCAGTTGAATTACTCGTGCTGAATGTGAATGAGGCCCGACCGGGATATAAGCCCGAAGCCTCACGGGAAGGAAAGGAAAGGGGAAATGAAAAAGAGAGACATGCATTGACAGTGAGTGGCGTGGCGACGAAGGAGAGGAGGAGCGAGGAAAAAAAAGAAAAAAAAACAGTTCAAGAGAGGAGTTTTTTCTTCTTTTTCTTCTTTTCTTCTCTTTTCCTCTTCTTGTTCTTCACTTTTCGTCACCCTTCTTTTTTTTTTCTTTTTCTTATTCTTTGTCCTTCTTTTTTGCCCTCTCACATATCATAATATTTTGCATTGTTCATATTCCCTTCATTTTTTGCATATACTTTTCTCTCACCCTTTTTACATATCCATATCCATTTCCCTTCCCTTTACCCGTACTCCATTTCCCTTCCCTTTACCCGTACTCCCCTTCCCTTTCCCTCACTTGTAATTACCACCCATCCAACAGACAAAATAACAAACAAAACAAACCCCCCTTCGGTCAACACAGACCACATACCCTCATCTTCACCAAAAGATGGGCTCAGCTCCCTCGAAAAATAAAAAGAAGAACCGTTACTCCTCCCAATCCCTCACACGAAAGTCAAAGAAGACCACCTCCAACAACAACAACACCGACAACACCGACAGCCCTACAGCAACACCTGGTGACGGTCGTCCTCGGGTCCTTTCCGAGGCGTCTGTTCTCCCTCAGATCCCGGCTCAATGGGGTTCGAGTAGTAGTAACAACCAAATCCAACATGACCAACAACAGCAGCAACCGCCTCTGAAGCAGAAGGAGCAGCGTGCGTTGGAGGAGAGCGTTTACTACAGTCCGATGAACAACCATGACAACCAAGATCTCTACCAGGGTCAAGGACACACCAAATCCACCACCACCACCACCACCACGAACAACATCAACAACAACAACAACAACAACAACAATGACGGACGGACAAGCCCAAGAATCAGCGGTGGAAACGTCTCCCCTACAGGCAACACCATCCGGCCCCGAACAAACTCTTCCGGCCTCTCGTCCTTCTCCTTCCTCAAGAGCCGCAAGAGTAGCTCCTCCCCTCGCCATCGTCAAGTGTCCGAGAAAGACCACCACTACAGCCACAGGGTCATCGATATCAGCTCGCCCATAATCGAGTCCAGGATCATGATGGGCGCAGGCAACTACAGTCGAGACCCGACCTTTGCCGCCATTTCGACCGAGCAGCCAGTCCCCCCGAGAAAGAACCACCTCCGTCGCAGTCTCGAGGCCAGCCAGTTCGAACAGCAGACCAACACCTATGTCGAGCCTCCCAAGCCCAACGCTGGTGCGTACAGAGCCCCTGTCCCCTCTCTTCCGTCCTCGCCCGCGCAACCGCAGCAGTCGTCGACTTTTATGGCCAGTCCTTCATTACCCTCGCCCTTTGATTCACCTGCAGTGGGCTATTACCCTCCTCCTCCCGCCTTGACCTCTTCTTCAGTCCAAGACCCTCATAGTCTCTGGAAGGAAACCACCTTGCGGAACGCCAACAATGCGGCCAATGCTGCAGCTTTTGTTTCAGCCACAGCTGCAGAGGGGCGTAAAAGTGAGCCCGCGGCAAACAGATTGAGTCGATCCGAGAGTATTCACAGCCAAAATAGTCGAGCCAGTTCCACGTTCTCGTCCTCCGGAAACAACCACAACAAGAACAAGGGCAAGCCCATCTCGGGTCCGACCTTTGCGACCTCCCTCTCCCCTTCCCCCTCCAATGCATCCCAGTCAAGTTTCAAACACCGTGACCACCACCACCATCGGAACAGCAAGACCAATATCGCCCATTCCGATGGTAATGCCGAGTCCTCCCGTCTCAACAGCAACCAAGTCCGTCACTACCTGCACAGTCAACAAATTGAGACCTCATCTACCTCTGACTCCGAGAATGCATCAACCCTTTCCTTGCCTGGCTCAAGATACCTCGGCGACAACCACAGTTTCAGGTCAAGGGCAGACGACGACGACGTCGGCGGTGGCGCTCGCAACAACAACAACACCTCCATCCTTTCCGACAGACGACATGCCTCAGAGATTTCGCTAGCAGGGTCACCAGTCAGTGCCATGGCCACCGGAGTCAACACACCTAGCCTTGCAGGAGGAGTCCGCACCCCCAACGACAGACAGAGTCAGTACTCAAGCCCACGTCACTCGACCTCTTCGTCTTTTGACGCGAAGCGAACCTCATCCCCTCTGGCTTTCCCTGTCGATGGCTCTACTGCTGCCACTGCTACTGCTGCTGCTGCCACTCCTGGGGATCGTCCTGTGTCGCCTAAACGCCACCCAGCACACACCCTCAGCACCCGGACGGCCAACTCTTCGGCACGTGAATCCATGGTGTCGGTCAGCACCGCCAACTACCGCTGGATGGAGGGGCTGGATATCGAGTCGGGTGTTCAAGACGCGATCCATCGGGACTCGGCCCTGCTGCTCTTTCCCTCTCCGACCACGTCAGATCCCAGTTCCCTGGGCAAGGCTACTCCGGCCCCGTCCCCTACCACTGCACCTACGACCACCACATCATCACCCACAGTGCCCGCGAGACCTCCTGCAGGCGCTGAACCGATCTTTAATCCGGAACAGATGGCCCAACATAGTCTCGAGCAGCAAGCACAACAACACGCCCTACTCAAGTACTTTTTCAAGGGCAACTATCATGCTCCACTGAACAAGGCTGAACTCGGTTCCGTGCTCGATGGTGAGTTGTCTTCTGCCTTACTCCTTGCTTATTTGCTGCAATGCTCCAATATCTATTAGCTAATACTAATGCCTTTTCTTTTACTCCTTTTTTTTATAGTTGGATGCGGTGCAGGACTATGGATGCGGGATATGGCGCTCGAGTTTCCTTTGACAGAGATCCACGGAGTCGATGCAGTCGTCCCCACAAGGAAGCGTCGCCCTCGCGTACCACCCAACTCCTTAAACCCAAAGACGGGCTCTCCCAACGCAACCCCATTCGGTTCCAAGCACTCCAGTCCCCAGGGTACTCCCACATCCAGCGTCAGTGGATCTTCATCATCCATCGATCCATCGATGAAGGTGCCCCCCGCGATGTTGGATTCGATGCCTAACAACTGTTTCTTCCACAAGGCCGATACGACTCGTGGGTTGCCGTTCCCCGATAACACGTTTGACTTTTGTCGGGTGAGACTGGTCCTTTGGGGATATAACCTGAATAGTTTCCCGGACATGCTTTCGGAGCTGGTTCGTGTTACGAAGAAGGGTGGATGGATTGAGTTTGTGGATATGGATCCTTGTATCAAGAAGGCAAACGAGACTGGTACTCGTATCAACGAATGGGTAAGTCCGACAACAAAGCAATTGAACAATTGAAAGAGTGTGAGTTGTTACATAACGATGGCTAACTCTGTATTTTTCTTCACTTCTGTTTAAAATAGATCAAGACAGGATTGATTCACGGCAACTTGGATCCAGATCTGGTCAAGACGCTCCCAAAGTTCCTTCGAGAGTATTGCGACGCCACCAGGGATGCAGCCATCGCCGAGACCGACCCTGAAACCCATCGCGAGTCACAGTACCGAACTGGCTCCTGCATCCTCCCCACAGAGCCCTATGGCCTCGACCGATTGACCGTCTCCAAGATCTCGCTCCCCTTTGGTTCCTGGGGAGGTAAAATCGGAGAGCTCTGGCAGCAGTGCTTCATCACCTTTTTGCACGAGCTTGAGCCGTTGATCATGGATGCTACTCTCTCAGGGCTTGTTATGGATCAGTATCATCGACAGTTCCAGCAGGAAATGCAGCACCGCTTTGCAGAGGCTGCTGCTGCCTCTGAGGAATCCGAGGCGGGTACCAGTGCCACCGATCCGTCTAAGTCAAAGGAGCGTGTGACAAGTTTCGATCAACGCCTGTGCACTCACTTGGCATGGACAAACCTAATCGACCAACTCGTCAAGGATGCCACCATCTCCCCCATCTCACTCACCAACCCCGCCAGCAAAGCCATGCCTTACTCCCACGACAACTTCCTATCGTCCGTCAAGGAGGTCCGGTCTTACAACGACTTTTATATCGCCTACGCCCAAAAAGTCGATATTGTCGAGCTCAAACAGCAATTACTTCTGTCGCAGCTCGAGCAGGAGATCCTGTCCCCGAATCTGAATATGGCTTCGGTGTCAACTTTCCCGTCGTTGGGTGCTGCTGCTGCGTATAACCGGGCTGTTAATAACTTGCAGAAGCTGGAGGGTGCTACCGGTGGTGGATTTCTCACGGCGGCGGCGGCTGCTACAGTCAAGAGCGATAATGCTGGCGAGTCCGATCGTGAGCCGGTGGACCGGCAGTCGGATACATCGCACATCATGGCCAACACCTTGATCCAGAAGGCGTCTACGCCAAGCCTTCGTCAACAGTTCCTTGGTTCCAGATCTGCATCCGACCCCGGGTCTCCCAGCCCCAAGGCCTACTCCACCCCAGATACAGGCCATGGAGAGAAGGAGAAGGATAACGATGAGGAGGTAGAGGAGGTTGGGATGATCGCGCCAACGGCCCGCAAGATGAACCAATATGGATTGGTCGCTTCCTTGACCCAAGGCGCCCTCGAGTCCTTCAATCAATCTGACGGTCAGGATCCTGCAGTTGCAGTTGCAGTGACAGCGACACCCCCGACTCCTACTTCTGTAGCCGCTCTGTCCATACGTAGCAGCTCTCGAAATTCGATCCGCAACAACAGCATCTCTGCCGGGTCCGGTTCTGGCTCCGCCACTGGCCCCACCGTCTCCGCGTCCCCGAACGCCGGTAATGGCCTCCACAGTCCTCGAATTGGGTATGGCGGTCTCCGACGCCAAGAGTCCAGCAATAGCAATGGTGGCCTCCATAGTCCTCAAGCCCAATCCGCGACAGCTGTTGTAGATGGTGGTGAAGATGAAGGTGATGGTGATCCTGAAGCCCAGCGGCAGGATTACTTTCCCCATGCGCCTGTCACCCCCCCTGCTGATCATTCGTCGATGTACCACCAACAACAGTACCATCATCACTACCAGCAGCAGATGAATTCTGTCAAGCGCAAGAGTAGTCTCTTGTCGACGGTTGTTACTCCTAGTGCCCTTGCCGCGACTACTACAATCGCCGCTGTTCCTGTCGTTGCGACTGTTGTTGGAGATGGAGGTGCTTCTGCGACCAACTTACCCCTCCACAGCGAGGGGGATGAAGGTGCCGCCCAGCAGAAGGAACCTGACACCGTAGAGACTTTGGATGTTGGCCCTGATGGCGATGACGATGACGATGACGATGACGGTGAAGGGTCGGAGATTTTGATTGCTCTCCAGGACGACGACGATATTCAAGACCCCGGCGATCCCGATCCCAATGTCGAGGTCGAGCCAGGGGCCGAAGGCACGATTGAGATCATTAACCGAGTCTCCAACCCCGACCTTGGCTCCAACCACGACCGATACCAATGCCCAGCCGAGCCGGTTATAAAGCCGGTGCAGGAAGTGGATGCGGATGCAGACGTCGAAAGTTTTGTCGAGACGCCGTTAGGTCACTTGACGCCTGTTGAAGGTGGCGATGATGATGATGGTTTCGATTCGGATGAGGTCGTGTTTGTAATGATGGCTCCTCCTGGTCCACTTGCTCCTGACTCTGGTCCTCTGCCTATGCATGTTGCTGTGCCTGCGTCCGATCCTGGTCCTAAGGCCCCAACATCGTCTTTAAGTAAGGCGGCAAGTGTACCGGTGCCAGAGTAATTTTTGTATGAAGGGAAAAAGATACCCTTTGAAAGAAAGGGGTTCCCGCTTTTTGTGTTTTGGGAGGGTCGAGTTGGAGTTCTTGCTTTGCTCCCTCTCCTTGAAGTAGTTTGTTGTCTAAAAAAAAAAAAAAAAGAACCATTCGTTTTGGTTGTTACTTTATCCTTTTGTAGTACACCGTAGTACCTGTAATACAAATGTATATCATCGTCCCACAATACCATGAACGCTTCTTCGTTTCTCGTTGAATGTGCGTCCTTGTTTGCGACGTTTTCTAGCGATATTTTTTTTTACTTTTTGGTGGCAACATGTCCTCGAGTGATTGGGCTCAGTCGAGAAAGGTCCTCTTGGAAGCGGATGAGAGGAGACGACCTTGTTTTTTAGGTGGCTTGGACTGGACCAGCCTTTTTTTTTTTTTTTTTTTTGCCTTGTTCTTCTGCTGCCTTGCATCAATTGTTGCGGACTCTAAAAGAGCCGACTCGCATTTACCTTTTGCATTCCTTTTCACGCACATTAAAACTTCTTTCTCTCTCTTCCTTTTCTTCTTGAACCATCATCCTTGACCTTCCTCAGCTACATCCCCCGTCTTTCTCTTTGCCTACACCCATTCCCCTCTTTTTACTTTGATTCGCCCTAATCATTTCAACGCCACCACCTTTTCACATCAAATTTCCTTTTCTTCTCCTTCACTGGGCACTCCCCATCGTATTCATCCTTGCTCCTTGCATCCTTTCTTTCTTCTCTTGCCAGTCTCCCTTCAACAAACAACCGAATACCAAAGGACTCATGCCGACTGCACATCCTTCACTTGGTCGTCCTCGCCCTCCCTCACCTCACTCTCCTTCTTTTTCTTCTGTCTCTTCCTCACCACCACCACTCACCTCCGCCTTGTCTTCGTCCTCGTCTTCAGTCTCCCCTTCTTCCTATCGCTTCTCCTCCTCTACCGCTTTTCACACTCACCACCCATACAGCCAATACAACAACATGAAGGACGCCGAGCATGTGCCAGACTACCAGCAAGAGGACCATACCAACAGCGAACACCAACGTCAACAGCCTCAAGAACGATATCCTTTTTCTTCTTCATCCACCCACGACTCTCCTTCATACGATGGCCACCACCACCAGTACCAAGAACACACCTCCTCCTCTCCCCACGACAGCAACCACCACCTCAACCACCACTACCGCCACCATCAAGAGTCGCCATATCACCTGGAGCCAACTCGAGGCAACATACCCTACCACTACACTCCAAGGGGCGGCCATCGCCACTCGATAGACTCTGCAGCTGCAGACACGCTGTTGATGCTCAGTGCCGCGGCTTTTATGGATCCGGACGCCGTCCGCATGGTCTCTGCTACCCATACTGAGGACAAGCATAGCCAACACCACCAGTACGAAGGCGACTACCACCACCGCTCTCAGCGCACATCCTTTGTTGGAGAGGAACAACAGCACCATCGTCATATTCAGCATCGGCCTCAGATGATGGCCAAGACCGTCTCCGCCCCTGTCTCGTCTTTGTCCCGACCTCCATTGCACCCACTTTCGAGGATGCCCCCACGGCCAAGAGACCTGGTCGTTGAAGAGACAGACATGGACATGGATGGTGTCGAGCATCCGCGTCGTCCTTCGATATCCGACTCTTCCTCACAAGTAACTTTTTCGAATTCTTCTGCGGTAAAGTGTAGTACAGGAACACAAACTCTGATCACCAAGGGACCAGGAATGAGGCATCACTCCCTCTCCTCGCCCACTTCTTCCTCTAGACACATTCCTCCGGCTGTTGTCGCCTCAGCAACTGCATCTTCAAAGAAAACATCGGCAACAACTACCACGACTTCAACTTCTACGGGTACACCGACATCACCCACGACGACCACTGTGAGCAGTAATGGCCGCAATGACCTCTTCCCCACCACCACCCCTGTCTCATCTTCTTCCCATGGCCTGTTTTCTTCTGAGGAAACAATAACAACAACACCAGCAGCAGTAACAAACAGACGGTCGAGCAAGAGTCAAGAGCCACTGACGACGGCTCGGCTTTCGTTCACCATCAGTAAGAAGGAGGAGGATGGTCATCGAGTCATGGAGGAGCATGAGGATGTCGTCGATAACCTATTGAACAGGAAGGACCTGGCGGAGGAAGAACTTGAGGAGGGAGAAGTGGAAGAGGAAGACGAGGAGGATGAGGTGATGTCAGAGGGAGTGGTGTATGTCAACAACCATCTCACACCAATCGGCTTGTCCCCACCCAACCATGTACAGCAGGTGGTGCCACCTCTGATCGTTACCTCTGGACCTGCCTTCAAACAGCAGCAGCAACAGTCGCACCAGTCGCATGGTCAGGATTCGCCAAAGACTCCGACCAGCGCCAGGACACCTCGGACTCCGAAGCAAGCCCGCCCCACTCCCAAGACGGCTACCCCTCGGCCAACTAAACGGAGCCAGAACGATCCCATCTCCGTCCTCGGCAATGGTTCTGCTGTTGCTGCTTCTGCTAGTGTCGGCGGTTTTTCTCCCACTCGAGGCAAGAGCAGCGCACGCGACTTGCCAGTCGATTATTTCTATTCGCCCTTCCCACCTTCGATTTCCTCCCCAGCATCGTCCCCGTCGTCGCCTTCACCTTTCCAGCTTCAGCTCCTCCAGCTGACACGCAATTTTGTCTCCGTCCAACCCCATGCCTCACCCACGAGTCGATTCCGACGGGCCACCAACTCGGGCGCGCTCTCCACGCATGGAATCCTGCCCTTCTCACCTCCAGTTTCACCTGGACAGGACCTCAATCTCCCGCGTGAATCGGCCTCGACTCATTCATCACCAACAAAGAGTCATGGAAGTCATTCTCATTCAGCACGAGGAGCTCACTCGCACCGATCGTCGCCTGGTAAGCCCAAGTGGCACACTCAGCCCTATATGATGTTCTTGGCTCTTCGGGCGATGCCTAATCGAACTGCTGCACGGCAGGAGTTGATCCATGCCGCTGTTGAGTTGGATAAGAAGTTTTCTGCCGAGAAGGGTCTTCCACGTGTCTTTACTGGCAAAGTAAGTTCTCTTTTCTTTGCCCTGTCAAACAATTGGCAAAACGAGGTGCTAACGAATAGAGCATCAATCAACTCACCATCGTTTTATGCGTTGTTCCGAACCTTGTTCTTATTTTTTCTATATAAAATAGACGCCCATGAACTCGGCATCGGCCTGCTTGACGAACAACGGCGACAAGTACTTTATCCCCTTCAAGCCTGAAGGAAGCAGGAGCACACATTTCCGACTGGCATACCAACCCTGCGACTTTGACACTGCTGTTGCGGATTACTACGGCTGGATGGAGGAGCTGATCCGCCATGATTGGCCTCTCTGCTTTGGTGTTTCCAAGAGCAACGAAGATGCTGTTACAGGACCAGCTGGCGACACGACGATGACAGGCACGGTGACGGTCGACGGCGGTAGTGGTAGTCGACCGGACTTTGCGAGGGCCGATTCGTCGGAATCTAGGAAGCGTGGTCCGGACTTGAGAGAACTTGCGGATGAGGATCTGTTGATGCAGCTCGCGTCCGGCAACAACAACAATGTCGGTAGCGTCAGTAAGAAGATCAAGGCTGCTGCTCCTGAGGATGACAAGGATGGTGCGGGTGTGACGGAAACAGTGCAAGCTTCTTCGTTCGCACTGGATGAGATCAGCAGTCTTGACTACTACCACTTCAAGACTCTCAACAGCAGCAGTGGTAGTGCCAAGGCGATGAGTGTGGGTGTGCGACGACTGGATGTGGATGCTGCTGGGCGACTGGATGAACCCAACTCGTGTCCTCCCACACCTGCGACGGCTACAGCTTTGGCTCTTGAACGAGGTCTGAACCTAAACGATTCACCTTTGATCAACAGCAACACTAACTACAACACAGTGGTGAAGAAGAGACAGCAGGAGGATCTGGATCTGAGTCGTGTGCCAAAGTCGCTGGCGGAAGTTGTGGAGGTGAAGGCGTCCAAGATCCCCAACGCTGGAAAGGGACTCTTTGCCAAGATCGACTTGCCCGCAGGAACACCGTTGGGCTTTTATTTCGGGATGCCAATTTCAGAGAACGAGTTTGATTCGTTGAAGGAGGGCGTGGGTGCGGCGTCTCAGTATGCGATCATGTACCGACGAACGGTTTTGGATGCCACGGACGAGCAAGGTATGCCCTTCAAACTCGATAGTACCACCTTGCCGTGGGAACAACAACAGCGGATCGTGGTGGATGGCCAGGTCGAGGGGCAGGAGTTGTTGTGCCCGTTCAACGTTCTGAACGAGGACTTGGACGGCAATGTGTCGTTGATTACTGGAAGTGTCGTTAACCAGGTCATCTGTACGACGAACCGAGACGTCAAGGAGGGCGAAGAGTTGGTTGTCTTTTTTGCGAGGGATTCTGAACGCCATTGGCCTGTACTTGCCACCCCCCCTCCTCCTACACCTTCTGCTCATGCGCCTGTGCCTAAGACTGTGAAACCTGTGGTAGCCGGGGCGGCGCCTGCGACGTCTAATGCAAAGACGACACGAAAGGCGGCTGCGGCTGCTGCTGTGGTGGCTGCTGTCATTGCAGCGGGGGAGGTGTCTGAGGGATCTGAAGGGTCTGGAGTTGAAGCTGGCCGATGGAGTCACGATTCTGCGTCCCCAAGTGGTCGGCCGCGTCGGGATACTGTCTATAAGCCCGTGCGGTATTCTCGGTAGTGAATGGTCGCGTCTTTTTTTTTTTTTTTTTCTTTTCATTTTTTGTTATATCACATTTTTGTTGTTCTTTTATCATTGTAGCCTCACTTCATTCTGTAATTGTACTTTTCTTATCTTGTTCTTTGTATCATTTCGAATTAAACAAAAAAAAAAAAAAAAAAAAAGGCAGGCTGCGAAGGCTTTTGGCGCGTTGCTTGTTTTTATTTGCTAGTCGCATGGTTTCTTTCTTTTTTTTTGTATGTAAGCGAAAAGAAAGGAAGAGACCCTACATCCATCGTTCCGTCCTTCCTCCTCACTTAGATCTTGATCATCTGAGCAGCAACCTTGAAATTCGTCTTCAATTTCCGCTTCTCGGTCGAAAGTGCCTGAACATCCTTCTGGCGAGAATCAAGCATCTGGGCCAGAGCCGCACTTGGGTTCGAAGACCATGCCGAGGGCGTCGCTGGTGTCGCTCCAGTCGTTCCTGTACCTGTTGTAGGTGGAGGAGGAGGGTGGTTGGGGTCGGCAATTGGGGTTGTGGCAGACATGAGGATATCTGACGTAGGGAAGGGGGATGGCGACCCGACGACGACGACACCTCCTTGTGCGTTCGCACCTGCGCCGGTACCGGTGGGGGTTCCTACAACGCTTACTGGAGTCGGAGACATCATTTGTGTATCAGCATTTGCTGCTCCTACACCCGTTCCTCCTGCATTATTATTTCCAACTGCATTATTAGGGGTATTGTTATGCTGGTTATTGTGGATATGATTTTGCATCCTCGGGGAGAGGAACATGGGTTTTGGGGTACCTCCTGCTCCTGATCCGGAGGGACCGGGGGTGGTGGTGGTGGTTGTTGGGATTGCGGATGCGGAAGGAGTGGGGGTTGAGGCGACGGTTTGGGAGGTTGGGAGGTGGGTGAGTGCGCCAAAGCCTGTTGTTTTTGATTGGGTTGTTAGAGTTTCTAGTTGGATTAGGAGGTTTGCTGTGTCCGCTGTTTTTTTTTGTTGGAGAGGTTGAGGAAAGAGAGTTGGGTTAGTATGAAGATGAAAGAGGGGGAGGGTTTGGTCTTCTTTTCTTTGTTTCCGGAATGGTTTGCCTTCTTGTGGTCTGATGGAGAGATGTGTAACTTACCGATTGCTTCTTGTTGGGTGTATGGATGTTTGAAGGACTCTTCACTAAAGTATGCGGATCATGCACAACGGGGGAAGGAAAGAGGTCATTAATTGACATGATAATTAATACAAGCGTTCTCCACACACACAGCGTCTGAAGATCCTGCTTTGTTATTCCTTCCTTTTGACTCCCTTGTCGTGTCAAATTGTCTGGATACGTTTTCCTTGGTTGATAAAAAAAAGACATACCGCACGAAAGGCAAAAGTGCGTGCGCTTGTCTTTCCTGCTGAATGCTTGATGTAAACCAGACCCTCTTTTTCCAGCCATGAACTTACATCTTGTGGAACATGACGAGGCCTTGTCGCTCGACTTCTCCAAGCTGGTTGAGAAGAACGTGGAGTGAGGCCATCAGCTCCTTTTCGAAAGCGCCCGGTTGCTGATTCTGTTGGGCTTGCCAGCCTTGCGGGCGGGGAGATTGGATGCTGCTTGCTGGGGATTGCATCTCTTGTTGACTGATCGCGATCAAAGATTGGTGGGGATGGTAGGGATGGTAGGGATGGTGTTGGTGCTGTTTGGTTGCTTATTGGTTCTTGGAGGAGGGTTTGGTGAAGTGGGTAAGAGTGCTCTCGTCCTTTGTGTTGGTTTGGCTTCCTTGTCCTTGTGTGAGTGCGCGTGTTTGTGCGTGAAAGAAAAAAGAAAAGCAGATGCAAAGGCAGAAGAGCTGGACTATGACGACCCCATAATTCCGCAAATTTCTTTTTATTATTTCAGGGACGGTACAGCGAGCGCGTACCTTAGTTGGCGTTGTAGCTGGCCAATAAAAGTGTACTGTACCATCGACCATTGACCAACAGACACACACACAACCAGGGCTCACGCCCTTCCCATGCTGTGTACAAAAAAACCCTCCACCTCACTCATTCTTAAAGTGGGTGTATTTCTTATCCTCCTCCCATCGCACCTCTTCAACTCTTTTCTCCTTTCTTCCACTTTTCCACTCATAAAACTTTTCTGCCCTTTTTCTTTCTTTTGCATTTCCGTATCATGCCACAACACTTCAACGATATCGCTGCGTCAATGCAGGCACTATCATTATCATCATCTACTTCCTCAGTCCCAAAGGAGAAGAACCACACTACTCTGTCTACTCTTCCTCCTCAAGCACCACAACCCTCCCCACGCTGCCAGAACGCATTCCAAATCCCCGAGATCCTACTCCGAATTCTCCAATTCGTCCCCCTCTGGATCCACCCACCTCACACCACCCCTAGTACTACCTTCTTTGACAACGAAAACATCACATTCTCCCCACGCAACATCCTGTCCTGCTCGCTCGTCTCCAAACCCTGGCGCAACCCCTCCCTCGACCTCCTCTTCTTTGTCCACCATTCGCAACACCAACGCCAGATCCCAAAACAACTTGTGCTTTTGCAATCGCATCGGTATAAGGTTTTTGTGGATAGTCAGGATTTCTGGACGAGAGAGTTTCGAGGGCTGGGGAACCTGGTGGTGTTGGAGGTGAGGTGTGGGTTGAGCGAAGGGCAGATGAGAGAGGTTTTGGAGAGGAGTGCGAGACTGGAGGAGCTTTTGTGGACTAGGGTTGGGTGTAGCTCCGAGAGAGGAGGAGGAGGGATTTTGAAAGGGGAATGCTTGGAGATGATGTTGAGGTTGTCAAGGTTGAGGGTTTTGGTGCTTGATGGGTGGGTGGTGGAGTGGGCTGACTTGTGGGCGCTTTGTAGGGCCAATCCCAATTTGAAGACGCTGGGGTTGGGATCTACCAGGCGGTGGGAGTCAAGGGCAGCACCATTCCAAGGTGGTGACAGGGAGTTGGAGTTATTGTCGGTGGAGGATTTGAGGTTGAAGCTCGTGTGTCCATCGCACGAGGAGGACGAAGACGAGGATACTGAGACGTTGGATGTGGTCGCGTTTCTGCCGTATCTGAAGCGGTTGAGGTTGGATGTTTTTACGCGGGTGGATGGGAAGCTCCTTATCGCCAACTTGCACAAGGCCCGTGCCCGTGCCCACCTCGCCGCCACCACCGCCGCCAGCGGGTCCAACTCTTCTCCAGCCCTCCTCCTTCCACTGCCGTCCAAGCTCGAGTCCTTAGAGATCCACGTCCACCAAGGCACCACCCTCAATCCCACCGACGAAGACAACCAAACTCTGTACCTTACTTTCCCAGAAATCACCACCCTAATCCAAGAACACGCCCACCTGCAAGGCCTCACCCGCCTCCACCTCCACCTCACAACCATCTCCCCCTTCCTCACATCTGCCATCCGTGCCATACCTCCCTCCTCCCCCCTTGGGTACAACGTCCTTCAGGATCTGGAGATCCGGATCTCGGATTTTTATGGACATACCTGTGATCCTATACCTTGGATCCGGTCTATCCTTGCGACGTGTACGAGGCTGAGGAGGGTTTATTTGGATCTTGTGGGGCCTCAGGCGGAACAGAAGGTTTATATGCGATTTGCGCAGGGACTCTTCTGTGGCGAGGTTGAGGCCGAGGAAGGAGAGGCGGGAGGGACGGGAGGGGTTGTGGATCCGAGGAAGGCGTGGGGGTGTGCGGGATCGTTGGAGGAGTTGACGGTTTTGGGGATACATTTGCCTGTTGTGGTTGATATGGCTGGGTATTTGGGGTGGAGGTATCGCAAATCAGAGAGTGGGAGGCTAAAGAAGGCTTGGAGGACGAATCGGCAGCGGCTTCAGGGCCTTTTCACTCGTACCCTTACCAGCACCAGCACCAGCACCAGCACCAGCGCCAACGCCAACGCCAACGCCAACAACGGGAACAGGAACACGAATAGCAACGAGGGTAAAGATGATACATCATCCTCGGAGGAAGAGGAACAACAGTGCTCGCGCAAAGACCGGAGGATATCTATGACCCGGGTGATCGCCTTTGAGATCTACGAGAACCTCAAAAGTATCGGTCGCGACCCGGATACCGTCTGCCCGGACGATGTAACATACTTTGATCGACTCTTGAGTTTCGCCTGTCCCGATTACTCCCCTTCCTCTTCCTCCTCCTGCTCCTCCTCCTTGGACTCACAGCAACAACAACTACAACAGCAACAACGGACACGCAAGCAGTACAAACAGAAACAGAAACAGAAACAGACACCACCGTACCGCCCAAGCCGAGCAGAAATGCGGTTCAACGCCCAACTGGCGACCCAGATCGCGCAGTGCCCACGACTGATAATGCTTCGTCTGAATTGGGATACCTGTACCCAAGAGCTTGCTGATCTGCGTGCGCGACAGAAGGTTCTGCAGTTGGAGCAGCAGGAGAAAGAGTTGTTGAGGGAGAAGATTGTCGCGTTGGAGGGCCCAAGTGAGAGGACGACCAAGGTCCAGCAACAGCCAAGACAGAGTCAGAAGCAAGAGCAGAATAAGAGGCGCTCGTTTTTGTTTGGGTAAAGAAAAAAAAACGCATAAATCAGACACAGTTTATGTACAGAGAGAATAAACGAACAAAAAAAAACAGCAATGAACATAACGACAAAGAACTATGAAGAAAGGGGTGAAATGGAAAGTAAGGGGTGAAAGGAAAGAGTAGTGGATGAGATCTTTAAAGGGCGGCGGCAATCTCGGCGGCAAGGACTTCGTCGGTGGGAACAGCAACTGCGACCTTGACCTCCTTCTCTTCGTGCGATACCTCGATATGGTGAGAGACGACCTCAGAGAACAAGACACCCTCCTTCATCAACTCCAAATCCTCGGTCTGAGTCAACACAGCCTCGTCTTTGACCTCCATCACAATCTCTTCATCCTCCTTGCGGGTGCCAGCCTCCTCAATGTGAGAGACGACATCGGCAAACGAAACACCCTCCTTCATCTTTTCCAGATCCTCAGTAGGCGCCAAGATCTCAGGTTCAGGGACATTGTGCTTGGCGATATCGGCAAACGAAACACCCTCCTTCATCTTTTCCAGATCCTCCGTTGGGGCCAAGATCTGGGGCTCGGGGATGTTATGTCTGGCCATGTCTGCAAACGAAACATTCTCCTGGACCAATGCTGCGACTGCAGGTGCAACGTGTCCGTTGGCCTTCTTCTCCTGTTCCTGCTTTTCCTGCTTGAGTTTGTCCTCAGCCGCTTTGACAGCGGCAAGGGCAGCCTTCTCCTTGGCCACGGCCTCAGCCTCAGCAGCCTTCTTCTCATAAATCTCAACAGCGGCCAACCGATCCTTAAAGCTCCCCGCCAACTTATCCATCTGGCCCATCAACTTTTGAATCCTCGCAATATCGCTCCTTTTCCTCTTCCTCAACTTCTCAAACGCCACCACCTCTGGGCCATTCGCCAACGGCAGCCCTCCAAACCCATCCCCCAAATCCATCAACTCCCTAGGCGAAATCGCATCCAACCCCTCCAACAACCTCAACAGCCTCTCATTGATCGACTGGACCAAAAAATCCAGCTTCTTATACCCCTGCCGAACCATTGCCGGATCCTTCGCAAATCCAAGCTCGTTACTCCGTTCCCGGATCAATTCCTCCTGCGTCTCCTCAACGTCCTCCCCAAACGTCTTCTTATCCTCCTCATTAATCAGTCCCAACGCCGGCAAGCGAACATGTGGATCCGCAGGGTAAATAGGATGTTGACGGAGAGTCTTTGTGCGGACTTGAGCGAGACGCACATCCTCGTCCAGGAGTGTCTGGAGGGCAGATTCGACCTTGGCGAGCGAGGACGAGAGTTGCTTTTGGGTGGTTTTGACGAGACGGAGATGCTTTGTGCGACGGTCGTCTTGGATGAGTAGGTAGGCAACGGCGCCGATGGTTGTGAGGCCGACGATTGCTGAGCCTGCGATGATCAGGTTCTGGCGGGTTGATGCAGCGACCATTTTTGCGGGGTGTGGTTGGGTTGGTCGTGTGGATCGAAGGGGTGTGCGAGTGTGTGAGTGAGAAAAGGGGGGGGAAAGAAAAAGAAAAGAAGTGAAAGAAGGAAAAGAAAAGAAAAGAAGGGAAGAAGAGGGGTGTTCCTTGTTGTCCGTGTGTGAGTGTGACAGAGAGAGAGGGAGAGAGAGAGTGAGAGAAAAGGCAGGAAGGAGACCGTTGTGGGATCCCTTGTCAAAAGTATGACGTCGGGAAGGGAAAATAAACCACCCCATGGGCCACAAGGCACTCTCAGTCCTCCCTCAGTCCTCCCCGGCTTGACTTGTTTTGGGAGTGTCGCGCGACGGAGATAAACACATCCCTTCCCGCGGCTTGGAGGTGTCTCACACTACTCGTCAGGCACACATCCACACAACTCGCAACAAAACCCGCCCATGGTCCTCCTCATGCGGTCCTCCTATCCACTTTGCACTCCACACATTGAATCAAAGAGCATACATCATTGCTCACTCTCTCTTGCTCTGTTGTGTTGATTTTCTTCTCACGCGAGGGCCACCCTCTTCTCCGTCTCTGTCCCACAAATACAGTACAGTCCATTAAGGGGCCAAGTTCATCATCTACCATTGGGCTCATTGTGCCTGCCGCTCCTACCTTGTCTTCTTTGTTCTGCTCTTCCTCTATTTCCAGGCCAATCACCCGCAACAAATCACCCATGGAGCCATACAATCTGGTAACTACAATACGGTCCCCACGTTCTTCTTGAGTGAGAGGCATCACCTGGACAAAAAACTAATCGCGACCTTTTCTTGGATCATTCAGACCGACAACATCGTGCTACTCCAGGACCAGGACTGGGTTCAAAGAGCCCCACGTCTGGCTCCGGACGAACGCCTTGCCACACAGCTCGAGATCGCCTTCACTCGAATGGAAAAGCACGACTTCAACGGACACGTTACCACGACAAAAAACCGACTCCTCGACTGTGACTTGGCCGTCCAGATCCTTTCCGACCCAGCGGCAACAACACAGCGTTTGGAAGCTGAAACGCCACCAACAGCACTAGCTCTTACATCGCACAAACAATGCTCAACGTGGGAATAACGACGAAAAAGCGACCCGATCACTCATTCACCCTCAGCATCGCCAACCAGACAGTATCCCAACACGCCAACCATCGACCTACTCCCGACCCACCACCAGCAATCATGCGGCTAGATCACCGTGGTTCAATCTTTTTCCAGTTTCTGTCGGACCATTACCAAGCACATGTTTACGAGTTCAGCAGCCTCGGGAAGGCTAAGAAGTACAGTCCTCGAAGCTGTTCCCAGACCACCAAGTCGATTGGTTTCCTTAAGGCGGCGGACCATGTTCAGACAAATATCGAGTATCTTGTTCTTGGCACCGCCATCCACGCCACCCCTCGCCCGCAGCCCCCTGAACGAGCCTCGCTGACCGCCTTTACGGATATGGAGCATCCAACACCAGCTACCTATCGCGAGCACCACCGTCCCCACGGTGGGAAAGGAAAAAAGCGAGATGCTGAGTGGGGAGATTTGCAGAAAGCCGTGCTGGTTAGTGCCTATGAGGACCATTGGTAAGTGGACATTATAGGCTTATGGCGTTGTATGATAGTCAATCTCATTGATCAAAGGCGGTAGCATGTGATTTCTTTTTTAATCATTTTTTTTATTTTGCCTTTTGTTACAGCAAGGACTTCATCAACGCAGAGATCGAAAAGCGAGCCAGTGTTCTGCAGAAGATCAAGACAAAGACCAACAGCGACACACAAGCACTCAAGGATAAGGAGCTGGCCGACCTCACAACGAGCTGGCTAGAGAGGACCAAGAGCCCTATCAATTTCAAGGACTTTGTAGCTGCTGCCAGAACAGACTTTCGGAGCCCACACCTGACGGAGGATATGGTGAGAAAAAAGATTGGGAAGGGTCTCATTGATGTTTGGAGGCAAGTCGTCAAAGACCACCTCCAGCCTGGATGGGGGCAGGTTATGGAAAACGTCATTGTCGGATCCCAGTATGTTGCCGACAGGGGTGGACGAACGCGCTTGGCGGCAGTCTCGCATCTGCCATCCAGCTCGGGACCATCGTCCGGATCGACAAGCAGCTTGCAGAAGAGAATTGGACAGTCTGGAACAGGAGCTGATGCTGGCTATATGGACGTGGACGAGGAGCAGGATAACGATGACGACGAGGAGGACCAAGACAGCGACGACAACGAGGACGGCTCGCACCAGTACCGATCTATCACAGTCACCCTCAACCAAGTACTCCGGCCCGACCTTAAGCAAGAACTCCAACATGTTATTGACGCCCTGGATTCTCGACAGGACACGATGACTGACCTGATGTCAGATGCTGCAGTTCTGGGGCAGAAGATTGTCCTCTTGGTAAGTAATTCTCTTCTTTTAAAAAGCGTTACTGTTTATTAGAAACGTCCCCAAATATTACTGAAATTTGTTACTAACAAGGCCTTTGTTGTTCTATGTGAATTGCAATAGGCTGCAAGGCAATTCGGTGTGGGCAACGCGGAAGAGTTCCCCTTGGGAGACCTTCTACCTGATGGTTTCCGGCCCCGAGTTTCAGATGTCACACTTTCAACTCATCGAGTCCCGATCGCACCTCTTGACGCAGATATTGTACGATGGATCGAGGAGCAGGAGGACCAGTCCAAGAAGGCAAAGGACCTTCGCAACATTTTATCAGCAGAGGCCTTTCGGTTCTTCATCGCCAGGAATTTGGGTGTCAAATCTGGCCAGCAGGACGAAAACAACAACGACAAGGACAACATATCTATGGAGCATCCATTTTGGCAGGACGTGTCGGACCATGTGCGAGAGCTATCGACAAGGCGCCCCTCTCTCCCCCCAAAAGACCACCCACTCCATGGCCTCATGCAGACCATCAACGCCTTTACCAGAGATCTTTCTCAGGATTTTCAACAACTACTCAATGGTAACATTTTCGACAAAGTCTTCAACACGTTCACCAACAAAATTCTTCGCCTTCACCTTACACCAATCAAAGAGCAACTTGCATGGGAGAAAGGGGATTCGAAAGGAAGTTTGGTGACTGATGAAGGAGACAAAACGAACAGTCTGACGAGGAAAGAATGGTGGAGACGCTGCCGGAAACTGCAGGGCGATCTCGATGACTGTCTTTGGCGAACAGACTCGAAGGAACGGGAGACTCGACTGGCTGTCTTGACGCAGGCTATTCGGCAGATGATCACTAGCGAACCTACTCTGACGCAAGGCAACCGCCTAAAACCCCTCGATGAAGAATTTTCAAAGTCTATCAAGCCATCCACCACTGCGGCTTTGGAAGCAGAATTGGAGGATATTTTGATCGCAGGAATCGCTGCAGACGAAGCCAACGATTGGCTTGCTAAAGAATATCTTCAGCATGAGGAAGGTACGTTCGTAACGATGCAAATTACACACTTGTCAACGCTATCACTTTCCTCAAACAAATGCCTTGAATAAAAGAGATGCAACGATGAGGGTGACTGACCAGCGTTTTGATCATTTCGATTTTTAGACCGCCTAACCGCATTGCTAGACAAGGATTGTCATGTTTCATCCAAGGCAAAGCGAATGAGTAAGTGAGGAGCTATGTGATGTATGGCTGTTCAAGGCGTTACGTTGGTGATGTGATCTGACATATCTTCTTTATATATATAATAGACGCCGAGACTCCTGCAGATCGGATTACGGGCCTTCACGCCGTTATGAAGATGTTGCTCCAGTCCCCCTCGCTCGAGAGACCAGTAGACGCGTGCTATGTACAACGAGTGTGCAAAGGGATCAAGCCTACAACCGCCGAGTGCACCACCGTCGCGACCTTAGTTAATCTTCTCAGGCCGTTTGTTCCCAAACGTCGGCTGCCACGCTCGTCGAAAGACATGAAGACCGAGGAGAGAGTCGGGGGCTATACATACAAGGCGGAGGCGCACATGGCATTGAGGGCACCGTTCCTAGTCTTGGCAAACGAGTTCTTCCGTGTTGCTGGCTATCCAGGGTCAATGCGAAAGTTGACTCCACAAATCTCTCCATCGTCTCGACATGCCCTGTCACTCACGCGGTCCTCGCTCTCTGAGATCCTATACAGCAGCAAAGGAAACCAGTTTGACTACTACGACAACAACCACAATATCGTCAGGACTCGACCAACTATTCAACAGAGAGCCAGACTGTTTTTCTCCTTGTTTAACCGACACGCCGTTGAGCGCCTCTGCAGCCAGTATCAGATGGAGTTCGCCTTTAGGTAACCCTTGGTCAAACACTCTTGTTATCTTTTGCTCGTGATGAACCGCTGGTTAGTATTAGTTTTTAACCCTTTCTCCGTCATTTTACTGGATATTAGAATGATTTACATTGACAACCTGAGAATACGAATCATTGGCAGATCCATCGGTCATGGCCAACAAGGTCGTGTAGGCTACCCGATCGTCAGCTCGTTTGATACTAGCCGCAAGGCCAAGAAGAAGAAGAGGTCTCCTGCCTCTATCGACTGGGTCCAAGAGGTTCGATACATGGACGCAGATACTGAGCTGGCGGAGGAAGAGTTTGCAAAGGCCGAGTTGAACCTGGAGGAGGCGGAGTCGACATTGAAGGTACTGCGGTCTGAGCTAGAGCCATTGCGGGAAGCAAAAGCCAAATCCGCGCGGGACAAAAAGCGACTTGCTCGCCGCCGTCGACAGGGAGACAAATCCGAAGGCCTTTTGGAACAGATGACAGCGGCACGCCATGACTTTCGTAGCAAGCAGGATCTCTATCAGTCCAAACTAAAACCGACTCTGCTGGCGGAAGAGGAAGTCAAGACTCTTCGAAGATATCGGTACTATTGGATGCGTCTACAACACTTCACCAAGGACACCAAACCGGATCCAGAACCTGAACCGGACACGTCGAGCGAGTCTCTCAAGACTTGTCGAGATCCATCGTGGGATAGGCCTGAACTCGAGGATTACGCCGAGCATATCAAGCTTACTCATCTGAAGCCACGAGACTCACGAACGATAACGCTCGGTAGTTTTGATCCGGGTATTGCCAAGATGTTACAAGGATCCAGAATGTCTCTACGCGACGTTGCTGCACGACTTAACATCTATCAATTGCTCCAAAGTAACAGACTATTTGGTAGCATTGCTTGCGATCGAACAACATGATTTATTAAGTTCATTCGACCATGGTCACTAATATTTCACAACATCCCATTCAAACATAGACGAGGACGTGGACACGAACGGCAAAGACGCTGAGATGCTTGGTCATCATGACGGTCAAGACGTCAACAAAGCGGATTGCGGCGACAGCTACAGCCACAGCCACAGCCATAACAGCAACGCCACCGAGGACCAAGATGAGGATGCCGACATTTTCATTCCCCACCACTCGTCTACCGTCCAAGTCCCAGAGCCACCACCCGCCGCCACGGTTCCTCCTGCGATCACCACAACGGCGAACCAAATCAACCACTTGTCCTATATGAACAAGGCCGCAAGGAGACGAAACAGAAGATTAACACCAGAGTGGAAATCAGCGCACCAGGTCTCGAACAACTCCATCACACACCTTCTTTCGATTCCCGAACTCGACAAGATCCAGAGCGAACGAATGTCGACAAGATCGGTTCTACGCAACTTTGAGAGGAACAAGACGACTGTGAAGGACCGTCGAACTCGGGAAATATTGACCAAGAGGACTTATGCAGGGTTGGCGGCGAATCAGCGGCGTTTCTTCCAAGATGTTGGTAAGGATAACGTCTCCCTTTGATGTATGATTATGAGAATCAAGAAAGAAAACATTAATGCTGGCTTGTTCATTTCATAATGGACACTAGACGCTACCGCAACGACCACAATCACAAACACGCCATCTCATGGAGAACTTAGCATCACACCCAACACCGAACCACTCATCATTGATGGATACTGCCATGTGCCAGACTGCCAGCAGTACCACACGTCGTCTCACCCTTTTGGCAATTACCATCCGACCAATATCTGCCTCCTCGAGAATCCCAAGCCGCTCCCCGTTATTCTATATGGTGCAGCAGGGTCAGGAGTTGGTTCCACTATTAAGGGTCATGCTCGCAGGGTTGGCGGCAGGTTCCGTAGGGAACACAGACAGCATTGTGTTGTTGCTGTTACGAATGAGAACTTGACCTCAAAGTTGTGTTGTGTCTGCTTCCAGTTTGTGAAATTGGCCACAGCCCGGCGCCTCATCAATGGCGCCATACGTTCGGTCAGGATTAATGGATCCGTGATTTGCCAGAATCCAGCTTGTCCTTTAACCCACAACGGTACTGCCACACAGAATCGGGACAAGAATGCCGCGGCCTGTATCGCTTTGTCAGGATTCACAACTCTACTTGCCGACGACCACAATCCGCTGCCTCCGTTCCGTCTCCGCACTCGCCCTCCTCGTCCATCTCTCCAAGAAAACTCCCCAACCAATATTTTCTCCAACAGCACCAGTGTTACATCTGGATTGTTCATTACCTCCAATGTCACGGCGTGGATCCGTGCCACATTGGATCTGTCCATGAGGGCAGAGTAGAAGGTATATTATTTGTTTGGCCAGATGTCCTTTAAACGTTGTCATGTTGGTTGCTTTTATAGAGGTTGGCATTCACTAACTCTATTGTTTTTGTTACTCTAAAAATATATAACCCCACGACTTCTTCAGACTCTACCAAGGGTCCGGATAGTCGTCAACAAATGCTCCTCCTGCGCTAACAAATCCACCTTCCGCTTCCCATCCAGCTGCCTCACATTCTCAGGAACCCTCTCCGAATACTCGGGCCGTCCCAACCTCACGCCCAACTTCTCCAGCTCGGCTTGCACATTGCCCAGTTTCTTGTTCAGGCGCTTCAATTCCTGTTCCTGCTTCTTTGCCGCACCCTCTCCACCCGCACTTGCAGCTGCTTTCTCGGCGGCCTTGGCGGCATCGGCAGCGGCCGCTTCAGCAATAGCGTCCTTGATGGCCGAAAGCGGGGTGAGGAGCTTCAATTCGGGGCTGATGATATGCACAGCCATCACGGTGGGGTCCACCACCAAGTCGTTGGAGGTGGATGAGGCAAGTTTGATATCACCGGTGGAGCGCGTGAAATGCGACAGGGAGGATTGGCTTTCGAGGAGAGCTCCTCCAGGTGCTAGGAGGGAGATGTCATTGGTCCAGATGGTGAAAGGGAGCTCCTTGGACATGGGCACCTGATGGCTTTGACGCAGTGACCGTGATGCCTGAATCACTCCCAGCGCCACCTACAGGTTATCCAAGAACCAAAAAAAAAAAAAAAAAGCAAAGGCGAGTTAGTGACATTTGCCATCTCGGGCCTGAAAATACAGCACTGGAGTAATCGGCTGTTTTATGTACCTCCATGTCCTTCTCGGCTGCTTCATCTTTCCAGGACTCGAGTTCTGAGGGCGACGGGAAGGAGGAAACCATGATTGACGTGGATCCAGCTGCGGACTCTGGCAGCATTCTTTGCCACAGTTCCTACATCCACGATAGAGAAAGAAAAGGCGTTAATCAATGTGCACAATATAAAAAAAGACTAAATATTAATTCAATACACAGAAAAGTGACTCATACCTCGGTAACGAAGGGCATGAAGGGGTGCATCATACGCAACGACGCGTCAAAGCACGTCTGCAGGATCTTTAACACGCTATCCCGTTGCTGGATCGACTTGTGGTCCTCAGACACCAGGACAGGTTTGATGAACTCGACATAGACATCACACAGGTCCTGGATAATAAACTTGCGCACGGTATCCGTCGCAACCGACGGTTCAAGCTGGTCCATCCCGCCGTTGACCTTGTTCACCGTGTCAGCAAGACGCGACATGATGAACCTCTCGACCAGCGAGAGTTGTTGCTGTTGACCACTGGCAGAGACTGATTTCCTGAATTCGGTCAACCCTTGGGCAAGGACGGTCTCAGAAGTGACCGACGATACATAGTTGAGGTCGCCCAAACGGGTCCGGTAGAACGCCGACAGGTTCCAAAGTTTGTTGGCGAAATGCTGGGCCGAGGTAACGTTCGCCAAGTCCAAGTTGATCTGACGCGACTGTTGAGTCGATGACACCAACGCGAACCGAAGTGCGTCTGCTCCACTGGCCTGGATACCTCTCGGGAAATCCTTCTCCATCTGAGTCTGCGACCGTTTGACCTCCTTGGCAGCCAAGTTCCCGCCCTCCAGAGTCGCCTTCAAACCCTTGAGCGTGATACCTTCAATGACATGAGTTGGGTCAATGACATTCCCGACAGATTTGCTCATTTTCCTTCCTTGAGCATCTCGAACCATAGCATGGAACAAAATATCCTTGAACGGTACCTCGCCCGACAAGTGCGTACACAGCATCACCATCCTGGCAACCCAAAAGAACATGATATCTGTCCCCGTCTCGATCAAGTTGGTCGGGTATCTCAAGGGCGTCATCTTTTCAAGGGGGTATCCAGTCCAGCCCAAAGCCGAGAGGGGCAATAGTCCTGAAGAGAACCAAGTGTCGAGCACATCAGCATCCTGGACAATTTTGTAGGGTGTATCCTTGAGCCCTTTGTCGGCGAGAAACTTTTGAATCTGTCGAGTGGCCTCCTTTTCAGAGTCGGCTACGAACCAGGGGCCGTCCCCTGTGTCAGTTGGGAAGTGGGTTTGGAGGATGCTGTGGTGTTCGAAAACAGGCTTGTAGGCTGGGATCCGATGGCCCCACCACAGCTGTCTCGAGATGCACCAATCCTGGATGTTCTCTACACATTTTTAGTGATGCGAGATAAAATAGCTAATGTTAGTATACGATGGTCGCGATGGTCAGCTGTCAAGTTTTAAAGATGTGAAGCAAAACATACGGACGTACCCAACCAACGGTTCCAGTCCTTGATAGAAGATTCAGGGTGAAAAACCAGGTTCCCGTTCTCGGCATCCTTCAGCGCCCGCTGGGCCATCCCATCGCACTTAATATACCTATCGGAACCAAGAAAAATGTGAAAGGCATTAATATGTAAACGCACAAAACTTTTTCTCTTAATCCTTCAAAGTCCGTACGCGTACACTTACCACTGGGGCATGACCATGGGCTCAATGACATCTCCAGATCGTGAGCAACGCGCCAACCGCATAGCATGTTTTTCGTTCTTGCCCCTGTATACTCCAAGTTCCTTGAGCTCTTCAACAATTTTGTCCCTTGCATCGAATCTGTTCATTTTCTATGTCGCATCAAGAAGCAGAGGGAAAGTTGTTAATACAGGCGACAAATAGTTGGTAAGCGCGATATGCAAAGGTTACGCTTGGCGTTGACTGGGTAGTACCTCGTATGATTTTGATCCGCAGTTCGAGTTGAAGGTTCCGTCCTTGTCCAAGATATTGACAATAGGAAGTCCGTGTCTCCGCCCGCATGCATAGTCATTTGGATCATGTGCTGGTGTGACCTATTCAGGTTAGCCCACGGTGGAATAAATTAGCACGTTTAGTATCAGTACATGATCTAGTTCCTTGTCTATCATAGGAGAAACGTTCCATGATTCGCTCCATGATTGCCTGTACCTTAACGACGCCGGTTCCGAATTCCATTTCGACGAGTTCGGGATCACAGATAATAGGAAGTCGTTTGCCCGAGATAGGGTGGATTACATGTCGACCGTGAAGATGCTTGTAACGAGGGTCTTCTGGGTGGATCGCCACAGCCTCGTCTCCGAGCATGGTCTCGATACGTGTTGTTGATACGACCAGTTCCTGTGATCCATCGCCATCCACCTTGTACGCAAAGTCGTGCAGCACTCCGAACTCCACCCTAAACAAACACCACGGATAAGGTAATGGTCGATTGTTAATGCAACAGCACCCAGAGCCAAAAGAAGGGGTGCGGATCAGACGAGGGAGACTTACTTTTTCAGGCGGCCGGGGACGTTCAACATTGTCCGTCCTTCGATATCCTCGTGGTCGACTTCAATGTCCGAGATAACAGTCTCCAAGGCACAGCACCAATTGACAAGTCGCGTGTCTCTATACACAAGCCCATCCTCAAACAACCGAATAAATGCCCCCTTGACAGCTTTGGTCCTGTCCTCATCCAATGTAAAGAAGCTCTCCTCCCAATCCATCGACGCGCCCAAACGCCGAAACTGTCTCGTAATCCGATCCCCATGGAGTTCCTTCCAATCCCAGATCTCCTTGATAAACGCCTCCCGTCCAAGATCGTGCCGTGTCAGTTTCTGCTCCCGCATCAGCTTCTTCTCAACAACGGTTTGAGTACTGATACCAGCGTGATCCATTCCGGGGACCCAGGATACACTCTCCCCGCGCATGCGACGCCACCGAACGATTGAGTCCTGGATCGAGGCTGTGAGGGCGTGGCCGATGTGGAGGTAGCCGGTGACGTTGGGTGGAGGTAGCAGCATTGTGAAATGCGCTGGAGAATCGGGTTTTCCTGCTCCAGTGTCAGTTGTTGATCCTGATCCTGACGTCACTTTTGAGCCGAAGTAGCCTAGATAGAGAATGGAAATGGAGATTTAGAATGTGCTTTTCTGGTTCCTGAAAGTACCGTGCCTGAACGACAGAAGTCTTGTACCTTGTGATTCCCACCACTCGTACCAGCCTGATTCTACGATAGACTAGAAGGCGAGAATTAGCTGAGGCTGCTGTTGCCACTAGGTTTTGCCATAAAGAAGAAACTACCGACCGTTCGATTTTTCTTACGGGATCATATTTGTCAATGGTCCGCTTGGGTTTAGGGATACTTGTCCTTGTAGCAGTAGTTGAGGCGAGTGACCGGCTGTAGGACGAGAATGCGGTCCTGGCAGAGACGGTTCCTGGTGTGAATTGTCTCCGCGGGTGAAGGTGTAGTTTTCCTAATGATCGCCACATAGTTGCGAGTCGAGAGTGTTTGCCATGAGAAGAGAGAAGGTGCCCATTGCTCGCGGTTCACGGAGCACAGTTTCCCTCGAACCTTGCCCAATCCGCGCGACTGCTTTCTGCCAAATGTTTACTCTTTCCCAGTCACTCAGTCCAATAATTGCACTTTGTTTTCTCGTCGAAGCAATTGAGCCTTCTCTACCACACCCTCCTCCTTCACCCAACCTCCCTACCTCTGCATTCCTCGCCATGGCAAAACACGAGTTGGCCCAACACAACAGCGTACCCCTGAAGCGCTCCAAACTCAGTCTCCAAGAACCACCAACCATTGAGCCGCCGGTCTTCAATCCCCGCTACAGCAACCCAGCCTTCTCCAACCCCTTCAATACCGCCTTTCGCGACCGCCTCGTCTTCAAAGACGACCAGAGCGACGCCTGTCTCTTCAATACCCCATACCCAGCTGCCAGTCTCCCCAACTTCCTCGAATCGACCGACTATCTCCAAAAACTGCGCGAGGAACTCTTGACAGAGGCATACTTCCACAAGTCGAACGACCTCTACGAGTTTTACCAGTCTGAAGATCTGCGTCTCTCCAAGAAGCCCCATATTGCCGCCTTCAAGAATGCAATCTACTCCCAAAAGTTCTTTTCTTTGATGTCTTCGCTGACGGGGATTGATCTGGATCCCTCAATCATTGACCTGAACGGTAACCAGTACCATGAGGGATGCTATCTGCTCTGCCACGATGACGATATCAAGAACGAGAAGGAGGGTCGTCGGATCGCTTTTATCCTTTACCTTGTTGATGACGACTGGAGTGCTGCTGACGGAGGTGCCCTCGATCTTTTCAGATGGTAAGCGCATTTTTGTTTAACTGACAACAACAGTTTTTTCCCCAATTGATCCACTATGCTAACATTGCCTGGGTTTCAATCGTATATTTTCTTAGTGATGAAACGGGATACCCGATTGAGGTGACACAGTCGCTGGTCCCTGCCAGGAACACACTGGCATTCTTCGAACTCTCTTCAGTTTCATACCACCAAGTCGCCGAAGTCCTGACCCGGGACAAGAGTCGAATTTCCATCTCGGGCTGGTTCCACGGACCCCTGCAGACAAAACTGATCTCCAAAACCATGCCCTTCACACCCCTGGAATCATCCGCACAGGACATCTCTCTAGAATCGCTGTTGAACCCAGACTACTTGAGCGAGTCGGCCATGGCCAACATTGGAAACGTCTTTCTGGAACAGAGCTCGATTGAACTCCAACAGTTCCTCCGCCCAGAGATCTATGAGCAATTGGTTCAGGAGCTGGAAGCCATGGGATCTGTGGAAGGGGCAGCAACCGAAAAGGCGCTGTGGGATGTTGTGATGGGGCCACAACATGTTCGTCGGTACAGTCAAGTCTCTCAACGGAATCAGGATCAGATCCCTACAACGCTCTCGCGACTCCAACGGCTTTTCAAATCCAAGGTGTTTGAGGCCTATCTCTTCAAAGTGACGAATCTGACCTTCTTGTCGGCGAACACGGAACTGAGGATGTTCAAGAAGGGAGACTATACCCTGTTGCACGATCATGCCCTGGAGAGGAACGGACTGGATGTTGTGTTTAGTTTCCCGCATTTGGGGGAGGGCAAGGAGGAGTGGGAGGAGAGTTGGAATGCTGGATCAACTCATTATGTTGCGGATAAGGCGAACTTATTGACGTTGTACCCAAGGCACAATACGTTGACGATGGTGTTGAGGGATGAGGGCACGTTGAGATTTGTGAGGTATTTGAATGCGCGGGTTGGAGAGTCTAGGCGACGCGAGCTGAGTGCTATGTATACCGTGAACGAGGACGATGAAGACGAGGAGGAAGACGAAGAAGGCGAGGAGGAGGCCAACGGAGATGAGAACTAAAGTTTCGATCAAATAAACAAACGAATCTTCGACGCACCTGCAAATAGTGCAATTGGCTGATAATGTTCGTGCCTTGTGCCCTAAATGTATCTTGACACGCTATTTTTTGGTTCTCCATATCTTCCGTCTTTACCTCACGCTCTCTTGTTCATCCCAGCCTCTCTTCCTTTTTTTCAGACTACGACGACGACGAGAACGATATTTACAACAATAATATCGCCACCAACAGCAAGGAACACCACCAGCACTCGCAGGCTCAGATACCCTCATGCACCTCACCACCTTCCATGCCTTTTCACCCTCTTCGACGCGACCGGACAAACCACGGAGAGCGAGAAGACCAGCTCCTAGTTCTTTTTTTTTCTTCTCTCGCGGTCGTGTCCTTACACAGTTTCTCTCTCTCTCACCTTTGCCTCGTAATGAACCAAAAATAGCTTGCAGAGATGAATGAACAAGACGTCTCCCTTGTATTCGTCGCACTCGTTTTAGGTATGGGTTTGAACTGACGACCAACCCTTGACTTATGGTTTCCTGGGACAATTATTTAGAGCTGGAGTGAGCCACCAAGGGAATGGCGTATCAGAGATTCGAACGACACGCATTCGTTTTCAGGACCAGAACCGTTGGTACGCCACTGAACCCACCTCTGATAAAGGGTGCTTCAGATAATCGTAATTGTGTCAAAAGAAAATTGATCATGTCAAAAATAATCTGATCCTTCGTAGCCTGCCGGAAATGTGCCGCGGTATTGGAAAGGAAAGGAAGTAGAGTAGCAGTAGCAGATAAGCAACGACGACAGCGACACCTACGAAGATGACACGGGGCGAGGAGGAGGATGAAAAAGTACTCGGACCTGCAAAGGATTCGGCAGAAGAGCGTCGTCGAGCAACATTAGAGATTAAGAAGCAATACCTTCATTTCAAGAACCCTGATCTGTCAGACGCCACGTTGACGTGTTATGCTCCGCCGTTAGTTGACTAGGATGTAAGTGCTGGACCTCAAAGGTCCACTGGGGGGGAGGGGAGGTGGCAAAGAAGCAGCTATATTGTTTAACGCTTTTTCTTCTTCTTTTGTTTTGTCGCTGAAAACACAAATAGGCATTCTGTGTGAAGCATTATGGAAGCAATGTAGATGTGGAACCAAACAAAGTTTGCGACTTCTTTCGACGGCGTGTGTTCACACGGAGCAAAGCACTTACAATTAATCTCGCGTATGGCTACAGTGGCAATATTGGGCGGTTGGAGACGGATCCCGCAGATGAGCGTGAGGATGCAAAGGTTAGAGTTGTTTGCTGAACGCAAAGCTACACTTAAACAGACTCGACTTGTGATATACATGCGAGACAATTAATTGACATTTTGTTTATTTGTTCGTGGGTGTAGCCATACAGACGTGCCGGGATAAGGGCGAGAAGACGTGTCACTTCGTGGCGCCTCTCGGATATGAAGGGGTCGAAGCGTATTTGAAGTCTCTAGTTGTCGAATGGGGGTTTCAGGCAGCCGCCAAGAAGCACACCTTCCCCAAACCGCGTCATTCGGCAATCGTCATGGACGAGCTTGCATTGTGCAGTCGCACACTGGTGTAAGGCAAGACTATAGACTTTTCACCTGCCAGCCAGGACCGTGTCGGTGCGCCGCCAGAAGAAGGTGGCGATGCTATTAGTAGTGGTAGTGGAAGCCTCGCAGTCGAGGGTCAACTGTCTACGATGATGCTACAGTTTTGGAAGGGCGAGTATCTGAACTCTATCAATCGTAAGTCATATATCTGGGATCGGCTTGAGGTCAGTCTGCGACACCATATGCTGTTGAGGGGCGGAATTTGAACTTGACTGATTGCCATGTCCAGATTGTGCTCGCGCACCCATTCGATGCTATGACTGCTGCAGGAACAGGACACTAACATTGTCAGGACCGCGTTGTGAGGGGCTTGGAGCTGTCGCTGACTCCGCACAGAACTCGACGTAGGGCGAATGGGGTGGCAGAGTACCCGATGGCGTTGCGGCATAGGGATGTTGTGCGGTGTCCTATTGGCGCTCTTGCGTTCTGCCTCTTTGAGCGTTTCGATGTATGCTTATCTCATTATGTTGGTGGGCTTGTAGTATGCCATCAATGGCTGGAAGTTGGTGCTAACCCTGCTCATTATGGCGTGCGTTTAGATCATGGATGAGCCAGTCCCAGATTTCAACAACGCGACCGAATGGCCCAACATCAAGATCCTCAAAGCCAAGAACAAACTCAAACCGATCGTTCCCTTAACCCAAAAGCGATCCCTCCAGGACGTCTTCCGCCAATGGAGAATCAACCCACGCCTCTCCTCCTAACGAGGCCGACTTTCTGGCCTCCAAGAATTGAAAAAGATGGACCTTAGCATATTACGCCCTCGGCAACAACGGCTTCGTGGAATATCGGCGGAGGTGGGACAGGAGCAGAGTGATCGGCATTTGAAGATGAAGAAGGACCATTATATCTCCAAGGAGGATACGTTGAGCTTGTTTGGTATGGCGGGTTTTCCGGATGCAAGGTATTGTCTGTTGAGGGCTCGAGTCGCCCCGGGGTTGGAGCTGCAGAGGTTGGTGTTCCCATGGATTGAAGGGCAGTTCCAGGATACGGATACGGAGGATTGGGAACATGAGTGTAATAGGGTCATGATGCAGGACATTCTTCTGGCAGACGCGTCGATCAGCACAGTCGCTCAATCTGAACATTCGGTGCAAGCAACCAGCGTCCGGAAGGGTACAACATCCACCACCGCAACACCTCTGAACCAGGAATCCTCGAACCACCTGGCGAATCACCTTCCAAGCCCTCATCGACGCCAACGCCCAAGCAGGCGTCACCAGGGCGCTAAGCAGAGCAGGAAATAATTGAAGCGAGGGAATAAGATGCACGATGATTTAAAGCTGCAGAATGCGTTAACGGCTAGGATGATCATGGCACTGACTGATAAAGGGCATTTTGATCCCTTCTGCTGCTTGCTCGGCGGCGACGGATTCGTGAGGGGGCGCTTGGCAGGATATGGATACGGTGTTGGGATTTTTGGCTAGATGGGGCGGATGGTGGATCTCGGACACGGGTCGGTGATATGAGGGGAGGAGGACATTTGCAACCGAGAAGGCCGCCTGCCCCTTTCACACTCTGCCTCAGTCACTTCCTCTTCTCTCTACATCTGCCTCTACCCAACGTACGTGGAGGAACTACTCATAGCACCCACAGCCTTCTTGTAAACTGAGAATAAACAACATTTTATTTAGCATACATTCGCACGCACCAACCAATGCCCTTTTACAACTGAGCGGCAGGAATCCCATTTTCAAGAACACAAGGCCCACCCGCAATCACCTGCATCCCTTTCTCCTTTGCAAATTCAAGCGCGGCGTCAGATTCCACGCCCGGTTGAAGCCAGACACGACGGATCCCATTCTTGTGGGCTTCTTCCAGGATGGATTTGGTGACTGTTGGAGGGGTGATGATGGAAACGTGGTAGTCGGAGAGTGTGCCTGGGAGGGAGGAAAGGCTGGAAACGCAAGGGAGGGATTCGATGGTGGGTTCTTTTGGGTTTACGGGCGTTACGGAAGGGTAGCCGTTTTCTTGGTACCTGTTTCGATCGGTTGTTGAAGAGTGTTGGAGCGTGGGAAGTTTTGTTAAGCGATTGAGGTAAGAAGAGGGTGATAGGGCACAAGGAAGGTGAAAGTAGTGCTTACCAGCGGAGGACTTTGTTGCCGAACTTTGAACGGTTTGTGGAGGCGCCGACGACGGCGAACTTTTGCTCGGCAGAGGAGAAGAATTCGCGGATGAAGAGTGCCGTTGCAGCTTGGGAGGCCATAGTGTGAGGTTGGGAGTGAGAGGAGGAGGAGGAGTGAGTGAGTGATACCGAAAGTATGGGCAATGGGTTTAATAATCCGCGAATGGAAGTCACATTTCATATGTCGTGTCCTTCAAGAAAGGCTGCAACGTGTGAACGTTCTGGCAAAAAGAAGGGAGTTGGACAAGGCCACCGCGCTTCCTTTCTTCTTCTTCTTCTTCTTCTTCATCTCTTTTCATCTACAACTTTACCACTTTTCATCTCTCTCACACACACACATTCAAAGCACACACCCCCCTTTCCTCCCATCCATCAACTCTCTTCTCACATCTCTTACGTTTACTTTACACCAAGAACAAGCGTTTAATGATGTCCTCGAACACAGGTTCGCCTTTCTTCGTGTCAAGGAACACTAATGCGTTTGGCCATCCTCCAAGTCATGAACGCCATGACTAAACGTTGACATCACTTTTCGTTTTGATACCCTCCTATAGAACTCACACCTCAAGACGATGCCAGTTTCGCCAACCTGGTCCAGGATATCAAGCTGTCGTCCTCCAGTAAAGTGCCCCGGATCATTGAAATTTTCGATCAGTGTGCTCATGTTTCCTTGGCGCAATGGTTTCTTATCTTCCTTTGCGAACTTTTTATTTATTTTCGAATAGACCCATCAGCAGTAGAAGCCCATCTTCCAGGAGTGGTCGATCGATTGGAGGCAGCATTGGCAAAACTTGAGCAGGATGGAAACCATCAGGATAGTTGGGACCAGGTCTCGAACACCTTTCAATTCTTGGCCGATTCTGCCAGAGAAGGTACATTTGTGAGGAGGAAGAGGACCATAGCCATCACAGCAGGTGGTCAAGACCTTGTTTCTATCCCCCCTTTCCCTTTCCTCTTATCCGTCTATTCAAGGAATATGCCAATGTTTGCAAACATTTAACACATTTCACTACACACATTACCCCTCATGACCCCCTTTTCTGACGCCCTGACCTCGTTCTATTCGTTGTTCTATATTGATGACTTAGAAAAGGCAAGGACACCAATTGGAGAGTCTCAAGCTGTCGCTCTGTTGGTACAGATCGAGGCATTGAACAAGCAGCGTCTGCCTCATGTGGATATCCAGGCACTCCGTGTTCTGGCCAACATCTGCGTTGATCATGGTAAATACGACTTGATACTTTATAACCTGCACGCTCGAGCTCGCTGTCGACATGTTTTTCTTGGCAAGATTGTTTGTTGGTGTTGACAACCTTCTTTCTCTCTCCATTGTTCCGTAAATCAATGTAGAGGCAAACAGGAACAAGGTGCTTGAGGCTGGCGCATTCGAGACGATCAACGATGTCCTTAGGAGCTCGACGAACCCAGATGCTGTCAAGACTGCATGTGGCGCCCTCTTGAATACCACCATGGCATGCGGTAAGAGACCAGAAACATTATGAAGCTCCCTGTTATATGTTCGCTTGTCAGTGCTGTTGGAGGACCAGGATCGGGATTGGATTATACTGATGTCGTTTCTTCTCTCTCTCTCTCCCTCTCCTTATGGTTTCCTGCTAATAGAGGCCGCACAGACAAAAGTCATCGAATTGGGCACCATTGAGTCACTGCTAAAGGTGTTAAAGTCTGACGACATTGACGGTAACGAGGTCAGCATGACCATCGCTGCCCGTGTCACTGCCAACTTGTGCGAGAGAGGTATGTTCTTGCTCACCCTTACCTTTTCTTTCGGTTTGGCAACGACTTTCAAAGTCCATTTGGTATGATTGACACAACTCTAATCTTTGCATTATTTGTGATCTGAATATAGATGGTGGTTCACAGTCGGTTATCAAGTTTTCAGGGATTAACACAGTGGTTCAGCTACTGGTCAGGACATCAAAGGACGTTGAGGGATACATGGACCTTTTCGACGCAGCAACCGATATTATGCGCGCTGTGGCCTCAAAGGAACCTGCTCAGGTCGCCATTCAGAAGGAAGGACTTTTCATCCCCCTGATGGAGATTCTTGAGCACACTGGGATCTCGGACGAAGGAAAAACAGAGGAGGAGAAGAAGGAGGACGACAAAAAGTTTGGAGAGACCAAGGCAGCCATTGTCGAAGTCGTCGTGTCTGCTACTCTTGCAGGTAAGGAAAAAAAGGGGGAGCGCCTTTTTCGCAGAAATCTGTTCTTTTTGTTGCATAAGGAAGTGGAATGGCAGATGTGAATCGACTGTAACAAACGTCTGTTACGATAATATCGATAGATGAGAACATGGTGCCGGTGTTCAACGACAAAGATGTCATGGAGCGGTTCCTTACTTGGCTCAAACTGTCTGATCGGGAAGATTTGCAAGCATGTGCTGCACTCTGTTTGGGCAACGTTGCACGATCAGGTAATTTGGATAGTGAACATGCATGAATGTGCTTGCACTTTGCATATACATATGCATACGCGAGGCGTTCTTGAAGTACAGGATCACTCATGTACTTTTTGTCTCTTACCCCTATTTGTGTACTGTAGATGACCACTGCGTCAAGTTAGTGCACGAATACCATGCGGTGGAGCCTTTGATCCATGTCGTCCGCAAGGCGACTGACTTGAAAGCTAGCCATGCCGCCACAGGAGTTCTCCGCAATCTTGCCCTAGCAGGTAACTATCAATATTCTATTCGTTTGAGCAACGCATGCGGTGTTTTGCAGCAGAATATTGATTCGCCCTTTTTTTTTTTTTTTTTTTTTTTTTTTGATGACACTGTATTTAGAGAGGAACAGGGAATTGATGGGAAATGCTGGCGTGATTCAGGCATGCTTCCCATTGCTCAAGAAGGACAATGCTCTCCCACTCCAGGCCAACGTTGTCGGCATCCTCAAGCGTCTCAGCACCAACGACGGACACAATACGATCCGTATCATCTCTGGTCGTGAACCCTTTGAGACTCTGTCCTCAACCCCCAACAACGAGGGCGATATCGAGACACCCCTGTCGAGCCTGGTGGACGTAATTGGCAGGAGTGATGATTTCCCATTGAAGAGCGAGGGTACCAGGACGTTGTGTAACTTGGTCAAGGTGACTTGGGGCAGCGAGGGTATGCGGGAGTTTGATACGAGATCGATTACGGTGCTGCAGCAGACGTTGAATAAGGCGGATGTAGTTCTTCCTATTGCGGCCATGACCCGGAACCCCAAGTACCTTGTGCTCCAGAACGAGGGTGTGATTGCCTTAACCCTCTTGGTCACCAGTCCTTCGCAAGGTAAACCAATAATCCAGCTTTTATTTGTATCTTCCATTCTAGAAACCAGTCTTTTGTTTTGTCGATATCAATTACTGACCGCTGGTTTTTTTTTTTTTTTTACACTTTCTGGTTGGAAATCATTAGACAAGAATGCGGTGCTGGACTCGCTGGTGTCGGTCGAATTAACACCCCAACCCGACCCGGAGGCAACCATCTCCGAAGAACCTCTCGACCAAACCAAACCCTTAACGCTCCTCGAAAGTCTCCTCAGTCTCATCAAGAACCAGGATGGAAAATGCCCCGACGAGGTCAGGACAAATGTATGTGTGTTCCTGAGGAACGCGCTGGATACGGCGGCGAGGGAGGGTGAGGACCCGGCGTACTTGACTTTCTTGAAGAGTTCTGGGATTAAGGATTCGTTGGGTGAGGTTTTGGAGGGTTTGGATAAAGAGGGGAAGAAGAGTCCTTTGGTGAAGCATGCTCTTCAGGAGGTGCTTTCGCGTTTGGCGTAGATGGACAGTTGATAGGTGGGGGGGTTGAGGTAGACACTACTGTACTTGCTTATTTACTTTGTTTCGGCTTGAGTAAATCCTCTTTTTTTCATAATAGTCTTTTGGTATTAAGGTTGATGTTTAGATAATGGCTAGATGTGGTTTGCTATTGTAATAGGATGCCAAGTCGGATGCGATGACGACTGTGATGATGACGATGATGATAATGAAGGGGGCTATCGGAAATGAGAAGGGGGCCACTACGTGTAGCGAAAAAGCGCAAGTACTGTACATGTGAGCAAGTATGTAAGTGTATGGGTGGCGAAGGGTAGCAGGGTCAAGGGAGATGGTATGGGAGCGTGGCGAGTCGTTGAAGGTGAGACTGATCACAAGAGGTAATTGTGTTTTCTACTCCAACTCGAGGAGAGACATTCAACCGCGGCGCAGGGAAACTGAGGACGACGCCGATGATCACCAGCAGCAAGTGCAACCTCGAGACGACGAAGCGGGTTACCAAGATGTTGGGAGAACGTTTGTTATATCTCGGTGGGCCGTGCAACTCACACAACACAGCACTTTTCATATCGGTCCTCTCTCAACGCGCGACGCGTTTTGTGTCTCGCCTGTTGTTGTTTGATCAGCTCCACACAGCAAAAAAAAAAAAAAAAACGCATTCGACCTGATCTTCTTTTTACTTCCTTGAGTGTGGCCACCCCCGCTTATCCCTTCCTCAAAGCAAAGCGCCATCTATTTTTTTTTTGTTTGTTCAGTTTTATTTCATTACTGTTGATATGCGTATGGTAGTGAGAGGTTTGCGAATGAATGCGTTGTCTAAAAAATGCCAAGAAAGAGAGAGAGAGAGGTGATAAGAAAAAGAAAAAAGATATACGAAAACTACAAGAGTTCGTTCCCAAAACGAAAAGGATCCATGTTGGGATGACCTAAGCGTGGTTAGGGTTGTCGAAACGCTTGTAAGAGTGCTTCTCGTATGTCTTGAGTCTGTATCTGCGACGCTTGCTATTATTTTCAACAAAGACAAAAAAAAAAAAAAAAGAAAGAAATGGTTAGAGGCAAGATAAATGTGTATAGGACATGACGGAGAACACAAGAAAGAATAATGGCAGGAACGTACGCAACGGGGACACGGGGCTCGATAAGGTTGCGCTCGACAAAGCTCTGGAACCGGTCCTTCATCAAACTGCCCTCGGGCTTGAGCTGTCTCAATGAGTCGGCCAGCTCATCCTGAAGCTGGACGTGTATCCTCTCCTTGGGGATGCTATTTGAAAGAAGAAAAGGACATGAAGAAAGGAAAGGGGTTAGAACAGTATAAACATCAGCGTTTAGATTTGGCATAACAAAATACAAAAAGGGGAAAGTGAGGACATACTTGAATCGTCCGACGCGCTTCATGCCGGCCCTCTCCTTCTCTTCCTTCTTTTGCTCGTTCTCAAGACGCTTGGCCTCCACCTCAGCCTCCTCTTCCTCGACAGTCTTGATGATCTCCTTGACGCGGTTAGTCTGCTTGATTAACTCCTTGTGTCTCTTGATCTCAGCCTCCTTCTTGGCCGTCTCGGCCGCACGAGCCAAACGGTTCCGCTCAGCGATCGACTTTTTGCCCTTCTTCTTAGGCTTGGGAGCGTCAGTATCGTCCTTGCTATCCTCTGCCTCATCCTCAGACTCCTCCTCGTCGTCAGAATCCTCCAAGAGACCACCAGTCTGATCGTCGAATGAAATCATAGCATCGAGCTCCTTGGGGTAAGCCAACTTGCTGTCAACCTTCTCCCTTTGGTGCAAGATCCTCAACTCCTCATTGTGAGCCAGACGAAGCAATCCCTGATGATCCTGCATGGTAGGGTTATAAGACGCACCAGGGTGAGCCTCCTTGACAGCTGGCAAAGAAACCTTCTGCTTCTGCTTGAACGACCGTGGCGCCTTGGCCGTAACTTTTGTCACAATCTCGCCAACAAAGTCACCAATCATATCCTCATCCGAATCACCACTATCCTGTTCCTGTTCCTGCTCCTGCTTCTGCTCACCATCGCTTCCCCAGACATCAAACCGACCAGCAGCCTTGGTAGCATCTGTGGTTCCAGACCGACCGAGGGGCTTGTTAACGGGGGCGAACAAAGAGGTCGAAGTCCTGCGCTTGATCATGTCCAACAATCTTGCCTTCTCGGCCTTAGAGATCTTGGTATTGGCCTTGTGGGTGGCCGTGGCGGCGTTGATGGGGGCCGAGGTAGAGACGGCCTTGTGACGACCGCTGACGGCAGGGATCTTGGACCGCTCGGCCAGGATCTCGTCCATCTTGAGGGGACGGTTCTTGCGGAGCTCCTTTTGAACCTTGCCGTCTCCTGCTGTGTCCATCGTGAACAGCGCATCATCTGTCTTTTGGTGCACCTTTCCACTATTTGTTGGTTGGGATATTTAGTAGAGGTGAGTGCTTTTTCCCTCGGGTCCGAATTGATTGTCGTTTCTTTTATGTTACAAACAGGGCATGCGTGAGAGTGTGCCAGTCTCCTATTTACCCAGTGGTGCGCTCTTCGGCTCTGAGCTCATCGAGGGTCTGCTCGACGTCGGTGATGTCGACATTCTTGCGCCAGGCCTTCTTGCCCTTACGGGAGGAGGACTTCTTGCGGTTCAGTCCGTTTCCAGTAGGTGCGGGTTTCTCGACAACCGTTGACATTGTATATGTATGTGTGGATGTGTGAAGAGAAGGAAGGGAGGAAGGTAAAGGAGAGAGGAAAGGGGGGAAAGGGAGAGTGAGAAGGGAGAGAGTGATGAGTGTGTGAAGCTGTAAGGTTGGTTGATGTGGCCTACAGTTGAATGGGCCTGTTCACTGAGAAGGTGCACAAGAAAAAAAAAAAAAAAAAAAAAAAGCGTGCCTTGCGAGTGGCTTAGTATTCAATTCAATCAACAAATCCGACCGCTGCTGGTTCGTTCTCTCTTGGGACCTTTCTAAAAGCAGTCCCTTCTCGCTCGACCTTTCGAGCGCCCGTTGCCGTCGTACACGCCTATTAATACGCAGTTTGTGTTTCTCACACTCTTCCATCACTCTCTCCTTCCCCCTTCTTTCCATTCACATCAAAAAAAGAAAATGTTCTCCATTAAGACATCAAAAGGCCCAGTCTCATTCACACGCTTCGTCGGTCCCTTCATCAACGGCAAGTTCCAGCCCTCCCTCGCCGCAACACCCTCCAGGAAACCCCTCCTCAACCCCTGTACCGAGGAGCTTCTCGAGAACGTCGAAGAGGCCGGCCCTGAGGACGTTGATGCCGCCGTCAAGTCTGCACAGGCCGCCCTCAAGGGTCCCTGGAAGAGCTTTACAGGCCGCAAACGCCGTAACGTCCTCCTTGATATCGCCCAGGCTGTTGAGCGGAACATATGGAACTTGACGGTTCTTGAGGCGGCATGCGGTAAACCGTTGGAGGAGGCCAAGTTCGATATTGAGGAGGTGGTCGAGTGCTTCCGGTACTTTGCTGGACATGCTGATAAGCTCCATGGACAGAACTTTGCGACGGAGGATAATCACAAGTCTTATACGGTCCGCAAGCCTGTCGGTGTCTGTGGGTTGATTACTTCCTTCAATTACCCCCTCGTCCTCGCCGCCTGGAAGATCGCCCCTGCGCTCGCATGTGGTAACGCCATCATCCTAAAGCCAGCACCCCAAACACCTCTTTCGTCGCTGATGCTCGGTGAACTCATTGCGAAATACACTGACCTACCTCACGGTGTGTTCAATGTCCTGCCTGGAGGCGAGGCCGTTGGATCGGCGATCGTCAACCACAAGGACATTCACAAGTGCAGCTTCACAGGATCCGGTGGGGTCGGTCGCAAGGTCATGGCGGGCGCTGCTCAATCCAACCTCAAAAAGGTCACCCTCGAGCTTGGCGGCAAGAGTCCACTGATTGTCTTTGCCGATGCAGATCTCGACCAGGCTGTTGAGGATGTTTTTGGAGCCATCTTCTCCAACATGGGCCAGAACTGCTGTGCGGGGTCGCGTCTCTTCCTCGAGAAGGGGATTGAGACAGATTTCCTCAAGAAGCTGAAGGCACGCGTGGAGGAGGTTAAGATTGGCGACACTCTGGACGAAGCCTACAATTTTGGAACCATGGTCGATCGAGTCCAGTTTGAGCGGGTGTTGAACTTTATTGAGAGGGCTAAGAAGGACGGCGATTCGGAGCTGCTGGTCGGCGGTAAGCGTCATGGCGACAAGGGCTACTTTATCGAGCCGACCATCTTCCACAACGTCAAGGAGACGGCCATGATTGCGACCGAAGAGGTCTTTGGGCCCGTTCTGTCGGTCATGAAGCCCTTCTCCTCCCTCGAAGAAGTCTTGGAGAGGGCTAATGCTACCCCATATGGCTTGGCCTCAGGAGTGTGGACCAAGGACCTGACCAAAGCGGAGCACTGTGTCCAGGAACTGGAGGCGGGTGTGACTTGGATCAACTGCTATAACCTGTGCTCGAGTCACCTGCCCTTTGGCGGTGTCAAGGCCAGCGGCTTTGGCAAGGACCTTGGTGCTGAGGCCCTGGATGAATACACCACCATTAAAGCAGTAACCATCCGCGTCTGATTGATCCACTTTCCTCTTCTCTCCCTTTTGCTTTCTGCATTCTTTTGCATGGATAGACCATTTGCAAAATAAAAAGAACAATGTACATTATCTCCATCATCTTTCTTGAAAGGCCTTGTCATCATGCAATTACTCGGTGATTTTATGCGTTATGCTCTTGGTCAATGCGGAAATGATTCCTTTGCTTCGCAGAGAGTGAGAGAGGCAAGACATGTGCTTACTCTCGTCGATAGGCCCTCCTCACCCTCCCTAGACAAGTGCGGATCGACAATGACAATGACAAGAACAGCAAAACAACAACAAAGCAGCAAAAAGGGGCAAAGTGGGACAAAATTACAAATATGTTGGAGAGAGGGACGAGTCTTTGTGAAGAGCTGTCCATCCACGCGACAAAGCCAGCTGTGTCCGGTGGGATAAGAGAGTGAGTGGATGACACCACAACAACAAGACAACAAGGGTCAGATGAAGATGACTTGGTCGTCTGTGGTGTCTGCTGGTTGGTTCGATAGCGACAGCAGTAAAATGTAGTAGCCTGGACCATCCACCCATTTGTCTACCCCCAACAATAACAACCAAGGCTTAGTTCGATCGGGCTTATTGTTCCCGTTCCTTGTATGCATCAGTTCTTTCATGTAATTTCTCCTCTTTCCTTCTTTACCATCCCTATCTCTTTCCTTCCTTCCTTCCTTCCTTCTTTCCTTCTTCTTATTTCCTTCTGCGTTATCCGTTCTTCCTCTCTACCCTCGACAACTCAATAAAATAACCGTCCTTCCTACTTTCCAATCCTCACTCACATTCCCGCCTAGCGCCAACGACAATATCGGACTGACACACAGCAGGACCACCCAACCTCAACCTTTTCCCTTTTCCTCCATCCTTATCCACTATCTCCCTCACTCTACCTCCCTCACTCTCGCTCTCTCTCTCTCTCTCTCACACACACTCTCTCTCTCTCTCTCACTATCTCTCTCTCATTATCTCTCACTATCTCTCTCTCATTATCTCTCACTATCTCACTATCTCTGGCAGCTGTACCGCACCTTTCGACACACCCTGCCCTTTCCTCTACTACATCCTCCTTTCTTCGCTTTACTCCATCGGCATAACAGGAACTTCACATACTTATGTTCTTAACGTTTTCTCATATCCAAAAAGATGACAGTCTGGTAAATGAAAAAGCCTTTCTTTTCACATTTGGGCAAAATGCAAATCAGAAGAGGATAGATAGGAGCACAAAAAGGAGTGTTATTTGTTCCTGCCTGTCTGTGGTCCATGCATCAAAAGAACTCACAACAACAACAATCCCACCTTGCAACAAAACCAATACCCTTTTTTTTCACTCCAAACTAGGTCCCACTCCTCCCCTACGCAACAGGATGCTTCCTCGCCAGCGTCCTCCTCACCATCTCTGGTATCGCCGAAACCCACCCTCAAGCACTCGCACTAGCGACGTACCTGATCCAATTTGGATGGCTGCTGTTGCAGATCCAGGGGGTCATGCTTGTGTACATGTTTGGGAGCCAGGGTCAAGGAGGGTGGTTGTTTAGAGTCTGGTTGGTTTCTATGCAGGTTTTGGATGTTCATCGGAGGTTTTTGAGTGCCTATTTGGGTGCTGCTGCGTCTTTGACTGGGCTGAATGGAGAAGGATTGAATGGGACGAGTGTGTTTGGATCATTGGCAGCAGGAGGATCAGGATTGAGTTCGAGACACGGTGCGGATGGTGGTGGCGGTGCCACGTTTGGGGTATTGAGCCTTGAACAAGAATCGTCGTCGATGATTGGTCAACAGCATTCAGCAGGTGACGAAGCAATGCTTTTGCAGGGTGTCATAGCGTCTGTGTGGGGGTATTACACAGGGATGCTGTGCACCACTGGACCCGCTTCCATCTGCGACCTCATCGCCTCTTCCTCCTCTTCGTCTTCTGTGTCGGTGTTGGCGTTCTTATCGACCCTGGCACACGCAGCAACCACAGCCACAACAACGACAGCTACTGTTAAAGCAGCTTCGATGTCTCATTCACATGCTACCTATTCGACACCCTACACAGGATCTTCCAAAACATCGCCTTCTTCCTCTTCCCCATCCTCAACAGGGGGCATGAAGGAGATGGAGAACCTGGTGGTATTCGAAATCCTCGCAGGAGTAGGGGTCAGTGGGTTGATGTGTCTTGTCTGGGCGGCGATGGCGATACGTCGTGGTGGGCTCGTTGCGATTCCGGGCGTGCGTCGGACAAGGATACGGATGCAGCGATGGGGGAAGACTGTGAAGGGTTTGAGGGATGAGTGGTGGGTGGGGTTTGGCGGGTTGGAACGGAAGGTTGACGCGTTTGTTGAGCAGATGAAGTTCCGAGTTGAGTCTTAGTCCAGTCATTTGGTTCGTTGCCTCTTTGACAACAAGAACAAGAACAACAACAACAACAACAATACCAACAACAACAACAACAACAACAACAAAAAGGAAATAAAAGAGGTAAGGACGGTGTGGTCACCCTTCCTCCTTCACCGCTTTAAAAGAGATGAATGGATGGCTATTGCTCGTGTTCGACTCTGAGTAGCTCACCTGGACAATGGACAATGAACTGGGCTTTGACCATGGGTGCACCAACCACTTGGAACACAGTCACACGACGGCGGAGATAAAGATTTTTTTTTCTCCTTGCATCCTGTGCATCAAAAAGAGTCTGAGAGAAGGAGAGAAAAGGTCTGAGCTCATTTTCTTCTTCGCTTTCTTTGCTCATTTCTCTCATTCATCCGACCATTCATTTTTCTCACGACAGCAACAACCACCACCCACAACCCCACAACGCAACACCCACTCTCACTCTCAAAAGAAACACGAAACAAAAAAAAACACTCGCGCCCTAACATCCTTCACCCTTCCCTCCCCTATATCCCTCCTCTTTCTCCTCACAACCTAAAGTTATCCAGATGGACACTGCCGTCCTCAAGAGCTGGTTTGAGGTCGTCCGACGCACCGATCCCCTCATCTGGGCCTTGGCCATGGACTCACCATCCTCCTCCCAGGCAGAAAACAGCATCGACTCTCTCATCCTCTCTTCCTCCTCTCCTTGCCCCCCTTCCTCGCCTTCACTTTTCGCGTCCACCTCTGCACCCACCGCGTTAACCGGATCAGGATCGGATACAGCCGCAATGGACATAATAGCAGCGAAGACGAGGATGTTCTCGTCGCTCAGAAACAGCCACTGCAAATCCTTAGCGGTCTCACCACCCCAAAACGCGACTGACTGTTTGAAATGTCTTGTCCAGACAACCACATCCCATGACGAACTTCATTTGAAGCAGGACTCACACCAGCATCGCCTGTCACAGACGATGAAGAGAGGAGCCGCCAAAGCTCCAGCAGGATCCTTGGTAGTCGCGATGGCGATGGAGAATGTTCACAAGGACGAAGAAGGTAAATATAATCAACCTCTCCCTTCTTTCCTCCCCCACAATCCCACCCTCAATCTATACATTTCGGGGGTGAAAAAAAGTAGGGAGTGGATCAAAAGAGACGTCGTACCAAACAAACAAGCGAAAAGTGCATATTTGCGCCTGGTAAATTCTCACAGCAACGCACGAACATATTAGATCCGTTCCTGCTCTGAGACTTAATCCCTCTTGTGCTTGTTTTTTCCCCCTCGATCCATCTGAAGTAGCGATGATTTCCAGGAGAACTACGGGAGCAAGCAGCGAGCAGGAGAATACGCCAGCAGGATCCACCTCCAATACTGGTACCGCATCTGGATCGACGGGATCAGGACCAGGATCGCCGTCATCTTCATCGTCAAAGGCATCCGGATCCTCAACAAACGCCCACCAACGAAAGACTACCAACAACAACCATAATAACCACAGCGACAACACATACTACGCAACGACCTTCAACTGGATGTACTATGCTACAGAGCCAGTCGCCGCTTCTGCTGCTGCCAGTCCTTCCACCCGCTTTGGATCCAGAATCGAGGATCATGCAGGGACATCCTCTTCGACGACGTCTTCTTCAGGGAATGCATTAGGAGGAGGAGCGATTATTTCAACGTCGATGGCTACGGCTGCGACGGCTGCAGTTGCGAGTCATATAGCAAGAGAGCGCGAGGCTTTAGCAGCAGCATCTGCAACAGCGGCAGCCTTATCTTCTGGTGAGCTGCAGGGGTCTGAGTCTACCAACAACTCCGACACCCTCGCCAACACCAACAACAGCATAGACAGTACCATCACCAACAACGCCATCACCTCAGCCACAACCACAGCCACTACAACCACCACCACAGCCACTACAACCACAACCACCACAACCACAACCGCAACCACACCTTCAGCCGACAACGACAAGAATACCCAATCCTTCCCGGCCCGCCTCACAACCCTCTTCCCCCAAGCCTCCACAATAACCGTCGCATCCACCACTCAATTCCTCCACTCCATCCTCCTCTCCTCCACAGAAGCCACCACCGCATTCCTCTACAGGACCTTCTCCCCAACTTACCGAATCTGCACACTCTACAAAACCTCCTTCACGGACGGGTCACAACTCCGGGGGCTGACCAGGATGAAAGATTCGGTGATGAGGGCGGATGCGGTAGTGCTGGTGAAGAGCTCTGCGAAGCAGATGAAGGATGTTTGGGGGATGGTGATGGATGCTTATGGGGTTAAGGCGAAGATGACGAAGGAGAAGAAGCGACAGGAGGAGAGGGAGAAGGCTGTGAGGGAGACAAGGGAAATTGTTGAGGAAAGGATTCGGAGTAAGAAGATCGGCGAGGCGATAGTGGCAGCGACTGAAACGGCACCAACGACCACGGAAGTGGAAGTGGAAATGGAAGTGGACGTGGAGAGGAGGAAAAGTGTGGGCGATGACGGAGATGGTGGTGGCAGTTCTGAAGGCGGGATTGAAAGCATGGGCGAAGAGTAATAGAAGAACCCAAGGAATATCAACCCCGTATTCAAAAACTACTAGAATTAAAAAAACGTAGTATTTATTCATTTTTGGGCGAAAAAGTACAAAGTGAAAGCAAAAAAAGAAACAGCAAAAAAAAACGAGGGGGGGATTAAGAAGTGAAAGAGTTGAATCTCCTTTTCTCAAGATAAAAAAGAAAGACAGAGAGAAGGATGTTGTGCGTCATGCGTATGTCGTGCTTGTTGTTCGTGCTGCTCGTGCCTGCAGTTTGGAATGGTGTGAGATCTATCCACGTCCTCCTTCCTTCTCCTGCTGGAAAGAATTGATTTGTGTCGAGTTCGTCCTTCATCCTTCTTTCCTCATCGTGTTCAGAAATATACACCTCTTAGCAAAAGCACCCTAGCAGTTGGGCTGTAGAAAACCATTAGAACCATTTCTATAGAAGAGAAATCAAGAAAGGAACAGTCGATAATTAGTTCAAGACATCCTGGGGCTGAACAACAACTACAAAAACAAAACAAAAACAAAACAAAAACAAAAACAAAAAAAAAGACTTACATGGTGCTTGTGGTGCTTGTGTCCGTGGTGTCCTCCATATCCGCCATAGTGGTGCTTGTTATGCTTATAATGCTTATTGTGCTTAAAGTGCTTTCCATGGTGTCCGTGGTGTCCTCCATGTTGTCCATAGGGCATCACATGGGCAACGGGGGCGGCATGCATAAATCCACCACCACCATGATGACTGCCGTGGTGGGACTTGCCTACAAGGAGACCTCCAACAAGGGCTGCAGCGCCGACGGCCAATCCTCCGGCCGCAAGTCCGCCCATTGGCATGCCGTGGCTGGACGCGGCAGGTGGGTGATGAGCTCCATAGGCGGCTGCTGGTGGTGCGCCATAAGGAGAATGAGCTCCGGGGTATCCGGCTGCTGCTGGGGGAGGGTGCGCTCCATAGGGGCTGGGTGGGTAGGCAGGGTAAGGAGCATGTGCGCCATAGGGGTCGGCTCCATAAGGAGCACCGTGTGGTGGTGGTGCGCCGTAAGGAGAAGGGGCAGCGCCATAGGGAGAAGGTGCAGCGCCATAGGGGGAGGGAGCACCATAGGGAGAAGGAGCGCCATAAGGGGAGGGAGCGCCATAGGGAGAAGGAGCGGCTCCATAGGCACCGGGGGGCGGGGCAGCATGTCCATAGGGGTTATGAGGTGCAGCGCCAGGCATACCGGGCATACTAGGCATACCGGGGATATGAGGCATACCAGGGATATGGGGGAAGCCCCTGTCGGTTGTTGCAGGGGAAGCTGAGGTGGTGACGGGGACGGGGATGGCTGTAGGTAATGGTGTCGAGGTGGTTACGGGAGGGGTTGGTCCTGATGCTGCTGAGTATGGGGGAGGAGGGTTCCCTGCGGCGGGGTGTTCCCATTGCGTTTTGCCTGTTGCTGTGTCTAGTGTTTGTGAAGGGACAAGAAGACGGGGGTGTGAGTATCGAGAAAAAGCAGTACAGAAAAATGTAATCGACCACGAGTCATGTTGTTTGTCCTGCTCAGTGCCAAGAGACCAACAGCACTGCTTCGGAGGTAAAGTTATTTATACTGTCTTCATCCTTTCTTCAACTGTCCTGCTTCGCAAGACGACTTACAGACATAGAAGTTACGCTTGTGGGTGGAGTCGAACTGGGAGATCCTATCAACGAGAGAAAAGCAAATGAAGAAAAGGTTAGATATTATCTCGGTGTTAATAATACAAAGGCGTTTTGATTCCTGGGCAAAAAAACGTTGGGTGGCTGTCCTCGTTTTTTTTGTTCACAGGAGAAACGAGAGAAGGAAAAGTTGAGACACATACCATCCTTCGGGTAGGGGTGCTTCCATGTTTATGTATGTATGTGTGTGTGTAGAGAGAGGTGGGAGGGTGAAGTGTAGGGATGGGGGGCTGAGATGAGAAAAGGAGAGGAAGGGATGAGAAGATGAGATGAGATGGGAGAGAGGAAAGAAACGAAAAGGAGGGTGGTTGGTTTTGTACAGAAAGACAAAGAAGGACGCAGAAAAAGATAAAAGGATAAAAAAGAAAAGAAGGAAGGGAAACATCTTTTTATCTTGACCCCGAGCTCATTTTATTTAATTGTCTTTTGGAGTTTTACGGTATTGGCATTCTCGCCGTGTAGGGCTGTGTCCCCTCACAGGATGATTGGTTGGTCGACTGTGCACTCATCCAAGGACAAGTGCCACTAACAGGAGATTGAACACAGTCCAGACTCTCTCCATTGCGGGCATTGTTATTTTATTGTTGACACCGCTTGGCACGTATGCAAACGTCGATTCGCTTCGTTGATTGGACTACAGCACATATCTGCCCCGGGGCTGAGATCCGACAGCAACGTGAGTTCACGCTTCAAACATCATATCTATCCTTTGCTTCGTTGCGCCCTATTTCTGTTCTTTCTGTAGAGAACATTTATGAAAAAGAAAAAAAAAAAAAGAAAAAAAGAGCGTGTGCAAGGCTATATGTATCCCTTGCCCTGGGGTTCCATGTTTCTTGTTTTTCACGCTTCTTCCATAGGTGGGCTTTCTTCCATAGTCAATCAATCAACCAAGCGTGTCCAAGCATGATTGCGTCTACGAAGCATAGGCAGGTGAGATACCCGTATCCCCACGCCCATTTCATCCTTCATATCCCATTCGCTGGCAATTGGGTCTAATGACATTGATCGATAATTGCAAAAAGGAATGACATGAGAGCCTTCGTTTGGCATACTGGCCCCTGTCCACATCCTGTTTCTCTTGCTCCTTATTGTTGTTGTCTGTGTGTTTCTTTCTTGCTCCTGGTCTCGCTTTCACACTCCCTCACTCCAACCCCCTGCTTTTTTCTTCCCTTTTTTTTTTTTTTTTACTTTTTACTGCCTTCTCGTCTCTCTTTGTCTTTCTTTTATTCTCCTATCTGCTCTCTTCCTTTGCTTTTCTGTCATTCAAGCAATCTCTCTCTCTCTCTCTCTCCCCTCCTTTGTCGCAGTTCTCTTCATCTCCCTTTACCCTGTGCAATCACTCGTGCAATCAGCCTGACAAAGAAAGCGGTTAAGGCTGAGAGCAATAGTTTGAAACCCACACTCCTTCCCCTCCCCTGGACCCATTCGTCTTCTTTTTTCTTTTTCTTTGAAGACCCCCTGTCTTCCCTCTAACTCCTCCTTTGTTTCTTGCATTCCATTACTTTCATCACCAACCTACATCCGGCACCTCCTCTCAGGCACACAAGGACCTAAGACCCACTTTTTTTGTGCCAGTGATAAAATACAACGAAACATATAAAGACGCTGATAAAACCTGTCAAGACGAAACTGGGCCAATAAATGTCCTCCTCACCAGTCTATCCGTCTCACCCTGACGGCGGGCCAGAAGGCGCATCTTCTTATTCACAACAGCAGGAACAACAGTCCTCTTCATCCACTCGCTCGCCCCCCGCGCAACCGCAAGTGACCTTTCCTACGCCCCCACCGAACCAACAACAGTACCTGCAACCGCGATTCCAGGTGGTGTCCGAGTACAACTTGGCAACCAGTGATCAAGGAAGTCAAGTCGACCCGAGCAGCAGTACTCATCTCCAGTACCTACCAGTACCACAACCCCAACACCATCAGCAGCAACAACAGCAACACCACCATGACCAACACCTCGAGAACTATGCACATCAACACTACCACTCGACAGAAGACGAAGGAGACCAACTCCACACCCTAACTGACACACCCCATCACACCACCGATACCACACCACACAACGATAATGCCCCTGCGAAAACCAACACAACCTCGATCGTCGGGACAACATCCCCAGCGGTAGAGTACACAAACGTAAAACTCTTCAGGAGGCGCGTCATGAGAATGGCGACCGTGCCTAGGCTGCGACTGCTCTGGGGTCTATTGGCGCTTTTTGGGACCATGGCCTGGCTCTCTATGATGCCCGCTTATGCATTCCGGTAACAACAGGGTCTTAAAGGACCCCTGGCGTTTTTTTTTTGGTTCGACGTATGACACAACTCACCATCTCCTTGACAAGGGCCAAGTTACTAACGCGACTCCTTTTTGTTCGCTTGACCGTTGGCTCTTCTTTACCCTTTTTTTCTCGTCTTTGTCTTTGTCATGGATACGTCTGTTTGGGTGTTTGGTGCTCCAGGAACAAGCTTGAGCCCGCTCCCCCTGCAAATGCGACACACACCTTCTGTAAGAGTCAAAAGCGTGTTATTGCATTCACACGTCATTTTCATTTTCCTTGTTTTCTTTCTTCCCGACGGCGTAGGGCCCGTGAACACGTTTTTGCTGTCTGTTCGTATTTATTTACTCATATCATATATTTTTTCGGTCCACAAAATAGTCCTGGTGGCGACAGTAGCAACAACCATCGCAGCACTGTGGCAATCCCTCTGTCCGTTCCTGATCCGTCAATCCCAACGACAACTCCTCCCACGAATCATCAACCACCCCATCACCCAATCCACCACAATCGCCATATCCGTCATCCTGACAGTTCTCAACTTTTTCAGCTGGATCGTCCTTGCTTCCAACAAGTCAGGAGGCGCCAAAATTAACTGTAAAGAGTCGCCCTACCCAGTAAGCCAGAGTGGTGGATATACGGCACAATGTCGTGGTGTCAATACGGCGATTGTCCTGGACGTGGTTGTCTTTTTGTTGTGGATCCCGATTGCAGCGGTGATTGTCTGTGGAACGATCGAGAGGGGCCTTTGGTGGTGGGGCGAGGATGATGGGTGGGCACAGCAGCCACAGCAGGGAAGTCTCGTGAAGGGTGGTGTGAACATGATGTCGGAGGAAGAGTTTGACCTAAAGATTGGACTCGGTAACGGCAACAAGGCTCGCGGTGGTAATAGGTCCCACAGTCGGTTGTCGTACTATGCGGATGAGGAGGAGGAAGCCATGGAGTCTCGGCCGGCGTTTGTCACTCCGATTGCGTCACAATTCAGGGCTTCTATGGACGATGAAGCAGGAGTTCAGGATGACCTTGGTCAAGCGTCGCCTTCCAGTTACCGACAGCATCATCAACGCCGCCAACAGCAACAACAGCAGCATCAGGTATCCCCACAACAGGATCAGGAACAAGTGGTGGTGATACCACGAGGAAATTCAGCAGCAGGAGCTGGAGGAAGTGGTCTTGTCCGCAAGAGTTCGACAAACTCTGTCGCACCCTCTATCTCGGCACGTCTGTCAACCTTCTTTGGTCAGGGCTGGAACAACGGACCTATGCCTCCACCTACAGCGCCCGTGGCTCCTGCACCGGCATCTCCCGTTCCTGCTCACCATCGTCCTGTTCGCATCAAGATGACGAAGCCTGAGGGAGAGGAGGAGGAAGAGGATAATGGTGGCAATGGTGGGGATAAGGCGTCGTTGCACGGCGACTCGTATACGACTCAATGGCACAACCGCCGCTACGACGAGTGGTCTTGAACGCGCTTGGTGACATACCTTTTTATCATATATTTTTGTTTCTTGCCCTTTGGATGCCAGATAATGAGGAGAAGGAAAAAGGACGAAGAAAGGAAGTGAGAATGAAAAAAAAAAAAAAAAAAAAAAAAAATACAACTTTTCCGAAAACCAAAACCTAGGTTTAGTTTTTACACATGCACATATCATTTCAAAAATAATATCCATATACCATCCCCGTCTATTTTCATCCCATTGAGCGGCCATGTGTTAACATGCCAACGAAGTGAGCCAGTGCCATGACCTGCACCACTTTCCTTCCGTACAATGCATGCAATGCATGTACTGTAGAAACTAAAAGAAGGACGTAGAAAAAGAGATCGAAGATGGACCACGTTTGCAGAACAAGGATTTGGCTTCGCATCCATCTCGAAGTCATTGTCGTATGTCTCCGAATAATTGTGGACAAAAAATAGAAATACGATTTCATGTCTAATGAGGCGAGTTGAGCGACCAAATAATCTTTGTTTGAGAGCTGGGGGGCTACCTTTCTACTTCTTCGGAAGGATCTGCATTCCTGTTTTGTACGGTCTGGGACATAACGAAGACATGATAGCGGCCGGCTCACCTCAAACATCGGGCGCCGAGATACGTACTGTACTCTCACTGCGTTTGCACATCTTTCTGTTGCACAAGAACTCCGTTCACTATATTCATTTTTAGGGTTGAAGGACAGGAGGCAGCTCTCTCTAATTGATGGACAGCTCTGATCTCTAATTGAAGGCTCCGGTCTCCAGCTCTAATCTTTTTTTTTTTTTTTTTTTTTTTTTTTTTTCGAGTTTATCCAAATGCCATCATCCTTCTCTATCTTCCCAGCTGCAGACTATAACAATGGCAAAAAAAAAAAAAAAAAAAAAAAAGAAGAGAGCAAGCTAAGGAAACATGAACTATGGCGTTATTTTTGTGACCCGACCTGCCTGCCTACTCTCTTAGTCTTTTTTGCTAACAAGCCCCTGAGGTTTGTGCGACTAATCGTAATAGAAATTTTGTGGCCAATTGGACAAATAATGGTGGGGGGAATCAAGATCAAGGTGCACCATCGCCCACGATGAACAACTTATGCTTTATGGTTTTTTCATCAATCGATAGCGGATGCCACCTTCGGCAATCGATGAGAATGAAGTCGGAATTATTCAACGCCAGACTTGTGAACCCCCATCTTGGGCATGCAGCTTGGTTTGTAGGCCGCTCGATGAGAAGTATTGCAATCTAATTAGATGGATGTGCTCAGAATGCTGGTTTCTATATTTTTGATGGTTAGGAAGGTATATGAGGAACCCGGTGAGCGGGTACTGAGATACCGTTTGCTGCACCTCCCTCCTCGCCCTTGTCTGTATCATCAGTAACGCGTGCGAAGAACGAAAGTACAGATCACTCGGGGGAGCTGGAAGAATGATCTTGCTATCTCCCTTCTCCTTGATGGCGTACAGCAAACCAGGTGTGTCGATTCAATCCACGACCAGCCCAGGCCATTTTTTTTTTTTTTTTGTTATTGTTACTTCAGTTGGCCCTTTTGTAGACGACCCCTTTTACATTGACTGGACCCCTCCTCTTCCCCTGGACACATTTTTTTCATTCAAAATTGGGTTCATTCAAAAGCGAGAGGTGGGCTCTGTTGAACAAGGTTCAATGTCAAGCACCCTTGTCCTATTTCCCGCTTCACAAAAACGGTTAATAGCCTTGGATGCGCTTTGCAACACTAATTAATAAATGAGCATTTATGTCGGATTTATGTCGGACAAAGAGAGAGGGTAGATATCTCATAACAGAACAAAGAGGAACTCAAACTCAAATGGCCTGTCCTTTCGTTTCTCTGTCAAGTCATCACTTCTTTTTCTTTTCTTCCTTTCCTTCTCTTCTTTCTTTTCTATTTCTTTTACACCTTCCTTCCTTCCTCACTTCCTTTTACATCCTCCTCCTCTTCACATTCCTCCTTTTCACACTCCCTCCCCACTCTTCTCTCTCTCTTACACAAGCACAAACAAAAATACCCCTGCTTACTTCCTCCTTTTCTTCGACAAGCAATCTATATTACACAAACACAGAAGGGGTCCAGGTCCGTCTTCCTCTCAAACACCCTCGTTTATCCTCACTCGCTTGCACAAACAATCTTCTGCCTCCACCGCCAATTATCCGTCCATCGCCCTCCTCCAATATCACTCTCACCTACTTTTTACTCTCGTCTCTCTCTCTCACTCCTCTCGTCAACATCAACAGGACTGCAACTCTTCCTCCTCTTTTTCGACAACCACAACACCCCTGTCTCCCCTCTCCTTCCATCCTCCTTCCATCCTTATTTCCTCCTCTTCCTCTCGAAAAGAAACGAATCAAACCATCCAAGTAGTTTAACACTTGCAATCTCAACTTATCAACCCAATCCGTCCCTATCTAACAATAGACAAAATAATCGGAGCATTCAAGAGGCAAAGCAGCAAGCAAACAGTAGACTGAAAATAACAATAACGGCAGAACCACATCAACAACACACTAAGCACGAAACCAGTCAACCAGCCAGGGAAAAAAAAGTAGAGAAAAAAACACAACCATGATGATACAGCAACAGCGCCGCCCAACAACATCAACAAGGGCCAGTGAAAAATCGACGTTGAAAAAATCGCTTCTCACCTGCTTCATCGTCCTCTCAACCTTGGCCGCAACAGCAACCGCCGAGGTCTCATTCACTTCCCCACCCGCCAACTCGAGCTTCCTCCCGAACGACTCTCTTGCGCTGACATGGACCCAAAGACTGTCGACGAACGCCTCGGTTCCAACCAACACCGCGCCGTTTGACATTACCCTCCGTGCCTTTACTGGACAGAGATATTCTATCCAGACCGGTGTTGCCCAGACCTTGTTAACTCTTCAGGTCAAGATCCCTGCTGGTGTCACTGGTGGACTCGTAAGTTTGTCCTTTTTTGTTGTCCTTTTACTTCATTCTTTGCTTTTGTTACTGTTGGTTGGATGGTCGTGAAAATGTAATTTCGATCGGATTCAGGAACAATTGTCCATCTCAAACCTAACGCCTTCTCTTTTACTCCTGCTTCACCTTTTTTTTTTTTGTTTAACTTCATCCATTTACGACATCAACAGCACAGCTTCTATGCGGAGTACAACGATGTCGTCGTCGGCCAAAAGAACACCGATAGCACCCGTCAATTTAACATCCCCCTCCCCATCGTCACCACACCTGCCACAACCCGCCCTACCAACACTCCTACAGAGTCGAGTGGCGGTCTGTCGGCCGGTATGCTCGGTGGTATTATTGGAGGTGTGATTGCCATCCTGCTGGCGGTTGCGATGTGCTTTGTGTGCCGCCATCGGCGTCGTGTGGCGGAGGACCGCAAGGATAATACTTCGCGGTCGATGGATGGGAAGGGTGGGCATTCGAAGGAGGGAGGCGGAACACATCAGGATAAAGAGTCCCTGACAAAGTCTGCGGGTTCTGCAGGCGGGATCCCTGATATGAGGAGTGAAGGTCAAGAGGCTGTGCCTTTGAAGTTGAACCGTCCTATTGATGGTAGCCCTCGTTCCCAGCATCAGAACCAGAACCAACAGCAGTACCAGAACCAGCATCAGCAGAACCATAACCAGCAGCGTCCTACAAGCCCTACCGCGACTCGTAACCCATTCGAAGCTCCCGAGATGATGATCCACCCCGATTCTCCCAACGGAGCATCATCCCCTCGCCAACACAACAACCAGAACCATCAATACCAACCTCCTCAGCTGCCTCCTCCCCAGCAGTCGCCTTTTGGCACCCCTCCTCAGCAGTACAGCGGCATGCCCCCCAATCCCCTGATGGGTGGTCAACAGCCAGGAGGACCAGGACAACGGAATCAGAGTCCTTACCATCAGAATAACCGCGACTCGTTCGAGTCTGAACTCGAGTCGGCCTATGACCCCCACCCTCGTATGATGAACCCACCTGGCAACCGCAACAATGGTCCTTCGCCCATGAACAATGGCGGTGCCTCTCCTCTTGGGTACTCGTCCTCGACGGGTTCTTCGCGCTACCCTCGCGACATGCCCGGCAGCCCTCTGAACCAGCAAGCTCAGCAGGACCGCGAGATCTTGGCCGTCGCAGCTGCTGTTGCCGCTGCCGCCTCTCCCGTCCCTGCCCACCGCCAAGTCCAGAACCAGCAGAACCAGCAGCAGCAAAAGCCGGGCGCTTCGCCGAGAATGAAAGAGATTGAGATGCAGCAGTTTGATGTCCAACAGCACCACCAGGAGCAGCAACAAAAGATGCTTCAACGCCAGCAGCAGCAGCAGCAGCAACAGAGAAGCGCTCAATCGACACCAACTCCTTTGCCTGCAGCTCAAAAGTCAATGAACCCTACACAGTTTGATGACAAGACCGAGTTCTCGGAATCGGACTCTGAAGACGATGAGCAGGACCAGAATCCGTTCCAGAAACCCCAGAACCAGCAGTACCCTCAGCCGGATGTGAAGCCACCACCACCAGCACCGGCACCTGTCGTCGCCGCACCCTTCACTCCCGCCCCCACAGCTGCCGCTCTCGTCCTCCCCCCCGCACCTCCTCCACCTGCCGCCCCTGTCGTCGAGGACGGCCCCGTGTACAACGGATACCGCGACACCATCTTTGGAGCCTACGCCAACAACCACGACGACGACGACGACGAAGACGAGGACAACTTCTTGAACAACCCCGTCCCTGCCCTGCCCCCAGTCTCGGCCGTCATCGCCAGCCCTCCCTTCACTGCAACAGCCTCGACAACCTACCAGCCCCCACCAGGAGGCGCCGAGATTGTGCGCAAGAAGTCTGTCAAGTTCACGGGAGTCCCCAAGTCTGGACCCATTTTCTTGCCCAACCATGAGGCTGCTAAGGAGCATCAGCAACAGCGTCAACAGATTAAGCAGCAGCAGAACCAGAACCAGCAGGGTCATTACAACCAGGACGAGGAGGATAGCGACGAGTTTTACTCACAGGACGATGATGAGATCCGCGCTAGAATGCTCGAAACTGCCGAGAGTGTTGGTTCCCCATCTACTTCGAGCGCATCCGCGTCCTTCAGCAGGCCAACTGTCAACACCGCCAACGGCACCACCCCCGCCAACGGTAACGGAAACAACAACGTCCTCTCACCCATCCGCTCACCCGACCAACCTCAACAGCACCAGCAGTACTCCAATAACCCCTACCAACTTGGAGAATTCGAGGACAGTACTGACGATGAGGACTACATGGACGACCCCTACGGCGGCTACACCGACTCCATGTCACCTCCCCAAGCACCTTACGCCCAGCAGGGTAATTCAGCAGTTGAAGAATCCCCTCGCCTCAACGCCGTCGTCTCCCCAACCAGCGACGACGACTTTTTCGGAGACGTCCTCGCCGCCGTCCAGAAGACCTCCGTCCCCGCACCTCCCACATCCTCCTCCTCCACCACAACCCCCCAATCCCAGTTTAACCCCGACTCCTTTGTGAAACCAAAGATGCCCGCCGTGCCTTCTCAGGAACCAGTTGCTCACGTCGCACAATACAGCACCATCCAGCAACAGCACATCCCCGCAGCGCAGCCCCAACATCTTGCCCAAGAAGTCTTTGGCGCCCCCTCTCCCCGTATGAAGCCCGCAGCTTTGCCAACGACCACCCAGCAGTACCAGCAGCAGCACGGATACCCTGCCCCACCTCCTCCCGCGCCTCCTGCGAGGGCAAAGGGCCATTCTCCTGTGACGCAGAAGGCTGTTAACAACAACGAGGATGAATCCTACTACTAAAGTTTGGAAAAAAAAACACAAAAAAAAAAAAAAAAAAAAAAAGTACAACAACTCATAGAATGCATAATAAAACCAAAACTCATTGTACAACAAACACACACACCCCCTTGAAAAACATCCATTCTAAATATTTCATTTCAAAAATGCGGGGGTCCCAAGAAAAACATATCTCTATTTTTTGCTAAAAGGTACGACACTCTTGAACCTCGACCTCCAGAGGGAAAGCACGACTCTCAGACCCCTTCTGGGCACCAAACGCTCTCAACAGCGACTTTTCATCCAGGCACAATCCTTCCTCTTCCTCTTCCTCCAAATTGCTATCGTCTTCGGTTTCCACGTTCCCTTTCCTTCCAGATCCAGAAGCAGCGGCGGCAGCCAGCATATCCCAGGGCGACATCGCCGTGCCCGAGGAGGAGGAGGAGGAAGAGGACGAGTCTGTCGCGAAAGGAGGATGCGGCTTGCTGGTGACCAAGATCCCGATGTGGAGATAGTGCAAGTCTGTCATTTGCTCTACTGCATGAACGAGTCCTCTTGCGGAAAGATACCTGGAATTAGGATCAGGAGCTGCAGATGGTGATGGTGATGATGAAGATGTTGAGGGTTGCGCCGCCCGTGACGAAGAAGCAGAGGCCGACTGGTGTTGTTGAGTGTGTTGTGGTTGATTTCCAGAAATGTGCGACCGGGTCCGAGAAGATACAGGTGTCGGAGGACTGGTGATGTCCTGCTGCATTGGCATCGCCGCCAACAGATAATCCGGCAACCTCGAAGCAGTCGACTTCATTACCACCTCCCCTTCCTCTTCCTCATCCTCCCCATCCTCACCACCCTCCAAACGCGTCTTACAATGCGAAAGCGTCAACCTCCTCAGTCTCGGTAATACCGCCGCCATCCTCTCCAAATCCGCATCAGTCACAAACCAAGGCCCTACCAACTCCAACTCACACACCGTTCCACTCACCGAATCCAACATCTCCGGAACCCTCGTCAAAGCAGGTTCGATATCAGACTTGTAAGTGTCCAGTTTGAGCCGTTGGAGGAAAGGAGCTTGGGCGAGGGATCGCATGTCGAAGGAGACAGATGCGATTTCCCCCTTGAGGTCTAGATGGACGAGGCGGGTCATCATCGCCGACCAGTAAAGATGAGGTGTTGCTGGGCTTGGTGTCGATCCGTGTCCGTGACTGTGGTGTTCGTGCTCGTGTCCACCATGCTCGACCAGACCGGATCCTTGTCCTGGAGTGGGACGAGTCTCGGTAGTAGCACAAGGAGGCTGCTTCCAAGAGCTGGCTGCTAGAACCTCGAGTCGATCACAGAACGCCGTCGTCGCGCCAAGGAGTCCCCACAACACTGCGGGTGTTTCTCCTGCAAGACTCAGCTTTCGCAACCCTCCTTCGTCCCCGTTGTTGCTCCTGTTGCTCTGATCAACCCAGCTCATTCCTGTCGGGCTCCCGCCTCGTGTCGTCAAATAGGGTTCTTCGTCGTCATCGTCGTCGTCATCGTCATCGTCATCGTCGTCGTCATCGCCGGTGGAGTCATCAATGCCGTCCTCGCCACTACTAGGACTCCTCCCCTCCTCCCTATCAATCTTGCACACAAAATCCCTTTGCTGCTGCTCCCTCTCCTCCTCCTCCCCACCAGCGTCACGACTTGCCTGCAAGAGCGCAGCACTCTCCCTCCTTCGCCTCCTCTCGACAGCCCACCGAAACAGTCCCCCATGCCCAGGCCCAATACAAATCTGCAAATCCCTCAACTTCCTGGCCCTCTTCAACCACCCCTCCACAACCTTGGGACCCGTACTTTCAACAACCATCCGATCCAATCTCAAATGTAACAGCTCCACCGCTTCGGTGGGAATCTGGTCCAGATCCATGACGGCCCCACGCCAGTCTGTCAGGTCAATGATCTTGAGGGTTGAGGAAAGGTGTTGGAGGATGGTGTAGAGGCCTCGTTTGGCGATTTGGCCATAGTCGCTGGGGCCTCCGATCTTGATCTCTGTCAGTAGCATCGTTCCTGCTCCTGTGCCTGCTCCTTTCCCTGTTCCAGAGACAGAGGGGGATGACGGGGGTCTGCGCAAGGAATCTAGAAAGGCGAGCACATCCTCGACCGAGAACTCTTGTCGGATATCATAAAACTCTACCCTCCTCAACCGCCTCAACCCCACCCCACTCCTTCCATTCATTACCAGTACCCCTGCTCCCGAGGACTCCTTCTCAGCAACCGCAGCAGCAACCGCCTCCTGAACAGCCTTGACTCTCGTAATTGGAACCGCAAGCGACACAATCCCCTCTGGCCGATGCATCAACAGCGCCCGCTCGACCGTCGCTCGGATTCGGATCATGTCCTTTGAAGACGACCACTGGTCCATATGATAACAGATCAACGACGGGAATAGTGTTGGTAAGGCATCCGAGATCGAGGTGTGATTGTGGTGTGTGTAATAGTTCAAATAGTCAACTGTCAGGAACCGCACAGACTCTTGTCCTCTTTCCTTCTTCTTCTTCCCGTCGTCCTGTCGTCTCGTTCCGTCCGATCCTGTCGAATTCGACTCCTGACTCATGGTACTGCTACTCCTACCATCACGACGACCAAGCAACGCCAAAACCTGCCCCTCCTCCAATGCAGGGTTCCACAACACAGGAAACTCCTCTGCAAACGGCGGCAACTCCTGCCTAACCCACGGCAAATGATGTACAGAACTCAGCAGCAACCAAAGCAGCTTCACCTGTCGCTTAAATTTCTCATAGGGCAACCTGTCCCGATCCGAGGCCTTGATGAGCAAGAAGGGGGATTGGTAGAGGAGCGGGATGGTGAGGTGGAAGAAGGTCCTGTTGACGAGGAGGAGGGCGTGGAGGAGGGTCAAGTCTGACCGGTGGTAGGCTAAGATGTGTTCGAGACATTCTGGCGGGAGGGAGGAGAGTGACGCTGTTGGTGGAGTGGTTGCTTGTAGTTGTTGAAGTGATGGCGAGAGTGTTGTTGTGTCTGGGAGTGCTGGTGGTGGTGGTGGTGTTGAGGGAGTCATGGTGGAATGAGTAAAGGAAAAAGTAAAAGAAGAGAGGAGAAGAAGTAGAAGTGGGCGCACCTTTTGTACGTCTTGTCTTTCTCTGACGCGATGATTCGTCGCACTAAAAAAGGGAGATCCCAGCTAGCCATGTTAAAGTGAAGAAACAGTCCCTAAAGATGGAGGAGCACTGTACGACCGTTATGCATCATGAAGCTAGAAAATGGACCAATTGCAGCAGGAGACAATTGAAAGAGGGCGAGACGGAACTACTTTCTCCACTTCTTACTACCATGTCAAAAGTACAATACAATGCAAATATCACCGAACGGGGACAAAAAAAACAAAACAAGAGCAAAGTAGACAGTGATCGGTTTGTTGTCGATGCTATTATATGGACACAAAAAAAGATGGAGTGCCAGGAGGAAGATGAGCGATGGGACAAGGGGTATCTCGCTATATTATCTTATATATTTTGTTTTTTTCAGTTCAAGCGTTCTCGCCACTATCCCATCTCTCGCTCCTGCTGGCCTCATTGCGTCAACGTCCATGTATTGTGCTCTGATCCCACAGAGGGCTATGGTGACCAGGCGCCGGCGCTTTTGGATCTAGTGGTGTTAGTCGTAGCTGCTGAGGCCGTCCGTGATGGCGGCGTCGAGGGTGTCGATCCAATCATACCAGCCACGGGCGTCTTGGAGCTCCTTTTCCGGAAGAATCCAAACATGTTCTCCTTCTTCTTCTTTTGCTCGTTCTCGCGGTACTGTCCCTCAGCCTGCTCCTCGAAAAAAGACGGTTCATAGACGGCAAGATAGCCCTTGATTCGCTGCACATATCCATCGACCGCAATTCCGTTCCCGAAACTCTCCAGGAAGGGCTTGTGGCAGTAGGGCTCCGTGTTGGCGTCGAGGGTCATCAGCGTGTTCCAAAACTCCTGTGCTCCTCCTGAAGGGTAAGGAAATCGGACATAGTCCATTGCAAATACCGTCAGTGGTGGCTTCTCCAACTTGAACCCCTCCTGGATTTCACGCGCCCACGCCATTAACGACAGTCGAAACTCTGGATTTGCTGGCAGGATCTCTGGGGTGGCGTGTGTAAAGACGATAATCAACTTTGGCCAGAATGCAGGCGTCAACAATCTTTGGAAAGTCTGCAATGTCGACTCGAACGTGCTGTCATATCTATTTCATTGTTTCCAAAGTAGATCAATTTCTAGTTTTATGTTAGTGCGAGGCCTGAACATTCGGGAAACAAAATAAGAGACGCCGTTCTTTCTTGCTTGTTGCTTGTTTGCTCTCAAGTCCAAATAGTTTCTTCTTTTTCTGTGTGCGTGCGCATTATGCTCTCTGCATACCTGTAACGTGTGCACTTGACAACAAAGAGAAAAGCATCAACGCCGGCTGCGACCTTGGTCAAGAGCTCTCCGAGCTCCTTGACGCGTGCGGTGTCGTGTAGCTGTCCATTGAACGAGGGTGTATCGATGCAGTGCATCACAGGGTTGGTTGGGATGTTGAGAAAGTGGTTTGTCGCCTGGTTGACCTTTGTTGTCACCTCCTAAAAACAAGTTGAAAATGTAAAGCACGACAACACAGGAAATAACAATTGATGTTGTGGTGGATTAATTGTTCGTTAGCCAAAGATGCACAATGATGGCAGTAAATGAACCATTCCCTTCTCAGCCTTTGCATGTCCTCGCACACACGGAAGAAAAAGAGTTGATGTCCATCCAGAAATAAAAAGTAAGAAGGCTGTATCCTGAACTGGTCGCTTGACTTGCACTGTCAGGTGTACGTTTCCTGTTTCCTGTTCTCTGGATAATTCAAACCCGCTCCAGTATTCTTTCCTGTTTCTTCTTTCGTGGCTCTGTCGACTTACGCTCACGGATGCCTTGGTGAGAAACATTTCCTTGCCAAGGATCGAGTTCAGGAGCGTGCTCTTGCCTATCCAACAAAGTTTACAACGTTAAAAAGGAAAGGAAGGAGAAGCATATTATGAGTGAGTAACAGAACAAGTGTCCAGTGTTTCCAAGAATACGTCTTTTGTAAGAAGGTGGATGGTGGCATCGCCTCTTTTGTTTTTAATCACTTTCGCCCCTCCTTGCTGTTTAAAGTACCTTCGCCACTGCGGCCAAGAGCGACGACGGTGAACTCGCGGGAGGAGGGCCTGACCTCGGCCTTTTGTTGCTGCTGCTGGAGACGCTGTTGTTGGTCCTGTTGCTGTTGCTGTTGCTGCAGTTGCAGCATGTATTGCTGGTACTGGTAGTCCTGCTGGTCCATTGGGGTTGACCTCTGGTTGTTCTTTTGTTTGAGGATGGAGATGGGGCTGTGTCAGTCTCCGGTCCGTTATATTTTCCTTGGGGAGGAGAGTAGTGAGTGTCCTGATTGTGAATGAGAATCGAGCAGACTAGTGGGTGTTGTTGGTGGTGGTGGCAGCGACGAGACAATGACTGGTGAGGGGGTTTGTTGTTGTTTGTTGCAGGTATGAAAGGGGAATAGGAAGAGAAAGAGAGAGAGAGAGAGAGAGAGAGAGAGAGAGAGAGAGAGAGAGAGAGAGAGCAAACAGTCGAGGGATAAAAATAAAGAAAAATGAACGGTGTCTGCTGCCTCCTCAAACTCCAAAAGGGCGCAGGCTGGTCTTGCCTTTCACTGTTTGACCCTTCCTCCCTTCCCTTGACACAGACCGACCAACAGTCACGCCGCCAACATGCCTCTCACATCCCAACGCCTCCACTTCGCCCTCTCTCCTTAGTCTCTCTTGCTTTCCCTCCCTTCTCCACCCTCTCACCCCTCTAATCTCTCATACCCTTTCCTCATTCATTCACTCACACCCTTCCTCATTCCGACATCTAAAACGAATGTCAAGGTTCAGCATAAGTCCCATAAAGGTCGGGGACCTCTCATTCCTCATCCTCGACTGTCCTTCCGACAAGTCCCTCCCCGCCTACATCCCCATATTCGAAGAACACAACGTAACCGACCTAGTCCGTATCTGCGAAGGGTCCCCCTACGATACCCAACCCTTGACCTCCATCGGCATCGTCGTGCATGATGATATGTAATTACCTGTCTCTATTCTCGCGTAGTTGTATCCCAATTAAAGAAGGAAGACAAACAGCAATTGACAACTTTCTTTTTATCTCGTTCCAACCATGTAGGAAGTTCGAGGATGGAACGGCGCCGAAAAAAGATATTGTCGCCCGCTGGCTAGAACTCAATGACGAGGTCTTTTACGAGTCCCCCACGCCCGATCGTTGTATAGCCGTCCATTGCGTCTCTGGAATCGGACGAGCGCCGGTAATAGTTGCTCATTCCTCCCCTTCTTTTTTTTCAATCCATGCTGTTACCTTTCACTACCAACCTCTTTACTATGTCATTGTCGCCGTCAACGACGATCGACATCAAAGAAAACGTTCCAATAGGCATGATTACTAACGACAGCATCTCTTTGTTTTCCTGCTGCCTGCGTCTTTGTCTTCCATGTGGTTTTTTTAGGTCCTCGTGGCGGTTTCGTTGGTCGAAGCTGGCATGGATCCTTTGGTATGAAGTCATCTTCCCCCACTCGTCTCATTTTATTTTCCTTCTGCAGTGTTTCTCTCTGACGCAGCCATTCTGTCGACTTCGTCTACGTTCGGACAATTCACCGGGATCATCAGGACTCCCACTCTTTTTTCTCGTACTCCTCGTCGTCATATCATCACAAACATGCCACTCATCCGATAATCCCTCATTTCCCTTTTTCCATCGAATGAATGATAGGATGCAATTGCTTATATCCGCAAGGCAAGACGAGGCGCATTAAACCGCGTCCAGATCGCCTTCTTGGACAGGTAAACAAACCAACATGCCTTTGTGCTAATGAAACACGCGAATGAAACATCATCCTCACACCTCTTTTCGTGTTGCTATTCACCTCTTACTTGATGCATAGCTACAAGAAGAGGAAAAAGGGCTTTGGGTCCAGGAAACCAGCAAAGACTCACACCAACGGGAACTTGAACGCCACCAACAACAACAACAACAACAACAACAACAACAACAACAACAACAACAACAACAACAACAACACATTGAAACAGTTACCCGTATCATCAACTTCCCTGGCATCCACAGGAAACAGTGGCGGCAGTCCCCCTCCTGCGCCTCACCCTCAACAGTATAGCAATGGTAGTGGCGGTGGCGGGGTGCCAGTTGTAGCGGAGAAGAAGAAGCATGGGTTCATATCCAAACTTTTTGGAAGAAAGTAGATCTAGAAAAGTAGAGCACGTTATCATACAACCCATTCCCTAGTTTATATGTTATTCTAATAGAACCCTTTTTAATATGGCTTTTCCTAGTGTCCACCTGGAGATGGTGCTCTATTAATGTTGGCGTTGTGTGTCCTTCGGTAGATCTATGAATAAGGAAAGACTCTTCTTCGTTGTATATGTGTGGATCCAATGCAGGTTCTCATATCGCACACCCTTGCTTCTAAAGTCTGGAGACAACCAACAACGCGCCTGACTCCTTCCAAAACCTTGTTTTTTCCTTTTCCTCGCATTCCAATTGTTTGCTGACATTTGGCCCTTTATCTTTATTTCCCTTTCTCGTTGTTGTACGAACAAGATACGTTACGCTAACCTCTTATTGATATTTTTGCCGGGAATCATTATGCCCCCTCCTTCAACTTACCTTTAGACAGCTTGTAGATGAATATGAAAGAGAAAAAAAGAGTGGTCGGCCTTGCTTGGGCGTCTCCTTCCCCACCTCCTGTGCATATATACAAATCCCTCACTTCCTATCTTTTTTGACGCTCGGCGCATTTGTTGGTCACAAAAATTAAGTGGGCGCGAGAGGGAGGAGTCAAAGCACTAGCTGGTTAGCAAAGAGGAAGAGGAAGGATAGAAAACAAGCATGCAAAGCAAAGGTTTGGTGAACATGTGTTCATTTCGTTTTTTCGTACATTACCCCTTTGTCTTCTCCTCTCACGCCCTATTTTTTGTTGGCATACGCAGGGGCTCGAGTGCATGATTCGCTATAAAAGCGCGCTCGATCATCCCTTTTTACTTGTTTTCTTTCTTCTTTTTTTCTTCAACCTTCGTCCACTCATCCTTGCCACACCTAACACCCTCTTACATACACAAAACGATATCAAGACATGTCTCCCCCATACGGAACTCGTCTCGCTAACAAGGTCGCCGTCATCACCGGTGCTGGCAGGCAAGTCTCACTTCTCTCCCTAGCCCATGTCGCCTTTCCTCACAATTCATCAAATCCACGCCTTTTTGTTCAGGAACACGCGCCTCCCTTCAACACTCCTCCCGTGAGAAAGAAAAAAAAAAAGGGCAAGAAGACCCATGACTCCTCCCTTCTTCGCCTCTGTCCTGCCTAACAACCTTTCTATTCACTCCATCCTTTCACTCCTGTTCAACTCTCCAATAGTGGAATCGGCCTGGAATCATCAGTATTGTTCGCCTCCGAGGGCGCCCAAGTGGTGTGTGCTGACATCAACGATAAGGCAGCCGCAGCGACCGTCGAGAAGATTACTTCGCTCTTTGGACAGGGCCGTGCGGTCTCGATCCGTGCCGATGTCAGTAAGGAGGAGGATGTCAAGAAGATGATCCGCCTTGCTGTTTCTGAGTTTGGTAAGTCAGAGGGGAGGTTGAGGGATGAGAAGGGTGAGGGTTGATGATGGTAGTCTCAAGGAAAAGGAAGGGTGGGCGGTGATACTAGTGTTTGATGGATGTACGTTTGAAGACAAGAGAGTCATAGGCGCATGGGTGTTGACTGGAGACAAAGGCGTACCTCAAAAAGTATAAGAGTGTGGGTAAAATATTTGGCATTAGGCGACACTCGTCAAATGACCACAACGAGCAACAAAGGAGAATCAACACAACCATATTAATTTTTTATTTTACTTTCTACCATTCGTCAATGGGATAATAGGCAAGCTGAGCATCGTCTTCAACAACGCCGGAATCATGCACCCTGCTGACGACAACGCCCTCACCACCTCCGAGGACATCTGGTACGCTTATTTCTCTGCCGGTCCTACCGCTCGCTACTGTTGTTGCCCTTGCTGTCCATTCCTACGTACAGTTATCACTAACCTCTTTGTACACACCTCCCCTTCAACCTAATAGGGACTTGACCATGAACATTAACGTAAAGGGAGTCTGGTGGGGCTGCAAATACGCCATCGAAGAGATGCGCAAGACCGGCGGCGGATCCATCATCAACACCGCCTCCTTCGTCGCCCTCCGTGGCGCCGCAACCCCCCAACTCGCCTACACCGCCTCCAAGGGCGCCGTCCTTGCCATGACCCGCGAACTTGCTGTCGTCCACGCCAAAGAAAACATCCGCTTCAACTCCCTCTGTCCCGGTCCTTTGCGTACGCCTTTGCTGATGGAGTTTTTGAACACGGATGACAAGAAGAACAGACGGTTGGTTCATGTGCCTATGGGGCGGTTTGGAGAGGCGATTGAGCAGGCCAAGGCGGCACTGTTCCTGGCGAGTGATGACAGTTCTTATATGACCGGTACGGACTTTGCGGTCGATGGTGGACTTTGTGCGGCGTATGTTACTCCTGAGGGGGAGACCATCTCCAACTCTCCTCATGTCTCTTACCAGTAAGACAAAGATGATCTCAGGAACTGTCAGCAGCAGAGTAGGATCGAGGGTCTTGGGCATGGACAATTGGACATGGAGGTTGTGGATGCCGCATAGAAGCAATTGAAAGGGGAAATAATAAAAATCATATCGAAATGCTACACGTGGATATCACTATTATTTTCTACTAGACTTAACCAATTTGAGTGTTCCCCTTTGACGCTGTTTTAACTATCGACTAAACACCAACCCATCAGTCACCCTCATCATCATTCAATCATTCATGCGCCCCTCTTCTTATCACCACCAATGCATCAAACTCCATCAAAGATAAGAAAAAATTGGGCGACCAAGAAAGAACGCCAGAGAAAGACCCTCCCCCCCTCTTCTTTGTCTCCCTTTTTTGTTTCTTATTGGGGTTTCATTCACCTCCTTCATCCTCCCGCCATGTTCTCCACACCACTCGCCACATATCCAATCCGCCTCTGAAAGGAATGGAACTCGCAAAATGACTATCCTCAACTGAGAGAAACAAACAAAAGAAGTCGTCCACGACATCCTTCAATTGGCTGTCAAGAACGCAAGAAACATATCCTCAGTCCAGGAATATAAAAAACATGAAAACAAATCTCTATCCACCGATTCCACGACGAGCAAATCAGCAAAATTTCCTTTCAAATCCGTCGTCAAAGAATAGAGAATTGACTACCGACATTTGCCTATCCGTTCCCCAGAAAATGATAAAAAAGTACATCAATAGTAAAACGCCAATTGTTCGTCGTCGACAATGAGTAAGGGAAACTTGATTGTGAAATTAGATATCAAAGTGTATGTGTTGAAGCAAAAAAAAATACAATCCACAATGAAACTTTCGGTAAACGCGATATCTGGTACCCCTGACGGACATCTTTAGGAAACGCGGCAAAGAAACAGTCAATCGAGCTTTTTATACGAGCGAGGTGACGATGTAAGAAAGGCCCTGTAAAGATCCATCCAGATCCTAGAATACAAACGGACAAAAACGAAAAAGCTGGTGTTGGTAAGTCATGCTCCAAGGCTAAGGTAACCATTGTTGCCTCTTTACTATCCAATTGCTTGTTGCGAATTGATACCCTTCAACTAAAGCAACGCCTTTTTTTTTCTGTATGTCAAAAAACAGGCCAGTCGAACGACAAACGATATCGGCTGTGTCGTGACAACAATGATATCGAACCCCTAGGTCCTCCATCGTTCACAGAAAAACGCAATCATGGCATGGATCGGATAGGATCAACCGTCTTCAACTTCCAAACCCCGGTAAAATATTCCTCCGCTCCCTGAGAACATTACAAAAATACATCGCCGCCTTCGACCTCCACCCCTCAACGATTCCTCACCTCCCAAACATGAGCGATGATATCACCAACCAACAAGAACAATAACCATTGACATACGCCCTGGAGGCTCGACGGTGTGGATGGTTTTCATCAAGAAATCGTCCAAACTCATTAAGAACTGGCTACTTGAGGTGAACCGGTTAGTATTTGTTGCTCATTGCCGCTCCAATTCAAGCAAGGCCTGTACACTTTCATAGGAATCTTCATCTTGAGAGTTGACTAACCTCTTCTGTACTTATTATTATATTCCGATAGGCGTATCGCGCCAGGACAAGGAAAAGATATAACAGCGCGAGCTGATCAAGTGCTACAGTAGGTGCCAAAGTATGTATGAAAAGAACGCGGTGGAAGGAAAGAAAAGAAAGAAAAGGAAAAATTGGCGGCGTCAAAGAAATAGAAATGTTCATCGAAATTAATCCTTCCGCACTGTCCCCACTTTGTAAATTTAGTCACCCGAAAAAAAAAGGTGGCGCATGCATGGACAAGGTCGCCCTGTGCTTGGAAGATCCACTCAAATCACCACGAGATGGGTAACCTACATTGAACCCATTGAACATTGGATCAATTTAGAAGCACTCACGCCATCTGGTCTTGATGCTGGGGTTAATAAATGTAAGCGCTGACTTGACTTCTTTTACCTTTGTTCGATGGTTAACAATAGCCCCCCCCCCCCCAGGAACTTAGATCCTTGTTTCAAGGAGCCACACCACCTCGACTGCAAGGAGGCGAACAATGCGTACGATCTAGGAATCCGATAATAACGACGACGGAGTTTTTTCCATCCGCCAGCGACAGCGACGACGGTGGCGAGGAAAACAACATTGATCGAGGAAGAGGATGTGGAAGAGCGTCAGTTTAAAGATTCTCGCCAAACGAAGAAGGGATCTGACGAGGGCGTGGACGAGGACGTGGACGAGGAAACAGAGGGGAATGTTACCGACCCGCCAAGGAGGATGTTGTTGAAAACTGAAAGGAAACCCCATGCGCCCTTTCCGACCCGAAAACGCTGGAAATCGGTTAACTTGAATTACATCAACGAGGCATCGAGGAAATGTGAGGAAAAGGCGATAACCTCCACGCAATTGACAAAAACCACCTCGAATCGACGGCAACGGTAAATACGAAAAACGGATGAAGAGTAAAAAGGACGATGATCGGGAGGGCGTGGAGGCGGTGGCGTGAGATTGTTTGAGATGTCGATGTTGAGTATCCTCCATCTGAGACTTGTTGGAGAGAAGAAACGGTAAGTGTTTTTGTGTTTTCTTGTAGTGATCAAATGAGCGGTGCAGTTGAACATTCAGCATACGTTGTTTATTTGTCTTGGAGGTCCTTCTCACCATTTCTCATTCCTAGTTCAAGCTCACCTAGGAGACGTATATCGTGATGGTCGACAAGTGGAATAACGAAGGAAGTTGCAGAAGAGCGACTCGCCAGTATCGGTAACAACGACGACATATGACAGAAAAGTCCAAAACAGCTATAGCTTCAGGATCAACGACGTCGTCGAAGGGCAAATGGAGATCCTCTCTGACTTTTCCAAACTTGGGCAATCCAAGAACGCCACGGGCCAACCCAACGCCACCCCTCAGCTCACGGCGAGCAAGGATGAGGATAGAAAGGTCGATAAGGGGAATCTTCGGCACAAATGCTTATCGCGTCGCCAAATCTGGACAAGAAAGGCTGCTAGCGTCGCAAACGGGTGACGAGGATAAAGTCCTAGATCTCGCCAAAACGTATCCTCGAATCAATAGAGTCAACAAATGCCCTATACCGCTTTGAACTACCGGGATGGACAACAATAGCAGCAATGAACATATTCAAATGGCAACAACAACCAACAAACCAACGCCTGAAAGATCGACAAAACCCCTGGATAAGTGACAGAATTGTCGCTCCAACTACAATCAGCAAAGTTGGAGAAAGACTCGTATCAAACACGCCCACATCCACGAAATTAACATGGACCAGCCAACTTCACATCCCCAGTTTCTACAAGATAACGTCGACGACATCGACGACATCGGGGAGACATCGAGCTCAGACAAGCAGGATAATATCATAAGCATCAGTATGGTCGAGAATGAAAAAAGAAGACGACATCCTAGTATATGATCTGGCATCTCCTCCCATCGCACTTTTACAGGCTTTCAAGACTTCTTCCAGCGCCATCGGCTCTTGACAACTGTCATTAAACCCGGCTCGCCTGTCAACATCAATTGCATCAAAACCATGACGGCAATACCTTCAATGAAAAATAACAAATAGAAAATTTAGTTTTTTGATACCCAGAAAGAAAAGGTGTGAGATCGTCTTTCAGTGCATTCACCCACATGTCTTTGGAAGTTCTGCATAATCTTGTTCAAAGAGATGCAAAAATAAAACTGGAGAAAGGTGATCGATCGTCAACCCTCTCTCTAAAAAAAACACCTGCGCACTCTGCCATGTAATGTAAAACAAAAATACGCTCAGTCCTTTTTTCATGCGTGTATCACCAGGGGTCTTCTTTCTTTACTGACGGTTCCTTTCTACAAATCCTCCGGAACCATCGACCAGTGAGAATCTTCGCCTTTGCTAAAAATCCTTGCCCTTGTCTCACATCTTTCTTCCTCTCATGACCCAGGCAAAGTACCATCCCAAAGGCTCTTATAAAAACGAAGCGATTTCGATTTCATTTCATCTTCTTCTCCATCATACCCATAAACCGCAAAACAAAACACAAAAATGAGTTCATTCGACACAAAGACATCAACTCCCCAAAAGACATACAATGCGCCCGGTGTTGCCAACCTGCCGTACAACCAGCGCCCATTGCCGCCAGGCTGGATCTCGCAGTACGACCCCAACCACCAAGCCAACTTCTACGTCGGTACCGTAGCTCAACCATATACTCGTCGTTTCGTATCCATTGAAATTGCTAGTGAAAATACCTCATCATTCTTATTTAACCATTGTTTTTGTAGACGAAAACACCAACCCACCGACGATAACCTGGGAAGACCCTCGCCCTGCATACTACATGGCCCAAGAGCGCGGCCAATACGCTCCCCCACCTCCCGGCATACAAGCTTCCTCCTCCGCTCAGCAAAGACGCTCCCCTCCACCTCAACCTCAACCTCAACAGCAACCAGTCCAAACCGTAATACATAACGCCGATGGCACCGTCACCACCCTCACATCCCAAAGCAACCAACCCATCATCATCCAATCCGCCGCCCCTCAACAACAGCAACAGCAACAGCAACAGCCGCAGGTGCAGCAGGCTCAATCGAGTGGGCCTGGTTTGGGTCGCACCATTGTTGGTGCTGCTGTCGTGACTTCCTTGTTGCGTCCGAGACCGAGGGTTGTTGTTGCGCCTCGTCGTCGTCGTTTTTAGATGGGTGACTGAGGATGTCTTCTTTTCGGATTTTTAATGGCCCAATGAAATCTGTGCCATGAAATGCAGACAGTTTGAGAGGAGCAGCCTGATCAGAAACCGCCACGACGAGTTGTAATTGCTTTAGTTCTTTTGTAAATAGATGAATAAACATTTGTGATAGGTGTCTTAATGTAAACTTGCAAGCCACCAATTCTTGTTGGTTTCAGTGATCAGGGGTCTTGACCAATGTTGAGACCCAAAAAAGTATAAAGTGCCATGTTGTTTGGGGTTTTTATGATCGCGCTGAGGTCGTGGCTTGTTAGGGCAAGTGTAGAATATTGGGCTGTCAACGATCCTCTTGCCTGTTCAGTCCAAGTGCTATGCTTCGTCCTCATGGCGCTTTTGCGTTCGCTCTTATTAAGCAAGGCAGCATATGCAACCTCATTTCATCCTGTCTCTCTTTCTCCCTTCTTTTCCACTCGTGTAACAATGACAAGGCATACACAATCTCGACTAGGCGCGAGAAAGAAAAAAAAATGCAGTCGCTGTTCGACCCATGGGCATGCGCGAACTATTCAAGAAAGTGAGGGGCAGTCGGGTCACACTTACACAATGCTTCTTTCCCGTTTCTTTTTCTCACACACTTGGTCGCTTTTCCTTCTTTATCCCCTTTTCTTCTTTATACCCTTTTCCTCTTTATCCCCTTTTCTTCGTTTTTGATTTCTTCACCTTCAACGGATCCCTTTTTCGAATCCCTATCGTCCATTACATTCTTCTGGGCCCATCCTCTCGGAATCAGTTCCAAGGACAACACCCCAGTCTCACTGCAAGACAATCGCCACCACCAAACACGACAAAGACACAATCACACTCTCACACTCTCACTCTCTCTATTAATTGCTCCTCTTCTCAGCAACCAAACACCCTCAAAAGTTTTCATCCCCTGTCCGCCTAAACTGACACTTAACAACACCGACACAGGTGTAAGAAGCAAAAATTAGACCAGGAGAAGGAAAACACACGCGTCAACTCGAATAGTACGCTTAACAAGCACCGCGTCAACTTAGAAAGTATGTTGGAAAATCAACCTCTTCGCCAGACAAATAGCAACTGCTCCTCATACGGTCCTCTGCTCACCCCTCTCATCCTTTTTTCTTATAGACAGTCTACAGTACTCTGTTAACACCCCAAAACCACGTAACTGCCAACATCCGAACCAACACCCAAACAAACACATATTGTGAAAGTACCCTGCAACTGCACGTTCTCTTTCGCGGTGGTAGTAAACACATCCGAAGGCAGTATTGTTTCTTTCTCACAGCTGTCCCCGTTCTCCTTCGATACCCACCGACCCTCGTCGACCAAACTCAAAAGCACATATACAAACCAACAAGGTAAACGCTTTGTGAATTAGCGATAGATATTGATCGGGAAAATGACGAGTAAGAAGCTGGTTTTTATTATGAGCTTGTCACTGTGTTCGGCATTTACAGTGCCTGAGCGGTGGCTCTACACTTCGTCGTAAAAAAAGAATCTTGCAGTAAGATTCATACCTATCCATAACACATGGTATATTTTGCTCTTTTCCTTTTCTTTCCATTAAACTTCGCTCCTTACCTTCCATCTTCTCCACCAAACCCCTCCTCCCTTCGATACATCTCAAAATAGCCAATGTCTTTCTACGGTGCGACCACCAGGAGCAGTGGACTGTTTAACTATGTTCCTGTTGATGATGATCCTATCCCTGTTTATAGCTCCCGCTCTGGCCGCTTTACCCGCTCTGGCCGCTTTACCCGCTTTGGCCGCTTTACCCGCCATGACACCCTTACCAACCTACTCGAATTATGGCGCAGCATGTGGTGGTGGATCTTTTTTATCATTACCCTCGTGGTCATCCTTGGTCCTTACTACTCTGAAGAGAACAAGAAAAACCCTCCCCTCTGCGAGTCGGTCCGTAGCTACCCCGCTGCCATTTTTTTGTCTATGTGTCTCGGCGTGCTTGGGTAAGAATGGAATGCTCGTTGTTTGCTGATGTGATGTGTGTGAACATCGGACAAATGGACTGACTTCACGCCTTACTATCCGTTTTTTTTCTTTTTTTGGGGGGCTTTTTTATCTTCTATAGAATTGACCGTTTCTACCTCGGATATATACTCGAGGGTTTAGTAAAGCTCTTCACTGGTACGAGAAACCGTGAGATGATTGCTTTCTCCTTTTTTTTATGGAAGACGTGTAACCGCTTGAGATACTAAGAAATATCTGGTGTTTCGTTTGTACATTTTGTCATCATAGTTGGTGGATTTGGTTTCTTGTGGGTCGCAGATTTCATCCTCATTATCTTCGGTGGCCTGCGCGACTACAATGGATGCACCCTCGCTTCCTGAACTCCGCCTTCAGTTGCATAATTGTCTCATGAACAGGAAGCTCATGAAAATGACACAAAATCAGATTTTAGGGCGGAAGCAAATAAATGGTAATGGAAGCTGGCGCATTGCATTCATCGTGACCTGAGACACATTTTTTGTTAAGGAAAGGTGTGGGAGAACTTTGCGGTGGAGAAGAGTGGCAGAGTTGGGGGCCAGGGCTGCGAAGGAGAAGGAGATGAAGGAGAAGGAGGTGAAGGAGAAGGGGGTGAAGGAGAAGGAAGCCAAGGAGAAAGAGGTGAAGGAGAAGGCGGTGGTAGAGGCCAAGGCGGAGAGTGATCTCTATATCGTTGTAGATCCTTGTCACAAGATATATGTGCTTACAAGGCTCCTTGTACCGCGTGTAATCGCCGCAATAGGGACATGAGAAATCCTCATTTGTGATTGCAATGCATTTGTGGTTTGTATTCTTTTTATTCCGACAAATTGGCTCTCTTATTGCTGGGTGAGGAACTCGATTTTCTCGCATAGCTATCCCGTGCTATTCAAGCCTCCATTGTTTCCTTGCTGCGCTTGGCTTCCTTCAACTCCATGGTCTGTTTACCCTTGCGTTTAACCACCTTCGCCTTGGACTGAATACCCAGTGCCACGTTTCGAAGAGGTGTGGCCAGTGTCGGGAACGGATTGTTGTCTCCCATAGGCTCCCGTCGCTTTTGCTTCAAGCGCGTGCTGGTAATCAGGACTAATGACTGAATCTGGAACATCCTGAAAAAAACGTTGATCCAGCAATCTAAGCTCGGACAAACAGGTCGGCATCGTAAGGTTTGAGATCCTTGTATGGACAACGGTGTTGGTAATCTTTGCACCAAGGAAAAACACTACGTCAGGGCCGACCGATCGGAAGCTTATGAGTGGCAGATCCTCTTCCAGGACCCGAAGAAGTTCATCAAGACTATCTTTGGTAAAGATCGCAATCCGGAGAGTATCGGCGTTCCTGGATGGTGTCGAGGGGTGCATGCCCTTTAGCTCTCCGTAATATGCCTCATGACCTTCCTCCGTGCGGCCCACGATGTCTGGCTGTCTAGCTTGCCCATCCTGATCCAAGGCAGCTTTCCTGTTCTCGCCCGCAGTCGATGCAGAGTTAAGACTGTGGAAAGGAAATGGCGATAATTAGATCAAAGACTATAGACTCACGCTATCAAATGGCACATCGACAATCAGATGGGGACATTACCATTTGAATTGAATATGGCCTTGAACGTGCATAAACTCGCGTAAAATCGGCACGATTACTGACGACATGGCATCACTCTCGCTTTCAAGCTTGCTCCACGTATTGAAGTGTCGAAACACATACAGAGCCACGAACAAGACAGGTAATATGTCGTTTTGTTGGCATGTGCTGTAGGAATCCATTATCAGGTCAACGACTGCCCCTATATCGATTTCGGCTTCGTCAGTTTCTCCAAGCTCCTTAGAGAGGCAGCTCAATAGGGTCATTGACCCCCACTTCTACATAGTCGAACCGAAGAAAATAAAGCTATTAGTTTTTATCATTGAACATTAGCTCAAAACAAAAAAAAAACACACGACCACAACGACAAACCTGCACCCAGGTCCCCCAGAGAGCCGCTGCTTCGATGGACCGCTTTAAATCTTTCTCTTGAAGATCCCTGGTATAGAATCGATGGAGGATATCCTTGGTGATAGCTGACATCTCGGCGGCTTCGAAGCCAGCATGCTTTTCATCGAAATGCAGGATACCAGAGAGTAGACTAGATTGACAACGTATCATGCCGATAAGTTTGTATAGTTTCGTTTGAATGTAGATCATATTTCGCTGGGGCAAAAAAAAACTTACGCAATCTCATCAACTTGCTTGTAGTTCAAAGACTTCGTCTTCTTGATCTTGTTGTAGGTGTCTGTCACCTGAGGTCCCCAGTCTTTGGTCAGCGGGAGACTGAATGTGAATGCGGGTAGTTGTTGAATCCAGGACATATCTCCAGTTTCTGCTGCTGCTACTGGTCCGTCGAAAATGTTACCGGAAGGCCGTCCATCGAAAATGTTACTGGAAGGTCGTCCATACGCTTCTGCCCTTTTATCACCAGACGCCTCCTCGTGGTCGTCCAAAACGTTGATAGCAGCTCCTCCATTGGTGACCTCATCTTGTTCTCATTCATTGTCATCGCTATTGACATCAAAGAGCGGACGGTGAGGAGGTGACAGTGTTGGTGATGATGACCCTGATCCTCGGTCAGGTGGCGGGGTGCGAGCAGCTGAAAATGATGGTATCAACGGTCCTATTCGGTCATCAGTCATGCAAGTATCGAATATAAAGTATATCGTGAGAAAAATGGTCATACATTACGCAGTGGCGATCATTAATTATTGTGCTTTGGCAACATACCTTCCGAGTCTAGGATCCTCCCCTCAAAATCGGACAATGTAGCTGTTATCGTTGAACCAACCGTGTTATGTCTGATTTTTTCAATCGTATCTAAGATGTTTATTTTACATGTGTTAGCGATCAAATGCATTAAAAATGGTCCAGAGATCAAGATTTGTGAATCGTCCTTACCTGACGCATACTGCTCAACGGAATTGTTCACGATGCTACTGGCCGAAGTGCATGAAATACTGGCTGTGATTTGTAGTAAATGCTCGTCGTATTCGTGTCTTAGTTGCTTGAGATTGATGACATACTGCAGAGCAGACTTATCACCACTTTGCCTTTGTCTGCCAAGATAGGCCGCAAAACATGTGTATTGTTTCTCGAAGTCGAGATGGTTGTGGTTGTCTTCGGCAAGATAGGCTTGGAATGATTTCATCTGGATTCATCTCACAAGGCAATGATCAAATGTCAGTAAGGTAATAGCATTCCAAAAAGGAGTAACAACACAATTAAAGATGACTCCCCTCTTCGCCTGCACCTGTGAGGCATCAGATGAATGACAGTGAGCATAACCAGGTGCAAAGGATTCCTGGACAGCGGCTGAAAGGCAATCACCCGTATGAAAGACAGAAAAAACGCTGTCAATCCACCCCCACAGGCACGATAGGAGCATAGAAAAGGATTCAAATAAAAAACATGATACCCAACAAATGTACTGGATACCTACATGACATACCTTGAGCGTGCGGAGACAGGACCTTCCAGGCGAAAAAGGGGTGTGATGATGCGTGTGATGAATAGAATGGCGAAGGCGTGGGAGTGATGGCAACGGTGAGAGATGAAAAGAAGGTGGGGGAGTGGTGGCAAGGGTGAGGGATGACACGAAGGCGATGAAGGCGTGAGAGTGGTGAGTGATGAAGAGAAGGGCGAGGGAGTGGCGGCAACGGCGAAGGCGATAAGGTGATAAACAGGAGCATAGTGGAACAACGGGCGCATAAATTACGTCACCGAAGTGAGTAATCGTTGCGCCTTCCGTAACCCAAACGCAGACCTATGTATATGATGGTCTGTCTAAATGAAGAAAAGCTTTTTTTGCGTCGACGAGGTTCAGCTTCCTCCGCTTCAGGTGCCATCCGATCAACGCCTGCCTCCACGTCTTTCACGGCCAAAGGTGTTCACATAGACTCGACAGACTGAGTGTTCTCCTCCATTTCCCAGATGTAGACTCCGTTCTTGTCGTCAAGTAAGTGTCCCTGGATGATGTTACACATGTTATGAGCAGCCATAACGTCTCTGTGAATCTTGGCGCCACAAGTGGGGCAATACAGCTAACGGATGTCGACTTGGCAACAAACTCGAGACACACTAGACACCGCTTGGACGTAGAGTATTCATTGACTCCGACTATGATATAATCCAAAGATCGGGCCTAAATAAAGCAAGACCAGAACAAGAAAACATTAATCGAAGATCCTTTGTGGAGGTGGGTTCAAGAAAAGCTCGGCTGCTTACCAACTGCACAAAGTACTTGAGAAATGCTGTGTGGAGGGACGACAACCGTGAACTCGAAGAGAACTCTCCGAGTCCTACACCGATGATGACCTTATTTTTTCCGTCCCGTTTCGCGCCTGGAGTACCTCCAACCAACTCTAAATGGCGTTTTCCGACCAGTTTGAACTCTTGATCCCTTGCTCGCTTTGCATCCCACTGGTGCAGATCCGACTCAACAACCCTGGGCCGCTTGACATGCTCGGTGATCGATGCTTCTGGTCCACGGAGCGGCGGCAAGTTGGTCTCCTTGTGAGCGATTGACTCCGTGCCCTCGACTGCACGTCCCTTCCTCTGTTCGAGCCATCGTCTGTGTTTGAATGTTGGCTGGTAGATGGCCTTCTGGCTGACTGCCAGGTTGTGTAACTGAGTTGACATAGGTATATCGATCTCGGTGATGGCTCCTTGCTTCTCTTCATCAGTTGAAGTAACCGACGCGGACGAAGGTAAGATGGCACTAGCGCCAACGACAAATACCTGCCCCAGGTCAATCCCGAGAAACTTGATATCGTTGGGGTCACAATTCCAGATCCGGTTGACGTCCTCCGTCGTCTTGACCACGTTACGGATCTCCGTGAGGTAGTGGTCGGTGCATCCAAGCGTCGATATTAGCGAGTCTGGCCGCTTGTCCTCACGCAATCGTTGATACTTGACACAACTGAGCTCTCTCAGTTTGAAAGCGAGCAGCTGGATCCGATATCCGTCTGTCTTGATTGACCCTCGGAAAACATAGCCCCTACTCGAATACGAAACCTTGGGATTGAGATGTGAGTAGCTATATCACCAATCGACATATGGTGCGCGGATCGGGACCAGTGCTTCTGTTTCCTCCTCTCGTCCTCTGTAAATCCTCCAATGTCGGTGAAAAGCCTGTTGATCATCTCTCTTGGGTCGAGGTTTTTGAGCCAACCAACAACATCCTCCTGAGGAATACGGGTAAGGTCGGCGAAGGATGGGAGAGTTGGATGGGCGTAACCCTGTAGCTGTTTCCGTAGGGTCACGTTTGTCAGAATGAGAAAGTTCTCCGTTGGGGTCTTGTCTGGATTGACATGATCTGGAGCGCTTCGGGTAAGAGTCCTTTCTTCTTCTGCTGCTGAATCTGGCAACGTTAAGGAGGGAAAGGTGGCGACGAATGAATTCGATGAACTGGATGAGCTTGATGAGGAACGCCCTGGTACTTGCTGTAGCCTCGTCGGGTGTGCGCATTTTTGATAGGTGTCTTGCCACCAATCCTTGTTGGTCACTGATGATCGCGCTGATCAATTGTACATGGCCAGGAAGTGTTCTCGCTGTATGTTATTAGGCTCTCGATGGAGCAGTCAACAAAGAGCTAGTTTTTTTTTCCACAGGGTCGCTTTTGCTTCGCTCTTATTAAGTAAGGCAGCATATGCAACCTCATCTTACCCTAGTTCTCTCTTTCTCCCTTTTCCACACTCGTGTAACAATAAAAAGGCATACACAATCTCAAATAAGTCGACGAGGCCAGCGAGAAGGGAAAAAAAAGCAAATCGCTCTTCGACCCATGGTTCATGCATGGACCACGGTGAGGCGATCGGGCGCCAGTTGGTCTATATTACGATACTCCTCGGTCACCTCAAGACTGTCATCACATACAACTCTCCCTTCTGGGATGGAGCTGGACCTCCAGTCGTGCCCCGAGGAGATTCAGCAGGAAATTTTCCGGATGCTACCCATCGTCGTACAAGCCCGAAAATAATTCGACATTCAAACAGGGGCAAAGGTTTCGACGTGTCTCGCCACTTTCTTTGCCGTTACATTTATTTGCCTTCCCAATAATAAAAAGGGAAAAAGAAAAAGATAAAAAAAAAGAAAGAATGCAATTGAGATGACTGGATGGGAGAGGGGATGGCTATGTACAGATCAATTACTCGTTTCTTGGACCTCCAATGGCCATATCAACGGTTACTCAGGACCAGCCCAAGGAACTATTATGAGAAAAGAAGACGTGAACACAAAGAGTAAGTAAGATGGGCCAGGGCGGTAGTGCTCACAAGGTGGCATGTTACACCTTCATTTGAGATATGATTCGCTTCCTGATCAATGGTAGTGGCGGCAGCTCAGCCCAACCAATACCCGTGTTGCCTAAGGAACACACACGGACACACATGCATACATATAAACAAACAACAGAACAAAAAAAACATACCTGTTCATAAGTCATGGTGACAATACCAACCCCCTGGGTATCATACCTCCGGAAGCTCTCCGTCAACGCTTGGATCGTCACACAACTCTGCACAAAGTTATCAAAACTAATATCGCCCCTCCCCCTCACATCATACTTTGTCACAACCATCTGGACAGTAGAATCAGAGAGGTTGTATCCGAACCCACGGAGGGCCTGTTTGAGTTCGTGAGCGTCGATGGTCCCGGACCCGTCGAGGTCATAGTTCTGGAAACAGGCTTTCCATTTCTCGATGTAGTTCCAGAGTCCGATGAATTCGTTGAACGAGATGGATCCTGACCCGTCTCGGTCGAACATGTTCATCATCATCCGCACCGTCTCGACTGTTTGATTTATTGATGAAAAGATACAGCAAGAGAGAAGACACGAGGAAAAAGGACAGGTAGTAAATGGAAAAAAACAAGCAATGCATTAGTCGGAATGTTGTAATCATGGTGCATGTCGGGAAGGGCAGGGGGTCGCAGGTTGGCTTTTGCCCTTTTTTTCTTTTTTTCTTTTTTTTTTTTCTCTATGATTAATTTGATTTGGTACGCAAGGGTCATCAACATCCCCGGGCATTTTTTTTTCTTTCTCTACTTTCTGCTTCAGCCAACACAACAGCCCAACAAAGAAAGCGAAAAAAAACGCTACGTAAAACAGGCGGAGAGGGTGGAATAAGAGATAACAGGAGGGAGGAGATGGAAGACAAGCACGAATGCCAAGAAAAACAGACACGCCATAATTCGTCTCCACAACCCTTCTCTTAGCACTGAATTTCACCGGCAAGAATAGAAAAGAAACTTACCGTTGAAGGGAGTCCAACCATCGCCGTTCATAAGGGCACGCTGAAGTTCTTCACAGGACAGACCGCCCGAATGATCCGTATCGACGGCATCGAACCAGTCCCGGAGAGAAGTCAATGCCGGTAGTGTGCCCGACGATGACCGATATGTGTTGCTACTATAGCTGTTTCCGCTGCTGATCGGGGAATTGCCCATAGAGTGCCTCTGTTGTGCCTGGTATTGGTGAGGCTGCTGTTGGTATTGATGTTGTTGTTGAACAACCTGTTGGTGATGCTGATATTGTTGACGCTGGTGTTGCATGACAGCAGGAGGCCCTTGCTGGTATTGTGTGTAATGGTTGTAGCTGGCCGGTGGAGAGGGTTGTGTATTGTAATACTGTTGTTGTTGCTGTTGTTGTTGTTGTTGTTGTTGCTGTGGCGGTTGCTGGAGCTGGATCGAGGGTCGACTAGGTTGATGGGTGGCAGAAGGGACATACGTCTGATGTGGTTGGATTAAAGGAGTTGACGATGGTTGTTGTTGGGAAGCACTGGTCGTCGCCGTGGCGACCATTGAAGTCATGAACGGGGAAGAAGAGGTGCGCGCATTTGTTGTTGGTGCACCTGTTATTGCCGCTACTCTTGGTGACGCTGCCATTATTGTCGGTACGATCGCCGCATTGGAAATGGCGTAGGAGTACGAGGGAGGTAGTTGTTGTGAGGTTTGCCGTTGATGATTTTGATTTTGTGTGTTGTCGTTGTTGAAGTTTGTCATTTGAGAAAAGGTTGAGGAGTAGCGTTGCTGGTAATGGTGGTATGAGGGGAATTGCTGTTGCTGAAGATAGTTATGTTGAGTGGCCATGGATGTGAGAGAAAAAGAAGGTAAACAGTGGAAAGAGAGAAGTTCTTATTTAAAGGTGATAAAGGCGGCGAAGATAATGGCGAGTGTAACGACGGGGCGAAGATTGGAGCACAAGGTAAGAAACAAAAAGAGAAAAAGAGAAAAAGAGAAAAAGAAGAAAAGAAAGATCAACCGAGGTACAGGGAAAGAAAAACGAAAAGAAAGGAAGGACTACGCCACCCCTCGAAAAAAAAAGCGCGCAGACAATGATGTTAGTTGTATTTTTGAGAGTCGACCGTTTCCGATCCGAGAATACATAAAACGGAGAAGGGGAAAGCGGGAGAACGAGGGAGGACATCACCATCCTCATTCGGCCTTCGCCACATATGTTACTTATTACCTGAGGTAGACGATAAAAAAGGGTTTGAGAAGAGCCACGACGAATGAAGAGTCATCGAAAGCGCAGAAAGGCACAGTAACGCCACCAATTTTTCTTTTCTACTCATCACCAATCAATCACTCCCAGAACTATGTTCGTCTCGCTTTCATCCATCACTGTCCAATGGTCTGTCTTCGCGTGGGCAGTTAGAAATGTAGCAAAAACAATAACGGAAACACTCGCCTTCTCCCTCATCGTATTTCGTGATCCATATTCCCAACCCCGTGGCTGCATGCCACATATGAATTCACTTGCGCTAGTATCATGAAGGTGTTGCATTTTTTTTTCTTGTCTCTCGGACAATACGACAGCGAAACTCAGTTCAGTGGGAAGTGATAAGCACATGGATATAACGCCATCAACCCCAGGTACAACGCATACCTGCCAACGCATGTGTGTGAGGTGCGTTAGTGTCTTGGCAGCAAACCTTCTCTACCTCTAGTCGAAACCACGTTTTGTTCAAGGTCTTCGATTCCCAAATATCAGGGTGGAGAGTAAAAGGGTGGTCTATGGCCATAAAACGCGCATTGTGGCGAGGAAAGGGGAAGTAGATCTTTTCACTCACAATACTGCCAAAAATAAACACGCAAGAGACATGAGTTGGTTCTCTTTCGAATGCGACTTTTTTTTTCTCCTTCATGTCTCGATGGACATATAACAACAGGGGATCCCCTTCCGTCCTCTTCTCCTGTTTGCTCTTCTTTGTTCTCTCCCCAATTCAAGGTATCAAACAAACTAGACCCATCTTGCACCTCATTTAGACTGTTCCATCTGCTCTCTCTTCCCTTCTTTTTTTCATTTTTCATTTTTCATCTTTACTTGATAAAAGTGCAAGTACCAAGGTATTGCACCGTAGTTGTGAATAATTGTTTGTTTTGCTACTTGCTTATGTATACTCCACCCTTTGGTTCTTGTGTTCGCCACTTCTTAGCCTTCTAAGGGCTGTGCTGTTGAACAAAGGCAATTGGTTACCCACATCTTCGACCTCTTTGCTTTTCCAATGGTCTATTGCTTTTTTTTATCACGTCGCTGTGTTCGCTTCATTCCTCACTCCAAAAAGACCATCTGCTATCTATCATCTCTTCTCCGCAACATCACGCGAACCACCAACGACCACCCTGGTCTCTCAATTCCCAATTCCTCCTTCTCCTTTCTTAAACACAAAACGCCTAATTGACCACTTCTCGCCACATCGTCACTTATTTCTATATGAAGCAAGGGGAGTACCAGGGTTCCGAGCCCATCCCTTCAACTACATGTACGTTTCTTATCCTCTCTGCTCTGCATGCCTCCGCCTTTCTCTTTTTATCTTTATATAACAAGGGCAGAAAAGGATCTACGACACAACAGTCCCAGGAAAAAAAGACTATTGCTATTTTTAACTCCCACAAAAAAAACTAAACCCTGACTTTGAGTGTCGTAAAACAAGGGTTGGGCGGATGGATGGACGCAGTCAAGAGAGCTCAGTGCGAAGCGATAAAAATACATTCACAGATGGATGTTTACTAAAAACTAAAAGAGGGTTGGAGTGGGCCATTTTTTACCATGGGCGTAGATGAGGAGAAAGAGAATAGGTTGATGCGGATAAAATTGAGTGTACAGAACAACAACAAAAAATGTTCTGGTTGGTTATGAGCAGAGCAAGGACAAAAAACAAGAGATGGCCGGGTAAAGAGGTTCAAAAAACATAAGGAATTGATAGCTGTAAGGAGAACTATTGGTCCCCCCGCAAGCAATGGTTGGCTGCGAACAGAGGAATAGGGGCAGGAGGAGTGATAATGACGTTAAGAAAAGTAGAAGTGGGTGGGGCATGCTTCTTCTTCCTTGTCCTTAGCCCTCTTTCCAGACAGAGAGAGATAGGCAATGACGAAAGAGGCGATTGTTCATTCTTCTTCTTTCCTCGGTGGATGGGGAATGTATGTTGTGTGTGTGTGTGTGTGTGTGTGTGTGTGTGTGTGTGTGTGTATAGTGGCAATAGGCTAGGCACACTCTTCAGAGGAGAGCGACATTCGCCACTGCCACTCACTTTCAACAGGAGTGCTCAATCCCCTTTTTTGTGATTTCGATAAAAGAGAAAAAGAGTGCTCTTCCCCCTTCCTCCCAGTTGATGCTCTCACTCCTCCTCTTCTTTATTCTTTATTCTTTTCATAACTCTTTTTTTTTGACACTAGATCACCCGGCTCTCATTCCACTCCCTCTTTATTCTCTTTATTCTCCACCGTTTTGCTGGCTTTCATCTCTCTTTCTCTTTTCATTCCTTTTCTTGTGTTCTCTTTTCTCTTTTCTCACTCATCAACTCACAAGACAACAACAACAACATACCCTCTTTGGCAAACCAACTACTTCTAGATCGCCAATCTATTATTACCAGTCAAGACCTACACCCGGACCTCGACATCAACCGACAGTACCACTAGTACCACCAACCACAGACAGACAGCACAAGCGCAAGCCAGTGTCACCCAACAGCACACAACAAGAAACGACCACCCCGAACTAGATAACGACAACAGACGACTCTCTCCTCTTTCTCCAGCTGTATACAATCTCTGGAAACCCCAAGCCTGACCAAGTCGACACCCAACTCCTCACTCTTCCGTCGTTTTTCAGGAAAACCAGCCCCCCTGGGCAAGGCACAGCACAACTCAACAGCTACCAACACAGCAACACACAACATACACACATACAACCGATGCTGAAAGAACGTCCCGTCCCGCTGCAGCTCGGCAACGCCGGCGCCCCCAGAGCCAAGGTCGACACCTCTTACACATGGCTGGCCATGTATTTCTTCCTCAACCTCTCCCTCACCATCTACAACAAGGCCATCCTCTCGACCTTCCACTTCTCCTTCCCCTGGACCCTCACAGGAATCCACACCTTGTGCTCCGGGCTCGGCGCCCTGACCATGGCTCGTCTTGGATATTTCACCCCCGCCACTCTTGGAGAACGGGAGAATATGGTCATGCTCATGTTCTCGTTTCTTTACACTCTTAATATCGCCATTAGTAACGTCTCTCTGTAAGTTGTCCTTTTGTTTTGTGTTTTAATATCGCTTGTTTCTGGTTTTATTGTTTTGGAGAAAAGTGCAATAGATGGGATAGGATGGATAGGGGGTTTCATGGAGGAAAGAAGCAGGGGACATTCGGTTTCTTTTTTCTATTGCTGCTATCGACTTGTTGCATATGCCCCTGTCTGCGTCTCCTTTTCAATCATCAGCACACGCCAGAGACCAAAAGGGGCGGAGGATTCGGCCAGGACCTTGACTGGAAACGAAACTAGCTTCACAAGTCATCGCCCTTGTCTCTGTCAGGAAAACAGCACCAACACAAACATTGATGCATGGAATTGGCTGCCTGCTTGGCTTGGCTGGCTAGGCTAGGTGGCACTACACACATCGCTGGGAGAACAAGGAGTTCTGGAAAAGCAATTTCAACAAAAAGGAATCGACAAACCAAGGAAAATAAAAAAAGGGTAGAAGATTCAAAAGGGGTGGGCGAGGCACAGACTGGAACAAATCAACAACGCTTCATTGGAGACAAAGAAAAAAGAGGGCGCTGTACAAAGGAGAGGGTGATACCAAACATGATGAATAAGCAGACAGGATGATCTGGATTTGCAGAAGCAGGGAACAAAGGAATAATAGCAACCCAAAGGACGACGACATTCCTCGAGGATTTTCGAATTGATTCGATTCGATTCGATTCGAGGATAGGAAAGCGAGGAACCTTTTCTTTCTTCTTGTAACGCCTCCACGCCAGTCAACGAAGTAAACTGGACAAGTCAATCTCCCAACACTGCACGACGACAGACCGATCGTCCACCTTTGCAGGAACGGAAGCAATTTCTAGGAAGATACAAGGGGAGGCGAAAAATTGGACGACATAAAAGAGCGTGTGAGGAAAGGACGACGATAACCGGGAAAACGAGCAAGAAAAAGAAGGCACAGCCTCATTGAGAGAGGAGTACATCTGTCTAGGCTTTCACATTTTTGTTCTTTTTTGTATTCTTCCTTGCTGCACCCAAAAGAGAAAGTGCTCTCAGGATTCTTATCGATCGCTTGAGAAATCATAACGAAGGCAGACAAACAAGAGCTAACTTTCCATACATTCCCCATCTCGATCTTGAACATAGGAATGAGGTATCAGTGGCGTTCCACCAGGTAGTGCGAGCAATGACGCCCGTCTTCACGATTGCCATCTCGGTCGCATTCCTGGCCAAGCGATACAGTGGCAAGACCTACCTCTCCCTCCTCCCTCTTCTCATGGGAGTCTACATGGCGACCGTTGGCGATTACTCCTACACCGCCATGGGATTCTTCTTGACCGTCCTTGGAACTGTCCTTGCGGCTACCAAGACTGTGGTAACGAACCGGATTCAGGTCGGACGCCTTCAGCTTCACCCTCTGGATCTTCTTCTTCGCATGTCACCCCTGGCGTTTGTGCAGACGGTGATCTTTTCATGGATGAAGGGCGAGTTGGACGATGTGGTCTCGTTCTGTCAAACGGATATGTCGTGGAAGTTGGTCTTTGCCCTCTTGGTCAATGGTATCATTGCCTTTTTCCTAAACTATGTCTCCTTTACTGCCAATAAGAAGACCAGCGCCCTCACTATGACCGTCGCAGGTACGTTTTCCTTTCTCTTTCCTTGGATATTGTACTCTGTTCTGGAAATCACATTGCATAGTTGCAAACTCTGACTTTTACTTACTTACCCTTTAACCAAATAGCCAACGTGAAGCAGGTGCTGTCGATTGTCGTCGCCGTAACGGTATTCAACACTACGATCGGGTTCCTCAATGGAATCGGAATCATGATCACCCTCTTTGGCGGTGCATGTTACAGGTAAAAATCCCCCTTCCTTTCTTTTTTCTTTTCTACCTTTTCTTTTTCTTGTTGACATCTGATGCAAACCACAAATTGGATGTGGGACCTTGAAAGCACTTGCAATTAATTGACATGCTAATTTTTTCTATTTGTTTCACCTTGTTTGTTTGTTTTCTCTTTCAATGACACAATAGTTATGTAGAGTGGAGTGAAAAGAACCAAAGAGCTAGGCCCATGACCCCGGCCTTCCCCCCGCCTTCGCCCCCCGGTGCCCCCACGCTGTCTGAAAAGGAAGAGCTCCTTAGTGTCCGTGTCGTGAATTAGAGGATCGGCAGGGACACACTCCCGTTCGCTTCACTTAGTCTCCATGGAACGTAACAAGGACCAACGAAAAGCACCAAAAACAACAACCAACCAATCAACCATTATCAGGAATGGAGCGCCTCAAGACAACAACAACCAAAATACAAAAAAAAAAAAACTGTACAAGTATTTTAAAAATAAACATTATCATCTTTTTTATTTCTCCTTTACCTATTCCATCGCATGTGTTTGTTGGACAGGGATATGAAGACGTTTGGTACTTGTGATGTGAAGAAGTGATAGGGGGTATCGTCATTTACAGCTTAGCCAGCACGAGTAGAATATCGGTGGCTTCTCGGACTTTAGGATTGTACTTTTGACAGGGTTTTTGTTTTGTGTATCTGAGAGCTAATGTATACGTCGATCCCTCGATCACTCCATGCACCTCTCACTCAGCTCAGTACTTCAAGGTCAAGTTGACAGACCCATCCAGCTGATTAAACTCATACTCGACCTCCATATCCAACTCCTCGGGCATCTGAGCAACCATCGCATCATCCGCGCGGACCAACAAGTTCTTCTTTGTCGTCTTGCGGTAAACCGCCGACACTGTCGAGACCTGGATCTCTAGTTTCTCACAAAGCTTGTGGAGGAGCTCGTTGAGGGTGGGGCGTTCGAGGTAGATGGCTCGGTAGACGGCTTCGTTTCCGATCTTGATGTAGAGACAGAGCATTGTCATTGGTTTCTTCTTGCGCTGTTGGGGGATGTAGGATGGGTCGCGGTCTAGGAAGTCTGAGGAGGACGAGGAGGACGAGAGTGGGATGCCGCCATCAATCATATCGCTTGCGTTGTTGTTGTTGTTGCTTGTGGTGGGAAGGTGTCTGATGGATGCTGCAAGGCCGCCTACAGAAGAGTTGGACGACGATGATATAATCATACTAACAGCTCCATTGATGCCCAATCCACTTCCTCCACCAGAGCCAGCACTCCCTGAGCCTCGGTAGCCAGTCGAGGCACCTGGATCCAACCGGACAGCATTCATCTTACGTCGTTTCGACTTCCCATCACCGCCTGAATCTCCATCCTGCTGTTGCTGCTGGCTATCATCATCATACACTGGACCACCCCCACCGCCCCCTTGCTGTTGGTTAAAGAAATTCAACGAAGATGACGACATCACTTCATCATCATCCCCCACAGCTCCACCACCACCACCATCCTCCTGATCACTACTCTCCCCACGACTTCCCGAGCCCGAGCCAGAACCAGAACCGGCTCCCTCGTTCGAACAATACTCTTCCTCGTCTTCGACGCACTCCCAAAAGTGGGTCATAGGCTGGACGGGAGCCAGAACCTGTGAGAGTGGGCTGGTGTCGGCGTGTTTGCCTCGCATCTTATCCCACATCTTTTCTAGATGCTTTTGGTCATCCTTGTTTTTACGTTCCGCCCCCTAAAAGAAAATATAGCCCACAAAGAAATGAAAGGATTGACATGAGAGACGAGTAAACGAGCAGCGACGAAAAGCAGCAGTGTTTTGGACATTCGTTGTGAATCAGGAAGGGGAAGATGAATGGTGAAAGTATACCGAGGGTGCATCAACAACGGAGCACTAACATAGTAGCAAACCCCCACTCCGCCATTTCTTTTCCTGATCTCCTTCCCTCACGTTTTCATATTCGTCGTCATAGTGCATTCAATCGTAAGAGTGCATCAAAAAGACAATTACCTTATCACGAAAGAGCTTGATCTTGGCGAACGACCGTTCAAGGATCCTCCCATGCGAGAGCAAACCGTCTTCCATACTTCCAAGTCCACCTACTCCACCTCCAGCACCAGGTCCTCTACCACCATGATCGCCACCACCATAGTTGATATCATACGTCTCGATCTGGATGCGCAAAGGAATACCTTTAACACCCTTGATCCTCGAGAAATCTGTCGAGAGGCAATTGAACCGGATCATCAGTTTGGCCCCTTCCTTGCCGTTCCACTTGAACTGTGTCCTGTCAAACGTCTTTGATCGAACCTCCAGCATTCCCGCCGATGGCACTCGCTCTACATTGTTGGTGTAGTGTTTGCGAAACAACAGATAAGATGAAGACGAAAGAAAAGTACGACAAAAAAAATGTGTGCAAGGATGTGAGTATCCGCGCTGTCCACGCTCTATCAACAGTGAGCAAAATAAACGAAAACGAACAACAAAAAGAATAAAGGAAAGGAGAGGGAAGGGAGAGACTTATTCAACAAGAAAAAAGGAAAAAGAAAGAGAACTGACCAATGTCTAAGGCCCGGGCTGTCTTGGGGTTTGACTGCTGACTCAGCCAGAAGCTCCAGTACCTTGAGGCCAGCTTCCTATGGGCGTCCTCGTGGAAGGCAATGCGGACAACGCTGTGGATGTCGCCATCGTACTCTTCGTTGTCCTGGATCGAGATTGCGTAAAATTGGCCTAATTGAGACGGAACGTCACCATAAAGCAGATCGAATGGTGGGCATAAACAAATAACAACTTTGTGGTCAGCAATCTTACCGTACTCTTGTCTTTAATACGCCCTTCCTTTCCCAATCAAGTGCATGAATAAACAAACAGACAAACTCGCTTTTTTTCTGCTTTCATGTCCCCTGCCACTCGTTTTTTTTTAATACCTTTGTTGAGATAGGTAGACGGGGTATCACCCTGGTGTTGCATGGCAGCGGTCTGGGCGTCCAATGTTGCCTTGAATCGAAGGCTTGTTTCATGAACAAGTGACCGATTGAGAGAAAAGTGAGTCGGGTAATCGCAGAAGCAATAATGGAAAAATGGACGGCAAGGTGAGTAATGACGAGCATTGTTGATGTTTGCGTCCTTTTGTCTCTTTGCCTTCTTTGCGATGCCGTATTATTTAGTGTTTAACCAAACACACAAACAGACGAATAAACAAACAAACATATGGCATGAAAGATGATAACGATGATGGCAGAGGGAAGACGGGAAGGGGGGGGGGGGGGGGGGGAAAGAAAGGGATAGGCAGAAAGGCAGGAGAGAGCTAAAAAAAAAAAAAAAAAAAAAAAAAGGAGTCTGGGCGCTACATAAACAACTTTTCACAAAGGGAGCGGAAAACGACGAGAAAAAGCTGTTCTAATAAACAACTTTGCAGTATTTTTTTTTGGTTTTTTTGCTGGTTGTTGGTTGTTTTTTTGGGTTGTTGTTTTTTCCGATTCATACATACTTGGAGTCACTATTGGACTTGGGGGAGGGGGATGTGTCTTCGACAAACGGTTGCTCGATCTCTCCAAGTCGGTTATGTCCTATCGATGATCCTCCGGACGCATAGCCCCGGTGCACCAGATACTCGTCCGACGACAATGACACGGACGGCGACGGGAGTGTCCGTGAAAACGAGTGCTCTTGTTGCTGTTGCTGGTGTTGCTGGTGTTGTGGCTGAAACGAGTATCCATTCGAATATGACTGTTGCTGTTGTTGCTCTTGTTGCTGTTGTGGCGACTGTTGGTAAGAGTGGTTCATGTTGTATGAATATCGCTGTTGATACTGTTGTGGTTGTTGTTGTTGTTGTTGTTGTTGTTGTTGTTGCGGTTGCTGCGGTTGGTAAAGGGATTGCTGGTAAGATGGCGAGGGATATTGGCCACCGTTGGACTGTGGGGTCATTGAGGACGGGAGACGGTAATAGTCTTCTGAACGGACGTGTTGCTGCTGTTGCTGTGGTTCTGTATAATAGTGATTTTGTTGGTGCTGTTGTTGTAGGAGGGGAGGGAGTTGAGAAAAAGATGATGAAGAGGTAGAAAACGGATCGCCTGGTCCCGAGACAAACTTGCTCTGCCCTTGCTTGGAGTGGTGGGGAAAATCAACTGACGTTTGATTCGGTGCAGAGTTGTTGTCAGTAGTGAGATGGGTGTTGGCTGATGAAAGGAGATTGGGATGAGAGTTGGTTCTGGAATGAGACGAATGGCGGTTGGGTGGTGCTGATGAGGAAGAGAGAGAAAAAGAAGAGTTGCGTGGAGTAAACACATTAGTAATATTTATGTTGTTGTTGTTGTGGGGGGGTGGGAGGGAAAGGCGGGACGCAGACAAGGCAGGAGAGGGAAATGTCGGGTTTTGTTGCTGTTGCTGTCCACCAGAACCACTTCCAATGAGGTTGTGGTTATGGTTATGGTCATAGCCCTGTCCTTGACCATTATCTTGCTCTTGCCCTTGTCCGTGTCTCTTGTGTTGCTGACAGTGGCCATGGTTTGAGGGCGACGACGAAGACGAAGACATTATTGTTTTGCTTGAGCCGTCGTAGTTGGGAGGTGTGATGGATAAGAACAAGAACAAAGGTCTGACTGTGTATGTGTATGGAAAGGTTGTCTGCTAATATGGGTGAGTGTGTGGAATGGAGAACCAGAATGAGGACTTGTGGACACAAAAAGGGAATGAAAGAATGAATGATGAGGAGCAGGAAATGGATCGCGACTGTGTCGAAGGAAGAAAAGAACACATGGAGAGAGACGAAACTCTCCTGGTTGGTTGATCTTGCTTGTTGTTGCTGTTGAATGGAATGAGTGTGTATGTGTGAATGGGTGGTAATCAAGTGATGGGAAGAAAACAAAAAGAGTGGGAAGGGGGAGAAAGAGTGAGAGAGTGAGAGAACGAGAGAAGGGACAGTAGGAGCAACAAAGTGGCACTCATAGGTCAACTTTCCGTATGTGCTGGGCACATGGAGCAGTTGTCCTGGATCAATTAAGACGCACTGCGTCTGTGTCTCCCCTTTTCAGAGAGACAATCACACGCAACAAACAAGTTCTTGCGAAATCCAGGCCAGCTTTCTAGTCAGCTCGAAAATTTATCCTTTTCGCTGTACGCAACCAACAGCAGCACTCTATCTCCATCTCTCTCTCTCTCTCTCTCCCTCACTCTCTCTCTCTCTCTCTCTTTCTCTCTCTCTCTTTCTCTCTCTCTCTCTCTCTCTCTCTCTCTTTCTCTCTCTCTCTCTCTCTCTCTCTCTCTCTCTCTCTCTCTCTCTCTCTCTCTCTCTCTCTCTCTCTCTCTCTCTCTCTCTCTCTCTCTCTCTCTCTCTCTCTCTCTCTCTCTCTCTCTCTCTCTCTCTCTCTCTCTCTCTCTCTCTCTCTCTCTCTCTCTCTCTCTCTCTCTCTCTCTCTCTCTCTCTCTCTCTCTCTCTCTCTCTCTCTCTCTCTCTCTCTCTCTCTCTCTCTCTCTCTCTCTCTCTCTCTCTCTCTCTCTCTCCCTCTCTCTCCCTCTCTCTCTGCCCCCTCTGCTAGTGAACTAAGCAAAGAGTACTAACTGTGTGTATCCATAATGTGTGTAGCTCTGCCAACGATCGGAATATAACTTGGCCACATGGCAGAAAGAGGACGACCTGTCATTGTGATACAAGTCATCTATGTTGTCGGAACCCATTTTCTCATTCTCTTTCTCACTTACGCTCTCCCTTTTCTCTCTATGTTCACAATATAAAAAACAAAGAGGACGATGGCCGTTTTATTATTACCGACGATCATCTACCCATTCTCTCCTTGTTGTTCTGTCAGTTTGAGAGAAGAAGAAGGGAGGATAATAAGAAGACAACAATGGGAAACTAAACGTACAATTTTACACTCTCAAGTGAGCGTTCGTTTGGCAAACGGCAACGAACAACTCCCTGTCAGGTGCTTTTCTTTCTTGGTTCCCTGCAAGTCTGCCGAAGGGATACCCCTGTAAATGGAAATGCCCATCGCCCCTCCCCAATTGCAAATGAATGTCTCAGCAAAAGGTTCAGCTTATTTTATTACCGTGCACACACACAGCATCACATTTTCTTCTCTCCTACTCAGCTCATCACTCCTTCTCTCTCCTTTTCTTCATTCATTTCCTCATTCTTTTCTTCGATTCCATTAACTCACTAATCTCGGATTCTGAATGCCCTCTCAACAACCACAACCACAACTACAACTACAGCCGGGTGTGAACGAGCACCCGCTCGTCCTTCAAAAGTCGCCCTTTCACTCTCGATCCAACTCGACCTCCTCCTTCTTTGCCTCCCATCCTATCCATACAACAAACACACAGACCCCTTCAACAGATCCTCTGCCTCAAAAGCGACTCCGTGTCGCGGTCATTGGCTCCGGTCTTGCGGGTCTCACCGTCGGTCACCTCCTCTCGTCCCTCCACACCGACCAGGGCCATGGCGATCTCGGTGTCGATGTCCACCTCTTCGAAAAGGCACACTCCCTCGGTAATTTTTCCTTACTTCCTCTCTTTACTTTTATTCGCTCGACACAAACCACTGCTTATCCTTTTTTTTACATCGTTCCATGACCCCTTGTAATTGTTCCCTTCCACCCCTCGGACCTTTTCTTTTGTTCTCGCACTCGAAACCCCCAATTGTTCTCTGAAACCACAATTAGAAATTACTGGACTCATATGGCATTATTACTAACCCTCCTCTCACATTTTCGGCATATGTCCGTAATGCTCTCAAAAAACTTTGTCTTTTAGGCATGGACTCAGCTTCGCTGGCAGTGAATTGCCCATGTCAGGCATGTGCTATTGCCCAAGGACGATCTCATGGAAGTGGCAGACCAGACCAGGACCAGGACCATATCCACATTCAACCCAATGACACGCATCTCCAGCAAGGAAGGCGCATGGATGTCCCCATGAGAAGTTTCTTCCCAGGTACTTTATTATATTTTTGCTTACAACTACTACCTCCAACCTCATGCTTTATTTTTCAGTTGTGCTCTTGTTGTTGCCATCGTTGCTATTGCTGTTCTATTCCTGTCTAATTGATGTGCGAGGTCACACTGCCAAGGTGACAATGCTGTGTGCTCCCTTTCCATCCTTCTCCTTTCTGACTCCATCTTTTGTTTATTTTGACCATGGAAACTAAACACTTGTTTAACAACCATCGCATCTTGCAACCTCGTCTCTCTTTCTCCATTAGAGTACTACCCAAACTTGGTACGACTCTATCGATCGATCGGCGTGAAGTTCCGTGACGCAGAGAATACCCTCTCATGTTTCAACGTCGACAACGACAACCATGCCGCTACAACCACCCCAAAAGTCCAGGACCCCTATCTCTCCTCAAGATCCTACAAAGCCTCCCTCACCAGCACGGTTACCTTGCCGGATGTGCCCCCCTTCTCCATCCTTAACCCCTTCCCCTTCAGCCGTCGCGTCCTGGGATATTGTCGGATCGCCCGAGACTACCTCCGGGTTCTTTTTGTCTCCAAAGAGTTTCTTTCCAAGGGCCAAATGATGGATATTGGGAAACATCCGATCGAGTGGGGGAACGGACGAGTGGTTTCTTTAAGAGAGTTCCTAGAAGGTGGCGGGTACAGTTTTGAGTTTGCAGAATTCTTTGTGCCCCTCTTTGCCTGTATCTGTACTTGCAGTTTTGAACGCATGATGGAATACCCGGCCTGCGTTGTACTCGAGTATGTGGCGAGGTGCATGCCCTTTGGGCGTATGCAGGTTGTTGACTCGAGCGTCAATGATGTCGCAGAGGCATTGTCGGAGAATATTCGGAGGGTACATTATGGGACCAAGATTGAGCATGTCCTTGATAGCAGGGGTAGGAAGCAACGAAGGAGGAAGGCGAGGAGGGAGGAAGGTGGTGACGATGGCCATGATGATACCGCTGGAAATAAGGACGGGGCAGAGACGAGGGGTTCGGGGCCAGTCATATTGGTCGATTCGGATGGGCAGGAGTGGGCGTTTGATCATGTCATTTTTGCGACGCAGGCCAATCAGGCCGCTGCCACTCTCGCAGGTGTTCAACGCAGAAAGCGATATAATGACGACGACGACGAGGATAGTGGTACCGGAAGCAATGAGAGCGACCAACTCTTGGACTCGAGGCTTTCTACCGCCGCCACCAACAGTGTCAACAACCAAGATGCCCCCCCAGTCGATTCGATCCCTCCCACACACCCGTTCTACGAGTCCATTAGGACCCTCTCCAAATTCCCCTACGAGCGAACCCAGGTGATTGTCCATACCGACACCACATCCTTCCTCCCAAAAGACCCCCAGGACTGGCGGCTCCTCAACATTGCCAAATCCAGCTCTGCAGATGTCCTGGCCTCACCCCTCAACCGGATCTCTAAGGAGCTCGAGCGTGAGATGGCGTTGCGGTCCAAGAAGGCCAAGTCTCCCCGCACGTCGCTTTTTTCGTTGAGGGTCTCGTCGCCTCTGAGTAAGAGCAACAGTCGGTTCCGGTTACCGCTGTCAATGAGTCGGAGAGGAAGCAGTCAACTGGGGATCACGACTAGCCATTCCCTGAGGGCACACTTCGAGGATCTGGAGGCGTCTCTCAAGGACAAGGCTGGATTTAGAGATCCGGCGACGATGAGGAGGTATAATTCTGCCATGGCGACTCATTTGTTGAGATGGGACAAGAACGTTGCAGGAGAGGCTGGGACTCCAGTTCTGCAGACCACGAACCCCTTGTTCCCACCTCGCCTAGGGACTGTGATCGCTTCTGCGTGGTTTGAGAGGCCAGTGGTGGATCCACAGTCGATGAAGGCCCTGGACGAGCTGCATCTCCGGATGGACCGACAGACGATCCGTCGACGCCGTCATAACCGCCAACAGAATCTTCACCATGGTCATCACCAACGTACGTCTTCTACTGCCTCTCCTACTACCCGTCGCTTCTTGCAGGACAAGGACAATGAAGGCCAGGGAGGAGCAGTAAATGACGATGATGAGGAAGTGGAGGAAGAGGAGGATGTACTAGTATCGGATCGAGTCTGGTTCGTGGGCAGCTACGCCTCCCCCGGTATCCCACTCTCTGAAGGCTGTGTCGTAAGCGCCGTCCAAGTCATGGACCGGATCATCGCCTCAGAACCCTCCCTCTGCCTCGCACCCTCCACCACTGCCTCCGCAGATTCCTTCCTGAAGATCGACACCGAACGCCGTCATGCCCGTCAACAACGCGAGCAGTCCGAGCAACAACAACAAAAGAAGCCAAGTGAAGGAAGGAGGAGTACAGTCAGCTCGACGTACTTTGCCGACTCGTGGAAGGAAGCGTTATGGATGGACGAGACCGATCGAAACCGTGGGCAAGTAGAAGGTACGGGAGAGAGTAAGGTGTGGAAGTCGACGAATGTGTTCGTGGAGGTTGCATGGATGATGCTGTTGTACCTTGTTGCACTTGTCCAGTGGTGGATGGTGGTTGTGGTCGAGAGTCTTGGTGGTAGTGGGCGGCGATGGGCGCATGCGTAGTTGTACAGCATAGACAAAAACTTGTATTTTGATAGGTAGATAGATAGATAGATAGATACCCTAAACTAAAACAGAGCCATAGAAAGAAACAGGAACAAGATGAACACCATAGCTTTTTGCCCCCCCCCCCCTCCCTCTTTACTTTAGTTGCTGACATGAGGTCATGCCGTCCCTGGACGACCGTTGCAAACAGGTAATGAAAAAGGGCATGTGGTGCTAAAAGTAAAAAGCAAACAAGAATGTTGCCAATCGTACACGTTTTGCCTCTTCGTTCATGTCCTTTTCCTATCGCGTTTTTTTTATCTTTCATGCCTCCCTACCCTGTCATTCATAGTTGTTATGCCTGTTTTTGTTCTCACTATTTTCTTTTCGATGTCTTGTTGGGATGAGGTTATTCCCCTCCCTGGAAGCTAATAGAACTATCGCACGCGTTGGTTATTTGGTTTCAGTCATCGTCTTCTTCATGTCTCCCTGCATCCCTTGTACAGTTAGTTCGTATGATTGAGAAGACGAGACGACAACCCCAACATGTTTTAATGTAGGCAGATATGTATGTCTACTTTTTTTTTTGTTCCCCTTGAAATAATATTGTTCAAGGGGATCATTAAAGTGGAAGGGGTGTTATTAAAAAAAAGGGAGGCAGCATGAAAGCGAAAAGTGAATGTGGTCCCTCTTGCTCTGGTGGGGTCCCCTTTTTTCACATATCATATCATATGTTCATACCCAGTTGCTCTCCAATGGCGCTCAAAAAAATGAGGGTTCCTTTCTGTCCAACCTGGGTGCGTGTGAGATGTTAGAAAACAGGTTGAACACTCTTCGATCACCATTGAAGCACACGAGGCATGCACCATGAGGTAGTTTACATAGGAAAGAGGAAAGCGGAAAGGCAAGAAAGAGGGTGCAACTGGTTGGAGTTCCGTCGGCTCGTTTCTTTGTTTCTCGTAGTAGAAAAAGAAGAAAGAAAAAAAACATTCCTGTCCAGCCTTAGTTTTGGGAGATGTGGAGGTTCTCGCATGGTTACTCACTCACTCGGAGGGTAGAGCGCTGCATCTTCTTTTTTTCTTTGTTCATCTTTCTTCTCCACCGATTGCTAAGAAAGAGTTCAATGGGCAAGCTCGACATGGAGGAGATGCATGTGCATGTGGGTCAGTGTGCGGAGGTGTTCATCTAATGGTGTGGAGGAAGAGTGGGATGATTTTTTTTTGCAGTCGCGGAAATGAATATATCAGGTTTTTATGCACTAACACTGGCTATGTGAGCAGGCTGTGTGTTAGGTGTGTGTGCAATCAAGAATCAAGGTGATATCTCTATTTTCCCTTCCTATCCAGATATACAGACATACAAGAGTGGGTGCGATCTTGGATTCTCACATGAGATAATTCGCCACTCACTTCGTCCTTTTCTCTTCATCCTTCCCTTTCCTCTTTCTTTCTCTTCTTTCTCTTCCATCCTTTTTCCGCACACTTCTTCAGCACATATATGTATTTATACCCTTCCTTCTCTCTCTCCCCTTTCTTACTTTTCACACCACAGATACCCCCTCGTCTCTCACTCTCACTTCAACAGACTAGGACAACCACAACAGCCAACAACACAAAGCACAGACATCCAACGTCTTCAAAACTGGGCTGAACAACGAAACAAAAATCAGTCTTTTGACAACAGCAAACAGCAAATGGTGGCGGCCGATATCCCGACAGGAGATACTCTTCCTGCTACTATAACTTCCACAACGTCTTCGTCGTCTACCCCCAGAAGCAACCAGGAGTCTCACACCCCATACCCAGACGACAACGACCATTACTCCTACTCGTCTCCACAGGAACCTCTCCTTTCCTCCATCAATACAACAACCCGTGGACACCATACCTCTGATCATCATCACCACCACTCCCTCTATCGATCAGCATCTTCTTCCTCCTCTTCCACATACTCCTCCACCCACTCTCCAATCTTCAACCAACAACAACCCCAATCCCCCTCCCTCTTGTCATCAGGCACGTCCTTCCTCTCGGGCTGCCTCTATTCCAGCATCGCACTCTGTTACAACCGCCTCACCGCCTGGCTCTTCCCCAACGAACCCGAACCCCTTGATCTAGCCTCGACAATCTTCTTTATCGCCCAGGTGCCCTTTATCTTCTTGGTTTTCTTGACTTGGATCCCGAGTTTTCTGGCCTGGCTTGTCGGGTGGAGGGTTAGTCAGGCCGGGGATCGAGGCAAAGGCCAAGGTATGCGCAAGTAAGTTCTTTTTTCTTTTTGTTTCTTTTTTGCCTGTAGGATGGGAAGGGCTGGTTGTCTGCTGTCTAGCTGCAGGGGAGAAGCAATTGGAGTCCTTTTCCTTTTTTTAAATTACTTTTTGGGTTGTACAGTACCGTTGCATGTCATGCATGTCATGCTTGTTTGGTTCCTATTGTTTGTTCAGGGCTCTCATTCTTGTCAAGTTCACTTTCTCTTTCATTCATTTCAGGTGGGTCATTTTTTTGGGGGTAGGGGTGGTGCAAGTGTTGTGTGGAGAGACAACGATGATAAAGAGGAATTTGTTTATTTTGGTCATAATTGTGCCCAATAGAACCTTGTTGTCCCTTTTTTTTTCCTTTTCTTTTTTGTTGACAGCAGAGTGACCACAGACGTGGGCACTCACTGGCAAATGGGAAGTGAAGAATTGAAGGAATGAGATTAGACACATAAAAAAAAAAAAACGGTCGCTAACCTTATTAATCTACCTCTTACGTACAAACTTTTCTAGGACGTGGTCATTACGATTGGCATTATCACTCTCATTCCTCCAAGCATATCTCCGTCATGCTGACAAGTTGACGATCGAAGACTGTCAGGGTCGATCAAGGTCTATCCCCTTCATGACCGCACCCGCAGGAATCCGAGTCAATAAGATCAAGATCCCGGCGTTTCCCTTCAGGAACCGGGCAGAGTCGATTGTTTATGAGCATTTGACGGAGCAGGAGCGCGGGTGGCTTCATTGGCACAGAAAGGAGGCGGACGATGGTGATCATTGTCAGGGAGAGGCTAACAGGTCTAAAGCCAGCCGGGAACAGGAGCAGAGAGGAGGATTGTCGGTCAAGGTGCAAAGGGAAACGGATGTGGAACTAGACATGATTCAGACCGACAGGAAGATGACTCGTAGCAAGAAGACAGGAAAGAAGGCACAGAAGGAGGACCAGTTTGCAGAGGGACTGGATGCAGAGTGGCTCGAGTATGTAGGCCCTGCCGAGACGGATGCTGACAAGGCCGAAATGACGAGCGATAACATGGCGGCGGTGCTTTATTTCCACGGAGGCGGGTATTATACTGGATCCAAGGAGGAGCATCGTGTCCTCATTGGACCTCTCGTTCGCCGCCTCGGCAAGCACGTCCGCATCCTTACTGTAAGTCTTTTGTGCCCATTTGTCGTCTTTGTGTTTTCTATTTTGAATATTTTAAGCTTCGATGCTGATACTTTGCTTTTGCTGGTCAATAGATCAACTATAGGTTGGCACCACAACACCCGTTCCCGGCAGCACTGGTCGACGCATTATCATGCTACATGTGGCTTTTGTACCAATCTGTCTCCGAAACCTTCGGACTCGCCACCGCCAACCCACAACGACCCACAGACAACTTCCAACCACGCCAAATCGTCTTCATGGGTGACTCTGCAGGAGGCGGTCTCGCCCTGGCACTAAGCCTTCTCCTCCGCGACCACGCCTCTCCCTCCATCCCACAACCCGTCAAAATCGTGACCTGGTCGCCATGGTTGGATCTCAGTCAGGCTTTACCGTCGTTCAAGGAGAATGCATTGACAGATTGTATTCCTTATGAGGATTTCACACATTTGCATTCGGATGCTGTTGATGGGATGTTTGGGCACGTAGAGTTCCCTGAGGAAGCGCAGGAAGGTGGAAAGGTTGTGAGGCAGAGGGCGCAGGTGTATTGTCCGGATAGTTGCTTGAAGATGAAGTATGTCAGTCCGCTTTACGAGAATGACTTTTCTGGCATCCCCGACGTCCTTATCGTAAGTTCTTTTCGCCTTTTTGTCCTTGTATTGATTTGGTTGCATCAAGGAACCTTTTGCTAATTATACTTGACATTTCTAACCTCTTGCCATTTATTTACAACGGAAAAACAAAATAGGTGTGCGGATCGGCAGAGAGGTTCGCGAACGAATGTATCCTAATGGCGAATCGACTCGAGGAACAACAACAGACTTGCAGGATCGACATCCACGAGGACATGCCACACATCTTTCCCCTGTTCCGATTCCATCCTTCTTCTGCCGCTGCTCTTGATCGGACGAGTGCCTTTATCCGTGAGGCTGTGGCTGTGGCAGTTTCTGCGGACGATTATACCCTTGAGGCGAGTGGCCGTAATGGAAGGACTGGCAGGAATAGGAGTGATAGTGTGGTGATTCCTATTTCGCCCTCTTCGTCTTCGGGCTCGAGTTCTGCTTCGCTTTCTCCGTTGCCTTCTCCGTCGCCTTCGCCTAGACTCGACATAGGAGAGTTGATTGATGGTGTGGATGAGGAGGGATACTTTCAGGACGAGAGGGGAGCTCATAGGATTCGAAGGGTGGGTTCTTCGTCTTCGTTGTCGTCTGCCGGATCAAATCCTACCTCTGCGACACTTCAACAGCAGCAACGGGAGCAGAGACAGAGGAAAAGACGAGAATTTGACACGCAACCTGTCCAATCCCTCAACCTCGATCTTGCAGAAGAATCTCACCACCAGAACTTGAAGACCAAGAAGAAGAAGAAGAGAACCGCCGTGAACGTGATTGACCTCTCGGGCACAAGTGTGATGAGCTACCACAAGCAGACACGGTTCGGGACTCCCTCAGATCGAGACCGGGCACTCCAAGAAACCGAGGAGGCCGGACTTTTGGATGGTGGAAGGAGGAGGAGGAAGAGAAACAGGTTAACGCTGCAGGATGTAGTAACAGATGCGACGGTGTATGAGTGGGAGGTACTGTTGAGGCAGGGGTACATCCCTACCCGGCACTGGCCCCTTCCTCCTACTGGCGGTGGGCGTAGTAGTGTGCAGGCGCGTCGTCGTCGTGTTTAGAATGTCTAGTATGAACACAAAAAAAAGCTACACAGATAAAGTTCAAAAGAGATATCGCCTTTTCTTAAAAAAACGAATGATGACGAGGAAGCGGGATATATCAATTGGGTGGTTCGATTGAGGTATATCGGGTGATCAAAGAACAAAAAGACAAAAGGAGAAAACGGCTTTTTTTTGTTTGTTTGTTAGTTTTACAAACCAGACAGGGGTTCAAGGCTTGGGTCTATGTTCATTCTTTTTGGCAGGGCCACGCGCGGTTAGACTTTCTAAGCACAAGAAATGAGCATTCGTTTGTGTTCTCTGTTGCCCTTTCTTTTTTTCATTTCGCATTTTCTTTCCATGGAAGAAACTTCCTCACTTACTACCTCACGTGGAAGGAAGGGGGGGAAGGGGATGAGGGGGGGGGGGGTGCATGTCCTTAGCCGTTTCGTCCATCCTCCTTCCCGCTGGCTGGATTTCCCTTGTCCTTCCATCCTTCTCGACCTGAACTCCCTGTGAGTGCATCGTCATTTGGTCTCAGATCGGAGGTTATTCGTCACCTCCCTTTGCTTTGTGGGTTGTCTGAAATGGTAAGAAGTGTTTTTATTTTCAGTGACACCTTTTCCCTTCACGAACTATCTGAGCTGCGGGGAGGAAGGGGGTGGAAAGGGGCGCCCAGCAGCGAAGGAGAGCGAAGACCGGTAATGGTCTTGGTGGGTCATCTGACTTTTCTGTGAGGGGAGGGGTTTGTCTTACCCAGGAGTTGTTGTTTATGTGTGTTAAAGAGTGTCGTCGAGGGGGTGGTGGCGTAACTGTTTGTTCTACGATCGAGATGGGCTAGGGCCTGGGCAATGCAAGAAGGAAGGTGTAGAAGAACGTGTGAAGAAGGGTGAGGAGTGAATACCGAGGGATGATATTTGTGGGCGTGAGAAAAGTAAACAAAGTACTCTTTGCAAAGGGCATTTGTACTGTACCTTTTAGTTTGTAGAAAAAAAAATGTGGGAGAAGAAAGAGGTAGGTCGCACAAACAGAAAACAAAGCAGACAGCTCTTGCGGATTAACGTTTTCATTTCATGTCAAGAAAAAGAAGAATGAGAAGGACCTAGCCCCTCTTCACAGTTGTTGTTGACGGGGTCAATGAACCTACGTGTAGTTTGCAAGAGTTGATGCTTAAATGGTTGAAATGCCCCTGTCCACTTGACCTTTCTTTCGACCCATCTAGAGCGTCAAGGATGGGCGTAAAGGCAAAATGGAACCGCTTGCTAAACAAAAAAAAGCCCAATTGGTACCTCTCCCTTTCTTCAACCCCTTGTCATTCATGTCATTTTCAGGTCCTGTCATTTTCATTTTTCGCTTTTCTTAAACATATCCACTGTAACGGGCGAACAGCCCAGCCCAGCCCAGTCACCCCCCTACCCCTCAGGGCCGACATTCTCAGTCATTCATCATGAATGTCATCATTGAGGCAATTAACAACCGCTTACGCCTCGTCCTTTAACAATGATCAAGAAACGCCGATTACCCTACATGTCAATCCGTTGTCTGCTGGACTTTTTTTTCCCTCATCATCTCGAACAGGTTTCCTTTTCGCCACAATCTTCTATTTTATATCCTTTGGCGCTCGGGTGGTGCATATGCACTCAGTTGCTCCTTCACCGTGAGGTGTTTTTTGAGGCTTTTTTTTCGTTATTTTGGGAGATGGGCAGGGGCACAATTATGAACATAAGAGAACGAGACTGGGCTGAATAAGGGAGGTAATATGCAATAGGAAGTAGAAGAGCGAATCATCTATGCACTTTATTACAAAATAAGAATGAAGCATTGCTCGGCAGGCCAAAGAGGTAGACTATTGAGAAAGAGATGGACAAAGATGGACAAGGAGTATGATAGGATAGACGGGTCAATTACTCCGCATTATTTTTTCCACATCGTGGTGGCCCTGACCCTTTTGAAAGGTGTGGTGGTGGGATGTATGAGTATATGACAGGTACATACATCAGCATCCATATCCACATCCTTATCCCCTAAAGGTAGAAAGAAAAAACGCATAGACAACACTGCGCTCCTTGCTCTGTTTACTTTGCGTGCTCAACCACCAAGCAAACAAAGGGTAAAGGCGCTCGTTTCCTGTCGTTCGCATATAGCGATGCGGTTTTCTTTGTTCCCATGCCAACTTCAGAACTGTCGTCGTTCCATTTTCTTCTATTACGTTTTTTTTTAATTCTCTTCCTTACTTCCTCATTTCTCTTTCTGACGGTACTCCCTTTGTGTGGTCCTGTTTACCAGCAGCAGGTGTGTTGCAAAAATAGACCTTCATTGAATTCAATTGAATCGAGTACTCTATTATTTGTTATTATCTTTGCTCACTGTCCATCAGATTATTTCAGTATGTCTGTTCCCTTCGAATCTTCCCCCGCCTTTGCGTGAACCCTCGGGTTTGGGTTTGACGAAGCAGGCAAACAGTCGGTCAGCAAAAAAAAAAAAAAAGGTGTGAGCACTTACTCAGTGAGGTTGGGAAGGGAAAGGGGAATAACGCCATTCGACATGACATGATGATGGGTTCGTACAGTACACTCGATGTACTGTGCACAAACAAACAAACTAAACAACAACAAACATAAACAAAGGCAGAGAGAGAGACAGAGAGGAGCAAAAAGGAAGGGAAGGGAAGGGAAGAGAGGGATCTATACCCGCTTTCTGGCTTTCTTTTTTATCCCTTGGAGCGAGCAAGCAGCAAGGACGAACGACGGCATTGATACAACAATGCTAGCTAGCGACCATTGTTCGTTGTTGATGAGGACCAGGGTCTGTTTTGTTTCGTTTGTTTGTTCGAGAGGAGAAAAGGTGAGACTGATTGAATAATGATATAGAAATAGAACTGATAAGCTCTATTCAATAATGACACAAATGCAATTCTTAACTTGTGTTGCTGATCAACCCCGAGAACGTATTCGCTGGCTTTTTTGTTTGTTGGTTGCAACTGTGTATATGTTTTTCTGTGTGGTCCAATCTGCTGCCAGCTGGTGCCCACGCACTCTGCCTGTTTCATTCAGACTCTATCTTTTACCTTCTTGTTCAGGATCTCGGTGCGTGTGCTCCATCCCTCTGTTTCCCTGCTCCCCTGCTCCCCTTCTCAAAGAACGGAAGAGGATCAATTGATCACCATCCCTCCGCCGTCCTCCGATGATGACGATGATCGTTGTCCAGTGACACATATGGCCGTCCCATCCCGGCACTCTTTTCATACATTCATTCTTCTCTCTGTCTTTGCTTATGCTTTGTTGTTGTTGCTTGCTGTTGTTTGTTTGTTTGTTTGTTTGTTTGTTTGTTTGTGTACCAGTGCAGAGAGAGAGAGAGATACAGAAAGAGAGAGAAAAGACTGTGTGCGAGTACGAGTGTGTCCGTTCTTCTTTTTTCCCTTCTTTTCTTCTCTCTCTCAACTTCCGCCCTTTGTTTGTCTTCCTCTTTTCCCCTTTCCTCACTCTCTCCGCCTCCTTCCTTTTATTTCGCACCTCTCTCTCTTACCTTCTCACTTCTTTTCTTTCCTTTCCTTTTCTTTCCTTTTCTTTTCTTTTCATCATCCATCCCTCTCTCTCACCATCATCCCCAGCCCACCTCTCACACTCTTACCCTTCATTCACCTCTCTCTCTTTCCTATTCATTCTCTCCCTGTCCCGTGACCATTCCCACTCAAGCCTCTCTCTCTCACTCTCTTTTCCCTCATCGACACCTCCTATTCCTCTATTGGTCACTTCTTCCCTTCTCTCCCTTCCACTCACACTCACGCACTCTCCCAAAATACACTCAAACATAAACTCATACACATTTGATAACAAACAACCATCCCATCCTGCCCTCACCCTTTTAACAGCAACCGACGAGTAGTACAGCAACAATGTTCAACTCGCCGATGCTGCTGGACTTTAACAGCTCCAACCAAAAGAGATCCAAAATCACAAAGGCATGCGACAACTGCAGGCGGCGCAGAGTAAAGTGCGACGGTGTCCCCGACGGCTGTGGGGGATGCAAGGCTGCCAAGACCCAGTGTGTCTACACAACCTCCAACACCAAGCGTGGTCCCCCCAAGGGCTATGTCGAGGTCATTGAGGACCGTCTCGGCAAAATCGAAAACATGCTCACCTCTATCGTTCGAAAGAAAAAAGTTATCAACAGCACAGCAGCACAATCCTCCTCTTCAGACACAAAGGCACACCGTTCCACCACCTCTTCCTCTGCAACTCCTCGCCCCGACTCTCACCTCCACAACGACAACGACGACGACAACGATAACAATAATAACGATGACGACGAAGACGTCGACGACGACGACCATGCTTCGACCTACTCTAGCGACCTCGTTCCCGTCAAGCAACAGCCCCCAGCATCACCCGCCCTTCATCCTCTCAACCCAGCCCGCTCCTGCACGCCCACCTCCCGCAACATCCGGGCTGGTTCTGTCGTCTCACCATTGGGCCGTCACTCGCCTCTGATCTCTCGCAACAGGTCTCTTACCTCTCTCTTACCCTTCTCCCACGAGCCCCAACATCTTCATAACCATGATTCACCGGCTGCGGTGACCCAGGCCGACCTCGCTGCCCTGACCAGCATGTTTGACAAGTTGGGATCGACCTCTGTCCACACCACCGTCCCCTTCCCCTGGTTGACTCCAGAACAATCCCGCCAATACGGCCGCAACCACCTCCAGTTCTCCCTTCAAAGTCTCGAGCCTCCACTCCCCCCACTTGCCCGCACCTTCCCTCCCAACATCACTCCCGACCAGGCCCTTGACCTCCTCAACTCCTTCTTTGACCGCTTCAATACCTTCCTCCCCATCATCCACCGCGCTACCTTCATGAAGCAATGGCAACAGCAACACTGCCGTATCTGCCTCCAGATCGCTTCGCCCCAATCAGCTGGCACTCCCCCTCAATCCAAGACCTCACAGGCTCAGGAGGCCGAGGCACACAGGCAACACACACAGGACCCAGCTGGACCTCTGTCACCGCTACTCATCAATGCCCTTCTCGCTGTTGCAGCCAAGGTGCCTTCGACTAATTCCAAGATGACAACCGAGGATCGCCAACGGGCAGGCAACCTGAGCCAGGGCTGCTTCGATGCTGCACGTCTGTTGTTGGATGACTTTATGGATGTGCCCCGCGTGAGCACTGTCCAGGCGTTGTGTTTGATGTCTCAGTTCCACCACCAGGGCGAGTGGAAGGCCACGCGGAGCAGCGGATACTTGTCGATGGCCATCCGGATGGCACACGAGCTGGGTCTGCACCGTGATCCCGAGAGCATTGTCCAAGGACCAGAGGCAGACGGGCTCCGCTGCCTGTGGTGGTCTATGTTTATCCTTGTAAGTCTTGTTAACATCTATTGGGTTCCCCCCCTCCTTTTCTCCCTTTTGTGCTCACCTTACGCCCTTTTACGAGCATCACACAATCGAAAAAATATTTCCATTGTCATTCTCAAATTGCGTTCAAATATGTCTCACACCCATTAACACAAAACATTAACCTTCGCTTTTCTCTTATCTAACCCACCTCGCTCTACCAACCCTTAGGATCACCAATTCTCTGCATGGCTCGGCCTTGGCCTCATGATGCATGGCAAGGAAAGCAACGTCGAGTTGCCCATCGATACTGTCTCATCCCACCAGGATCTCCGGGGCTTTGTCTCCACTGTCCGCCTCGTCAAGGTAAACTCCATTAATTAATTACAGTCAGCCTTTATTTTCTTCTTTTCGCCCTCTGAAATCCTCAAAACCACACGGGTTAAAACGCTTATCCAATTACTATATCTGTGAAACCCCATTCTCACTCCATCCTTCTCTCCATCGTCTCTGTCATTCATTATAGATTCTGGGTAGCGTGCTTCAGCATTCGTACTCGACCCAGTCCTTGCCTCCCCAGTTTGGCGGCCACGACTCGATGGTTTCTTACATTGAAGGTTCTTTGACCTCATGGCTCAGCAACTTGGCACCCGAGATGCGTTGGCAAAACCCCAACAGCGCTAAGCGAGGCTCACCTGCCTTGGCCATGCGCTCGCCTCCCTCGATTCAGTCTACTCTTGCTGAGGCCAGACGTGCGGCCGCCCTTGCCAAAGAGGCCGGCGAGATTTACCCTGCCTACCTCTACATTGTCTACAACACGACCATGATCCTCCTTCATCGCCCTTACATTGTCGGAGCCGCCGGTTCACCGGCAGCTGCTCAGTCGAATACCATCTGCACTGGATCAGGACGTGCTATTACAGATATTGCACAGGGTTTGGATATGGAGCAGTGCTCCTATGTCGTCAACCGCTTCGCACTCTATGCGCTCTTGCAGGCTGGTGTCATCCACGCCATGAACGCCGTATATGATAAGCGCGGCTCTCAGGTCGCCATGGATTACTACAGACGCACCCTCAGCATCCTCGAGTCCTTCTTCAACTGCTCCTCCTACTCTGGTGGTGTTTCTGAAGGCATCAAGATTTTGGAGCAGTTCTTGGCTTCGACATCGCAGGCTGCAGCGGATGAAGAGAACAACCGACAGGAGATGGATGCACAGATGGGCCAGCAACAACACCAGGAGTTTGCCGAACCCAGCCGTAAGAAGCGCCCCATGGAGTCTTCGCACTCCCAGGCAGCACCTCAGCCTCTTGCACAGGCTGTTCAGTATGCACCCATGACAGCCTCGCCCTTGTCGACCCTCCAGACTCCCCCTGCCATCATCACACAGACGACTCTTTCGATCATGAACGGATCTGTCAACACCCCTTACCAGCAGTACAACTACATTCCAGCAGCAGCAGTTCAACAACAACAGCAGCAGCAGCCCATGGCTGTGGATTTGAGGGAGCAGCAGAAGCAGCAGCAGCTCAAGATCCAGCAGCAGCATCGCCTCTACCAGCAGATGCAGTCCTTTGGCGCCAGCTCGATCTCCAAGACTGGAGAGACCAAGGCCGAGTCGTTGCTTGAACAGCAGCAACAGCAGCAGCAGCAGTTGTTGAGACAGCAGCTTCAGCGCCAGCAGCAGCGTCAGCAGTTGGATATGGAGATGAAGGAGCAGGATGCCAATGTTGCCATGCACCAACAGCAGCAGCAACAGCCCGTTCTCAGCAGCATGGGAGCTCCCGTTATTCCCAGCCATCGCTATGCTATGCAAATCCTTCAACAGCAACAGCAGCAACAAAACCAGAACCAGCAGCAGCACAACCAGCAACAGCAGCAAGTCCATATGCCCATGACGATGGGTGGTCATGACCAGTTTAACATGGGAACCGCTTCGGGTACAACTGGTGGCTTGTTGACCGATGCATTCGAGTATGACCCCACCAAGTTGTGGATGGACTTCTCGGATACCTCTGCCACCACTGGTGTAGGCACTGCTACGGAGACCTTGAACCCTGCACACTTGCAGCAGGGACCATTGGGTGTCTCTGTTGGTGGTAAGGTCGATTCTGACAAGCAGTTCGGTGGATCCCTCTGGATGTAAAAATCGACTTTCCCCTCTTTTTTCTGCTTCTTTACTGTTTTTAGTTTTCTTGTTGTGTTTGTAGTTGTTTATTCTTTTTTCGTTTTATGACCCCCTCCCTCATTCATCATTGCACCTTTACGTTCATCATCTCTTGTATCTTTTCTCCTTGTCTGTTATACTACTTCATCTTTACATCTATCTTCATGAGAAATAAAAACATACCTGTACATACTTCAATTTATCTCGGCGGCGCTGTCGACAATGTAGTGGAAGATGGGAAGGGAGATTGAGAGCGTATGCAGATATGACAAACAATGAGATGTGGATGCGCCATGCGCGTGGCCATTCTCGACGAAAGATGGTCAACGTTTTTTGGAAGGTCTTGGATTAATTTATGGGGCACCCTTTGCTAATTTGTTTTTCTCTCTCGTCGTTCGTTTGTGTTGTCCGTCCAATGCGGACAAAAAAGGTACCTTTCTTATGTGCATTGCATTATGCTTGCCTTATTGTTTTGATAGGGTAAAAGCATGAAAATTGTTAATTCTGCATGATAGAGTAGGACAAGGACGAACGAGAGAGAGAGAGAGAGAGAAAGAGAAAAACAGGGGTAGAGGAGGAATGAAGGGTTTCGTCAATGCAAAGGTACATTTGACTTCAAGAGAACCGTTCAAAGCCCATGGTGCTTTTCTCTCTTTCTTTCCAGATTGCTCGCCCTCTTCTTTTTTTTTGTACATTTCCTCATTCTTCTTCTTCTTCTACTTCAGCATCCTCACCTCCCATCCTTACCAACTGGACGATATCTCATTTATTTTTATTCGGTACTGTTCGTATGTCCATTTGTGCTTGGAACCCTCGGTCAAGATGAGAATGAGAATGGAGAGAAAAGAAGGAGCTTCAAGCGTTTTGGCTTTGTAATTTTGAGCTTCCCCTGTCGTTGGTGTCAATGTCAATGGGTACGTACGTAGAGCGGGCGGTAAGAAGGAGGAGGTAAAATGACAGTTTGCGTCTGTGTGTTATTATAGACGATGAAGGGCGGAGAAAAGATGATAGAAGAGGTGTGGAGAATGGGAGATGAATAGAGGGAAGGGAGATGGCCAATTTGGGCGATAGCTCAGGTACCCAATTTGCGAAACAGTTAAGGAAAAGTGTATAATTCGTCAAAGGTACCTGGCCCTCTCTTCTCCCCTGGCTCCCCTGTTCCCCTTTTCCCCTATTCATCCACGCCGCATTGGGTCCATGAACAATACAAACAAAATGGTCATGTGCGGTATTCTTCTCATTATTAGAGGCCTTATTACTATCCCGCGCCTGCCTGCAGTCTCTGTTCTTGTTGTTTTTTCTTTCGTTCATCCGTCCAGGAACGCATTTCTCACATTCTCCTGCCTAGCGATCGAGAACTCTTCCATGTCTGAGTTGTGAGAGGAGTTGATTTCAAATATGTCTCCTCTATATTGTGGTCGCACAAGGTCACAATTACCTTGCCCCGATCGTCATTTTTTTTCTAGCGAAAAGGAAAAAGTAGGGTGGCACCCGGGCGAGATATTTTTCTTGCTCTTTTGGTTGGTTAGTTAGGGTTTGGTTTGGTTTGGTTTGTTGGTTGGTCGATATTGCGCCTTTACCTTCGTTCTGTGTTTGGAGGTACTTGGGTTGGACAAGAAACTTCAAACCAGGACAAAATAACGGTTCATAGTTAGGAGGTGTATGTGGGTTTTATTCCTTTTGAGAGCGGCTCTAATTGTTGTTTGTTGGTGTTTTCTCATGCATTGTTCAAGTGATCGAGCATAGAGTTGTAAAGTTGGGTGCACTAGTTTGTTTGCAGCGTGGAGAGATATCTGTGCGAGAGGGAGTGAGGAAGAAAAAAGTATAAACCACCGGTTATTGTGTGATGTTTTCTTATTTCTCTTCCTCTCCTTCTTCTTTCTTTCTTTCTTTTTTTTCAGTTCGATCGAGATCGAAGAGCAGTGCTTGTCCACTTTGTTTTCTCAATCTCACTATCATCATCACCTGTGCTGTTTTCTTTTGTTTTGTTCGTTAAAATCAAGGCGTAACTGTGCACCCGCAACCACCAATCCAGTAACACACCTCCTCAGTGACCAACAGCCAGGAACCAACAACCATCGAGAAGCGAGCAGTGTGGTGACCCCCCCCTCTTGTCAACTGTTCGCATTACTCCCATTCCACGGACAATTTTCCTTTCCGCTTGTCCTTTCCTTCAATTGCCCACAAGGTCTGTTGTCGTTAATTAATATGCCTCACCGTCTCGACCATTCGCCGTTTCCTCGATCTCCTTTTCTCACCTTTTTCATTCCTCTTCTGCTTTGTTAATCTTCATTTCCTTCTTTTCATCTCTTTTTTCTCCTCTTTCCTCTTTTCTTCTTCAGTTGGAGTGCTACCTTACATCCGCACCTTCACTCCCATCCTTAATCCTCTAATCCTCTAATACCCTACCCCTACTCCCTTTCTCATCATCATTTGACCAAGGGCAATCCATCCATCCATCCAACTGCTCTTCCTCCACCTCATATACCTTCATTTAACGATCTCTCTACCCAATTTTTTTTTCTAATTTCCAAACATCTCCTTCTCATTTCCCTTCACCCCCTTTTTCTGTTTGAAGTTGACCCGCCCAACCAATTCAACAATGATCCAACGGTCATCGTTTGTACCGACAACGTGGAGAGTCAGCCATCTGGTCTTGGCCCTTGCATGTGTTGCTTATTTCTGTGTGCATCCTGTCTACTCTGGTAATTACCTACAACTTCAACTCGGATGTTCAAGGAGCGCAGGAGTTGACAATATCAGGCGTCAATGGGCACCCATGTCGACATCATCCATCAACTCACACATCCTAACCATCATCTTCAACACTCCTCCAACCCTCATCTCCTCGTCTCTCCCCTCACACCCTCCTCTCATCTGAACATCACACAACATTAGAATGCTGCTACTCATACAGCGAACAAAAACTGCAACCCGCAAAGTCCTCCTCCATTGACACCTACTCAGTCGCCCTAACAGCCAGCTCATGGACTGCAATCAACTCCCCTGGAATGACCTACAAGACTACAGTCGCCTTCTCTTCGGGTTACTTTATCGAAGTCGTCCCTGCCGGGTGTACCCTCGTCAACCAGGGGACGGTGTCGTGTTCTCAGGCCGGCAAGAACATGTTGAGCTTGGCATTCCAGAAGATTACTGCTGTGGGGGATTCTGGTGGGTCCTATCTTCTTGCTGAACATGATGCCGTGGCGGTGGAAGGGGTGAAGAAGGATTACTCGACAGTGCCTGTACCATCATCGAGCTATAAACCTCCTGCTACTACTCCTCAGCCCCCACCTGCAGTGGTATCTGTCCAGATCTGTGGAGAGTTTTGCACACTCTCGACATCCTGTTCCGTCCCCACATCCAACACGACCGCCACGCCGACTCCCACTCGACCTCTCAACGCCACCGCCACCAAGACGAGCCTTTCAACAAAGACGACAGCTTCGTCTACACACACGGGCCTGATGACCACTCCTCCTGCTGCAGCCCCAGAGGTAGAGCCCAACACTAACTCTAACAAGAGCGCGGTGATTATCGGGTCTATCTTTGCGGTGGTAGTCGTCGCGTTTGCGGTTGGGTATGCACTCATGCGGCGGAATATGACCCTCAGTGCCGGTCGTGGAGGGAAGAAGAAGAAGAAAGAGGTTGATCAGGAGGAGGTCAAGTATATCCGGCCCCTGAGCCCGGCCCCTCCTACCCTGCCTCAGCCCCCAGCCCCTGTCGCTGCTCCTGCTACCGCGGCGATGACAATGCGACAATTGGACTCGGCCTCGGGTGGTGGTGTCGATCTTGCATCTCAGTCGAGGGTTCAGAAACCCTCACCACCAGTCGTTCTGGGACCTGAATCCCGACAAAGGCAGGCGCCGCCACAACAGCCTTCCAATACCACCAGCACCAGAACTGCAACGAACACGGCAGCAGCGGCAGCGGCCGCAGCACCAATGGTGACCCGTGGACGTTCCGTTCGAGAAGCCGCCCTCACCAGAAACGATCGACAACAGCCACCCGGTACTACTCTTGCTGGTGGTGGCAATGTTGAGCCAGATATGCGGTACTTGCAAGAGCGACAACGGGTCCTAGCCATGAACGCCAACACCTCTGCATCATCTGTCCCAGCTTTGGTCGAGATGTCTGCTCGCTCGCTGGCTTCGGCTCCGACGTACACCCTCCCACAACCTCCGCCTCCCGCAGATCCGGTGAATATATCTGTGCCCGTGTCTATCTCGACCATGGCTTCCCTCCCTCTTCCTGTCTCCACCGCCGCCGTTAATGGATCCACAACCGCCAGAGCTGCGCTGGCAGAGACCCGTAGGAGCAACAATTCGGACTCGTCCGCCGTCGATACTGCAGATCTCGAGTTCTTGATCATCCCCTTTTCCAACAGCAGTGCCTCCGCTCGCCAAAGGAATGGCACTCGTTCTTCTACTCCTCCGCTGGCCACAAGAGGAGCAGAGAAGGAGGAGGTTTTGGAGGATGTTGATTTGGATGACGATGGTTATGATGAGAGGGAGGGGACGCTGTTGAAGAAGTCCAAGTCGATGTATCCGTGGTCCTCTCGCCGTGGTGCTGATAATGGTGGTAACGGTGTTGCATCGTCATCCACAACGACGGCTAGTACCTTTAATTTTGCAGATACCTCGCCATTGCGCCGGGCTGCTAGTGCAGGTGTTGGTGGTGGTAGCAGCAGCAAGGCGATCAACTACAATAACAACAACAGCAGGAACTACCAATCAAACAGCAACTACAACAACAACAACAACAACAACAACAACAACAACAACAACAACAACAACGCCAATACTACTAGCAACTATCGATCTCCCTATTATCAGCAGCCAGGCGGTATAAGTGGTCAGTCATCGTCCTCCGTCCCGCAGCTCTCGGTGCTGGCCGAGCAACAACAGCGCGTGGGAGTTGCAGAAGGAAACTATTACCCCCAACAACAACAACAGCAACAACAACAACAACAACAACAACAATTGCAATTACAGCAGCACTATCAACAGCAATATCGACAGCAGCAACAGCAGCGACCATCTCAACAACCGCAACAGCAGCAGCAGCAGCAGTATCAACAGAAGCAACAAACGATGGGGTGGGCTCAGAGTCAGGAAGATCTACTGATGAGAGCAAGGTCGATGCCCAAAACGACGATAGGAGCGACGTCGACGACGGCGATGAATGGAGGATTCCCTCCTCGTACGGTGAACACTCAGCAGCCTGGACAGGGGGGAATAGGACAAGGACAGCAACAACGGACTGATCCGCGCGGTCTCTATGGCTATTTGTAGAGATAAGAGACCGATAGGTGGCTTTCTTTTGTAGGTGTTAGCGTTTTGTCATTCCCTTTCCCTTTCGATAGTTACGACCCATGCGCCGATACCACTCCTTTTGACCCTAGTACCCCCTCATGTATCACGTGCGGTCAAAGCGACCCTTGAAAATAAAAGCGCCATCGTCTCATCACGTTTTGTCTTCTCCATCCCCTTCTTACATTCTCAACCAACAAACCACCCAACTCTCCCCTCATCTTCCAGCAAACAACAAAAAAAGCAAATGTCGAACATCAAGCCAACGTCAAAGGAGGAATGGATTACCGCCGAGGACGGCCACGAGATCTTCACAAAGACCTGGTTCGCTGTTGGTACCCCTGTCGCAGTCGTCGTCTTTGTCCACGGACTCGGCGAACATATCGTCCGTATGTTACTATTTTATTCTTTTTTGGTTTCCGACTATTGATTCCACGCCGTGGGCAAAGCAGGAACGAGGTTCCTGTTTCACACGCACACCGCGACCCCTCTTTACTTATTCAATCGCTGCCCTTTCTCTCTCTCTCTCTATCCCCTCCATCCTACTCTCAATTGAAAAACACTCATCAAACAGGCTACGACCACGTATTTGAAGAGTTCAACAAGGCCGGATTCCAGGTCTCGGCTTACGACCAGCGCGGTTTCGGTCAGACGGGCAAAAAGTCCAAGACCCTTGGATCGACCGGTGGATACGATAAAGCCATCCCCGACATTACTGCTGCCCTTGAGCGCAGCAAGATTGACGGATTGCCACTCTTCCTTATGGGACACTCATATGTACGTTTCTTTTTCTTGGTGTTGTTTTTGTGGAAATGTCAGCCGCGTTTAGTGTTTGTTCGTTTTTGTTTTGTCGGTCAGTCCGACCATTCGTTCAATTCGATTTTGATTTCTGAGCATTTTTTAACGGGTCATGTTGCACCGAACTTTCTACTAACCCTTACTATCATCATTCTCCAAAAAAAAAAAAAAAAAAAAAAAAAGGGTGGAAGCTTGGTGCTGAACTACGACTGCATCGGTCCCCTGCGTACAAAGCTCACCGGCCTCATCGCATCCGCACCCCTCGTCCTCGCCTCAGAACCTACGCGCCCCAACGCCCTCACCGTCGGCCTCGCAGGAGTCGTCTCTAGAATCCTCCCCTCCTTCCAAACCCAAATCGCCCTCGACTCGTCCTTCATCTCGCGCGATGCCGATCACGTCCAGAAGTACAATACCGACCCTCTCATCCACGGATACATCACGACAAAGGGCGTCTATGACATGTTGACGAATGGAAAGCTGTTGCTGACGGAGCGGTACAAGGTTATTACAAAGTCCGTGCCGGTGTTGATTGCTCATGGTACCGAGGATGGATTGACGGATTATAAGGCGAGTAAGGAGTTCTTTGACAAGATTGAGGTCGAGGATAAGGAGTACAAGGTGTATGAGGGGCATTTCCATGAGCTCCATAATGAGCCAGAGGACGACCGGAAGGTTGTGATTGAGTATTATATTAACTGGATCCGCAAGCACCTTCCCAAGTCTGCCTAAAGGAAAGGAGGGCTGGCTTTTTCTCTCGTTTGTCTTTTCGCTCGTTTACCCTTTTTTTTTTTTACACCCTTTGCGTGCCCCAGTCCTTGCTTGTTCATAAAAATTAGTTCCTACCTTCTGTTCTTCCTCCATGAGCGGTCGTACTTCGTGTCTACAAAGCGGAAAAATAAAAACACAAAATTTCATTGAAAAACGCGACTGGAACTTAGGACTTAAAAAACGTTACAAGTGAAACGAAAAAAAAGATCTCGCCATCTGGGCGATGTACACGTACAAGGAACACTTGGACAGCTCCACTTTTAATTGGATAAAATTGATGTGTCGTCTTGGACAGGCATCTTTACCTTGAAAAAAAAAAAGCCATCTCTTACTCAAAACTCTTCACGATACACATTGATCAAACAAAGCCAATCAAACTATCGTTTATTACCATTCCAAGCCACATCACCACCTATCTCGCCCCCACTACCTTCTTCTCACCACACCTCCCACTCTCAATACCGAGCACTGGCGCCAGAAGCAGTAGCAGTCGGTAAATCCTCCGGCTCCGTCTCCGACCCAGCCCCTATCGCATCCGTATCATTCAATTGGTTTCGAGGATTCTGGTTTTGGTTCCAGGACAAGTAAGTATGATCACCCAATCGACGTGGCTTGTAGAGATGTCGGGCTGTGAACAAGAGTCCTAGGAAGACGCACAGGACTCCTACGACGACGAATGCGATTCCGAGGAAGGGGTTTCGCCCGCCCATGAAGGATACTGTGGAAAGGACGATTGACTTTGTACCGCCGTACGTTGATACATTGTAGTCTAACAACGCATCATGGTCATAGAACGCGTAACTAGTTAGATACTGGTTACATTATCTCTGCCCTTTCCTTCGCACGCACAAAAAAAACCAAAATAAAAGGGAGGAGGAGGGAAGGGGGGGGACTTACTCATATCAATGTCGATGGTATAAGTCCCGGCAGCAAGATCCTCATGCTCGTTCTTGGCAAACATCTTTCGAAAATTCGGCAGACCCGAAGCTCGCATCCAGACCTGGAAATGCTCATCTTTACTAATGTCCAAGGGTGGGTTCGAAGCCGTGTATCCGTTGGGGTATTTCTTTTCCCAGTTGGGTGGAGGGCGGATTTGGGAGAGGTCTGGGTGTTGTATGAAGAGGTATTTGGTTTGGTCAACTGTCCATGCGATGCCCTTGTCGGTCATATTGTAGGGCTTGAGGCCAGTTGTGTTGAATGGGTTCAGTGTGATATCCAGTGTATCTAATTGCGGACAAGGCAACACGCACGAGAGTGTTAGATGCAAAGAGACAAAAAGATGCAAGAAAAACACGACAAAACTAACAAAATGGGATTACCGTTGAACATGGAATTGGCGATGAGTCCGCAGGGGTAGATCGGGAATCGAATCTCGCCCTCAGTAACAGTCGCCATGGGCTCACACCCACCGCCCCTCAGATCCATCGCTGTCCTAAACTCGCCCGAAAGCTGCTTCAGATCCAGCGACTTGATGTACCTCCGATGGTTCTGGTAGAAATCCGTGAGGCGATAGTACATAAACACGGGGTGCTTCATCGTCACAGGGACATCAAACTTGATCGTGCATCTCGTCGTCGGCCAGGTCGCGTTATTGGATGCTCCAACCGCTGGGATGGCCTTGAACTCGGGTGGGTTCCCGTCGCCGGATGAGCTAGGGAAGTTGGACGTGTAGAGGTCGGAGGGGACTTGGACATAGTTGGTTCCAGCCTTGTCGCAGTTTGTATAGTCGATCACGATCTCTGCCACCTATTGGATTTTTTTCCAAAGTGAGTGGTGATAATGGTGTGGTAAATAAATAGCTGTTCCTTTGTTGGGTTGCATAGATGTGGCTGAGCTGGGCTGTTTCACTCGGCGGGTATATATCCTTCTAGGCTGTCCAGCCCCCAGTTTCAGTTGTCAGCGACAATCGAAAATTGTCGCAAAAAAAAAAAGGTCGACGACAGCCAACCCTGTCCTGCCCTTTACTACACAGCCTGCTCGGGGATATTTTGCATAAATCCCAGGCTCTTTGCTGCGAAGAATTCCCGTCCATTGGTCGGCTGTTTTTATCCTGCTGGCTACGTCTACTGCGTAGTCCATTCTCTCGCTCTGCAGGAGCGGGAGTGGATGCTGCCGCCTTGCTTTGCGTGCTTTTGTGATTACTGCTCTATTCTGTTCTACGATTCGCTTGGCTGCCTTTTGCTTCAATTGCGCGCAGAAATGACCTGCTTTGCGCATATGCAGCCTATTCGCTCGCTTCTTATCTTTGTCCACACCACCTCACGGGCCAAGCAAAACTAGGCGAAAAAGGGGGGAACTGCCGTTCTTCCGTCCAGCTGGCTCTGCGCATGATTGTGCGATCCTGTCCCCTGTCCAGTTATCGTCCTGCGCATGCCGTGCCAGATCCTGTATAGTTTATCCAGTTTCCCGCTCGGTCGCTTTGCAAACAGTAGTTACGTTAGACTAGCGTCATGGACTTACAGTGTCGCTAGCCCAGAGAAGGAGACCGCCGAGGGGGGCAAACAGGATGCCGATGATGATAAATGCAGGCAGGACGGATTTGGGTGTCAGGATAGGCTGCCATGCCTTCAGGCGCTGTTGTTTGAACGCCGTGTCTATTTGTTGTCATAATGCCAGTACATGTTGGTTGTCGTTAATGTGTGAAAAGCAATAAAAGCCTAGTAATCCGGTGATGCACACGCAAATGAGAGTGCAGTGTAACGGTGTAGAATGTTGCTTGATGTTGGAGAGATGTGTGTTCGCTTACCAGCAGGTTTCCTGCTCTTGACTTGCTCCTTGTCCTTTGCATCGGGCGACATTCTTCCAGCTTGGTGTCCGTTTTGTGTCCTGGTTTGAGTTTTTTCTTGCTAGGCCGCTCCTGGTCCGTGTTCGTGCGTGCGTACGTTCGTTTATGGTCCTGAGGTCGATGGGAGTCGATGGAAGTGAGTGAATGGTGCAGTGAGAGTGTGAATGAGTGTGAGGTGATGGATGAAGAGAAGAGGAAGAGTCAACTCCACTATTGACTTTTGCTCCCTTTTTTTTCCTCCTGACACGCACACACAACAATCCACACGCCCAGTAGACAGCCAACGTGCACACAACAACTCCCTCAGCCTTTGAAATAAAAGTCAGGCTGCTTTAATTTCTTCTAGGCTCATTACCACCGTGTGTATGTATACTCATGGATCTGCATTTGTTTGTTATCATAGAGTCCTTTGCGAATACACATCCGTAGGCGTGTAGTTGCGGTTGCTGGGATGTTTCCCATAGTAGTTTTTGCTAGGAGAGGACGCGCTCAGGCGAAGCCATCTGCAGTGATCAGAGACAAATGTGTGCGTGTGTGGTTCGTGTGCTGATCTCTGATCAGTTCAGACAAAGGCTCAGCAAAAATAAAAATAGCGGTGGCAATCTACTCCTTCTCCTATCGTTTTCCTCACACGACCAAACAGGCACGCAGGACCTTGGCTGGAACTCCATTCTTCTCTTCTTCCAAACGGCACATTGCCGTTGCTGTTGTTGGTTTCTCGTCTGTTGTGGTTTATGAAGGCGCAGTTAAACCTGAACTGCAACAGAAAAACAAAGCTCCAGCCCAACCGTCATCGCCTTTGACCCTGCCACTTGTTGTCACAGCCCACCTTCGCAAAACCCTTCGTTTAGTTTTCGTTCTCGTCCTTCTCACCGTTTGTTTATTTGGTGTCACATAGCAGGGTCAGTGTCAACGCAGCGGTTTGTTGTTGATCTTAGTTCAATTGCTGGCTTGGATGCAAGCCATGCCAACACTCCAAATGATGTTCCGCACACCCCGCACACCCCGCTCACCCTCCGCCCCGTGCATTTTTTACAGTTTCTTCTGATGTTGTTGATTCGAATGCTGATGAAGCTTATTAACACATGGGTACGATCTGGGGGGGGCCGGGTGCAAGGGTCAGTTTATTTTTGTCACTTACTCACTCCAATGCCGAGATGAAAACATTCTTCAACATTAAAAAAGAGGGTATGTACTGTGTATGCAATGCTCTAAAAATGGCCTGGCTCCGACTCCCATCCATTTTTTCGAATATGGGCATACACACTCAGAAGGGCTCACTTACACTGTTTTTGCTCCGGGCCCGCCTCGTTCTTTTTTTTTCTCCCGGCTCAATCATCCTCCGTCCCATTCGTTGGATTGGAATGGGATAGATGGTTTGCTCTATTGTTGATGCTCATTTCCCTCGTTGTCACTCAAAACTCGCGTGAGGAGGAGCTGGCTTTTTTGGCCTCGAGCCACGGCAGACTAATTCCACCCATGTCCCGATTCCGAAGAGTGAGAGAGATGACCAGCTGGTGAGTTGTCCTCCGGGTATGGAAATAGCTTCGGGTATGAGAGCAATTAGTCCGGCGGCTTTTCATAAGAGACAATGCGCTCTCTCTGTCTGAAGCAAGGTAAGGGTACAGGGCACTGTGTTATCGCGATCTATTCAGACAGCCTACCCATGGGAAAGGGAAAACTAGGAAGGAAGAGGGGAACAAAGTAAGGGTCGAATCCGAAAAAAAAGGCAACAACAAATAAATCGCAGAAAGTGGCAGGCACCGAATAACCACCAAAAAATAAACACATCAGGAGACCCCCCGCAAGAAAAAAGAAATCAATCGAGCGCGTACGCTCGCAACCGCGGATGAAGTTTTAGCTGTTAGCCACTGCCCAGGAGAGTTTCCTGTTCGGCATTTTGTCTAACAAGACAACTCGTTCGTTCACCGGAGTAGGGGTACGTACGTTCAGGTATGTGTTCTTTTGGATCTGGGCCGTTATTGTGGTCAAAAGAAATGAAGGGTGCGAGTCGGGGAATAATATGTGATGACGGGCTTAGAGTGAGGTCCGCGCAGCCTCAGCCCTGCCCTACATCAATTTACTTCCTTGCACCCCTTAGCCTCTCCTTGGGCTCTCATACTTTCTTCTTTTTTTCCCGCCTGTGTGTGTGCTCCATGTCAAACGCGATAAACCCTCCTTGGGACCAGAAAACGGGAGTCTTCTTTATCTTCCTTCTTATGGTATAGAAAAGAAAGAATAGAGGGGCGAGGCGAAGGGAATAGGCTAAATTGTATACACAGCAATGATGTGGCAGAGAGATGTTATTTCTTTTTTAGTTCCGCGGGCTGGACTAGGCTTGGTGTTTGTTGGTTTTTGGTTGGTTCGTTGGTGTAATGGTGTAATGAGGTCGTGTGCGTTTTATTTTTGTTTGGTCGTGTGCATATGCGCATGCGTGTGCGCTTTGGAATTTTTCTTTCTTGTTGGTCGTGTGAGTGAGAAGGGTTTGTGTGGAGCACAGGGTTTGTTGCATACCGCTGCACAGTCGCTTTTCTTCTAGCTCTTTTCGTACTCGCCTGACCGACAAATGGCGGACATACGTACACACAAGAGAAACGGCATTCGCGAACAATGCGAAGACGTTCATGCTCTTTTTCTGGTTGATGAAAAGAGAGGGTCGAGAGAGAGAGACAAATGAGGAAAGGGGTGGGGTGGAAGACTCCAATTTCAGATTAGAAATGCTGTTGATCGAACCACCTCACACGAGCAGAAAATATCTTTATTAAACAGGTTATTCCTTTTGCCGATTCGTCCGGAAAGGAGATAGAGACTGAATAGGTGTGAGTAAGCGAAACCGAGAATTTAACAGAAAAGAGACATAACGAGTGCTATGTTTCCTGTAGAGGACATTTTGATCCACAAGGATTTTGCCCTCTCAATACCCAGATCCAGACCGACCTTTGTTGATATTGGTTGGTGTATATTCTTCCTCCACGCTCCTTGCTCATTATCTTCCCGCTACACACCGCCACGCCTAATTGAATAAAATGAGCAAAAACGAGGGAGACGAAGAGGAGGTGTGTGGACAATGGGGTGAAGAAGGAAGACTCTCGTATCACCCTGTAGGACGATTTCTAATGGAATCGAGAAGGAGGATCAACGCTTGTTTTTTGTTTGTGTTAGGGTCAATGGCCTTGCACTTAATCCCTGCTTGCACTGCCCCTGCCGTTTGCTCTCTTTTTTTCTTTTTTTTTTTTTTTGGCTGCGCGGAAGATAGACGAGCCAGATGGCAGGTACTATGTCTGCGATACGATATCTATTGCAAGGTGGGACAACAAACATACCTTTCTGTGCCGTTTACAAAGAGAGGTGTCAAAAGTGTCGCCTGGTGCTTTTGAAGCTCTCCCTCTCGTGTCCAACTTTCAACCTCCACCACTGCCCTGAAGATAAAAATAACAAAAACAAGTTTTTAATATCATTTGAGTTCTTTCTTGGTGCCAAGTTCGGTCGTCGTTTAAATTAGACATATTGAATGAACCAAAAAGTAGGCCAGGTCGAGCGCCTTTTTTTTGAGTTAAAAGCTTCCAGGTAACGATACCTTTTCTTTGGGAATGCGAAATGAAAAGAAGGAAAGAGCTGATCCAAGGGCCAAATGGCAACAAGAAGACTGAAAGAAATGAATGAGGTGAACAACATCAGCATCAACAAAGACAAGAAGGGTTTGCATCTCCGATGCTGATGTGTGTGCAGTACAGGACAGCATCAGCGATGCTGCCTCGAGTCTTCAGATAGTGATAATAAGCGGGATGCGGCAAGAGTGCGAGAGTCAGACCGCGCAATTCAATGGCAATTGAATAATAGAAGAAACGGTGTTTGTTTAAGCCTGTGTCTTTGTTGTCTTTGCTTTTGCCCTTTCCTTCTTTCGTCGTCAATTGCAAAGCGCTTTTAATACTCTATCGGCACCCGCTCTTTTCTCTTCTTTCTTTTTCTTTCTCTTTATCCTTCTCGCTTTCCTCCTTCAACCCAACAACCCTACACCCTTGCCCTTGACTGGCGCACCTTTCTCATCCACCCAGCATCATCGCATTTGCATACCTAATTGATACACCTTCGTGCCTCTCCTTCACCCCACAACACCCTGCTTGCCTGACCATACCGCCTTCTTGACCCATCTTTCCTTCCTTCCTTCCTTCTTACCCTCCTTCACGCCCACTGCGTCGGCATCACATAAACACACGCCCATCCTTCTTCGCCTTTCCAATTAGACTGTGAACAGTCGACCCGAACCAACGCCTTTTTTTCTTTGTTCAAACCTAATACAAAACACCAACAACAAACAATACAGGTAAATTTATTAGCAACGCCCATTTCTGTCTTAGGTCTCTTTTCATTCTCTTTCTTTATTTATCTACTTGGTAATGCCTTTTTTTTACGTTCGCGCCCCTCCTGTCACTTGGGTTACATCCGGGGGTCTCACTTTCACCCGATCGGCGCAGGGTGTTGTCGTGTGTGTATGATTGTTTTGGGAACCCATGGACACCACCACCTCACCTGAACCTGGACCTAGGCATTGCATTTCATGTTCCTGGCGCTGACTTCCTGACATGGCTGGCTGAGCTCGCGATAAAAATAATTATCTCAATTCAATCCCACATCCATCTCAGACAGTTTTACTTTGTTGCGTCCGTTGCACTGTTCAATACCGCTTCTCCCCTCTTTTTCCTTTCCTTCCCTTTTCTACTGCTTCTGCTGACGAGATGTTTAGTCGTGTGCGTATCTTGGTGTTTATATTGAGACAGAGAATTGAAAAAGGAGTAAGTAGAAAAAAAAAAGGGACCATGGGACACAGGACAAGACAAGGCAAGACAGAGACGAAGGGGGGGAATGACAAAGGAGAGCTGAAAGAGAAAGAGGTCGAGGGTAAAAAAAGAAAAAAAGTGACCTTACATCGTTCGTGTCCTTTCTACCTGCGGTGGTGGTGCAATGGAGACTACTTGCGATCCATAACATCACACGACCAAAAAGCACATTAGTGTAGCAGTTGCAGCAACAACATTGGCAGCTGCAGACACTCACACTAGCAGGCTAAACAAATTCCGAGGATGTGTTCACGCCATCCTCACCCTTTTGACCTGCTTTATTTATCCCCTTGCCCCTTCTTCTCTCTCCTCCTTTTCGTTCTTTTTTTGGCTGTCTTTTCCTGGGTTGCACTTCTTGTATGTGTTCAAAAGAGGGGGGAATTGAAAGAGAAGATACTCTCAATCGCGTGGTGCATATTTTCTTTTAGTTTTTGTTCTATTCTTTCCATCGTGTCTATTTCTGCACTTCAGTTGCCCCTGCTACTCGTGTACCCTTGTTTAAGCTGCTGCACAAGCAACAACGCAAACAAAGAATGCCATCTATTATATCTCCAGACAAACAGACCAATTCTTTTTTATCTTTCTTCCTGGTCCTTGTCCTTGCTGTTACATTACATACACACACCCACACCCTAACCAGGCAACGAGACATGGATGGAGGCTGTTTAAAAATATATTTCATACCCAAAGACAGACTTTTTTTTTCTCCCTCTTCCTGTGTCCAGCGGGGGCTCTCGAACTCTTTTTCTTTTCTCTGTCTGTCTTTCATTCGCACTCTGTTTATACTGTTTCCTGGGCCACTGAACCTATAAGTGGACTTAAACACTATTACGCTGTGGGTATATGTCCCATATGCATCCCATGGCCCTCAGCACCGTTTGGGACAATTGAACTCGTCTTACTCCTTTGCTTTATGTGGCGATTAACTAACCCTCGTCTCTTCTTTTCTCTTTCTTTTCTTTCTCTCTCTCTTTTCTTTCTCTCTCTCTTCTCTCTTCTCTTTCTCTTTCTCTCTCTCTCTTCTCGCTCTCTCTTCTCTCTTTCTTTTCTTTTCTTCTCTTCTCTTCACTCTCTTTTATCTCCTCGCCCCTCATTTCCATTCTTCAATCATTTCCTCCACTCCTCGCCTTCTATACCTCCCTACTTCCTCTCTTACTTCATACCCCTCACCAGACTAATAGACTAGCACCTCACACGACCAACAACACCATATATCCGACAAGATGAAGTTTGGAGACCACTTGCGCCAATACTCCCAGCCAGAATGGTCCTTCAACTATATCACATATGACGAACTCAAATCCGTCCTCAAGCTCCGTACCTCATCAGGTCTCTGGAACGAGACGGACGAGGGCTACTTTGTCGAGATGCTCGAGCGTGAGCTGGAGAAGATCCACAGCTTTCAGACCGTCAAGATTGGCGAGATCCACCGAAAGCTCAAATACTACAACGCCCAGGCCCAGGACTTCAAGAAGAACGGCGCCGAGGAAGAGACTTGGGCTGCACTCGAAATGGAGATCTACCGAGTCATTGCCGAGATCGATGTCCTCGCCAAGTACACCCGCCTCAACTATACCGGTTTCCTCAAGATTGTTAAGAAGCACGACGTAAGTCCCTCCCCCTCTTTCTCTCTTACATCTTTCTTCCTCCTTTGTCTTCTCTTCAATTCCCCTTCCCCTTCCCTTGCCTTGCCTTCCCGTCAATCTTCATACCAGGATCATTGTCAATTGCAGCACCCTTCGTCTTTTCCTTCTCCCCTCCTTCTCTCTTGACTTTCTCTATGATTATTACCCAAATTTTTTTCAGGCACCACACGTCCTGACAAAAATGAGGAGAGGCTGAGGCGGGACAGGGGCAGACAGACACCACACCAATCGAGATGACAAACGGAAATTCCTCCCAACGCACACTTCTTCTATCCTGCAAACTTGGACTCAACCATGAGCCCTCTTATTCTTTTCTGCTTTTCTCATCCTCCACAAACTCACAAACATACAAACGCACACGACAACAAAGTAATTCCTCCGCCCCGCCCGTCCCTCCCAGCCCTCCTGTTTATTGTTTTTGTTGCTTTGTTGGCTGTACACATCGATTGGTGTGCAATCCTCCATTTGGACCAGAACTTTTTTTTTCGGCTCCACATGCGATTTTTATTACCATCTGGGCTCTCTTTGCACCTTCCTGTCCTTCCTACCCTTCCTTCATTGCCCCCCTCTCTTTGTCTCTTCTCTTCTGTCTTGTGTCCAATCCATTCCCCTCCCACACACCACACGACCTAACTGAAAACCTTGCCCAGCAAAAGTACAAAACTATATTCATTTTTCGATCCCCCGCACGAAGACAATAACGCCATGTCATTCGGGACAGCAACCTTTTGAACCATCCAACCCAAAACACAATGCCAATCAACCATGAAATCAAAGAAAGACAAAACGTCCTATGATATTAATACAATTACTTATTTTTATTACCATCTGATAACAATAGAAACAAACAGGATGGATGTTGAAGACCATCTTCCATGTCCGTCTGAACAGCAAGCCCTTCCACAAGGAAAGCTACGACGCCATCATTGTCCGCCTCTCGTCGATCTACCACACTGTCACCCTCCGCGGACAGAAGCACACAGGAGACGAGAAGTTTGCCAACTGGGGGTCGAGCGCCTTTGTCCGTGACACCACCAAGTACTGGATCCACCCCGACAACATCACTGAGGTCAAGCTCGTCATCATGAAGCACCTCCCCGTCCTTCTCTTCAACACCAAGAAGGAGTTTGAGGAGAACGACGCGGCCATCTCCTCCGTCTATGTCGATAACGAGGAGTTTGAGTGCTACCAGGGACGTCTTGAGAAGTCGGATATGGCCCAGGCTATTCGTATTCGGTAAGGCTTATTTTCTGATTTGTTGCTCAATGGTTGTTTCTCTTTTATTTATTTTTTGCTGGACTGTTGCGTATATATAACGGTGTCTAACCTTTCTTGTATCTCCCTTTTATATGTAATTTCAATCGCCGTTTCGGTCACCAATGCAGCTGGTATGGACCAGAGCCTACCGATAACGGACAGTGCTTCTTGGAGCGCAAGGTCCATCGTGAAAAATGGACTGGCGAGCAGAGTGTCAAGGAACGTTTCCCCATCAAGACAAAGTACATCAACCCATATCTCGAGGGCGCCTACACCATGGATGTCAAATTCGCTAAGCTCTTGACGCGCGGCCAAAAGTCGGTCAAGGATGTCGAGCTCATGCAAAAGCTCGCTAACGATGTTCAGACCAGCATTGTCGGTAAGAAGATGCGCCCCGCCATCCGCGCCTTCTACCGCCGTACTGCTTTCCAGCTGCAGAACGATGCCCGTGTCCGTATCTCGCTGGATACCGAGTTGGCCCTGATTCGTGAGGATGACTATGGACGTATCCGTGCTGGCAAGAACTGGAAGCGTGAGGATATCGGTATCGACTGGCCCTTCCGTCAGCTCCCCGCCGAGGATGTCACCCGTTTCCCCTACGCCGTCTTGGAGGTCAAGCTCCAGACCCACCACGGACAGGAGCCTCCAGCGTGGATTGTCGAACTCATCAACTCGCACTTGGTCGAGTCCTGCCCCCGTTTCTCCAAGTACATTCACGGTGTCGCCACCTTGCTTGAAGACAAGATTCAGATCCTCCCCTTCTGGCTGCCAACCATGGACCAGGATATTCGCAAGGCCCCCAACACCGACTTTGGTCTGACCGGTTTCTTGCCTCGCCAATGGCCCGTCGGCACCCCCACAGCTGGTCTCCCCCCCCCAGTTCCCCAACGGCCACTTCTTATCGGTGCCCCCGGAATGGCTCTTGTCGAGGGCAGTGGACCCAAGACTCTCTCCGAGTTCGAACCCAAGAAGCCCAAGCTGATGGACAAGGCAACATACCAAGCCAAGATGCTCGAGAAGAACGCCGCCAACAACAATCGCCGGTCACCACCCAACAACACCTCCAACCCCTACAGCCAATCCAGCGGAGCCTCCTCAAACGTCTCCCATCCCTTGGTCGACCAAGGCCCCGTTACCCCCAACAGGGGGCCCATCGTCGGACAGCCCGTGCGCCCATGGCTCGATAACCGCGACTCTAGGTCCTCATTGGCTCCTTCGGAATACACAGCCTTGGCACCAGGACTGACAGAGAAGACGCCCCCCATCAACAGCAACGCCGGTGTCTTGCGCAAGAAGTCGACCATCCGTCGCAAGCGGCCAGCACCTTCAGCGGTCGGTGGAGCTGGTGGACCCGAGAGAGCTGGCTCTGTCAAGCGTGGTGCTGGAACTGTCCGCATGGAGCCCAAGGTCTTCTTCGCCAACGAGCGTACCTTCCTCAACTGGCTCCAATTCACCGTCCTCCTCGGAACTGTAAGTCCCTCCTTCCCCTTTACTTTTTTCCTTCATGTCTTTTGTGCAGCTTGTTCCAACGGATTCTAACCCATCTCTCCCCTTGTTTTCTCCTACAGATCGCCTTGACACTCCTCAACTTTGGTGACAAAATGTCCCGCATCTCGGGAGCAGTCCTGACAGTGATCACCCTCCTGGCCATGGTCTACGCCCTCGGAATCTTCCACATCCGTCTCTCCAACATCCTCTCCCTCAAAGCCAACCGCCAATTTCACGACCGTATCGGACCCACCGTCCTCTGTGTCTTCCTCTTTGGTGGATACTTCCTCAACTTTTACACAAAGTTCATCTCCTCATCGTCGACCACTACTAACGGTACTGCAGCATAATAAGAAGTGGCGCTTATTTTTTTTAGTTTTTAGTTCTTAGTTCTTTTTACAGTACACTTGTCATTTACATTACACATAGCTAGTTTTCCTTCCTTTTTGTTCTTCACCTTTGGGTTTCTTTTTGAAGCATTTTGTTTAAATCATTTAATACAAAAAAACACACGATTTCATTCAAACTTACTGGTCTCGTGTGGGTTTCTGGGCTTTGTGAACATTGTTGCCGAGACGGGTGTACCAGTCCTGATGAAATGGGTTTGGAAGTGACACGCTTGTATTGGTTGAACGAACGTAAGTCCAGAGCTGGTCCATGAGTGAGATATGAGTTGGGCTAGCATAAGAATCAAGCGAATTGGGCGAAAGAGGGTTTGTTCTTGTTGACCCATGTGTTTGAGGCGGTTGGGGGTGGTAGGCGAAAGAGGGGCCTGTACTGGACATAGGAGATGGTCGACAAAAAGGTTTTTGAGGCGTAGGTTTTGGGCTCGATGAAAGATAAGAAAACAAAGCCCTTGCTATTGCTATTTGATCCAGTCTTGACTTGCATTTTCAATGTTGTGGTGGGAGAGAGAGAACGAGACGCAAAAGGTGAGAGAAAGGGGTGCTCGTGTGACTTAGATTGATATCTTTCCAGGCTTGGTCTGCGTTAAATAACGAGCAGGAATCTGCGATTGTGTTTGGGACGCGATCAAACCACCAAAAAAAAGGGGGGGGAGGAAGATATTCTAGCTTCACGACGGCCATGTTGCCCTTTCACCTGCTGCTGCTCATTTCTTTGTCGGATATGAGTGTTCGTCATGTTGATGACCTTCTGGCTCCTTTTTCCTTGACCTTGTCCAAGTCTTTCTATTCTTGTCGTCCATTTACGCCCATTCACTTGTCTTCGTCCTAGGTCTTCCTGTTGGTCGTCTTGGTTTTCTTTTACTTTGTACACGATTTCGTTGTCTTTGATGGCTTGGCGATAAAACATGTAGGCTTAAGACGACCTCATGCTTTTCATCGATACGAGAGCGAGAATGTCGGCCACGTTTTCGTTTTGTTCCAATGGTCGTCGTCCTCGTCCGGATCGAAGTCATTTCCATATTCGCCTGCAGTGTTGTCCTCGTCTCCTTCACGGTGATGCTTTTGGGGCGGGTCTGAGTTGCTGTCATCGCTACTCTACCATGCTAAATGTCTGGAGTATCCACAACAAGCATTCAGCAAAACAAGAGTTTGCCTGTCAACCAACCCCACCTGACTCTCTCCCTAAACCTCTTACCTTTCATATTCTATAATGTCCTCCCCCCACCTTCCTCCCTTTTCTTGTGAATCATTATCATCTTCCTCCTTTTCGTGTTATTCAACCATCCGCTGTTCCACCCTGCATTTTTTTGGTTACGAATTCAGGAATGAGACACGATTCAAGGCTTCCAAGCAAGACACGGAGGACATCCTGTACTCTTTTCCCTGATCTCGTTCTTACACGTCCTTTCTTATCCATGTCGTCGTCGCCGATGCCACTTTTTGTCGACTTTGCTGTGGGGGTTGTCCCCTTAGTTTCCGAGTGCATGATAGACCAAGCGAAGTAGACACGTTGACGCTGATCCCGAACCTCCTCACACAGATAGTTCGAACCGAACACATCGCTGTTTTTGTCGTTCAAGGATGCAGAGGATGTAGTGTGCAATGAATGTTTTGTACGTGTGTGGTAGTGGTGCCGCCGATGTGTTGACATTACTTTACTATGCCGCACGTTGTTGATTTGTTGTTGGTCGATGTTGCACTCGATTTTGCGTACAGTCTGCTAAGAAAACTGTCCCTAAAAAATTTTCAAATAAATGAATTGAAATGTTATTCAGTCAGAAATTTTATTCAGTCACATGACGAGTCCTCCACCTAGGGACAAAAAAAAGAGAAGGTTAGGGACAAAAAGCAAAAACGCGCATGGTGAGATCCCATCATCCATGACAACAACACCAACATGCCACCGAAACGTTCCCTCCCTACAACCACTAAGAATGCGACCTCCAACAAGAAAAACGATAAACCTATCAAATCAAGCTGACCCTATACGTCCCTACAACCCCCCCTCATCAGCGACGTGTCCCAATTTCCATCAGACCAAGTGCTGGCGCCTTGTGCTTCATGATCTGTATGCCCCTCGTATAGACGTTATCAGCTAGAGGAGAGCTTGCACGCTCGTCGGTATCATATGGCGCCGTGCAAACTGGGCTCGAGACAGGTAACAGGGCTGGCTCGCTAATCACCCCCTTCATAACAGGTTCGGCTGACAATGACTCCTCGGCTAGATCCTCTGCATCCTTTGTTCCTGTGGAAATAAATATCCAGTTCCAGTCGTTGGCCTCGGATACTCCGACAATAAGATGCTCAAAGTGCAACCGTGCTTCCTGTTCATAATCGTTGCGCCGTGAAAATTGGATGGTTTCCTGCTGCTCCTGAGGTGCTATCCGTCGCAGTCGTAGTTGCTGGCGCATCTTCTCCGGTAGAACAAGAGTCTTTGCAAAACAATTGCGCACTGTATTTGGCTTCACTCGATTCCATGAATAAGTGATGAGCGATCATGCGTAGCCATTGCTGATGACCTTGCTCTTTTCGTAGGTGCGAGCGAGACTGGTTTGGCGGCTGAGAAGTTCCAGTAGCGCTCGTTTGAAGACACTGACGATGCCAATGTCGAGTGGTTGTGTGACAGAGGTTGAGTTCTTGGGCAGTCGTTCTATTCTGAGGTACTTCCAATGCTTGAGGCAGCCGTATGCTGGATCGGGATCGTCGATGTCATTGTGCGCAGGACAGGAGTCAAGCAGAAGAAGGGTGCGACGGCATAGGTCACCTGGGCGGCCTCGTTAATCTTGCCATCGACAGGAACATGTCTCGACCTTTGGTCCTCCAGCCATAGAACTAGAACCTCCTCCACAATCCTGTTCTTGCGGTTGACAATGCACTTGGACTCGACGGGTAGCAGGTCGGCCACTTGTCGAAGAGGTATCTCCTTTCGGATGAAATTGGATAGCGTGGTTCGGGAAATGTCGTATCCAATGTATTCCCCAAAGTTCCTGAGTGTGACGACCGACTTGTCTTCGGACCTATTTGTTTTCTTGGGAACTCGCATATGCCACTGGAGTTCCAGCTTAATGAGGAGGGTGTAATATGTCCTGACCATGGTAATAACAAAGACACCGGGATGGGGAAAGAGGAGCCCGGAATGGGGGGCACCGGTCCTGGCACACTTCAAGAGGTCGTCGTACCTCAGTACAGGCAGGGTATAGATCTTGGAGTTGTGCTTTCGTGTATTTCGGGACACGTCGTTGATGAGGGGGAGTTGTAGGGGCGTATAGGGTCAGCTTGATTTGATAGGTTTATCGTTTTTCTTGTTGGAGGTCGCATTCTTAGTGGTTGTAGGGAGGGAACGTTTCGGTGGCATGTTGGTGTTGTTGTCATGGATGATGGGATCTCACCATGCGCGTTTTTGCGTTTTGTCCCTAACTTTCTCTTTTTTTGTCCCTAGGCGGAAGGCCCGTCATGTGAATAACATTTCAATTCATTTATTCGAACTGTACGCAAAAAAAAAAATTGGGTGTACGCAAAAAGTGAAAACGAAACGACTGCGTTAGAATACACTATTGGATACATGGGCTGCTGAACAGCGAAAATACACAAGCTTATCGATGGAATAGTTCATAACTGGACGCGTTTATACATACTATATTTTGCGGCTACCGCCGTTGGATCTATTATGGTGAGCGGTTTCTTCATACTCAGTATTGTTTTGTCGTCGTCGTCGTCGTCGATATTACATGTTGGTGAACGACTCTTCTACTCTTAAGTTCCCGATGGACCAACCTAACCGACAAGATGACGCTACTATCGATCCTCCATCATGGTGTATCATCCGCCGTTTCCAAGGCTACCATTCCTCTCATGCTCGACTACGTTTCTGAGATCGTTCCTGCAGTTTTCAATGCCGATTCAGCACTCGTTCGGGGTGACCAACTCATCCAGGATACATTGAGGATTCGCACCGCTACTTTGAGACGAACAAAGCATATGTTTTATTTTTTGCCTTTGTCACTCGCACTACAGCCTGCGTACCATACAGGTTCCATCCGTGTCAATTATCTTGCAGCTCCCCACACAAGGGTATTGACTTGTCGTGTCCTACTTTTCGATGTTCATATCCGATAGCTCTACGTTGACCCCAAGACCGCCAGTACAAAGGAAACAGGGAGTTATGCGACAGTGAGTACAAATGAAACGTGCAGAAAAATGGAAACCAATAAAAGCGTCAAAAAAGTATAGGGCAATTCGACTTACGTTTCTGGTATTCCAATCTGATTGGGAGGACATGGCCGGGATACCCTCGCTCTTCTCCGTCTGAACGAGGGGCGCTGAAGGCGTGGCCTTGTGTCTTGAGGTGCAGCCAGGGAGAGCAACAAGGGAACAGTAGGTTGTCATGAGACCATCGACACAACTGGAAAATGGATTACCTGATAATGTCGATAGACGGCAAGGAGAAAGCCGACTTGACTTCTTTTACCATTGCAAGTACGTCAACAGTGGAAATGAGAGATGCAGATCTTTGGCACCGTCAATCGCCCAATGCTGTCAAATCCAAACGATACAACTTTTTCTGTCGTGCCGCGCTTCTGGATTGGGTTTGAGTGGCCGATTGTGATGAGGTGAAGAGAGAGGGATGAAGGATTAATTAAACCATGGTCAGACCTTTTCTGAGGACGCACCAACAGTTGGCGTTCCTTTTTGTTCGACAGATTTCGGATGGTGAAAAAAATAAAATAAGGCGAGGAGTGGTGTATCAAGGTAGACGTAGAAAAAACAGGTGCATGGTAGTTTGCACTGCAGTGAAGAAATGAATAGACTGGTACTGACATGTCACTATTTTCGTCCACCAACAGAGCGCCATCGATCATCATGTCCAAGGCAGGCCATAGTTTTTATAGTACTGTATTAGATTTCATCTCCAGGCCTCTGAGCTCCTCTACACCAACGATACTACTAGCTATACAAACAATAATTGTGCAGTAAATATTCTTTTCGTGGAGAACGTGGACGCGTTGGTACGATTGACTTTCAACTAGACATGTGGTTCATTGTCGAAAGAAAACATACCTCATCTAAGGCGCCGATACGTACTGAGTGTTGTCCACTTTACACGACTCTAAATTAACCCGTGTCGGCTCGTTCACTCTAGGTGTGCTTTATACTATCTGGCTGCACTACTGCTACAACGACAACTGAATAAAGAAAAATAGGAGTAATGGTCTAAAAAAGGTGAACACAATGGTTCGGTGTTGGACACATAAACGGTTGGATGTGGGGTTGGTCGTAAATACGATAGTCGTGAGGTTGATGAACAGAAAAGGATGAAACTCAAAAGTGAACGTGAAAGAATAAAAGTGAACATGAAAGAACAAAAGTGAATGTGAAGAAGCACATCGGTGAGGGGCATCATTTGTAACTGCTGGCTACGACGGGGATGACGAGGAGAGTTGGTTTTTGCAAGCTCCTGTCGCTATACACGGGCTGCATGTTCAGCGGAGCCCATCATGGGTGCTTGATAGTGAGAGCCGCGGCGGGCGTGATAATCCTCGTTGGCGCGCTGCTGAGCGCGCATGTCGGTTATGCAAGTGCTACTGTTATTATCCAAGGACTCGTCGGGTAGGCCATCATCCTCATTGTCGCGGGCAGACTCCATGGCGTGACGAGTCTTGCTGAACCAAGCTCTGCGCTGAGTGGCATCATCCGGGGCCTTGGTGAGCTTCAGTCGATCCTGGTGCACCAGATCCTCCTTACGTACACCATCATCCCAACGGAGCTGGTACATGGAGAGAAGCGTAACGCGAACGACCTCATAAGGTCCATACCAACTTCTTATGGCCGTAGTTCTTGACAAGACTGACAGCAAACTTGGCATGCCATTTTGCCTTTCCTCGCCCAAGATCTCAGCCTATTCCCCTTAATCAATATATTTCAATTTTGCCTTATCAACAACGCCTGTCCCTGAATCACAGAGTTCCTCCTCCTTTCTTTTACTCCTCTACAATCTTATCAAAATGGTAAAAATGGCATTCAATTCGCACATATGCAATTGAGACGGCGGCGCACTAGCCGAGGAAGGCCCACACACTCCCATCCATCCATCCATCCATTCGCAATCTATCCATGCATCCATCCCCGTATCCCGTCCATCATCATCCGACCCCCCATATCGACGCTTTTTTTTCAACTTTGTCCCAGTGTCAGATCCTATGCTCAACAAAAACACTCCATCGACATACAACCCAATACCGATTCCAACCAGTCCGTTTGACCGATCTACGAGACCTACTCTCGACCATCACCCTTTTACCGGCTCTCCTTGTCGCCTTGTTCTCCCTCTTTCTGCGCGAAGTATTATCCCTCAGTCTATTTCGTATCCTTTTCTGATCTCAAACTAAGTGAAGAAACAGGGATAAGGAAGAAAACTTGATATAGAACTTTAGTGTCTGAGGTGTGAACAGTCAACAAGGAAAGAGGTTGTGGATCATGAAGCAACTGGTGGTTGGAAGCAAGGACGGAGGACTGTCAAACGGACACTGCTACAGGAAGGAGTGTTTTTATAGGATACGGCTGGAGACCGACGACCATCTACACAGATATTTCTGCAATAACTGGCACACCTTGTTCATAGCTCAATATCTAACATTTTTATCTTCCTCTATTCACCTTCAAACAAACAGGGTCGCGTTCGTACCAAGACTGTCAAGAGAGCCTCCAAGGTCCTCATCGAGAAGTACTACCCTCGTCTCACCCTGGACTTCCAGACCAACAAGAAGATCGCCTCCGAGGTTGCCATCATCCCCTCCAAGCGCCTCCGCAACAAGATCGCCGGTTTCACCACCCATTTGATGAAGCGTATCCAGCGTGGACCCGTCCGTGGTATCTCCTTCAAGCTCCAGGAGGAGGAGCGCGAGCGCAAGGACAACTACATCCCCGAGTTCTCGGCCTTGGACACTTCCGCCATTGAGATCGATACCGATACTCAGGCTTTGCTCAAGTCCTTGAACTTTGAGGACCTTGCTGGTGTCACTGCCGTCGAGGTCAAGCAGACCCCCGTTGACACCTTCCGCAAGCCCCGCGGTGACCGCAAGGAGCGTGCTTAAATTCTTTGGCGTTTTTAGCACACTTTAAACAAATGGAATAATAAACTGTTCTTTTGTCAACAAATACCACTCTGTACATTATCAATATTAAAAGACTTTCAAAAGCAACCTCGATAGCAATCGTGCAAGAGAGAATGTGTGAAAACAGAAGCCTACGTCGCATTCAGGTGAAGGAGGAGGGGGGATAGCGTTGGGTAAAGCGAGTGTGAAAAAAAAAGACAATAGTTTATTTGAAAGGCAAACACCGAGTTTACTCGGCAACCTCCTGGGAGACAAAGGCAGGGTACTTAGCAGAGACATCGGCCCAGGTAATCTTGCCCTCGCAAATCTCCTTGACGAGGTCGACAACGACCTCAATCTTCTCACGGATCTGCTTGGTCGAGTCACGCTCACGGAGGGTAATGGTATCGTCCTGGGCAGACTGGAAATCGACAGTGATGCCAAAGGGCGTGCCGAGCTCGTCGTTACGGGCATAGCGACGACCGATTGAAGCACCAGAGTCGTCAATCTTGCTCGACACACCGCTGCGGCGGAGCTGGGCAGAGACCTTGTTGAGGATGGGCGTAAAGACCTCGTTGGTTGAGAGAGGAACCAACAAGCACTTAGTAGGGGCAACAACGGGAGGGAAGGAAAGAACACCACGGGCCTCACCTTCGGGGCGGGTCCAGTAGACGTGCTCCATCAAGCAATACAAGATACGACCAATACCGAATGAAGGCTCAATAACGTTAGGGGTGTACTCGCGAACTATTCATCAACAAATAAGAAAAACAAATCACGTTAGTCAACCAAGTCCGCCTCAGGTATCGCCAACATATCCTGACTGAGAACAAAATAGGACAGGGAACGTACTGTGGGTGGTGATGGAGACCCTCTCGAAGCTGGTGATAAGGTCCTTGGTGATGTCGAAGGAAGAGCCGTTGACGTTGATGGCAAAGGTGCCAGCCTCATCGTGAGACTTCTTCAAGCCAACCAAAGTGTTCTCATCCAAAGCAGCCAAGTGCTCTTCGACAGCCTTGGCATCCTTCTTGAAACGGGGGCCAAAGACCTTCTTGTTGATCTCGAGTTGAAGCTTCTCCTCGACCAAGGGCTCTGGAAGACGCTCACGGACAACCAACTTCTCGCCAGTTTTGTTGGAGTGGACAGTCAAATCGTAGGCAGAACGATCAGCACAGCCAACGCACTCCTTCCAGCCGTACGAGGTGTGAATCTCAGCATCCCAGCAGTCGCAGGCGTAATGGGCCATCTCGTTGGCCATGTGCTGACGGAAACGAACGCGGTCGGGGTTGATACCGATCTTGGTCAAGAACATGTGGATGCGGACCAAGAAGTAACCCAAGGTCTGGTTGTCGATAATCTTCTTCTCCACAGCCTCGCCAACAGTGATGTTCAAAAGGTCAGTCTTGCCAGAAAGCTGGACAGAGGCAGGCAAGATGTTGAGCTTGTAGTCGGCGACCTCGCTGAAGCGAGAGTGGTCCTTCTTGGCGGGGTCAACATAGTGCTCAATCTCGGCCATGGTGAACTCTCTATCAAACAGAAGAAATGATGTCAGCGACATGTTCACTCCTCAGTGCTCCATGCGATCTAAAACAACCAAAATACAGATCCCGCGAAACCAAACTGGATCCTGCCGTATTTGTTTCCAGCCAAGTCTTCAATCCTTGCTGCTATCCATTTGCTATTACCTGACGCGGAGAAGACCCTCGCGAGGAGAAATCTCGTTACGGAAGGAGCGACCGATCTGGGCAGAGGCAAAGGGCATACGGTCGTTGTTGAACTCGAGCAATCTCTTGAAGTTGAGGAACTGACCCTGAGCAGTCTCAGGACGCAAGAAACCTTGCAACTGGCCGGTGGGTCCAATGCTCGAGGCGAACATGAGGTTGAAGACAACGGGTTCCGAGATATCGTTGCCGGTCTCGGGCGATTTGATTTGGTGGGTGCGCATCAACTCGCCGAGTTCCGGGCCAGAGTAGTTGTCAATCTATTGTTTTATCGAATGCCGTTTCCATTTTGCATGACAGAGACGATAGAAGGAATAAGAAAAGAAAAGAAAAAAATCCCGGTTGTGTCGTCGTACGAGTCGTAGGTGGTGATTTTGAGTCGAATATGGAGAGATACATAAACGTAAAATCGAAAAGAAAAGAGGAGCGTGTGAGTTCTAGGCAATCTGTCATGAAATCAGAGCGCCCTTTTTTTTGTCCGATTCGTTCAGGGGTGTTGTTGGTGATGTGCCGTCTTATCATTCCTTTGAGCCATTGGTTCCCAAAATGAAGGTTATGCTTCAGAGCAAAACGAACAAAACAAACAACACAAACAACACAGACAACACTGCTTCTTTCTACTCAGGTGAGAGTATCCTGTCAATCTTGCTTTTGATAACGTCCTGACGTGTCCAAACTCCAACTTTATCCAATCCTGTCCTGTAATCGATAAGGTAAAGCGGGGAAGGTCATGCACACACTCTGTCCTTTCCCACACACAAAACAACAAGCCTTCAAACAAAACCTCAAAGAAAAACATACCTGGGCAAGGATTTCCTTGTAGGCCTGAACAACCGAATCCTCCAGGCGGACGGCAGTGACCTTGGCAGCCTTCTTCTTCTTCTTCTCGTCCTTGTCGACCTTGATCTCGACGGGGGCGTTACGGGCGAGCTTGTCACCATCGATACGGGCCTCGAGGACGTTCTCCACCAAGTGATCAGCACGGAAGATCTCTCCTGTCTTGAGATCCTTGCACATCCAGTCCGAGAAACGGTCGACGTGGCCCGAGGTCTTCAAGACCTCGGCGGGGGTCATGATCGAGCAGTCGACCTCGAGCATATCCTCCTCCAGAACAAAGTGCTTGCGCCAGATGTCGAGGATGTTGGCCTGAAGGGCGCAACCTGGGGGACCGTAGTCGTACAGACCAGCAACACCTATTTTTCGTTGAGATGAAGGTTTCATGAACAGGTGAGTTTCTTTTTTGTCTTTTAATGCGCCTCTATGGTTGTTGTTGTTGTTGTTGTTATTGTTGTTGTCTCCTTTGTGTCGTATTTTATTTCCCCTGGATGCATGGGTCCTTCCTTTTCCTTGAACCAAACAAAACTAAAGAAAAGTTACCTCCGTAGAGAGAGAAGGCGGGGGCATAAAAGAAGCGCTTGCCGAGAAGCTGCTCGAGGGCGGGGCGGTTGAATGCTGGTTCAGCGGCGGACATTGTGGTTGTGCGAGTAATGTGTGTTCGGGTGGATCAAGTGATTGAATGAGAAGAGAATCGAATCCTTTCTCACCTTCCTTTTTATTCTTTTTATTCTTTACTTTCTCTGGCCTCTGACTCGCCAGTGACAAAAAAACTGATAAGAAGGAAGCGAGAGTACAAGCCACCATGAGTCACGTGTGATGCGCATTGTCCTTTTATGATTCAACGCTGGTCGACTGACGACTCGCTAGAAAGAGGCGTAGCATGAGAGTATCGCTCAGTGTAACTAGCTAGGTCCCGGGCATAGGTATCAGTACTGGTACTTGGGCGACCACTGTTGCTCTCCCACAGACTGTCATGAAGACTCCGCTGGTCAAGACTTGCCCCCCGCGTCCACTCTGCAGACACAACTTCCCTCGACGACGTGAACGACGACCGGATGCTCTCCTCGTAGCATGGCGGGTGCACCGCCACCGCCACTGTCTCATTGCCTGCTTGCTCTGAATCTGTTGCTGAAACTGCGGCCATTGTCGCCCTTGAAGCTGCGGTATCCAACGACGGCGAACGAGTCATGAGCATCTCGAAATCCTGTAGCGCCTCAAACGACCTGCGATCCATCTCAGCCAATCGAGCCCCATTCACCACCATTGTCGTAAACGAGCGATGATAGCTCGGCAACTCTGTTTCATCCTCACCTTGTGGCTGTTGTTCCTGCAATCCCAGAATATGAACTCGTGCCTCGCCATGTGCAGTATCGTCTACAGGAAAAGTCGCCTTCGTCGACGACTCGCTCACTAACTGTCCTTCAACGAACACCACCACTCGCAACAAGTGCTGAATCTCCAGGCCGACTAACGAATACACGCCCGAGATGTTACAGTATCCCTTGGGCAGGGAAGATCGACGGTCGGTGGGAACTATACGATCGGGTTCGTCAGCCCAGACATCGAGGGGCATCTGGGGCACCTTGAACAATAGCGTTTTCGAGACCTCGATGGTCTCTCCTGTAGACGAACAGCTTGGCCAGTCCGAGATTTGGCAGCTCTGACAACTCACTCGTCGCTCATTCACCTGTACTCTCGAAGTTGTTGGACTATTGCTGCCGTCGGTTCCTGCTGGCTGATCCTGCAGTCGAAAAGCCCTCTCCCAGAGTTCGATCGCCACCTTGGAAACACTCGTCAAGTTCCCACGAAGGTTCAGATGCAGGTTCAAAGAAACAGTCCCACTACTGGGCAGCACCCTATGGGGGACCCGCACCTCGCCCTGCATACGATCCGTCCGCTTCGATGCAAACTGGACTTGCCTCGAACGATAAAAGCTATCCTCAGGAACATCATTTACTCTCAGAAGAATAACAGGCTTGGTGGTTTGGTAGGGTTGAGCAAAGGGGAGGAAGGAGACTGGTTGGAGGCTCGCGGTGAGTTGGTAGTTGATGTTGACAGAGTCGGTTGTTAGGACGGAGGGGAGGGACTCGGGGAGCGGCATGGAGAATGGGAAGGTGTATTGACCGGCGGGGAGGATGCGGGGTTCTTTGGAGTTTGTTGAGAGGATAGGTATCCGTTTGTCGATTAGGTCGCAACTGTAACTGAACTTGTCTACAAGGAATGTAATATGACACGTCGTTGATGTCATGTCATTATGTTAGTCTGCTGAGAGAGCGAGGTAGATTACTTTGCATGGATGGGTTGATTGGGCGAAGCGGGAAATAAGAACGGCAGGGAGGAAAGATAATTACCACATGGGAGACAAGGCTGGGCATGTTCAAAGAGGGAAGACGAGTCGAAAAAGTAGGCACTTCGAGCCAGGCCAGAGAACTGGATGTTTAGTGAACGGACGTTCATGGTTTTGTTGAGTGTGATGGCAAGTGTTCCTGTCAAGAGGTTTTGTGTCGTTGATGTTGTGGTAGGGGAAGTGGGAGAAGTAGAGGCGGAGACGGCAGAAGGAAGGGAAACGTGTTGACCAGCAAGCACGATGTGGGGTTTATCGAGTTGAATGGAGAACCATTCGTCAACTAATGATGAGGAAACCATGCTTGATTTTTGAGGTTCAAGAGATCAAGATATAAAAATGAAATGTGGATGAGAATGCTAAAAATGATATGAATGAAAGCAACTAAGGGCAGAATGTGGGATGGAGAAGGAAAGAAAACAGTGAAAAAAAGAAGAATAAACTGTTGACCCGGTATCTCCTTTAAATAGAAGAAGGTCAAGGGAGAAGAGGGATGAGGCGACAGGATGCTGCTTTGCTCAAGTCAGTTGACGACAATCGCCATCGAACATCGACCATCGAGATCAGGGGCAACGACAAGCAAAAAAAAACGGGACATCATCCGTCCCGCAGTCTTTAATTGCGCTCTCCTTCCTTCTCCACGCTACGACCAGCGGAAACTTTAATCGGTATTAAACTTGAGCACCTTTAGTACAGTACACCACGTATGACGAAAGAATAACCTGTGTACCTCCTTCTGTTCCTCTGCGCCTCTATGCGTTATGTGTGCTCTCACTTTTCTACAAGGTGCATGTGCATGTGTGTGTTTGGGTGTCCTCCATTCTGGGAAAGCATCAAAATATCTTGTGAACAGACACCCCTCCCTTGCCTTGCCGACAGAAGGATATGAATGAGCTCCATTACGTCCATGAGAAAAGTGCAGCGGAAAATCGGATAAGCAAGAAAGGGCTAGATCCAAAAAGGAAAAAATTACATGTCTGTGTCCCCTTTGCAGCCGCGCCATCTTGTACAAAACAAGCATCGTTCCTCCACTCTTTGTCAGACAAATAAAGTCATCAATCAGGCTTGGCATGACATATTGATCAATGCGAGTGTATGTGTGTCAAAGAGGACGGTTGGCATTTTTTAAACTGCCAGCTTTACGCGTCAAGGAGGGGACTACCAACATACGAGTATTTCGCTTGCCCATGTAACGCGAATTGACAGAAAGTGAGAGTGTCCCATAACCAAAACAATAATCGATCCTCTAATCCTGTGTCCATTCTAACCTGTGTCTAACTCGCCAATTGCTTATTTCAATCGACTCTTGTCATCGTCCCTCCTCTATCTCTTCTTCGTTCTACGTACTTGCATTCAACCCTAACGTGAAACAAGGAATCTTGCCACGAACAGCCTGTCATGGTTTATGTGAGTTCATCCTCGCACGAAATTTCCCTTTCCTGATAGTCTCTTCTTGTCCAGATTCTACGCCACGCCCCTGGGGCGTAAAACCTACAAGTAAGCGCGCAATGGGTTTACCCTAACTACTGCGGCCTGCAAGCTTTTTATTGCTGCTGAGTACGAGTTACTAAAGGAACTCACTACAGCCCTTGCCCCGCATGGTATGCTATGCATTCTCCCTTGTTGTTTTTGCGCCAGGATGGATGGGTTATTCCATCTTTGTATCATACCGCAGTTTGGAACCGTGCGGCAGCGTTCTACGAGCGAGCGGGTTGCCGTGGTTGTCGTTTCTCCCAACATGTGAAGGTGTCGTCGACTGTCTCTTACTTTGTCTCAACCTTCGCCAACCACTGCCTGTGCCAGCATCAGTCCCACACACCAGCCTTTTCCCTCTCCCTTCCCTCATCATCTGCGCCAGAACTACAGCATTCTTTCTTATTCTTTCCTGTCTCGTCCTAACACCATCCTCTGTTTCTTCTTCCTTCTTGTGATTCCTCCTTGCATTTCTCTATTTCCCCCTGCTGCTGATTACACCACACTTACTTACAACCCCTATGTTGTTTCTGTTGCGGAGCACAGTTACCTACCTCCTTTGCTAGACTGAATCCAACCTGCGTCCTACCCATTTTGAACGCAGCCAATTGGTTTTTTGGGCGAGCTTAGATACCTTCTCTGTGTCCATGTCAGCCTTTCGAAGGTGATGAAACAGAAACTGGTACGGTCACTCAAAAAGGTACTACAAAAGTGCGAAAGGGTCACCACTTTTTTTTCTCCGTAGATTGGATGCCCCTGTGAATAATTTACCCACCCTTTTTGTTTATTTTTCTGTCTATCTGTTCTTGGCAATCAATGCACACAAAAAACAAAGAAAAATGAAATCGTGGCGAGCGCCAAGTCCAAAAGAAAAAAATAAAAAGAGAGAGTCGAAACCCTACGCAGAAAAAAAGGACTGTTCGTCATGAAGTAAGGGCAAAACGCGTTCTACTTGCCGAAAGATTGCCGAACGAAAAAAATGCGGAATCAAATACCTTGTATGTAACTGTCGCCATCAATCGTTATCGATTTGAAGATCAAAAGATAAGTGGCATGAAGTTAGCACAGGAAACGTTAGGGGGTTGTCAAAAAAAAACCATGCCAGTCTCAGGTACAACAACATCAAGAAGCAGGGAGTAAAAAGTCAAAAGAATGTGGAGAATGAGAGACTTGAACTCCCGACCTTCCGCTTTGGAGACGGACGCGCTGCCAATTGCGCCAATCCTCCCATCATTTCGATATTTCATTAATTTTCAGTCACTAGGAATTTGTGACACTCAGTATTTGCGATTATTGAGGAATACGGTGACGACACGCGCTTTTTTTTTTTTTTTTTTTTTTTTTTTTTTTTGCTCTAAGAAGAAAAAAGAATAGGGTGGCTAGTTTTATTTTCTTCCGTTTAAGCTGTGAAGAGCAGCGACAATTGTTGCGCAGAGCCAGGTTCTGGACCGGACTGCGACTGGTGGATGGTGCACTGAAGAGTTTGGTCTGTAGTCCCCTTTTTACTTCCAAATAACTTCTCTATGCTGTTCGTTAGAGAAATAAAATTGTGTACGAAAATAAAAAAGAATAAGGTGGAGAGTGAAAGAGAAAAGATGTTCACACGATCAACTCTAAATAATGGGGCCAGGCTGTATCCAAAACGCCAAAGGCCTGCCTCGTCCGTTCAAAAAAAAGAAACAGAAAAAAAAGTGGATGGTCGCGTGGACGAACGATGGAAACCATGGAACGTTCTCAACCGTCCCCCTCTTTTCTTCCTCTTCTTCTTTGGGTGTCTCTCAAGGTAAACAAAGTGGTCGTTACCCAATTGTCTCATCCCCTTATTCCTTGCTATTGATCATGGAGCAATTGGATGTTCGTTGGGTCAAGAAAATAGTCAAGCCGGAAGCACACTTTTGTTTTATTTGCAAAGAGATGGAAGAGAGAGAAACGATGGCGAGGGGGGGGGGGAGCTATCTTGGTCCGAGTGGGGAGTGCGAAAGGGCAATCCAGGAAAGCAAAGAAAAGAAAGGTAGAAAATCAAATCGCAAAGGTGTTTTTTCCAGTCAGAGGATTCGGCGAGTCGTTTTTGTTGTTTTGTGTCATGTCGAGAGTGGTGTGTGCTCCACGTGCTTGGATAGTTGTCGAGCCATGAGAAGTGATCCCAGTTTAGGGCTCAGAGACGAGCTTGGCGTTGGAGGGGGTGACAATAGTTTCCTCAACAATGACCTCAGACTTGAGAACCTTGCCGGTCACAACGCCGGCAGAGATCGTGGTCTCTTCAAAGATCTCGGCCTTGACAACCGTCTCCTGGGTGACCGACTCCAAGACAACAGCAGCAGCACCCTCGGTAGTGGAGCTTGACGACTCGACCTCGATCACCTTGCCAGTGCGCAAAACTTTGTGGTCCTGATCCAGACCAGCGCCAATCTCGACTGTAAACGGAATAATGCATGCGGGAGGAGGGTGAAAGAAAAAGAGAGAGAGATAAAGAAAAGGCGTGATATTAGATGTGGAGAATAAACATATTGTAAACGCAACAATGTCCGATGCATCACAGAGGAAGCACGCAAAAAAAACAGATGCGAAGAAAGAAACCAAAAAAAAATAAAATACAAAAAGCTTACCAGCCTCCTTGGCCAACTTCTCGACCTCTTCCTTGTCAATCTTGCCCTCCTACATGACGACAGCATCAAGTGAGGGTGACGATTAGCGAACACGAAAAAAAAGACAGTTATCGTACTCTTGCGCAAGAAAGCAAAGAAAAAGGGTCATCTGGTTAACAAACCATGTCAGAGCCAGAGTCCGAGTCCGAGTCCGAGTCGCTCTCGCTGCTGCTGGAGGAAGACGAAGAGGAGGAGCTTGAGCTGGAAGAAGAAGAGGAGGAGGAAGAAGAGGAGGAGGAGGAAGAAGAGTCGCTGTCGCTGTCACTTCCACTGTCGCTCTCCGAGTCCGAGTTTGGCTTGAAGTCCTCATCCGACTCGTCGTCCGACTAAAATAACAGGGAGGAGCGACAAAGAAATAGAGGCTCAATCATTGGCGCGCTGATATTTTTTGGTGGCGTAAAGGGGAACTTAAAAAAAAAGCAATGGACATGTCATTTATGCCGACCAATGGCAGTGTGAGCGTGTGAAAAGAAACGCAAACCAAAGAGACAAGTAAACTTACGCTGAGCTCATCGAGGATAGTCTTCGTCTTGACCTCAGACGTCTCGGTCTTGACATCCTTAGCCTCCGTGGTAGCGGTAGTAGTGGTAATACCAGTAGCAGCGGCAGCCTTGGCAGCCTTCTTGGCTTCTTTCTCGGCCTTCTTGGCGACCTTCTCGGCTTCTTTGGCAGCCTTCTTGGCCTCCTTCTCAGCCTTCTTCTTCTCCTTCTTCTCCTTCTTCTCCTTGTCGTCCTCCTTGTCAGAACCAGACTCGGAATCTGAACCAGACTCCTTCTTCTTGTCCTTCTTCTCCTTCTTCTCCTTCTCCTTCTTCTCCTTCTTCTCCTTCTTCTCCTTGTCGTCCTCCTTGTCAGAACCAGACTCGGAATCTGAACCAGACTCCTTCTTGTCCTTCTTCTCCTTCTTCTCCTTGAGCTTATTCTCTGCCTTGGCTTTCTTCTTCTCCTCCTTCTTCTTCTCCTTCAACCTCTCCTCCAGCTTCTTAGCCTCCTTCTTCAACTTCTTCTCCTCCTTCTTCTTCTTCTTGTCCTCGTCGTTCTCAGACTCGGACTCGGACCCAGAGTCCTTACCGTCATCATCCTTTTTGACCTTCTTCTCCTTAATCTTCTTTTCCTTCTTGACCTTCTTTTCCAGCTTGTCTTTTTTCTTTTCCTCGTCCTTCTCGCTCTCGGAACCAGACGACGACCCAGACTCGGACCCGGAACCAAAAACCTTATCCTTCTTCTCCTTGAGCTTCTTTTCCTTCTTGGCCTCGGAGGTCACGGTGACGGCACCAACGGCAATAGCGGTCGACTCTTCGGTGGCGACATGGACAGACTCGGACGAGGTGATGGAGAGCGAGAGTTCCGAGAAGCGTTCCTCAACAGTTGAAGAGGACTCGTGCTGGTGGGAGGTCGCGATGGTAGTCTCCTTGACGGCGGCGATGATGGCTTCTGAGGATGTGGAGGACGACTCGTTGACCTCGACGGTCTCGACCTTGGTCTCGATGATAGCCTGGGGGGCGGGGGCGATGGTAGTATCAGTCATCTTGTTATGTGTTTTGTGGGTAAGGGGGGTGGGGGAGGAGTAGATGTGAGGGGGAATGAGTGCGTCGTGTGTCTTTGTTGTGTGTTTATGGCGTGTGTGTGTTGGGGGATAGGAGGTAGAGTGTACAGGAAGATGGAAAGAAAGAGGCAAAAAAAGAAGCATCCAGAATTCTCCATTTTATACTTCTCGATGAGCAGAAAATCTCATTCTGTAATGAGCGCATGCAAGTGCGACCACAGACACTGGACCATCAAGAGCGATAATAAAGGGCCTATATGATGTTCTCCAACGGCGGTGTCAATCAAAACCAAACTCGTTTTCTGTCGTTTTGGACCATTGGTGCTCCGTCCCTTTTGTACCCCTCCTCTTCAGTGTTTTTTTTAAGTCTTTGCCCACAGATATGGATAAATATCAAATGGAAACTTACTCACGGGCTGTCATCTGGCTCTATTTTTGTCCGTCTTCTCGTCTTTCTATTTTCTTTTCTTTCCTTGTCCTCTTTTTTTTTTATTTGATACGCGAGCATAGTTTTTCTAAACTGGACACCGCCCCCATTTGTCATCCTCAAAAAAAAAGAAAGGACGCGTCTCTATTCAAACATGCTTGTATCCATGTCAGAAGTGGCGAAATCCCACACGACAATGTTTCTATCCTGAGATGTGCTGTGTAATAAATAAATAAGTAAGGAGAGAGAGAGAGTATTAAGAAAAAAAAGGAGACGCGAATGTAAGTACAGTGACAGCGTTTTCAATGTGACCATGGGGTCATGTCCATAGGACACCAGAGATTTCCAAGGGAGGGCATAGAAAAAAAAGGTGCAAGAAACGAACAACAGTATACAGAAAAAAAGAAGAAACGATGCGATAGTTACCTAATGATCCGACTGCTCGAGAACTGGACATCAAAGACCCAGCTGACATGTCCCTTGTCAAGATCTAGTATGCATTCGCCCGTCGTCATGTCCCAGACCTTCACGGTATAGTCATAGCTCCCGCTCACAATCCGGTTCTGGTCAAAGTGCAGCGTCCGGACCAGATTTTCGTGTCCTGTCAAGACCTTGATGCATCTTCCCGAGGCAACGTCCCATATCCGGATGGTCTTGTCGTTCGATCCAGAGACAATCGTCTTGCCGTCAAACTGCACACAGGCCAATCCACGCTCGTGTCCAATAAAGTCCCGTTTACAGACTCCTGATGCAACATCCCATAGCTTGACCAATGCATCTCCTGATGCCGAGACGACTTGGCCCTGATGCAGCTGGACTGCATTGACGGGTCCACGGTGGCCTGTCATAGTCTTGATGAGAGCCATCGTCCGGACATCCCACACCTTGATCGTTGTATCCTTGGAGCAACTGATGATATATTGGTCGTCGAAGCAGACATCGAGCACACCAGCAGAGTGGCCGTGGAGTCGCGAGATGGGCTGATGGGTCTCCATGTCCCAAACAATGATAGTATTATCGGACGATCCAGAGACCATCATCTTTTCATTGAACTGGAGGCAGAGGACCGACTGGGAGTGGCCCTTGAGGGTGTCGGTGCATTTCAAGGTCTGAAAGTCCCAAAACTTGATGGTCCGATCCCTTGATCCTGTCACAATCTTGGTGTTGTCGAACTGGATACAGTAGACGCTGTCATCATGGCCATGGAGCTTTGTCTTTGCTGGGACCGTTGTCCATCGCGCTTCGAGTGCCTTGCGGTTACGACAGAGCTCCTTCCAATCCAGTGGAGTCTTGATGATAGACCCCGTTGATACTCCTCCTGTTGGCCCACCTGCTGCCAGCTTCGATGGTGCTTGTTCGGGGTCAATGGTGGCGGCGGTGTTGGGGGCCGACTTTCGACTGGGGGTCCTGATGCGCCACTGCCGTTGGTGAAGAAATACGTTCTTCCAGACTGCGTTGTCTTTTGTGAGGACATTCCAGGCCTTAGAGATGGAGGCGACCTTGGCCAGGTTGGGCATGTCGATAAAGTGGAGGACATGGGTGGCCATCTCGTAGGGGAGTTTAGAGAGGATGTCTATCCGTGCGCCGTCCAGCAGGTTATTGTAGATTTTATCCATGAGGTTGGAACGTTCTTCTTCGGAGAGGTAGCCTTCAGGGACTGAGGTCGAGGACTCTGTGACCAGTTCCATGGAGGTATCGGCGAGGTGAAGGGCAGATTTTTGTTGCGTAGAGTCGATATCGTGTTGCTGTCGTTGTGTTGTTGCCGAGGCAGTAGCCATGGGTGTGATTCTTGTTGTTGTTGTTGTTGTGCTAGTGATGCGTGCTTGCTAGGTTGCAATTGGTTGGCTGGTTGGTTGCTTTGGAGGGGGATGATGTATGAATGGAACCAAGTAGGGTTTGCTGCGAGTGGGTGTGTGTACGAGTGAGGTGGATGAGAGTTGTGCGCGATAAGAGAAAAGGAATGAATGCAAAGAAGAAAAGAATGAAGGTGGGGTTTTTGGGGGGAGAAGAAGAGAAGAGAGGGAGTAACGAATCGGAATGGGGAAGGAAGAGACGAGGAGGAAGAATGAATAAAAAAAGGGTCAGAGTTCGTTATTATTGGTAAAGGAAAATAAAAATAATTGAACACTCTTTGTCTTTGATGCGTTTGAGTTTTTGTACACTCGTTGACTTACACCGCAGGCTTGAGCAACACAGGAACTGGAACTGGAACGGACAAAGACAGCAGGGCAAGGGGGGACAAGGGGACAAGAGAGTGCAGCAGGCCTGTGTGTTTGTGTGGTTGAAGCATTGAATGTCACACCCCATGGACCACATCACATACTTGCACTCACTCCATTCAACAACAAGCTCATGAAGGGTCATCGAGATCAACAAGGCAAGGAGAATAAGGAGAAGGGACGTAGGACATACAGGATGGCATGCAACGATGAAAATAAAAAAGAATAAAAATAAAAAAAAAGGGTCAACCTCACGCTCCATACATACTCCTCCTTCCCTCCATCCCTCGAATCTGTATGAATGTAGTCTTGTCTGCTTTGCAACATTTAGACAAAGGAGACAATCGAGTACTGGCCAACTGGAATAAAAGGGGGTCAGTTGGCACACTCTCTCTTTTGGCTAAGGTATGTGCGTGATCATACGCATACCATGGAGAATGGGAGAGGCAACGAGTCGAGCACGCAGAGGGGAGAAGGAAGATGTCAATGGGAGAAAAAGAGCACATTTCTTGTATGTTTGTCCTTGTCTCCGTGATGAACCACCGACCCCTCTCTTTGTCCACACACATAACGCATTACACCCGACACGGGGTTCAACTGAATGGATGGATGTATGTGTGTATGTATGTATGTATGTATGTATGTATGCATGAACGATGAGCCAATGATATGAGTACCTATGGCTGATAGTCCATGAGTACACATACAAAAGTCATTACGACGCGTCCCTTTTTCTCCTTGTAGCTAACGCGAGCCTGGCGCGTTGATCAATACACTTTATTTGACGCCACCAAATCTGAACAAAAAAAGATCGAAATGGACCTAGTCGACAGGGCTGGTGCCAAGGATGACGAAGAAAGAAAACACAGCCACTTCCTGTATATATCCATTTGGCCCCAGGAGCGACCGGGACCCGTTCTTCCATTCATTCTCTTGTGCACAAGCCCTGTCCAATAGGGGTGAATGTTCTTCCCATTTCCTTACTACAGCTCACATCTGCCAAGCATGCCACCAAAACACAAGCATAATGTTACACTTTACGGAGGGGTGCTACCGAGAATGAATGTGAGCATCGACTTGCAGTTGTACTGTGGTGCTAAGTAGTTGTGTTTGCCTGTTTTCTCGTGTATGCAGACAAATGAGAATAAGCAAGGGTTTGTCGTGAGAGAGAGAGAGAGAGAGAGAGAGAGAAAGAGAGAGAGAAAGAGAGAGACAGACAGAGAGAGACAGAGAGAGAGAGAGAGAGACAGAGAAAACGATGTCGTCGTTGCTTCAACCTTGACATTCCCCGTACGCAACAGAAAAAAGAAAAAAAAGAAAAAAAAAAGAAGCGCGCAGCTGGCGGGACGAGGCGAGGTATTTCGAGACCGCTGTTGAAAGAAAAAAATAATTGGTCTACGCTAGTACGAGAGTGGGACGATTTGGGAAGAACGGGTGATGTCTCCGAGGGAAGGAAAAGGAAGTGGCAATAAGAGTCGCTCGTGTCTTTCATTTTTCTTTTCTCTTCTTTGTCTTTGTTCCGTCACACCCTCCCACACACCCTCCTCCTCCCTTCCTTCTCGTCATTCCTATTAATATTTGCCACCAAACTCCCTTCATCCTTCGTCTGTACTCTTTTTAATACTTTTGCGCCCTCTTTTGCCTAATCTGCACCCTTCTTCCTCTACTGACTCTCACTCCCATTCAACAATGAGCGGACGAGATCGTTTAGCCGACTTCCAGGTAACTTGGGAGATAGAAGTCAGAGAGCGACAGGAAAAAAAGAGCCCTTCTCAACTGTCTGTTATGACAGCCCTTGGGTCGTTGCATCTTCCCTTCTGTGCTCTCTTTTCTTTGTTCAAGAAAGAATACTGGAGCATTGATTCACACCTGTCTAGGAAGAAAAAAAACGATCATGCAGGTCCAGTGTACTCATTCCCCTCTATTTCTTTTTTCTCACTTCTCATAGGGCCAGTCCAACAACAACCAAGGCTATGGGTAAGTTGGTTAACAGCACCTATTCACCCCTTACACTCTTGAACTGCAACAGTCGACAGGCACCATACGAACAACACAAAAGTGAGCGAGGGAAGGAGGAGAAGGGGAAGAGGAATACACCCTATTTTAAGAACTGCAAAAGTCGTTCGTTGTTTTTTTCTTTCGCAATCGTGCTTGGCCCTATTATCGATTTTTTTTCTCGTGTTTGTGCAGTCACTGCGACGATTCGGTCCGCAATGAGACGAGGCAAAGGCTGTACTCTTTTCCCGTTGTTCCGAAGAGGGTGTGTGAGAGTGATAGAACGTCTACATCTCGTAGCGCAATGGGCGCACACGCACACTTGTTATATTCCTCTTGCGATTACTCTGAACACAGAGCTTGAACCGTGTACATTCATACTCTACAATGATATCATTCTGTGGCTCTTTTTTGTTTGTTTATTGTCCTTGATATCGTCGTTGCTCTATTTCTGTTGTCATTGTCGATGGCATGGTCTTACTCTAGTAACAAATCCTGACTCGCTTATTCTATTTCTATTTCAACAGCCAACAGCAGCAGTACGGTCAACAGCCTTACGGCCAGCAGCAATATCAACCCCAGCAACAGTATGGACAGCAGCAGTACGGGCAACAACAATATGGCCAACAACAATATGGCGGTCAGCAGCAGCAGAACCAGTACAACAACCAGCAGCAATTTGCTCAGCAGACCCAGTTCCAACAGCCTCAGCCTCAGCCTCAGCAATTCCCTCCTCCAGTCAGAATCGAGATGAGCAACGTCTCGGCCACTTCCTCCGATGACATGAATGCCTTCTTTGCAGAGGTATGACCTACCACACAACTGGACTACCAAAAGGACTCATCTCAACGATAATTGCGGCAGTGGGCCCACAAGGACATAAATGAGGCATATCGGAGACTGACGCATACATCTTTTACTGTTCATGCACACTAATTAGGTCACCGCAATCAACGAGGACATCGCCAAGCTGGAGCAGAACATTACTCAGGTCGAAGAGTTGCACGACATTTCTCTTAATAGCGTGTCTAGCGAGGACCAGGCCGCCCGCACCAATCGTCAATTGGAGGGTATCACCACCGACACCACCCAGCTCTCCAACAGGATCAAGAGAAGAATCAAGGGTACGCTTTGACCATTTACCTGACGATTGCGACACGTGTCAACTTCATACTGGGAAATGTTTTCTACTCTTCTCGTTCGCATAGTAACGTCTTGTTCTTGTTCTCGTCCGAATTGACTATGGTAGATATCGAGCTTGCCAACCTTCGTTTGGCCAAGTCTCCCAACATTCAGATTCGAAGCACTCAGGCCAAGTCGTTGAAGGATAAGTTCTTGAAGACCCTTCGCCGCTACCAGAGCTCCGAGAGTGAAGCCAGAAAGAAGTACCAAGGACGCATGGAGAGACAATACAAAATTGGTGAGTCTTTGAGGGTCATTGGAAGTATTACATTCTTGGGGGTTCTTTTCTATCTGTAGGACAATGTAATAGCTGACACTCATCTCTTGCCATGTTCACGTTCATAGTCAAGCCTGACGCGACTCCTGCTGAAATTGCCCAGGCTACAGAGTCTGACAATCCCCAGATCTTTGCCCAGTCGGTAAGGTTCTAGCACTGTTTCATCCACCATGGACATTGGACATATTGTTTGGAACAAGACATGGCTATGATAATCCACTAATACATCGTTCGTGTTGACGTGTATCGTTTCTCTAGGTTCTTCAAAGCACACGCTATGGCGATGCCAACCGCGCTCTTCGCGAAGTCCAGTCTCGCCACGACGATATCAAGAAGATTGAAAAGACGATTGTGGTACGTTACCGCTGCTCAATGTTTGCAGCATCGATTTCATTTCCAATGACTTGTTTTGTTTGGATGTGGATAAATCGGACCAAAAAATAACAACAAAAATTGACATCGATCTACCTTTTGTCGCGTATTATCTCTTGTATAGGAATTGAACCAGTTGTTTATTGATATGGAAACGCTTGTAACTGAGCAAGCAGAGGTGATGAACACGATTGAGGAGAACACTCAGCAGACTGATACTCAACTGGAGTCTGGAAACAAGGAGGTCGACGTTGCGATTACCAATGCCATCGGAGCGCGTAAAAAGAAGTGGATCTGCTTCTTTATCTCGCTCATCCTTCTCATCATCATCGTTATCATCGTTCTCAAGACCGTAAGTCGTTTGGTTACTTTTGGAATGTCATGAATGGTGTTCGTCGGCATAGAAGCTGTTGGTTTCTTGAGTCCTTTGTAACTAACGTGAGTTCTTTTTGTCTATTACTTTTTTTCGTCCGTTAGACTGGTATCATCTAAATATCAGCATGCATGAGAGTACTTGACCTGCAAACATTTTATTTTTCTTCTCATCTTCATATTCCCCTTCCAACTACAACGTAATACTCTTTTTGTCAATGGATAAGGTTGTCGACTCGACATCCATTGACTTTACACCCTTTTTGTACTTTAGTTTAGAGTAGTTTCTAAAGTAAACACACAAACATATTAATACTTTCCATGGTTAGCCTTTTTTTTTTTTTTTTTGACTTGGTGGAAGAAAGAGAGGAGTGGTGATTTCTGATTCGCGCGATAAAGATCAAACAAGCCGCTCTTTCTCGGGGGAGGCGACACGGCTGGCGTGGTTTCTCACTCGGTGGGTTGTATCGCTGTTTGTATGACAGGATGAGGGGCGTGCGAAGTCTTGTCCCCTTGCATGTCTGTCTGTCTGTCTCTTTTGCAATGGTCCCTTGGTCGGTGTTTATGATTGATCGGAGGAAAAGAGAACGAGGCAAACAAAGAAACCTATCTTGGTTTCACAAAGAAAACAAAACGAGAGGGTTAGAGGAAGTATGTGTGTGTTTGCTCCAGCCAGACACAGGGGGGAGGGGGACAGGATGAAGGAGAAGGTGGCAGGAGGGGTTGGGTGCATGGTCGAGTCTACATGGGGGACAAGTGGAGAAAAATAAAACAAGGTTATCCGCCCGTTTTCTCCACCTCCTCCTCTTTCCCCAACTTTCTTTTCGTTGTTTTATTCATTACCCGGACCGCCTCGTTTGTTCATCATGGTTATTCATGTACACAAACAACAGCAATTGACTCCTTATCCCATCACCTTTCTTACTCTCTCAAGACAAACGATACGAAGCTTTCTCTACCGAGCTTATTGACAGTACAAGTAGAGCGATTGATTTGCGATTCTGACATGATAAACAAAAGCACCACGGACATCAACAAAAAAAACTAATAGATGGCGCGCCGATTGTTCAGGGTCCCAAACCCAACCGAACCCGTAACGTATCCGCCCAAGAGTACGTACTGTTTGAGCGCGCGCACGCGCGTGCATGCTCTTTTTTTTTTTTTTTTTTTTTTTTTCTTCATCGGATTCAGATAACATATGAGTTTGAATATAAGTAAACCAAAGGGTCTTTGTATTGTCGTGTGAGCAGTAAACGAAGGCCGGAGTGAAAAGTCAACCCATGGTAAAGTTTCTCGATGACTCTCCCCACTGCCAACGGAGGATACTTTAGTCAGAGAGAAAGAAAGAAAGAAAGAAAGAAAAAAAAGTGAGAGAGAGAGAGAGAGACAGGGTTCAAGGGAGACAAAAAGAGGACAACATTGCATAAACGATCGATTGTACGCCCACCTTGCACCCCCCTACAGAAAAAAAAACTCCTTGCTGCCTGAAGTTGCAAAGAGAAAAAACTTACTGACAAGACACAGGTCAAAGGGTGTAAACCTATTGTGTGATGCGATAGAGTTGCAGCCTTGCATGCGATAACGCTAGACACGTTCAACTTTAAAACCTTGACAAACCAAGCCAGTGCCAAAACACAGAAGGAAAGCGAGCTAGCCTTGGTATATCTTCTGTATGTAAACCAGGGGCATGAACAGCAAGGTCCCATGTCCAAACTCCTTGTTGTTGCTGTTGTTCCCTGGGAATACAGAGTCGCAAGGACGCTTTTTGGTAGTCGATTGAATTGAGTTGGGTTGGTCAGTGTATGGCGTTACTATGTGATGGGCTAGTGGGGGATGAATGAGATGGCTTCGTGGGATAAGGAAAAGGTCGCCCGGATTCAAATCCTCTTCCTCCTCCGTCTCCTTTTTCGCCCCTTTGCACTAACCTTTTCATTTTCTTTTTAACTCGCCTCGTTTTTTCTACTTCACTTCTTCTCTTTCTCTTATTCCGTTCTTCGTTCATCCACCTTTCTTCCCTTGCATTGAGCTCTTGATCCCTGTCCGACCACCCAATCTCCACCTCTTCTCGTTCTCTTCCTTTCTCTCTCACAGTGGTTCACTCGCACACCTACCTGAAAGAAAGCGACCATGGAGCAGCAACACGCCCCCGCAACAGCCGAGGCTGACCACCAACACCCTCACCGGGACGACAACTCCTCCAGCAGCAGCAACAACAATAACCAAAAGATCGAAGACCCCCAAATCCTCTCCCCCGTCTCGACTAACACCGCCGTCCACAAGGATTCGGCCCTCCCCCCTATCCCAGAACCAGCCCACGATACCGTTGCAACACCCACGGCTGGTGGGTTGAAGAGCCGCCTGCAATTGAGTGCGAACCGCCTACTGTCGCTGGACTTGTTGCGTGGTCTTGCGATCTTGATTATGATCACTTGTAATGCCCAGATGGATAACGCCTTCTGGATCGTCAGTAAGTATCTCTTTTGTTGATAAAAGAGGATGTTGGTTCCGATGTGTTGTATGTATCGAAGGATGCGGAGAAAGAAAGAAAGGGAAGGTGTTAGGAATGTTCTCGTTACCCCGAACAGGTTGGTTGGCTGTTTTCGTGGGGTCCTCCTCTTTCACCATTAGTTTACTAACGGATCAACAATCATCTACTCTGTCCATTCATCGTGTAGCTCACCCCGAGTGGATTGGATTCACCATTGCCGGTAAGAAAGCGTGCCCACATCCTTTGCGCCATAGAATAACAACAGCAACTACAACAAAAAAGAGCAGCCCTGTGCATTTTTTTCTCATGAACATTCGAAGATGGGATCGATAAGAAAATAATCAGACAAAGGCGTTCATTGTCTCCCTTTGTGCCACAACATCACCAACACAGTTCCGCTACTGCCAGTTGCTTGGACCTCCTCCCTTTGTTGACCACCCAACCCTCACGCGCTGTCTTCTCACAATTATGCTTAATCCGCATACCTTTCTAATCTTCCTCTCCCTCTGCCGCTGACAACAAACAAAAATAGACACTGTGTTCCCAAGCTTCCTGTTCATCACGGGCTGCACCCTTCCCCTGTCCGTCCGCGCAGATCCCAACCCAACGCCCGGCAACAAATACTACCGCAATCATGCCCTCCGCATCCTCAAGCGATCCCTCATTATCTGGGGCCTCGGTGTGATTCTCAACCTCTACGGCCTCGTCCAGCTCCACGCCCCCGCTGACCAGTTCCGTTGGCCCGGTGTCTTGAACAGAATTGGATTCTGCTACTTGGTCGTTGGGTGGATGCATCTCTTGGTTTTGGCCAAGGGTCGTAAGGATGAGAGACCGCTTTCTGTGGGTTACCTCTTCCGGTCAAGCAACAAGGCTGTTGATACGGTTGACGGTGGGAAGAGAGTGGAGGAGGAAGTTGTCGAGCATGGGGCGTGGCCTTGGTTTGTCCGTGTCACCTTGCCGTTCTACTTGCCGGTTGTCTGTCTGGTTGTTTGGTTGATCTGTACTTACAGTGTTCAAGTCGAGGGATGCCCTTACCGCGCCATGATTGAGGACCCCAAGTGCAGTCCTCAGGCCTACTTTGACCTCAAGGTCTTTGGTAAAAACCATACCTACCGCCACCTGGAGTTTGACCCCGAAGGTTCTCTCTCGACTTTGACCTCGATCCTCAACGTCTGGTTCGGATGGTACATTGGCTGCACGGTCCGCACCCTCAATGCCCAGGTCAAGCAAGTCACCTCAGACTTCAAGGCCCACCGCGAGACTACCTCTGCTAGTGGTACAGCTGTCAGTGAGGCCCAGGTTCTGGAGGAAGACATCCTCGAACAAGAGACACTTGTTCGTATTCACTTGGAACATTGCAGCACATGGTTCTGGTACGGCCTCCTCTGGGCTTTTATTGGTTGGCTCTTCAGTCTCGGTCTCCCTCTGTCCAAGCCCAGTTGGACGGCCACCTTTGCAGTGATGAGCTCTGGAGTCTCGCAGACGGCGCTCGCGGTCCTGTTCTACAAGTTTGATGCCCAGCCCAAGGCCGAGCGTCTAAAGAAACTCCACAGAGACCATCAAGCCTACCTCTCCAACAACCAGCTCTCGCACCACCACCGCCCCCTCCCCCTCGATTCTGAGCACTCTTCCACCGATCGCGGCAACTACTCGAGTGCGCTAGCGCTGTACTTCAAAGCGGACCACTTCCTCCGCCACTGGTTCCGTCGTTCCGTCATTGTCGTCCTGGGCAGTATGGGTCGCAACGCGATTCTGATGTACATGTGTTCCGAATTGGTTCAGGGAACTTGTTCCTTGATCCCCGGAGGGCCTACTGATCCTGTGACGGGTGAGAAGAGTCCTGACCTGTGCACGTCGGCGTTCCAGCATACCTGGGGGGCATTGGATATTGGTGGATGGGCTAGTTTGTTTTATTCCTTGGGCTTTGCGGCGTTGCATGTTTTGTTGGCTATCTACCTCGACCACAAGAAGTGGTACTTCAAGGTCTAACGAAGACGTTGTTGTGCAGCAGAAAAGAGGGCCGCTATTATTTTTTCCCTTCTCTTCTCTCTTCTCACTTTTTTTTTTTTTCATTCTTTTTTACCCATACCATAATCTTCTCCTTTTCAGAGTGAACACACACAACTTTTTTTTACTTGTAAATACAAAAACACCTCTATCTACCCACACGGCCTCTACCCTAAACACGAAGATAAACACCCCTCCTGTCAAGATACCATAACCCCGGCCCAAACATAAAAACATAACACAAACTAAACACCAAACTCGCCCAAGCGGCCGGCAAGAACCTATAGAAACTATTAAAAAACAACCAGGACCAGATGGTTTGGACCCACGGGAACCCACCGTGGGCAGGGATCTTTTCGAGAATGATTTTGAAGAGCTCTGAGAGGATGTAGATTAGGGTTGGGTTGCGGCCGTAGCTGATTAGGAGGTTGGTTGCGAAGGCGAGGGTTATAGTGAGGAGGCGTAGTGTTTGGGTGACGAGGGTGTGTAGGTGGTGTTTGATGGTTGAGAGTATTGTGGAGGAAGGAGGCTCTGTCGAAGAAGTTGGAAGAGGAGAAGGTGAGATAGAAGGGAGGGAAGGGACGTCATAAAGGTACATGAGGATACAGAGCGTGTTGATGCTAACGCCTGCAGAGTAGAGCGTGAAGCTAGGGGTCCAGAGTGATTTGCAGATTGGGAGGAACCAGCCGAGGATTGTGCCGGTGACCATTGTGCAAATCCCGAGCATGAACCATTCTCCGAGGTGGGATAGGAGGTGAGTCCTTTGGTGGGTTATTATACGGCGTTGGAGGGTTTCTTGTTTTGTTGGTTGTGGTGCGGGTGGAGAGGGAGGGAGAGGGATGGTCTCCATGGCTTGTGGTGAGGGTTGTCGGTGGTCCTGTTGGTATTGGGAGAAGGAGGAACTTTCGCTGGTATCCTTGGGACTTTCATCCACAATCTCCCTTCTCCTTTTACTTCTATTCCTTTCCTTCTCCATCACCTTCTCAATCTTAATGCCTTGCTCAAAGTCCTCAATAACACCCTTCAAAACATCCTTCCACTCCCTCTGCTGCTCCATAACCATCCCACCAACAATCCACCCAACCCAAGCCGTCACAACTGCCATCAATGTCCCCAACGTCCCCTCGGCATCAAAGATTGGGTTATTCGCGTCCTTGTCCTTTGTGAATAGCAATGTGTCCAACACGGATTGGGCGGTGCATTCTGGAGGGCTTAGTTGACCGCGCGAGGGGGCGTAGCCTGGGAGGATGATTGCATCGGATGAGGAGGAGTTCGAGGAAGAAGAAGAGGAGGAGGAGGAGGAGGAGGAGGAGGAGGAGGAGGAGGAGGAGGAGGGGGTAGCGGAGGAGGGGTAGAGGCAAGTGGGGATGGGTTGTGTGGCGGAGGATTGGATCGTATAAGTGAGGATGAACCAGAGAGTTGTGCAAAGTACGGGGAGGAAGATTTTCACGCGTTGTGAAGAAGTGGGTGTAGTTTGATCTGGTGTTTGTTTTGTATTGTGGCGCCTGGATGGGTTTGGTGGCGTTGAAGAGGAAGGTGGTGATTGCGCACGGCCCTTCCTCGCTTGTGTTTGATTGGCATTGGTAGCGGTTGAACTATCAAGGGTAGGAAGGGTTCGGACGGGAGACCAGAGGACAGAGAGTGCGAGAACAAGATAACAGAACCCAATCCTCTGCAAGACCCCCGGGATCCGGATCCAACCCGCCTCCGTCCCAATCATCTCCAACCCATTCAACCCCAGTCCTATTGCAAAGAGGATACAGCTCCTCTTTACCATCTTGAGCGACATCCGGATTCGTGTCTCGTGCCGTCTCCACATCCCCTTCACACCGCTTTGTTGTAGTTGAAGTAGGTGGTTATCGGGGGACCAAGAGAGGGTAACGAGTTTGGTGGGTGAGAGGACGATAGCGATAGCCATACCGACCATGAAGATAAAATTTGGAAAGACCCAATCGGCGAGGGTGTAGCCGAACCAGGGGGTATGGGCGAGTTGGTCGAAGGGGTCTGCGCCCTGGGTGTTAACGAGGACCATGAAAATGATGGTGACCCCGCGTAGGATGTCGAGCGATTGGAGGCGTTTTGTTTTTCCCGCTTCTCCTCCTTGTCCTCCCCCTGTTCGTACCCCCGTACCCTGTTGTTGTGGATCATTGCTGGCGGTTGTGGTGCCTGCAGCAATGGATGATGGTGGTACATGTTCGTTGCTGTGGAGGACTTGGATGCGACGATGGCTGTCGCCGTCGTCCTCGCTAATGTTCGCCCGGTTCGTAACCACCCTGACCTCAAACTCTGCATCCTCATCACCATCGTCGACTCCACTTCCTCCAACTCCACATCCGCCGCTGCCCAAGGACGCCAATGAGTTTGCATTCTGTGCATGCGAGTGATCACTATATTCCTGTAGCTGTGGGTTGTTGTGGTTGGGCTGCAGGGTGTCCCTCGATCGATTCGCGGAATTATTGTAGTTGTCCTTTGTATGTGTGCTGGAGGGCGCCGTGGTTACTACTGTCGACTCCTGAAAATCAGGTTCTGAGACTTTGGAGGTGTTGGAAGGGTGGTGGGTAATATTTGGATGCAGGGCATGGATATGGGATGTGTCGTTGTTACTGCTGTTACCACTTCCACCACTGCCACCAACGGCGCTTTGATATCGCCCTAGGTGTAGTCGGGATAGATGGTCAGGGTTGAATGCTAGCCCGTCGACATGTCGAGGAGGCGGTTTGGGCGAGGATGGAGAGGTGGAAGTGGAGTGATCAGAGACCGCAGATCCGCGTCTGCGATGGAGGCTATGTTGGATGGGCGGGTGATTATAATGAGTTCTTCCGGAGGTGGAGAAGGAAGGGGATGAAGATGTAGATGGGAATGTGTTTGTAAGGGTAATCATCGTGGTCGTAGTAGTGGTTGGATGTGGGATTGGTGGTGGTAGTCCCAGGGTGGTGGTGGTGCTGTAGGGGGCTGATTCGTCGTGGGGATCGCCTTGCATCATTTTTGCAGTGTTGAGTTTTTGTGCTTTCGTGTCCTTGCTGGATATGTGAGGTGTGACAAGAATTGGTGGTGAGGAGGAATGAATGGAGGAAGATGGATGAATAAAGGTGGAGTAAGGGAGGAAAATGAAACGTAGACTAAGATAATGAATGAAGGGTGTAAGAGGATGACAATGAAGAGAAAGGAAGAAGGGGAAAGGAAGAAAGGAATTGAGCCGTCTGAGGATGTCCAAGAGGGAGAAAAAAAAACGAGGGCGATAAAAGAGAAGTAAGGAGGAGTAGGAGGATTGTAAGGAAAGATAAAGAAACCAGGAGACGGTGGTATGAGGTGGGGATAGACCCCATGGACCAATATTCTCTTCCTTCTAAGAAGTGCTCTTGTGCGGCAGCATAGTAAACGTAGTGATGACTACAGCCTTTACTTTCTTGACCTATCCTCGGTAGGAGACATCGATGTCAATCAATTGAAAGGGGAAGGGGAGAGAGGAGGCAAGGCTGTGCCATGTTTTTTCGCCGCTTTATTTTCTCATGTGATGTGTGACAAAGAGGCCCCTGGAAATGAATTAATGCCAATGGTTCATTACGTCAGTCCGCGAAGAGGGCAAAAGGAACAGAAATTGAAGAAGATGATGGTGATGCAAAAAGCAAGGGGAACCGACATGTCGGATATGGTGTTTGACGCACAGCGGAGCAAAAGCAAAAAAAATAAAACTCTCCTCTTCTTGTTAATCAAGCAATTGAGCAAGAAAAATAAAAAAAGCTGGGGCATAACGTAGAAATGAAAAAAGAAAAGCAAAAGGAAAAGGGGGTGGTGGTTTATTGAGGAGCATGGGAACAATAAGGAAGGGAGCCTGGAAGGAATAAAAGCGAGAAAAGGGGCGTGGGATACACACATGAATGGAACAGCGGGGCGGAGAGAAAGAGGAAAGCAACCACACTCTGGTTTATTGTCGTGTCACACACATATTGGAGTGGTAGTGTGTGAAAATAGCATAGCGAATTTGCACCAAGTGTGTAGTTGTGTGTGTGTGACATGCCCACATAGGACATGGTAGTAAGTGATCATTTTGCCACCAAATTTCATTTACTGATCACTTGCAGTATGATCAACCGTTTTGGTTACCGGGTTGGATACCCGTCTTTCTACATGCAACATCTCTCTCACTCTCTCACTCTCTCACACTCTCACTCTCTCTTTTCATTTTCCATCCCTTCATTTAACCACACACGCATAGACACACATGCTTATTCTTATTAATAGCGTTCATATCCGACGATGTGTGAAGGACGAGAGAGAGAGAGAGAGAGAGTGAGAGAGAGAGAGAGAGAGAGGGAGAGAGAAGGAGAGAGGGATAGATGTCAACATGCATGCATGTATCATCATATTCTCTACTCACACAAATGATCGCCGATGCAAAGCGAACAAAACAAAAGAAAGAGACCAAGAGACAGACGAGCAGACAAACAATTGGCAATGGGTAACAACAAAAGATGGTCCATCCCACACCACACCTCTACCTTTTCTTTTCAACTCTCTCTCTTTCTCTCTCTCTTCGTCTCCTTTTGTCTTTTCCACTCACCCCGTTCTTTTCTTGTCGTTCATTACCTTCAGTTGGTTGTTCCTTGTTCCTGTTTTCCTCTTTCTCTTCTTTTACCTGTTCAACAGACAGACTGACAGGCAGACAGACAGACGGAGAGACAGACAGATACACCGACCCGACAAACATCCCCTCCGTTATTTTTATTTTTCCAACCCGTCATTCACTGTCTCTTTCTCCTTCGCTTCTTTCGAGCGACAACACCATTTCTCCAACTGCTATCTTCTTCTTCTTCATATTAGCCATTAACCATTCTTCTCCTTGGCCACCTTCTACTTTTTTTAATATTATTTTCTACCGTAGAATAAATAGTTTTCTATCTATCCTCCTTCTTCCCATCATCCGTCTCTGTTCCCCTCACACTCATTTTTCCCTTTCCGCTGTCGCCTGCAAGTGTGAACATACCGTGCCCGTAGCATGTAAGCATATGTCTGTAGGTGTACACACTTTACACTCCCATCATCATCCACTGTATGTCGTACGAAAGATAGTTTTTGTGCTCTCACTCTTTTTCCTTCTACCCTCTCTCACTCTCTCGCTACTCGCTACTCTCTCTTTTTTTCCCCTTTTTCCTGTTCCTCCTCCTCCTTTCGCCTCTCTTTCTCTTTCTCTCTCTTCTTTTCTTTAACCCTTTTCTACCTTACCTTCTTCATACCTTCCTTTCCTACCCACCCACCCCTTGACGAATTATTCCCCTCTTATTGCATACAACTTCACATACAAAAAGCGACGACGACAACAAAGACGACCTTGACCACCCTCCCTTCCTCCTCCTCTCCGCTCCTCCCCCTCTTTCCTTTCCTCTTCTTCTTCCGTCCCACCCGCCTTCCCTCTCCAAAGTACTTTCTAATTACCAATAATGAGCAACGGACACGGCAACTTTGAGCCAGGCGGGATGGCCATGGCCAGCGTCAGTCCACACGACGAGGCCGCAGAGGCAGCCCTGCGCAACGAACAATACCAGGAACACCAGCTCAGACTCCAGGAAAAGTACAGACTCCAACACCAGCACCAGATGGGGCTCCAGACCGCCACCCACCCGCACGATCCCGTCTCCGGCGAGGGGTACTTCACCGCCCAGGGCCACTACATCGACCCCAAAGGCAGCCCATGCTACGACGCCACACCTCAATACGGACTCGCAGACTTTGAACTCCTCGAGACCCTCGGTAAGCATTCATGGCGAGACTTTTCTTTTGTTTGTTTGTTGATGGTGCATCATCATCTTCATCGCCAAACACACACGCACACTTTGTGTTCTATTCATCATCTGTCCATTGGACATTACACGCAAAGAGAGCGCCTTTGTGTTTCGATCATCATCTTTACTTCGTTATTTTACACTCCCAATCGCCACCTGCCTTTTTTCACGGAAGTTACTTTATTCCACGTCCAAAGGCATCAAGCAATGGATAAGTGAGGAACATTTGAAAGGGAAGGAGTGCCTGAATATCGTCCAATTGAAAAGAGGAGACAAACCAGAGTACGATATGCTGGTCATGGTGGTGGTGGTGGTGGTGGTGTGGGATGAGAGCTCCAGGACAAACATTGGAGCTGAGCAAAAACAGGGGAAACACAAGGAGCAACAGTACAACATCAACAACATCAACAAAAGAACAGTGGACAAGGAGTCAAAGGGCAGGCATTGGAAAGGGTTATACGCCCATGTTTTTTGCATACAAAAATGAACAAGACACCAACACCAACACCAACATCAAACAACAATAATAACAACAGTGGACATTGAGAAAAAAGGATAGCATTTACAAGCAAGCAGGAAACAATCAACAAAGCAAAAAACAACAATGCAAACAACATCAAGGCACGCACGCAGACAGACAGACAGACAGACAGACAGAGACAAAAAAAACGAGGTGACCAGACACAGACAGTCGACACAGAAGACGGAGAGAGAAGAAGAAAGAATTGACTAAAAGAGAAGAGAAAAAAAGAAGAGGGTGAGTATTGGCTGAGCCAGGACAGGGACCCCGCAGACCTGTGCAGGAGACAGAGGGAGGGAGAGAGCAAGGGCACGCGGTCGACACCACAACCCTGCCTATCCTTTCTTCCTTCTTTCTCTCTTCTCCTGAGTTGTCCTGCCTAGCCCTTCTGAACCATTGTCCCACCTTGACCCATGGGTCAAAAGAGGGGGGTGACACACTTTTTTACTTCGTTTTTTTTCCCCTTTCTGTTTACTTTCTACTCTTTTGCAAAGCGTGCGTGCACGCACAATGAAGCAAAAAAGAGTGCTGGGAATGGATGAATGAAAGGCGGGCAAAAGGGAAAAAAGCATACCAGACAAGCGGACTTTTTCTTCGCTCTTTTTTACTTTTTACTTTTTATTCTTCGCTTTTGGTCGTTGTTCTCAATTATATCGACGACAACAGACGAAGACGAGGCGAGGCGAGGCGGGGCAGGGCGAGAAGAGGGTTAATGACGCATGGTTCAAGGATAGGTTGGAACCGACGGCCAGAGTCCTTTGCTCTTGAATTATAACCCTGATAATGCAATCAAACAGACGCCCCCTTGACCAGAACAGACCAGACACAGTGCAGACTATGACCAGGCAATCCGACAGAGAGGACACACCAGTCCATGGAAAACACAGCAAGGAAGGACAAGGGACAGGAGCAAGCACAAAGGACAAAACAACAACAAAAACACAAAACACAAAGGGGAACGTAGTGGGCGGACACGGCATAGCAAACAGGACAATGGAACATTCATGACCCCAGACCTTCGACGAACTGCACCCCTTCTTCTTGTCATTGCTCCCTTCTTTACTTTCCGCCCCCTTTCCCTTTTGATGAGTTTTATGTACTTTGCCCGACCCTCACTCCCTTATTGACAATGGAGCACGGGATACCAGACCAAGCATTGGATTTTTGATCGACAGGCAGGCAGCATACAGGTGGACACAGGGCGCAGACAAAATGGAATGGGATTTTTCGACACTTCTGTGGTCAGATACCGATACCGGGCGATGTCCTTGTGGTCAGGGCTGGGCTGGGCTGGTCTGGTCGCTCAGTCTGACGACACGTTGTCAGTGGCTATGGATGAGACACTCTCCCAGCGAAACCGTGCCTGAGCTGGGGACTATGGCAACGTGGGAAGTGGACTGGACAGAGTGGCATTTTGGGGTTGTCCACAGTGTATTTTTCCAATGCGGGATGGGGAATGCACACAGTGACTATGAGCTATTTTTTATATCGTTCTTCTATGTTGCTTGTTGCTCAATCCTGTCGGGATCGGCAGTAGTTTGAAGGGAGGAGGAGGGAAGAACATCCTTCAATTGAAAAAGGACTTTTGTTGGGTTCCGGACCAAAGACCACAAGGGCCTTTTTCCTTTCTCCTCTCTTTTCTCTTTGTCTTCCCCCTTTTTAATTCTTCTTCTGCGAGGAGGGCATATTGACACGTCCTGCCTGTCATCGGGATCATAGAAATCCCTATGTGTGGTCTTTCATCATTGTTGGTTGCGATGGTCAATGTGGTTGGGTTGACAGGGCATTCCTTTTTATCTCCTCTCTCTCTGGACACATTGAACCGAGGGAAAAACTTATCCAGTTGTTTCGGTACAACTTGATATGTACCTCTTCCAGCAGAAAATAAGAAACTAACCGAAATATTTCCTTCCAACTGTCGTTTTCAATTTTATCCCGTCATCATATAGGAACGGGCACGTTTGGACGAGTGTATCTCACGAAGTTCCGTCATGACCACTCATTCTATGCCATGAAAGTGCTGAAGAAGACAGAGGTGGTGCGACTGAAGCAGGTCGAGCACATCAATTCCGAGAAGCAGATCCTGTCCCAAGTCCACTTTCCCTTCATCGTCAACCTGTAAGTTACAACCAAAACTGTTCTTTATTTTTCTCCCGCTAGCGTGAAAAGCGACAAGACGAAGCGGTATCAATCTCCGCAACAAACAAACAGACAAAGTAACACAGGACCCACCGTTTCCCCTTTCTCTGTACTCGCTAAATAGGTTTACGACATTCCAGGATGATCGCAACTTGTACATGCTGCTGGAATACGTTATCGGAGGCGAGCTGTTTTCACACTTACGAAGGGCAGGACAGTTCACAAACGACATGACACGATTCTACGCCGCAGAAATCGTCCTTGCTATCGAATACCTGCACTCAAGAGACATCATCTACCGTGATCTCAAGCCTGAGAATCTCCTTCTCGACTCGTCAGGGCATGTCAAAATTACAGATTTCGGCTTTGCCAAGCGCGTTTCAGACAGGTAAGCACCTATTCAGAACTTTATATCAATTGAATTGTGCAGCGTTGCAGCAGGCTAAAGCCAACAGTCTCTATATGAAACCTACCACTTTAGAACGTGGACGCTATGCGGAACGCCCGAGTATCTTGCACCCGAGATTATTCAGTCAAAAGGACACGGAAAGGCTGTGGACTGGTGGGCATTGGGCATCTTGATCTTTGAGATGTTGGCAGGATACCCACCGTTCTTTGACGACAACCCGTTCGGCATCTACGAAAAGATTCTGGCCGGCCGCATCTACTTCCCAGCACAAATCGACTCCACCGCCAAGGATCTCATCAAAAAGCTGCTCACCGCCGACCGAACAAAACGACTCGGAAACCTCAAGGTACACCATCTCATCTACTCATCCTTTTTTCTCTTTACCGTGGATTGACAAAGCTCCAAGTCTGTTAACACTGTTGCTATTCGGTTTTAATAGGACGGGTCGGATGATATTAAGAATCACAAGTGGTTTAGGGGAGTCGACTGGCAGGGGTTGCTGGACAGGACGGTCAAGGCACCCATTGTACCACCCTATGTACACCCAGGCGATACTGGCAACTTTGAAAAGTATCCCGAGGTGACGGACGACGACGCTACCCAGGGCGACCCTTACAGGTCGCTATTCATGAACTTTTGATATGATACCGGAAAGATTGGCACCCAAAGCAACAGCAGCATACCCAACCCATACCACCAACACCAGCACATGCCCTCGGTATCCACACAGGAACCATGGCCACTAGAGCAGGGACAGCAGCAGCACCTTCAACAACAGCAATTACAACAACAACAGCAGCAACAACAACAGCATTTTCAATTACAACAGCAACTAGAACAACAACATCAGGCACAGCTGCAATACCAACAACAGCAGCAACAGCACCAGCAACAGGTGAACTTCCTGGAACGAAAGCTGAGCAAGAGGACGCGACTCGAGACAGAGGAGGACATGTCGGTGGATGCAGCCGCAGCAGGTCAATCGTTCATAGGATTTGACAGCCAGTCGGAGCAACAACATCAGAGCTCATGGGCCGGAGCTGGTGCTGCTATGGATGGCAGCGGCCAGCACCATCATCCACAGTTTATTCCGACGGGCGGCATGCACTCTGGACAATCCGACCCCAAGAGGCGCAAAGGCGATTGGTCCGAGGGCAGTGGGTCTTTGAGCGGCGCCGCTGAAGGAATGGACACCCCCATGGAGATTGCCTAGCTTGCCTTTCTCTACCGTTCTTTGTTATCGGATCCCCAAGCGCTTACCTGACAGCACTCGCATGACTCGCACGGACTCGTTCTGGACAAGGCCTGGACCTTTCTGATTGTTGGCGTTCTCTGGACCCTTTCAACTACTGGTGGTCGTCATCAAGGAGGATCAAACTCACTCCCCATCTGTCGAGCCATTGGATGTTCGTTGTACCCAGAACTCCAGGACATCACGATCATTGTTGTTTCTTGTTCTTTTTTTTTTTAATGTTTGTTGCTGTTTTTTATTCTCCTTTGTTGCCTGTTATAATTGTCGTTTCTTTGTCTTTTCTCTTTTACCTGTCGTTTTTCTTTTCTTTGTTTTCTTTTCCTTTTCTTTCGTTCTTGTATTCGCCATTCCCATTTCATTTCTTTCTTCTTTTTAATGTTTCCTTCCTTTCGTTTTTCTAATTTATCGTCTTTTTCTGTCGAGTTTGTCACTCCTTTGTTTCTTTTTCCTTTTCTTTTTCGTTTTTCTTAACTGCTGCTGCCACTACATTTTGCTGCTGTTTGCCGCCTTTCTTTCCGATACGTATCAACCTCATAGCGTTTGTTTTTTTTTATTCTTTTTTATTCTCTTCCCTCAAGCTATTCAAACAGACCAACTAAAAAAAGATAAAACCCTCACCACACCACCACATCTCATTCTCAATAATCTGCATCCAAACATGATTGGTATGATGGACTTGTTGGAGAGCCTTGCATGGCAATGACAGTATATCTTTTCATTTCGGAATTTTTTTCGAATTTTTAATTCTTAAGAAACATAACGCTTCTTAACGGTTTTTACTTGAAAGAGGCCAGAACCATCCAAATATTATTAACGGTCCCCTCTCCTAAAACAACAAGGACAACACAGAACTACTGCTCCTTCTTCTCATCAACAAGAGCCGCAACAGTTGCACCCGCACTCTGGTTCCCAGCCTTCCCACCAGCCGCCGCCGCCGCCGCCTTCCGGGCTCTAAAAGCCTTTATATCCACATCGACCAGGACATCCAACTCCCGCTTCAACTGAGGCCTATAACCGATCATAAACAAAAACTCCCATACAACAAAGTAAGGGGCCAGGACCAGGGCTTGGATCAGGTTCTCGGTGAGCTTTGGGGCGCGCTTTTCAAAGACTCCGTGGCCGATGAATTGAGCGATCCAGGCGGTGACGTGGATGTATGATGCGATCCGGACTGCGGACGGGTTGGTGAGGTAGAAGTCGGTGGCGAATTTCGCGGCGCCTAGGAATAGGGGCGCGCTTATGAACTGTGGGGTGTGGTGTGGTATGGTGTGGGGAGGGGAGGGTAAGGTGGGATGGTTGGGTTGTTAGGGCGGCGTGGCGTGTTGAACGGGAAGGGTGTTGAGAAGGGAGGGGTAGGTCCGAGTGCGAAGTGGGTCGGATGATGTTTGAATGTCGGATGGGTCGGTCGTATGTCCGAACGCGGAAAATCAACAAACGGATGCGACCAATGCATGATTTTGGTTTCAGAGCATGTCCAACAGGTACAGAAGTAGGAGGAATGAAGAAGAGAAAGGTGGTGTGAGTGAGAGAAAAAGTAACAACAACAACAACAACATGGAACGCATGATGAGCGTGTACGTCCGTATGTGTGCCCCCCTGTTCTTTGCAAAAACACACGCACTCTCTCTCTCTCTCTTCAATGGCTTCAGTCGAGAAAGCAAGCAAAAAAAAAATGAGCTCCTGAACAATTGCTAGAAGGAGGGTACTTACGGCGGTCTCCTTGTCAAGCGCAAAATAATACCCCACATAGCCCACCATAGCCGCCCATGCCAAATTCGGCGTCGCAAACTGGAACACCTTATCCACAAGGGCCGGGAATGTCGCACCCGATGCCACGGCGGCCGGGGAAGGGGAAGGGAGGAGGGGGCCAGAGGTGGCGGCAAAGACGAGGGCGGACCAGAGGATGAGAGGGATGCAAGTTAAGTGGATTGCGACGTTGACAGGGTGGTTGTGGTGGGTTGCGTACTGCAGGAGTTGGTGTTTTATATCGAAGAGTTTTGACATTCTTGGTAGGATGACGTTGAGGTAGTGAGTAAGTGAGTGAGCTAGAAGGGTTTGGAAGAGGCGGAAGGAAGGAAGAGAAAGAGGAAAGACGACCGACGGATGGCACAAACAGATGATAGGGAAGGGAAGAAGGCCCAAGCTCAGATGGGCTTAGGCGGCTTATTTATTACGTTCATGACATGTGTCGTGAATGAGAGGCAATTGGGGTATGAATTAAGATGGAGTAGGATTTTGAGAATGACTATGATACAGGGATATGTGTCTTTTTGGATGCAGAGTGAAGATACAAATGAAGGAGGCGAAACAAGGATGTGCTTATGCTAATTAAAATGGTAGGGGTTATACTTGTAAGGTAATGAAAAAAAAATAACGAAACTCGATACGAAAAGCAAGAAGGGAAACGAAAAGCAAGAAGGGAAACGATAAAAAAAAGGGGGAAGGACAATTAGATCCACTCCCAGGTGGAGTTTGCGCGGTTGAACCGGGCAACCTTGCGCTCACACTCGGGACACCAATGGATACAATCCTTGGTTCCCTCATGGTCCTTCCGGAACGGCAAATAGCTCAACGTGCCCAGTGTCAAGAACATCAGTCCGAACGCGACCAGGTACGACATTAAGCCGGGGACGTACTGGATGTTGGAGACGACTTTCATGGCACCGCAGTGGGGGCAGTTGAATTTTGAGGGCCCGTCGCGGAACATGGAGTGGATTGCGCCCGAGGGGCGGAGCCATTCTTCGCGCCAGCGGTCTTGTTGTTCCTCGATGGGGGATCTTTGGAGGTGTGGTTGGTTCTGAAGCTGTGGGTGTTCAATGGATCGGGATCCGCGACGGGAGAGGGAGAGTGAGGCTCTGGACCCATCCTGATTGTGGTTGTTGCTGTTGACGATCGAAGGGGTGACTGTTGCAGGTGTTGTTGGGTGCTGTGCAGTGGGAAGGTTACGAACACGGGAGGATTTCGAAAGAGTAGGTTTCTTGAACAGTTTCGGGAAAATATTGTGCTGGTGGTGTGCCTTTTTGGAGTTGTTATTGTTTGAGGATGTGACAAAGGAGGCCGCGACAGAGGATGAGGCAGACGGAGTATAAATAGTCGTAGGCGATGATGTACTAGGGGGCGAATAGACCGACGACGAAGGAGTCGATGGAAACGGGAATCCTCCCTTGACCGTTGTTGTTGGGGAGGCAGAGACAGAGGCAGAGGCCGATCGTCCGTGCAGGCGGTGTGAGGATCGGACACGGTCCATTTGAGCCTTATACAGGTCAAACTTGCTCGTCGGTACTGGGGCTGCTGGTGGTGCTGTTGCTGATGTTGTTGGCTTTGTGGTATTGGGCTCTTGGTCCAGATCGGCAAGATGGTGGTGGTCACCACTTCCGTTGATGGGCGGTTGGAAAAAGAGGAGGAGGTCTGGGGAAATGGATGGATCGGCGACAGTAAGAGAAGGAGAAAGAGAGGCAGATGAGCTGGCGCCAGGAAGAAACTCGGAGACACCATTGCCATTAGACAAGGGCTTGCCGAGGTCATTGATAAGAAGAATCTTTTGGCTCCCATGCCTACTGCTACTGCTACTCCGACTGCTGCCATGCTTGTTGTAGTTCTTTTGTCGTTGAAAGGATGTGACGGAAGAGGCAGAGGCAGAAGACGACGAAGACCCCGACCGCATCATCTGAGCAGTACCGGGGTTAGAACGAACGTTGCTTTGCGGGCGATGGTTCTGCTGGTGATACTCGAGCATCAGGAGCGGGCTCTCGTGTTCCTGGGACGACCGGCTGTTCTCCCGGATACAGGGACCAATTGGGAACCGATCGTAGTCCCAGATTGGTGTGAAGAGCGGCATTTCTTGTTGTTCTGCTGTGGAGGATGATGGTTGTTGGGGTGTTGTGGTTGTTGTTGAGGATACTATGGAGGTGGGGGAACCTTTACCCTTGTCGCTGAGAGAAGGGGAGGAGGAGAGTCGAAGGGTTACTTTTGGATCGATCGTATCGTTGGCTGTGGTGGCAATGGTTGTTGAGGTGCGCTTGGCTTTTGAAGGTGCGGGCTGAACGGCCAACTTTGCTACTGTCATTATGGTTTATCTGGTCGTTTCGGGATGGATGGTATTGTTGGGTGAAACGGAGAAAGAAGGAAAGTGGAAAGAGGGAGAGAGAGGGAGAGGATCTGTGGAGAAGAGAAGAGAAGGGAAGAAGAGGGGAGGGAAAAGGTGGGGATGAGGAAACGAGACAAGAGGAGAAGGAAACAGAAGAAATGAGAAAGAAGAAAGAAAGAAAGAAAGAGAGAGAGAGGAGGGTGGCAAAAGGGTTAGTAAAAACTTGGTACGACGGCAGTGGTATACAGAAACTTTAACGAAACAGAGATACACCGATGCAAGCCCTTTTTGGTTGCATGCATTGGGTGATTGCGGAGACAGAGAAAGAGGCACATCCTATCCTCAATGGCAGCTGTATGGGTGCATCATGGTATACATACACCCAATTGAACTCTCTCTCCTTTTCTCCCCTCCTCATTTGGCTGTCTGGTCCCTCGTTAGCTACTTGGTTCCCCTCATCTGAACTCTCATATGCAAAACCCTCAAACATCCCCCTTCCTTTTCCCTTTGTTCATTGTCGTTTTTTAATTATTAGCAACCACAATAATGACACAATGACTAATGACCATGATATACAAAAAGGGAAACAAATAACACTCATCACCAATTGCTAATTGTTTGCTTATTGTTGATAGAGTGAATGCACATAATATTCGATCGCTCATGGCCATAGCATGGGTGGTCAATGAGTGTGGTGCGCTCGTTTGTTTTGCTCGCTCGGAGCCCTAGCGAGCAAACAAGCGGAGAGCAAAGATCTGCCGTCTTCTCCATGAGCTCTCTTTTTGAGATACTGGCTGACACACAATAACAACAGACCTGGCATGAGCGTTGCTTGTATTCCTCTTCCTCTTTTACCACCCCTGACCTAGGCCTCACCATTTGCCATTTGCCTTGATGCTCATTTTTTTTGACGTTTGCTGCTCTCTTCTCTCAATTGTCCGTTAGACAAAGAGGCAAAGTACGAGGGAAGGCGGCCACGAGAATGAATGGGATGTGGGTGCATGTACTATTGTCGGGGAGCCTTTTTCCTTCTCTGTTTGTGCCATACTCATTTAGGTACACAGAAAAAATAAAATCAAGGTGCGCATGCAAAAAAAAAAAAAAAAAAAAAGAAACCAACAGCACCGACAACGCATAGATCGGCACTCGAAATAAACACACAACACCATACGTTGAGTACACTGTAATAGTGTAAACCGCACCAAAAGCGTAGAAGGAAAGGTGCACAAAAACGGGAACCAAAACAGAAAAACGGAAGAAAAAAAAAATGCAAGGGCTCTCAGGCGACAGGAAGGGAGAGAAAGAACACCCCTAAACCAACGTCCCATCCCATGGTCCAAGGTAGGTCCAAAGCAAAATAAGATAGAAAACTCCCATTTGTTGACAGGTACTCGATCCTAACCCTCTTTTACAGTTACCACTTTGTCCGCAAGGTATGTACATGACATGGCATATAGAGCTTAAAAATGTGTAAAAACTTTACTCTTCTTGGAAATGATCAGGAATAAGAATGTTGGACTGTTGGTCGACGACAGTGAGTGTATAAAAAAAAGGAGAAAGGGAGAGAGAATGAAGGAGGAGGATGAAAGAAAGGAAGGGAGCATGGCATGGCATGGCACTTGGCCTGACTGGCGTGAGCGTTCGTCGCATGGCAACAGGCAGGGAAAGCAAACAAAAAAATAAGAGAGCAAGCGAGCCAAAGCAAAAGGAGAACCGTGGACATGAAAAAAAAAGAAAATTAAAAGGGAGAAGAAAAAACAAAGCGTGGCGTTGAGAGGGGATCGTATTGTCTGCGTGCTATGACCATATAGCATATCTCTTCCTCTCCTTCTTTTCCCTCTTTAGTGATCAGCAATAGCAAGCAGCATGCGGTCAACCCCTCCTCTATTCAGCCCCTGTGTTGATTGACGGACGGAAATCTCTTCATAAACAGAATTGTAGTGGTTCGAGGCATGCATCTGCCGCCTTTTTTTGAGAAGAGGTTGTTGCTCTCGTGTTGAAAGGGAAAAGGGAGAAATAGCAGGAGAGAGAGGAGATGGTGACGATGATGATGCTGATCTGCCTTTTTGTTTGCATGTGTGCAGTTGAAAGACTCTCGTTTCTCTTTGCCCTGAGGATAGTATGTATGTGTGTGCATTGGATGCATGGATGGGGATGAACTTTTTGGTGGGTGTGTAGACCAGGGAGATCAACTCCAGTTGTAGAGGCAAGCGAGTGAGAAGCAGGGAAATAGAGTGGATCGAGCTGAGTGTAATTGCGAGTGCCATGGGTGTCGATGGACATAGTAGGATTGGTAGAAACCACAAGGGGGATATCTTTGACCCAGTCGGTTCAGCCCCTGCGTCTTCCAATGATTGAAGTGAATCAACCCATCCACCATGTCGTGAGAGCAAAAAGGAAGAGATAAAGAGGAAAAGAGAGAGCGAGCGGGGGACCAACTCGGCGGACTAATTGACGAGAAGAGAAGTATGGATGTGCATGGTTGGGTATGTGGTGGTGGAGGAGTGTGTAATTATACGTACATGAGGAGAGAGTTATCTTGTTCAGGATAAAGTTGGGCGGAGCGGAGGAAAGTGTAGAGAGGGAGAGTGAGGAGAAGGTGAGGATAAGGAATAAGGAATAAGGAAGAGAGTGAAGGCGTGGATCGGACTGATAGTCGGTGTGGGCGTATGGGTGTATATACAAGGAGTGTGTGGAGGAGGGACGAGGAGATGATATGTGTGCAAGTTGCCGAAGAGAAAGAGTCAACGAGGTTAAAAAGAAAAAAAGGGAGAAAATCATAAAAAGAACAGGGCGGCACAGTCCTTTTTATACAGAAAAAGCCAGATACATCACTGATCAATGGAACGGCAGGAAAGGGGTAAAACGATCACTTCGTCCAACGCTGAATCCTTTACAGCCCTACAAACAACACTAATGCATCCATTCGACCACTGTCATGGGTTACCATGTACCATTCATCATTCATTCATTGATGATCGATAGTTGGCAGTTGACGATTGACAAGCACTTGGCACATGCATGGAGAAGCTAATTAAATACCACGCTGGGTTAGGGCTTAATTAAGTAGCCCTGTCAACTGCTGTCAACAAACAAGCTACTGTAGCGAGGTCATCGTCAGTGTGCTGCTTTGTTGCTTACTTGCTCGATTTGTGTGTGCAAATGTGTGCGATTCAATCGTGCTCACCGACTGGTGCACGACTCATCTGCCTTACAGACTCAGTCAACTCACACACCAACCACAACCCAACTCACTAATTCCTCCGTCATCTTTCACTTCAGTCAGTGTGTTTGAAGGGCGAAGGATCTTATAGATAGTAAAGTTGCTGGCCCCAATTTCTATCATGCCCTAAACGAGAATCCTCGGCGGGTGGTAAAAAACATGTCGTATCGTATCGTTCGTTTTTTATCCTCATTTTCTTCTTTTCTTTGTACTCTTAAAGATCCCTGTGGAAAACAAAAAGAAAAGAAAGAAGGTACGGTGGAGAAGGATAAAAAGGAACAACAACGATCTTCTCCATATCTAGGTACGATAGATCTACCTGGTGTTTCTTTTCCTTCCCATCCAATCCTTCCCTCCTCGTACTCCATTGCGCGAAAAGAACACGCACACGACCACATATCGACAAGGCAGTGGATACCATACCTCCCATAGTCATAAACCAAACAAGCAAGAGTCCATTGAACGCCAAGCAAAAAGGCACCCCTGGCTGTGGTCTTCGCCTATTTTTTACTCACTTCATGCTTGGCCGCCTGGCACCAATAAAAAACTCCTCTCTGACGGCAGAACGGAACCATGGCTGTCGTCAACGTTGATGATTCGTTCATTCCAGCGTTCGCTTCGTTCATTCATCGTACAAAAGGCAAAATACCACCCGACACAAAACGACATCATAGGCATCAACAACAACCGAGGTTTTTTCCTTTTCGCAACACTTCCGTTCTTTCTTCCTGTTCGACCCCACATCCACACGCAAATAAATTGGGAAAAAGTAGGGCTCAATGAGCAATGTTCTGAATGTCTGAGTTCCTTTTTGTTTCTACGGGCAAGGGCATGCGGGAGAAGTTGCATGCGGATTGGAGAGACCGAGGGTGAGAGAGAATAGAAATAGTCGGGTCAGAGGGACAGACTCCTCTGTTCCCCGGAGCGAAAAAGGGACCGAAAGTCCATTTTTTCACCTACAACTTCTATTTTTGTTACTGCCTACCATTCGATGGCCGACGGAGGGTATGAAGGGATTGGCGAGTCCACGTTCGTAGACTATCTCATGCTCATTGAGATACCGAGGTAGGATGTGGTGAATGAGGGGATGCCTTTGATCTCTGTTCAGACTAGCCGTTTACTAGACGTGTCGGCACTTCCTTTCCCTTTTTGTCTGACACCAAAGGCACTTTTATGGGTTCAATCCAGACAACGCAAACCATGGCAGACACAAGAAAAGTTGCAGACAGGCAAAATAAACACCAATTCTTATTTTTTTGAGTAGTGGATCGGGAACTGTCCATCAGTTTGTTGTCTGTTGACTAACACTGACTGCACATGCCAACCTTCTTTTTGACCCTTCTTTTAAAACACAACCAAAAAAAAAAAAAAAACTGTCCGACTGTAACAAACAAACCGTCATTGAAAGAGACAACATGCCCCCCCCCCCCTTATGATTTGTAGGTAGTCATTGAACATACATAGAAGACAGCAGATGAGGGATGTACCAAACCCCTTTTGCTCATCCAAGAAATAAAAAGAACGTGAGCTAAACCTGCCGGCCGAAGGAGACTAACTAACAAGCGTATACTTTCTCTAGGACCAAATGCCATGCCATGCACGCCTACAAGGCGAGGTGTACCTTGCATCCCAATTTTGTCGAAATGCCTCTTTCTCTTCCTTGCCTTTCAACGCTCATCTTGGAAGTTGAAGGTCCCAATGGTTACTTATTATCCCTTTCGCCCTTCTTCTCCATCCCATTCTACGCCATGTCAACAAAACACTTTCCCCACGCCAATGTCCCCTCACTTGATGGTGCAACCCAAATCTTTTTCGCCCATTTTAGTGTCTGCCGGACTCGGACTTTGTGCGCTTGCTCGCTGGGCACATTTTGGGGGGAGGGGGAGGGAGAGGGGTCATTTTCTTTGTGTTTACGCTTTCTGCTGACTCGTTATTACGCATATTCCTCTCACAGTTTTTCCTTTGGAAAATGCTTATTTTGAGTTTTGGATGCGAGTGTGTCAGTGTGTCAGGGTGTCAGGGAGGGAGTACCTTGCAGATAGGTACAAGACCAAGGCCGCGACTCGACAGACCGACTTGTTCACAGGGTGGAGGGTAGATGTGATCAACCGCAACAAGGAGAGTGAGGGTGGGTGCATGCTACGGGAGGGGGGTTATGTGAAAAAGGGACACAAAGAGAAGGAGACACAAGGAAGGGGGCAGGAGTGGGCGCGAGATGAGGATAGGATGCATCGATATCCTCCTCATGATTCACTTTGTTGGGTGAGAAAAGAAGAGCTAAAAAAGTGCGCGACAGAAGGCGAGATCGACTACATACTATTTTTGTTAGCATGACCAAAAGCTAATTGTTCTACTCTTGCAGCAAAGAAAAAAAATACTATGAACAAAGGAGGATGGATGCAAGGAAAAAAACGAGTGTCCTTAACTTCCAGTCAGTCTTTCCACCATTTCTTGGCTTTGTAGTCACTTGAATGTCCATTGGTGAATTCACATTGGCCATTAAGCTGTTCCGCTGTGTCATTCTTTCTCGTTCTCCCTCAGCAAAGGGAAGAGACATCCAAGGTATCCTTATGACTTTGCCTAGGTTTCTTTCTGCCTCTTGCAAGGATGGATTCTCCCGACACTGAGAACATGATTCAACTCTGGGCCAAATGTGAATGTGGAGAGACGACCTGACATCGAAGTGAGAACGTAAAGACACTATAAAACCAGCCAGTGTCTTCGAACCACATGCGCACGAGGAAAAGAAAACCTCGGCCGAGCTTTAGACCAGGATAGATTTGAAGTTACGCGTACTCCAGCTTCTCTTTCTCTCTCCCTAGTCTCGTTCCATCGTCACGATGATGTGTGAGTGGGTCATGTTACACGTTGTCTTTGTCTCCTCAAAAGAACGGACGGTGTTACTGTCACCCTTCCCATAAGTCTCTTCTATTCCCCCCCTGGTGGAGGTCCACCGTCCGATCTGTAGCCATCCCTCACCTTTCTTCTCTGGCTTGAGCTTTTATGGAAAGGAGCATCGTATCCTCTATCGCTGATTGTTATCACTCTCGTCTTTTCTTTTGGCAACTCAACCACCGCTTGAACACCAACTTGAGAACGACGCGGGCTTCATGTCAACATTCGAATATAAACTAGAGCGCATAAACGTAGAGCATTTGATAGCCTGGGAAGAATACTTCGCACGCTCCAAAGAAAAAACAATTGACGCCTCCTGCTTATTTTATGTTTTGTTTCCATTCCTCATGTTTCGATACGGGCTATAGGCTGCAGGCTGTAGGCTGTTGCTTCTACCCGCAGTTTGGGCGTCCAACCGTCCTTGCACTTTTCATCCATTGCATTATTCCTCGGACATTTTCGAAAAAAAGGCATTCCTAGGCTGGACGGCCACAATACATGGCGAACGTCAAATCAAAGCACATCCCGTAAGTTCATCCAAGAAGCGCGTATGGTTGAAAAAAATATCATTGTTTGTTTGTCTATGGATTTATATTGTAGGCGAGCAATCTATGAGTAAAAAAGAGAGGCGTGCTGCTGCTCCCATTTAGTTCTTGATACCCTACAAATGTTCAATCGATAAGAATTGTAAAAATGGTCAGTATCATTGTTCGGGACACAGTTAAAACAAACATGGCGCATGTGCTTTAAGATAGCAATAAATATGCTTACTCTGGCCATCTTAGTGGCACCGTAGAGGGAGCCGACAAAACCGACAAGCATGATGCTGCCGAAGGCAGTCATGATGAACTTGTCACCACCCTTTCTGAGGAAGATGGGGACGTGGGTGGGGGCCTAATATGATGATTTTCATATGTTCCGAAGGATCGGGTGTGTTAGGACCGTGTCTTTGTCCGAAGGATGTGATATCTGGCGCGTAGCCGCTCCTGTCCTTGCATGTTGTAGTGTGTTATCCTGTCTTTGTGCTTCTTTTGTGTTCATAGAGCCCTGATAGGATGGACTTGTGTGTTTCTCCTCATCCATTGTTTCTGTTCCGTCGCTCTAGGTTCCTGATGTGAGAGTCATCACATCAGTCGTTTCCTCCGAGTTCTTCCTTTTCCAGTGTTTAGCAGACTCCGGATTGGCCTCCTATGCCTGCTTCCAGCAATAACAGTGCTAGACTTGTTTCTAGCGTTGTTGAGGAATGCTATTGTACCTGGTAGAGGCGCTGGAGGTGGGGGACGGGGTTGGGGCGGTTGATGATGGACATGGTTGCTGGTTGGGAGTGGGGAGTGTTGAGAAATGAAAAAAAGAGATCTGTTTTTTGTGTCCGTATGGGCGGGTGAATGTTTGCAATGGGTCCAATTGACTCCAGTAAATGTGACTGTTAATTGAAACACACTGCCCTTTAACTGGCTGTGGTGCACGATCGAATCCCTTCCTCTTTTTTCGTCTTTTAAACCATGTCGAAAGGTGCGGCATCTGTCACGGATGGATTTACTGTGGAGGAGATAAAGGGCATCCATCGGTCATTATACACAAACCAACAACCAACCATCGACCATCGAATCGCAACCGGCATCACCTCCTTCAATTATCGGCACCGTCATCGACAACTCAACCATGCATCATTTCTGGATATTTTCGACCTTTTCATTTATCGAGTCTGGGAGGTGGAGTAGGGAGGCTACATACATCTCGATTCAACTTTCACGCCAGGAGGACCTTTGCGAATCTCATGAATTACGAGAGCAGGAGCAGGGCTGATCGACCGCTTACCCAGGAACTATGATTCACCATCCACCCTTCCATCACCCAAGGAAAAAAAAAGCAAACATCTTTTTTCAACAAACACTCTCAAGTCTGGAATCAGGCTGATAGAGACATCTCGATGTCCTTTTCACCAGTCGAAAAGAGGGATTAAAGAAGTGCTTCGGGATCAAGCCCTTGTTGTGGTTACCATCAGAACCAGAACAGGACCAGGAAAGGAGTTTTCACAAACTACACAATCAGCTCAGGCAGATGCCACTCAACAGCAACGACTTCAATCGCACAGGAAGAAACCTTTCGCTTCACACTCGACACGCTCAAACATACATCAAACCAGGAGGGAAGAGGTTTTTTAGACCATTATCAACATAAGTCGTTACGAGCAGCCAGACTGACTTTCTTCATATCTGCCTATTCGCCACTACAACAATCAAATAGCCGCTCCTTCGGATAAGAACAAGGCTCTCGCCGCCAAGAAGGCTGCCTTGAAGGGTGTTAACGGTCAGAAGGCTCGCAAGATCCGCACCTCGACCACCTTCAACCGCCCCAAGACCCTCAAGCTTGCTCGTTCCCCCAAGTACGCTCGCAAGTCGGTCCCTCACGTTCCCCGTTTGGACCAGTACAAGGTCTTGAAGACTCCCCTCAACACCGAGTCTGCCATGAAGAAGATCGAGGAGAACAACACCCTCGTCTTCATCGTTGATGTCAAGGCCAACAAGCGCCAGATCAAGGATGCCTTGAAGAAGATGTACGATGTTACCGCCCTCAAGGTCAACACCCTCATCCGGTACGTCTCCCTTCATATTTCTCTTTGTTTTTTTTTGTTGTTTTTTGAGAGGTCGTGGGTTGGCATTGGAAACGCACTCGGTTGAAGCAGAATATCAGGATACTGGAGGCCATTGGCGACCGATTATCTCAGGATGCGAGTTGAGAGAGAGTCAAACGCGTCTGTCTGCGCACGCGAACTTGGTGGCAAATTAGATAGACACCACCGCCACGCGTCCTTAGTTCTATCAGGATACAACGCAACTCTAGTCTGAACACTTCATATATTGTACACAAGACATCAAACTAACCGCGAAAACCCTCCCTTTCAAACAAATTAGCCCCGACGGCAACAAGAAGGCCTATATCAAGCTCACCGCCGATGTCGATGCTCTTGATGTTGCCAACAAGATTGGATTCATCTAAACGTGTTCCCAATAAAAGCGACCCCTTGCGCGCGCGTTTTTTTATCCGTGTCCTGTCTTTTTGTCTCTTTGTGTATTATTTCTCATGTGTCGTTATTTATGCGTCTACGAGTTATTGCTGCGATTGTTTTAATGTCATGTGGCACAGCCAAGAAAAAAGGTAGAGGAGCGAGCGATAGGAGAGTATGGATGCACACGAGACTTCTAGGCGAGCACGAGCCACACTCGCACACCCTTTCAAGTAACAAATGTTCAGATATAAGCAAAAGGACGGCGGTGGTGAACCCTTTCTTGCCCGTTCTTCACTTCTATCTTTTTGCTGTTTGGAAAGTGGGTAGAGTCCTTCGTTGAAGAATTCATGGGTCTCGTCCAAACCAATTTCGATATTCTCGCGTGACGGAGGCGTAATATTGACCAATTTGCGATTGAACACGATTATTGCGCCCAATTGTCCCTTCCACCATACTTTCATTCTTTGTCCTGATCCTTTGGTTGTCTGTCCAGCCAGATTAGCAATTGTTTGTAGCAGAGGCAGGGAGAAGTGGGAAAGTGGGCATGGGCCTCTTTTTATTTATTACTTTATCTTCTACTGCCTTCTTTATGCCTTGATTAGCCGTTCACTTTTTTCTTCATTCATGTTTGGTATCCGAGTGAAAAGAAAGGAAACAATGGGACGAAAGTGAAGAGGTAATGATGAAGGGATGATACGAGTAGGACGGTAGCTGTCGAGACGCTTGAAGGGTTCTCTACAACAAGAGGAACAAACAAAAACATAAGTTCAAGCTAGTGCGTGAATTCATTATGATCGCATTCATTCAAACCTTACAGAGTTCAATTCATGCGCTGAGTGGGACTGAATGATAAGGACCGAGAGGGATAAGAGGCGATGAATGATGACCGCTGATAAAAACCCACTCGCCTCATTTCACACACCATTCTTCTTTCTTCTCTTCTCTTCTCTTCTCTTCTTTCCTTCATCCTTCACCGCTCCCAACACTTACAACATGGCCCAGCAAATCGACCCCTCGCTCAACCCCTACGTCCAGGTCGACCACCAGGCCGCCCCTCAGCAAAAGACCTTTGACGACCACCAATCCACCGTCACCGAGAACGCCTCAGAGTCCTCCCCCATCCAGCTCATCCCCGCCCCTCGCGACCGTTCTTCTTCGGACTCGCCCGACAACAAGCTCCCTACCAACAAGCAGTCTGCTGGTTAGTTCTTTGTTTTCTTTGGCTCTTCTTTGCCACCATTTTTTATTGTCTCTGTCGCTTGTCTCCTGTTTTGTTGCTTTTGTTCCTCGGTGTGAGTGGCGAGGATAAAGAAGTGAGAGCGTTGAGCAAGAGAGTGTGAGAAAACGAACAAGAATATCGAAGAGTTCCAGACCACTTCTCGCCTACCTGTCATCACTCGGAGAAACAGTTGCAATAACGGGAAAGATGAACAAGAGGGACATCGATTGTCCACTCATGTCAAGGAGTGGTCCCAGCAGGAGAAACACGAAACAGAGCGTGCTTACGTGTGTGGGAAACTGCAAGGGCCTAAAAAAAGGAACAAGGGAGGGGAGGAAATGACACACAGGCTTCACAGGGGGACGGGGAAGGTGTGTGGCGATGAGGGAGTTGGTGACCCCGAGCACCATTGACAAGACCATTGCAAGGGAGGGACAGGGACCATGTCGACGAGCAAACAAACAAACGACAGAAAAACCAAAAGTACACATGTTTGTTTGTTCTCTTGCACACACACTCTCTTCTCTTGCTTATCGACGGTTTTTTCTTTGCCCTTGTCCATTCCCTGCGCCCGGATCCCGTCTCCGTTTCGTCCTTGCTCTCACAACCACACGATTTTCTCACACCACATCGCACGAAAAAGTGCATAAGCACACACACACGAGAGCATAAGCAAAACCTTCTTCTCTTGTGTACCTTTAGGACAAGGATCGATTTCTTTTTTTCTTTTTTTCTTTTTCTCTTTTTTTCTTTTTTTCTTTCTTTTTCCCGCTCATGATCCCGCCATCCTTACTTCTTCCAGATACAGGATGGTGCAAGAGGAGCACATTTGTTTACTCCAAGATGTCATACACCCAATCGCAATCGTGGCGGTGTGTGAGAAGAGAGCGAGAGCAGAGTGCCCAGTCCAAGTCAAGTGTGTGTTGTGTTCGACAGCGCGGACCACCAAAACAGCCTTTTTTAGTTTCCCTCTGTCGCAGGTGTTGCCAAGCTTCACATGGGTTTCGTTTCTTTTTTGTTCGCTCCTTTTTTTCTCTTTTCCTTTTGTTCTATCGAACCCGATGGAGTTGTGTGTACACATCGTCGGTCATGATGGCCTATTGCTTTCGATGTTTATTGTTAGTATTGTCGTTGTTGTTCTCTTGACAAGTGGCAACCAACAACAAACTGCACAATCGATTATACATACCGCCGCCGCGTGCATATGCAGGAACATGCAATCGAAACTGACCGAGACATCACTCCTTCTTTTCCCCTTCCATTCTCCCGTTCCTACTATTCCATCCCCTCACCTCTCCCTGCATGTTATCCAATGGACCTGTTTGCAGATCCCTATGCGTACATGACCCCCCGTCTGAAGTCCCTCGTCCTCTGGGAGAAGCCTACCGTCTCGGGAGGCGTCCTGGCCTCGTCCTTGGCCCTTGTCCTCTCCTGCCGCTGGGTCTCGCTCCTCAACGTTGCCTGCGCTGCCTTTGTCTTTGGTATCTCGGCCTCCTTTGTCTACGTCAACGGACTCTTGGTCTTCAACCGCATCACCAACAAGTCTGCCGCTCGTCCACTAGAGTAAGTTCCACACTGATTGACCGACAGCTAGCGGAAAGAGGGGACACCTTGTTACCGTGCAACCACAACTTGATGCTGCACACGACCTTTTCGTTCCTATCTCCATTGGCATACTGACCCAGTATCTCCTCTGATTTCTCACCCCACCAATAGGAAGTACTACTCTCGCTCGGCTGAATTCTTACACTTGGAGGCTGACCGTCTCCACCGCCGTGTCGACTATGTCACCGACGGCCTCAACATTGTCCTCACCGAGCTCGCCAAGGTCGTCCTTGTCGAGGATAACAAGCGCTCCCTCAAGGTACTTTTTCATTTCTTTTTGAGCACAGGATTACGGAAACTTGATTGTTCGATTCGTTCATTATAACGCCGTTCAGCACACGGGACCAAAAACTAACCCCGATATGACGTACTCCAAAAAAAATAGTTCATCGGAATCTTCTACGCGATCTGGACTCTCAGAACCTGGTTCTCGACTACAACCCTCCTCTCCTTGATCCTCGTCTCGCTCTTTGCCGCGCCCCGCCTCTACCTCGACAACCAGACCCTCATTGACGCCCACGTCGCAAAGACAAACGACCTCGTCCAGGCTCATGTCGGAAAGGGCCGTCAGGTCGCCCAGGAGCAGTGGTCGTCTGTTTATAACAAGGCTGAGCAGTTTGCCAAGGATAAGGGTATCCTCAAGAAGGCTCCCCTCAAGACCGAGTAAACTTTTCTTGGAAGGTTTTTTTTTCGTTTTGATCTGACAAACAACCCCCCTGTACATAACCTGCGACTAGGCAAATCCCTTTCTTTTTTTCACTTCCTTCCTCTCCGTTATCTTTTTCTACCACTTTGTTCAATTCCTTTCATACTATTCTTTGATGGCTCGATCTTCGTTGCAGCAGAATAAACAACTCTCATTATTACCTACGCCTATTTCTTCCTCTCTTTATGTCGTGATGGAATTGGTCGTTCAACTTTCAAGCATTCAGGACTTTCCAAGATTCTCAAGGTAGCAACAACAACATGCAAATTTCCGAGTATAGCAAAATGGTAAGAGGTAATTATGTTCACAGAAGTCTTCCAATGATAAAAAAAAAAGCCTACAGAGGAAGGGACACCCTAGCGAGGACAGACTCCGATACGCATGCCAACCTTGACAAGCATCTCAATCTGCTCCTTGGAAGACCTAACCAAATCCTCATCAAAAACAATCGCACCGGGCTCAAAGAGCACAACGATCGTCGACCCCCCAAACGCAAAATATCCATGCTCATCCATCCTCTCCACAGCCTGCCCCGCCTTAGTCGTCAAGACAATCGAGCCGACCATCATGGCACCAATGGCGACATAGGCGACGGTTCCGAATTCGGGGGATTGAATTGTGGAGACCATACGCTTGTTCTCGCCGTAGACGTCCAGTTGACTGCGGATTGCCATTGGGTTCACGGTGTAGTATTCACCATTGATAGGGTTTGGTTCTGACAACACTCCCCTCACTGGGATATGGTACCTAAGAATGTGAAGACAAGAGGACACATGCGTTGGTAACTTTTGATTACTTTTACACACATAGAAGAACCAGTTGTAAAGAAACACAAAGACACTTACCGGTGGTAATCTTGAGGGGCAAGACGGAAGATGGCAAGAGATCCACCCTCATACTTCTGGGCGAGCTCGTTATCACCCACAAGCCGTGCCACCGAGAACTGTCGACCCTTAATCCAGAACTTGGTCGCGTCCGTAATTGTCTGCCAGCAAGTCATTCGGCAATCCGCAACACTGACCGCAACCCGGTCATCCCCAGGAGACGCCAACACGCGCGCATCGGCCTTGAGCTTGCGATAAAAGAACTCGTTAAAATTCTTGAAGTTGTGGATGGGTTCGAGGACTTCTTGCATCTGGGACTCGAGACGGTGGAACTGGATGAAGGGTTCAATGTCGCGTTTGGAGCGTGGGTCGTCGAATTTGAGGCCTTGCTTGAACGACATGTTGGCGAGAATCTTGCCGACGTGGATCTTTTGGGCGGGGCTTCTGTAGAGCAGACGGATACCCAGGCGAATGAACGTTGGCATCTTTTCTTCCAGCATCGTGCCTGTAGCTCTATCCTGCACAATAATGTTTGCATTGTTCTATAATAACAAAGAAAATAAATTGTTAACGAATTAATTACTGCTGGGCCAAACTGACAAAAACAAAGTGAGCGCAAGAAACGATAAGAAAACGTACTCTGCCGACGACATAGCGACCGTAGCCGAGAGATTTGACGACCTTGGTGATCCACTTGCGTTGAGCATTGGCCTCGGTCACAAAGTCTCCAAGAATCAGCTTGTCAAGATTGAAGCCATCGTTGCCCGAGCAGACAGCAATATGAGTAATAATGTCAGTCTCCAACTTGGTGCCCAGACTGGGGTCACGGCAAATGGGGCACGTCGATATCCGGATCAAGTGCTCGCCGTCAGAGGAAGGGGTGTCAAAGTCGGCATCAGTAGGCTCAATAATATCCAATGCTTGTGGACTAGAACCTGGTTCAACCTGGCTGTGTGCCAGCTTGACTGATTCCTCAAAGGCCTCCTTGATCTCCTTCTCTTCCGCCTGCTGGTCAGCTGCGATCTTCAATTCCGCCAAGGAGTTGATCGACGCGCGAGAGCGGCCAAAGAACTTCTTCCTAGGAGAGACCTCTTGACCGTATCCACCATCATCCAACTTGACCTGCTGCTCTAATTGCTCAAACAGCTCGTCAAACGTCAGCTCCTGCATGTCCGGGTCCTTGTTGACGTTCTCAAAGAAGCTGTCAATCGTCTTGCCGGACAACGTCGATCCGAGACCCTCAAGCATCGTCTGGATCTGGACCTTGCTGAACTGACTTCCACCGTTCACATTGTCGGCAGTATCGTAGGCCCTGGCAAGACCCAACCAGAAGCGTCTCCGCAGGTTGTGGTACGACACAAACTTGGCTCGGACACGGAGAGAAGACTCCTCCTCGTCTGCGCCCTTGATGATCTCGGCCTTAGCGGAAAGATCAATCTTGAGCACATAGTCCTTCATCTCGGGATCCAACAGCTCACTCTCTCCCTCTACTGGGACCGCACCGGTGTCGCTCTGACCGGCAGCCTGGATGAGGTCGCTGATAGGCATGGTGGTGATTCCGACATGGTCGTTGCCGCTCAACTTGTCCCAGTCGTGAACAGAGTACTTGATCTTGAAGGCCTCCTCGCCGTGGTGGACTCTGAACATGAGCTTGGCCTTCCAGATAGGGTTGAGATTGTGTCGGACGACCCTCGTCCGGAAGATGTACTTGCTGAACGAGATGATCACAAACGGATCCATGTCGAATCCTGTCCTTGTCACGTTGTGGAGCTTGGGCAAACACGCAGCCGAGACGATCTCCATAAAGATGATGCCATGGAGGTCGTGAGATGAGGAGCTGTTGGACCCACTGAGGACAGCCTCTTGGACGTTGGCAGCAGAGCCGCCGCTCTCGCTCAATGCCATGGGAATATCTCCCATAGCGATGGTTGAATTGTCGGCATTGCGGATGACTCGTTGACCCAATCCCAGTTTGTTGTGTCCGCTCGAGAGTGCGCTCCAGATCCGCTGGCACTCGGCCCGAGAGTTGGTGTAGACGGGTGACAGTGCCGTGTCGATAAATCCGAATTTGATCTCGACTGAGAGCACGATGACGGAAAAAGGAAAAAGAATGCATGTGCGGAGGGACGAGGCGATCGATAGTCAGTCACCACCCTTTTACTTTTCACGCAAAATTACAACAAACAAACACTCGGGAAAAGGGTTGATCCTTCTCAAAAACAACCTTAACGCCATTCCATTCCTCGAAAAAGATACATACCTTCGCCACTGACTTTAGAAGACTTGCCAGGCTTGGTCGTCAGTGTGTGCCATTGAGCCTATATACAACCAAAGAAAGGCGTCCAAAGTAAGAATGAGGTCAGTCCAGCTGGAATAGCACACCATGGTCGATGCTTTGACCTCCATGCCATGCACTAAAGTCGGGTCCTCCCACTTTTCTCTTGTCATGGACTGACATTTTCCCTCCTTGGATTTTTTGTTGGCGAAATAGTGTGAAAAGAAAAAGAAGGAAAGTTGGCTGAGTCTGACGTAGTGGATCATACTCTCACACACCCCAAGCTCCAAGTTCACTACCCGCTAACCCTAGTACGCCTCCTCTTCACTTCACTCCCTGCGAAAACAAGGGGCCGCCGTCTCTCTTTGTCTCGGTCTCACTCTTTCTACTTTCCACCCACTGTCATATCATTCTGCGGCATGTTGCTATCCTCGGTGTCGTCCCCTGGCCGTTGCTAACCCTGCGAAAAAAAAGTCTAAAAACACAACTAAAAAAAACTTGCCTGGTTGCTAGGGTCGTCAAAGTGCTTAGGAGTAGCGTCCCCCCAGATAGACGACTCATTAAAAGGAATATCCACAGCTCCCATAAAGTCATCCTTGCCAATGAAATCCTTATCCCAAAAGACGAGGTTGACCTGGTCAGGGACAGACTGGGCTTCGAGCTCAAAGTCAAAAGACGCGTTCCAGACCGGGTTCAATGACTTTGGGACGACCTTTGTCGTGAATTTGTAGCCGCCAATTGAGACTTTCACATAGGGGTCTGAGAACCCATTCTATTTTTTTTTTTGGATGGAGTAGAAGAAGAGGAAAAGATAATAATGCAAGGATCGTTAGAGGTTTATTCTAGTATGTATGTTTTTCCCCCTTCCTTCGACTTCACCCCACAATCAATCCAAAAGTGCTTATATAACTCGAGAGGAAAAGAGAGACATACAATATCCTTGACGGCGAGGTTTGTTGCTTTTGAGATATAGACTCGCATGCGGACTGTGAGTGACTCGTCGTCGAGGGTGGTACTGGGGTCGTTGCTGTTTTCCTTTCTTCCGAGCATGTTGTGAAGTGTGCTTGTAGAATGTAGGAAAGTGGAATGTAAAAGTGAAGAGTGTTGTAAGGAAAAAAGAAAAGAAAGTTGTCCTTGGAGGGGAAAAAAGAAAGAGCTAGGGGGTTGAGGTAAGAGAGAGAGGGAGAGAGGCTAACGCACAAACAAACAAATAAAAGTAGGCGATGAAGAGTGGACAAAAGTAATGTAAGCGCGAATGAGTGTGAGAGAGTTAGAGGACGGGCGAAGAGGTGACAAGGTGGAGAAAAGAAAGGAAGCAAAGTGTGCTCTCTCTTTTTGTGCTGCCTCTGCTTACTTTTGCTCTGCTCTCACTTTGTTTTGCTTCTTTGTTGTTATTGTTTGTTCGCCCACCTGGTCAAAGGAAAGGCACTAGAGGGTAGAAAAGGTAAATACCCGATGCTTTCTTCGCTATGGCCATACTATCCCTCAGGGAATCCAATTGAATGTGGCTGGTCACATTGGTGCCTGGCTGGCTCTCTGTCAACCCCCTTCTCCTCGGTTCGCTCCTGCTAGTCGCTATTCTTGTCTACACTTAATAAATCATCCAGATACAAGTCGCTCAGGTTCCTCCTCGTCCTGATGCTGCTGGTCTGCTCCTCACTGCCGCATCGTCCCCCACAGATGTGACTCCACAATTGCCTGCTCCTCCCCGGACAGTCGCCATGGGTGTGTCATTGTCCTCGTCTCTGCTGTGGTCGTTCCAGGAATCAGCTTGCCCTCAACATCATCATTGTGGTTAATAGCTCCCCTCTCTTCAACCTTGATCAAAGTGGACTTTCCCATGCCCACACCACCACCAGCATAGCCAACAGAACCCAAGCCCAATCCAAGACCAAGACCGAGGAGCTGCGCAAGGCTGTGCTGTTGGGCGTTGCTCAAGCCTAGACCTTCTAACGCCAAATTCGCCTCCTCCTTCCCAACTTGGTTCCATTGGGTCTGTTTTGCATCATCGACCGTCCTCTTTTGTCCGTATCCATACTCCCACCTCTGCCTTTCTCCTTCCTTCCTTTGTAATTGATCGCTATCAGCAGCCAACTTGTCCCAAACCTGACAGGCTTTGTGGAACTGCTCTTTTTCTTGCCGAGTCCTCTCCTGCTCGTTCCATTCGTCCCTGCATCTCGAACAGCGGGCTGAAGAAGGTAGCGCCGTAGTAAAGTCCGCTCCCTCCTTGTTCTCGGGCTGTTGTCGTCGTGGAATGCTATTACTACCTTCCCTTCCTCCTTCTCGGCCGTAATAGTAGTCTTGGTCGTCTCTGTTATTATCGTCGCCTTGAACTTGCCCAAACAGCCTCCTTCCATGTTGACAATGCTCACGCAAAATCTTCATCATCTCAAATCGTGTCCTTGTCGCCTTGGGTGCCCGAGGAGACCGTTCATGCCATGTCGCCATCCATCGATGATACATTCTCCGTTCCTTGTCCTCCACCTCCTCTGTCAAGAACTCGGCCGCCAACGGTCGTTGCTTCGCCAGTAAGCGTGCCAAGGCATGGGCGAGTCCCACTTGCTCCTCTTCCTCCACTTGTTCTTCTTGGCCTCCAAATTGAACTGGACAGAACACATCGGGCAGGCTGAAGAGGTGGACAAGAGGGTAAGGAGACCCTTGCGCCGTCGTTTGAAAGACATTCGTGCTACGCGGAAGCAGGTCCTTTGGGGGTGGTACAAAAGGTGTCGATGGTGGTCGTGGACCGATACTCTTCCATCTCGAGACGCCAATAATCTTGGGATCCTGTAGCAGAAGCGACGACGATGGTGCTACCCCTGGACGAATGTCGGTCTGAATGAGCAGGTCATCCAAGGAGAAATCAAAAGGACGGACTGACCCACATTCTAGAGTGCTGTCTGGACGCAGAGGCAAGATGAACGTCTTGTCTTGGGCGAAGTAGCTCTCCTTGGCTCTTGTTCGAGTGGTTGTCATTCGTTGGGCTGTATCAATGTCGTTCAAGTCCCACTGTGGGCGCACATGTTCTGCTAATGATATACCGCCGCTGGCAGCGTGCACGGTGAGTAAATCCTTCGATGGTCTGGTGAGGGGATCGTTGACATCTTGACCATGGCCGCCATGTCCGTCAGACTGTGACTGCACAGGCCTGGCTGCCTCGTGGACGGCGTCGAGGAAGGACCGATTCATGAACTCATCCTCAAGCAGGCGAAGACGCTCCTCTGCCGACTGTCGTACCGAAATCGATACTGTCTCAATTTGTTCCACAGGGTCTTGTCTGACCCAGGGTCCAGCGACGTCAGGCCGAGTTTGGCGGTGAATCTCCTCGTAGTCATCCGTAGAAGCGTCGACCTTGCCAGGGGCCAGCCCTTGTTGTGTTGTCGGGTCATCGCGCGGGTCGTCATCCAGAATATTAAAGTTGTCCCATACAACTACCAGCATCCTCGCCAACTGACCCAAAAGGCGAACCTGCTGATCTCTCTTCAGACGAGGCCAGATCTGCTTAAGTGTCCCTCGATCAACCTTGCCACTCGAACCTGCCAGATCTTGTTCCAGGACAAAGTCAGGGTCCACCATCGCTCGAACCGACTCCATTGTCGTTGACGATAGAACGTCTGCGTTGAGCGCTGTCCAACCTACAACCCGAGAAAGGTCTATGACGGAACCTTGTCCAGCCAGCAGCATGCCTCCAGTGCCAATACCGTCAAAGAGGGCTTCCTGGTCGTCACAAGTAGTAGGGGTTGTTGGTACATCGTCATGCTCCATACGTAGAAACTGTTCCATGATGTTGTCTGCTGCTGCGTCTCACATGCGAGAAATAATAAACCGAAATTAGTTGTGTTGCACACCGTCAAAGTGTATAGACGGTCATTTCAAGTCAAAAGCTTACCTTCGCCAGAGGCAGCCTTGAGCATGCGTCGGAGATCATGCTTCGGACAGAGACCCTTATAATCCTCAACATCCATTTCGTTCCTGAACAGAAACTCGCCCTCTTCCTCCAGCAGTCGTAGATCCTCCTCAAGATCCAACGCCCCCAGATCAGCATCAAGGTCATCCGGCAAATGCTGCTCGTCCTGAACCTCGCCTCTCCACTTCTTGAACCGTTTCATGAGGAGCGTGGGTTCAAACCGCTCCAATCCTTCTCCACTGTCAGTCTCTCTCTGGGTGAGAAAAAGTGGCACGTTGTTCGAGGGCTCCTTGGTCCGTTCTGATGTGTTGGAAGGAGTGAACTGATCCTGTAGCTTGATACAGCGGATGGCTGGCCATGCTCTACGATTCAGTTCTGCATCTCCGGAGGTGATCTTGTCAGAAGGTGTTGACGAGTATATGGCTGATGGCCAAATATCAAAAGGAGCGGGTATCAGGTCTTTGGCTGGTGCACATGTGTCTTGTTGGTGCACTGGAGAAGAATCAGCAAGACCCATACGTCTGAGCTGAAGGTTGTTGCAAAGATAGGATTTGACGTTGGTGAACATAGGCTGTTCATAGCTGAGAGCAGCCTGGATAGAAAGATTTCCTGCGGCAAGCCGATACTGACTTATCGCTGTGCGATGCTTGAGAGTGGGCCAGGACACCGCTACACGAAGTGTTAAAAAAGAGGACGCTGAAGGTAACTCGATGAGATATGTCGGAAGAGGCGTGTCATAGTCGATGGAGGAGATTCTAGCTGGAAGGCAACCGTACTGCTCATAGACATGATACAGCACATTCACGCTGACAAGTGGTGCGACTTCTGGCGGGATCGAGCAAAGAGGATGTCCCGCAACATAAAGGCTCGCAAGGTCCGACAAGGAGGATGCTAGAGATTGTTTTAGCCAGTGTTCGAGGGTGGTTCTTAACATATCGGCGGTTGTTGTGTCGGCTGAAGGCGTTGGAGAAGGCACGGAGGCGACATCCTCGGTCGAATCGGGATCTGGAACAATGAGGTCTGTGTTGTCAGGGTCCACCTCTGCAGAAGGTTAAAGCATTCGTTAAATAGAATGCGAGGAAATACAAGAGCAAACAAAAGAGTGGGTTCGAAACAAAAGACGAATGGTGGTACCTGAAGTAGAATGAGTCAGGGGATGAGTCTTGTCAAAGAAGAGAGAAAAGGTTGGATCGCGGGAAGGGTCGAGTAGTTCTATTACCAAGTAAAGTTTTGTTTGAATGGGTATGTGAGTATGTGAGTTGCAAGCTGCAAATTGGTGGCGCGTCATACTGAGGTGGTGTTTTGGTTTGCTACGTACCTTCGGTGGACCAGTCCAGCGAGTCGAGTTGCCATATGGAATCCATGTGTGTTCCTGTTGTAGTGTTGATGATGAGAGTGGGTGGAGTTGCTTGCTTGTTCCGTGGGAGTCAGAAGGGGAAGTGAAGGAGCGACAAGGCAACCCGAGTTATCATCATCAACATGCTAAGGACGAAATGATCACGTGTGGAACTTAATAGCCTTCGTTGTTAAACCCGCCCATGCTGGACATGCATTCCTTTTCTTTTTCATTCACACAACTCCAAGACCAAGGACAGGGACAAGCGTCGTCAATGTCGTTTTTCAAAAAGGATTACAGCGCATACCCACAACCAGTCATCGTCACTCCTGACCCACGCAACTCGGCTCAGGACATCTCGGCTGCAGTCGCAGAAGCCATCGACTCGACTCATCCTCACCCTCACTCTCACTCTCACTCTCACTCTCACTCTCAAACAACAACCGACTCACTACCACAAGACGCCAAGGACCAACACCCCGGCACTCAACAAGACACCTCCAGCCAACAGACAGGCACCGGTGGTGATGAACCTGATTCACAACAACAAAAGGATACCACTACACGGCTAGCAGACGGGATCATGTCCCTTTTGGGACCTGTTGTTCAGGAGATGGATTTCAATATTGTCAGTGTCCGCAAGAGTCAGAGTGAGCTTGAGAAGGAGATTGAGCGTCTCATGGCAGGTATGTCCTCATCTTCTCTCTCTTTCTCCTGCGGAATTAATTCCTTCCTTGGGTATTACCGTGAGCAGACAACCTAACTAACGCGTTTGCAATTGGTGTTACCACGATCGAATGAAAATAGAACTACAATTGTTCTTGGCCTCTTCAGCATCACCGCCTGAGGTTGAACCGGCAGTTCAGAAACTCATCAAGGCAAGGAGGCAGATCATGGCAGCAAACTCGACCCTCAAGAATGTACAGGAACGCGTTGACAGGATGCATCACCAAATCGAAAAGCAGCAAAAAAAATAAATAATTACCATCGATGTTTTCATGGCCTCCTCTTCCCCACTGTTGTAGCAGGGGTGGTTTGACTTTCAGTAAGAAGGAGATTAGCAGTTGCAATCGATTTGGATGTGACAAACTAGAAATAATGTTTTAAGAGGAGAAGAAAGGTATATGTGTTTGTCTATTGAGAAAGGGTTTAAAGGCTTGGATATTGCCGAATCGGACAGTAGAGCGCCCTCTAGCGACGTAACATTCAGCACTCCTTTTGGTATGGAAAATGATAATTGGAGGGTTGTCGTCATATCTCTCTGCTAGAGGTCGGATGGCGAGTACACTAGGAAGGCGGGTTTGCCGATACTAGATGTACCTGTTACAGTGAGATGCCTCGGTACCTCGTTTCGAGTGCACGGTCGATCGTTCTCAGCGGATTCGCCGATCTCAAATGTACCTGTAACAGCGACATGGTTCTGTACCTCCTTTGCAGTGCACGGTCGATTGCTCTCAAACGTCCGGAGGGTTGTATCGTGAAGAACTTAGTAAGCCTTTTTGGCAATGAGATCGTTTATACCGAGTCGATAAATAGTTGTAGTTGATAGCAGTTTAGTTCCTCGATTGCTAACTCAAGTCTTTATTAAACAAAACATGTCCATATACTCGTTCCCCTCGTTTTCCTATTGTTCGTCGCTCTTCTCGTTCTCCCTCGTCTTGTTCCAGGCAGCCTCTCCATCAACAAGACAGAACAGGGTCAGAGGGCTATCGGTCGCACTGATGGTGAGAAACAAACGAGAGGTAAAGTAGAACGGAGGGCGTGGGAGCCAAAGGCGCTGGTGGTTTAAAAAAAGACAGTAGCGAGATGAGGGAGGAGCGAGCGTGGGAATGACAGCGACAGAATCGAGTGGCAAAGGGCGGCCTCTGTCGTCTCTTGTTTCCCCCTTGGTCACATTCGCCCTCCATATTACTATTCCGCTCCCCCGCTCCCTGCCCATGCCGACTGGTAAGTTCTCTATTGTGCGCTTTTGTCTTCTTGTAAACCATCCCCATCTCCACCCCCCTATCCCCACCACTCTCCCATCTCCATCCCTACTCTCAATACTAAGACACATCACCGCCTCTCTTTTTATTTTCAGGCACCCCCAGAGTTGAGATCAAGAAAGGTACTACGTGCTTGCCTCAGCTTGCCAGGTATAAGCGAAAGCCTGTTTTGTCCCTCCGTTGAGACTACGTTGTACTTTGTTGCGAAGTTTGGTTCGGTTGTTCGGTGGGTTTGGTTGAGGGGACGACGAGCGAGAAGCGGTATTAGATCCGTCGCACTCGAATATTTGGTCTTCCATTTTTTTAGGTTGTGGTTTTAGAAGGAAGGGGAGGACGAGAAAAAAGAAGAAAAAAAGGAAGAAAAAAAGAGTGCCAAGGGTGTATTTATCGATCTGCTGTTTTAAAGTTTTGAATGCAAGGGCTATCGTATGCCCACCCTCAACTTTGACGCGCCAGCCGTCAGAGAAGCAAATGCCCTATGACCAAAATTGGGAATAAGAATGGAGGACGAGGTGGCTGAGTCCAGAGCTTTTTCTTTGCCCACCTCACTCCGCGCATTGCCTTTGCCATCACTCGATTCCTTTCTCTCGCCAGCCTTTGCCACTATTCCTATGCCCTTTTAATCTCTTCTTTCCCTTTTAAGCTCACACCCTCTTTCATCCTTTCGCCTTTTTTCTTTCACCCCTCGACTTCTCCATATCCTTTACTTTCCAGCCTACTTCGCCTCTTTCTCATTGGCACTTCGCAGGACCATGGACAAGAACCTTATGACCCTATTCTGTCTTGTCAATGGGCAATTGAACGCCTTCTCTGTCGAGATGGACCCCACTAAGACAGTCGGTGACCTCAAGAAGTTCATCAAGACCGAGAATCCCGGCAAGTTCATCGGGGTCGATGCGAACGAGCTTACCCTCTGGAAAGTCTCCATCAAAGATGACGACGACGACGACGCTCCCATTGTGCTCGACTCTGTGCCTGAGTCAGGGAAGGAGAAACTCAGAGTGACAAGCAAACTCTCCGATGTCTTTAAAGAGACACCACCCAAGAAAACGATCCACATCATCGTCCAGCGACAACAGGGTAATGCAGACGTGCTTTGCTTTAACTACTCAATGCGCATGAACTTCTCAGCATAACGAAATGGTATTGGTAATACCCTTTCGCAATATTCATTTTAACGTCCTATAGTTGCGAAAAGAGACCGTGAGAAAGATGCAGGTAAACAGCTTGGCTTTGACTGTATTTATGACCATTTTCAAACGACCTCATTGCTTTCAATCATTGGTGGACATGGTGAAAGTTGCTAATATTCTTGTCGCTCCCTTTGCTTGCACGCTGTTTCTCTTACTAAGGCCCTCTTCCACGAGAAAGCGTTATCGTCCGCACACGCTGATGGATGCGATTGAGGATGCTGGTCTCGCGAAGATAGCTATGGTGGATAGTGAATTTGACCTCTCTCGTCTCGACAACAAAGAAAGAGTCTCGCTACTTAATTACATCGGTCAAAAGGTCAACAGGGCGGACACCTTCCACTCGTTATCTACCACTGCCCAGGAATTACGACGTGCCATCATCGAGGACATGGACGAGATATCGGCTCCTCCCGCCACCGATCGTTCTGTCGTCGGTACAAACGAGAGTGAAAGGTACGACTCGCTGTCTAACGCAGCCCGCGAGTTGAAAGGCAAAATCAAGGCCAAGGACATTCTCTCAGCTCCTCCCGGCACCGAACTTCCCATCGTCGGTACAAAGGATCTCTTTGTCAAAAAGGCTTACAAAGAACTTTACGACACAATCCTCGGGACGTTTGAGAACAATCCAGCGCTCACTATATACGCTCAGAAGCATGTCGTTGTTACAGATACATCTGGGGTCGGCAAATCCGCCTTCCTAGTGTATTTCACCATCCGACTTCTTGCCGAGAGCGACGACAGCAACCCTCCGATTATCATTTTCCACACCGAACAGAGTGCTGAATGCTACGTCTTTGGAGGGCGCTCGACTGTCCGATATGGTAATATCAGCGACTTTGACGTCTTCCTCAATCTACCCGACACATGGTATTTTGCAGACAGCGCACCTTACCCAAGACTCAATGAAGCCAAGACCGTCATATCATATTCAACAAAGACTCTGTTTTTCGACGTCCCCCAATATAAGGACGTCGAGAAAGAGGTAACATGGCGTTACTACATGGCCCCATGGGATATAGACGAGTTGAAGAAGTGCTGGGACAGTGTTACAGGCTACAAGGTGGTCCCTTTGGATGCGGTGGAAGAACTCTACTCAAAGATTGGCGGTGTGCCGAGATATGTCCTAGAAAAGCCGATGAAGGTATGTTATGGGCCCAATCCACAACGCTTTTCTTGGAGACAATAAATACGCGCCTAACCTCTCTTCCATTTAATCCATGGCTGTTCTTGACTTAATTCATCGCTAGGAATTAAACCGCCGTCCGAGGGACCTTGACGGTGCCATGACCAAAGCACTGGATCGTCTTGAACAAGCCCTCAAGACAGTCGACAGTTCGATGACACTGCTGCAGCAGTTATTCCCGCAAGGGAAAGACGCTCTAGACTCCAGCGATCATCTGATTCACCATTGGCCCATCGATAATCACCGCACCGATCGATTGGAATGGGCTTCAGCATACGTCGTCGAGAAGCTTACCGGTTCACTGACTCGGGACACCTGGGACGACGTGATGAGGAGGATCGTCCTGAGACCTGACGGAAGCGCCTGCGGTATTTTGTTCGAAGCATATGTCCTCCGTGCCTTCCGAGAGGGCGGCCACACCTTTGAACTGAAGGATCTCGAGACTGGGCAGTCAGCTCGTTTGGAAATCCCACGGAACCCAAAGATAGAGCATTTCGATACGATTACCCAGGCTTCGCCGGGTACATTATTCATCCCAAAGATTTGGAACCATGCCTATGTTGACTTCCTGCTCGCTCCAAGAGACCTGTTCCAAATCACAGTATCCAAGACCCACCCCATCAACGGACTGCCACTCAAAAATCTTATCGTCAGCCTCAAGAAGGCAAGCTGGATTCCCTCTGATGATCCTCGGCTTATCTTCGTCGTCCCAAGCCACTTCTATGCCGATTTCAAGAAGCAGGAGTACTTGAACTCAGATGGGAAAGTTTACATCAACGTCCCTCCGGAGTTACAGCAATTGAAGCAGTATGCGCTGAAGATCGATATGGAGTCAGCAGTTGCTGGCAAATCACCTGGATTGCAGGTTCCGTTGCTATGAAATGGCGGCGTGATGAAATAGATGGGACAAATACACTCTGAGGTCCTTCGCTCCAACCTCGCCTTTGCGCAGCGGATGCACTTCTCTTTGTGTTAGCCTGTCAGACAAAGTCATCTTTGATATTTCCTTGCCACATTGAGAATAAAAACCATTGACCAGCTATCGCTTACATGCCTTTCGTCGTAGCCTTTGCCACGATCTCTAATCAGTCACTCTTTCTCTTCCATCACGACTCCACTTTGTCACGGCTATTGGTGAAATGATGCGGTTTGTAAAGTGCAACTCATTGCTTTCCGTCACCAATATTCCACCCTCAATACGCCAGAAAGTCCTGCAGCATTCGGCACTTCACTTGCCGCCACCTGTATGTTTGCCAGAAAGTTAGCCAGACCTGCCGCGTCGAACGAGCCTCCAATGAGGACGGAAATGCTTCGTATAATTCCCAGACGTCAGCACAACCTCTACTACGGTGAACAGAGGTCGTGTTGCATGTTGTACAATAGTTGTCTTCGCAGATGTCTATCACTCATGCGCCAATGACTCCATTAGGTGGTGCAACAAGACAAGGGCGGACGAGAGGGAGAACGAGACAAGTGGGCGAGTGGGCAAGTGTGTCTTAATATAAGAAGCCAACCATTCTCAATAATATATTGGCAATATGTGAAGCCATGCTAACACCATGGAGCGAATAGGACGTTTTCGACCAGAAAGCGAGAAATATTCTTACGTATATATTTTTTTCAATTAAAGGGAATAGAACTTTAATCGAACTTTAATCTTGGTGTATGGTCCTGTGAAGTCTCTCATCCTCCTCCTCCTCCTCCTCGTCTTTGTCCTCTTCTCCGTTCTTGTTTTCAAGCTGAAGAGAATAGTTGCAACGACCATCATCTGGATCGTTAGCAAGCTTACTGTCTTCCTTGAACTTGAATTATGCCGACAGATCAAGCTCGTCCTCCGAGGCTATCAGTTCCACACTCTTAATCCCAGCTTACGAAGATCGCAAAATGGAAAGAAGGCGGTTGAGTTTGGGGCTGTTTTGACCATTTTCCACATAATCCGCTGCCTGCCTGAATTGGTCGGGGAGTGACCTCAAAGAACCATTCTTGAGGTCGGTGTAGTCCGCAGTACTAGGGTTGGATGATGGGGAGAGACGACTAATATCTCTTGGATACGCAGAACCGCTACGGAGCACAAGTGTTGCATCGTCGTCGGACGCAGAGTAACCAGAAAGCTCGAAATCCGAATCTCCGTCCTCATCGACCTTAGCATCCTCCTCACTCTCGCTCTCGTCAACAACATCTTCCTCAGTGTGCCCAATAAACATGTTCTTAAACTCCTCCGCGGTGATGGTCTCTTATATGCACTCCAACATCCTCTCGCTCTGACCTTCGCCGTAGATCATATTGATGTAGTTAAACACGCCAATGTCGTTCTGGGAGGTCACTGTGTCCTGGAGGTGCCCGTACTTTTCGTTGAGTTCTCTCCTCCGCGCTAAATGTCTCTCAGATGGCGACCTGCCACTCTCATCGCTCTCGTTTTCCGAACCGCTTTCTTCCGCGAGAGACATCCGTCAAGGAAGAAGGGTCAGCTGATGAAGAGAAACGCCGTTTGTCTGAAGGAGTTTGTTCGTGCGGTGGTCCCTTGAATGTACTTCTTGGAGACATGCTCAGTCTCAGACACGACCTCGGTGGCGGTTCTCTTTGTTGTGATGGATACCTGTGATGACAGGTTTATAGTTTGCCCTAAACTCAGCGCCGTTATTGCGTCGCCATATACAGTACTGAGAGTTCAATACTGTCCGCACTCTTTGTCGTATCAGGCTAGATGAAATCAGGCTTGTAAAGGCATCATGGACTTCTTGCTCGGACCAATAGCTGAACGTGCGCACAAAGTCAGGAAAGCCGATTTCCTATCCGCGCCTCATTTTACGATTGTACCACTGCCTGTGTCGTTGGTATTGCTGTTGTTGAAAGACTTGCGCGAATCCATGATAGTCTTCTTTGCTCCAGCGAACAGTTGAGTCCGCGGCGTTATGCACGACGTAGTACCAATTCAGCACCAGATCATCATACATTGAGAAAAATAGGACAAAGGTTAGCAGACCTTAACATATCATATACAAATGCCGCCTCCTTGACGTGGTTCGCTGAGGAAGTGAACAAAAGAAAAAATGAACAAAAGAAAAGAAACACGCTCCTCTCTGCCTCCTTGCCGCCTCTCTCACTGATGTCGTAGCCACTTCCCACTCGGTAGAGCCGTATTATATCTGCTAGGATTCAAGAAACGGGGCCACTTATGACATGGCGTTTATGTGCGGTCGTAGCTAATCGATAAGGATTACCTTAAGCTGGACGAGCCAATAATGTGTCAGGGAGTGACCAACAAAGAGAGAGAGAGAGAGAGAGAGAGAGTGTGTGTGTGTGTAGAGAAGGTCTTCAAATTTCAGAGGGGATACCCCCAGCCGAGGACTTTCTCTCGACGTCGTGTGGCGCTATGTAATCATCGTTTCTCGGATCGTACCTTCTTTTCTTGATCTAATTTGACGTTGGAGTTTGGTTAGGGAAATCAGGCACAGGCACACAAACGAGGACAAGGTGATCAAAATCTACACCGTCTCATAGATTTGGTGGCAACACAAATAATGGAGCAAACGAAATATTATATTATCGATTCATCGATCGAAAAAAAAGTGAAGTTATGAACTATAATGCTGGTAAAAAGGTGGTGCATTGGTGACATCAGTCGCTTTTCCTTCTCCCGCGGCCGAGTCAGAATGATATGTATGCCTATTACTACTATGGTCAACCAGATGCCCATCACCGAACGAAGAATCTGTTGACAGCCACGAATGGAAATTCCGTCCATGCATCGGCAACATCTCCGTCGTCGTCGTCGTCGCCGTGTCCGAAGCACCACTCCCCTCCGAATAAGGAGATAAATCAGCAACGGAAGTATCCCGGCACGGCAAAACGCCCATTTCCTTGCAATTTCCTCGGCTGTCTGACGTTTCGGCAATGGCCAATACTCGGCAGGGTCCTGTCGATTGAATAGGTTATGGATTAAGACGAGAATGTTGCAGAGGACGGTGGTGATCCAGGCATAGGTAAAGGGCATCCTCCGCTGAAAGATTTCGAAGAGGCCTGGGATACTGAGGAGGAGGACGAGCAATGCGACGATTAGGAAGAATTCTAGCAAGGAGACTGATTGACAGGTAACTGTGAATTTGGGTTCTGTGGTTCGGTCGGTTTCGTTGAGGAGGGTGAGGGGAATAATCTTGTAGGCGATGCCGCCGCACTCGAAGTAGTGGTTCATTGTTATACTGTTGTCTTGGTTTGGTGGTGGCGGTGGTGGCGGTGTTGATATGAGGGGTATATGTGGCGCGTTGGAAAAGAATGAAATCACTTGAACGAAGGAAAGGGAGGGGATGGCCGCGAGACTACTAATAAACGCCCCCTTCCTTCTACGTCTTCCCCTCCATGAATACATCTTTCATTTTTGACGTTTCTTCGTAAAAAAAAGATCGGCAACGGCTGGGACAATTGGTTGTTAAGATACGGCAAACAAGGAAGAGGAACGAACACGTTCTTGGTAATAGAAGTTTTATTTTAGTGTCAATGAGAACAATAGGGAGTGTGCTATGGGGAATATGCGAAAGATGGGGAGAGAAGATCCACCTGCACTAGGAAGATCCATAGGAACAAAAGGAAAAAGGATAAGCTAGTTCTTGAAGGAGAGCTCATCAGACTCAGGACCATAGAACTTGTCAGAGTCATGTCCACTATACTGGGTGTACGACCTAGCACTATTGAAGATGATGTTGCGTCCATTTCCAACAATCTCCTTGCCAATCCATGCGCCCAGAATGTTGTTGACTTCATGAGGGCGAACAGTCTTCCAGATGGTCTGGACCTCATTAGGTCCCAGAGGCCAGTAGTTGGGGAAGCTGTACATGAACGAGACGGACTTGCGCGAGGCGGCAATCATCATCGTATCGGCGACCAGGAGATTCTTGTTCCAGAGGAGCAGACTCGATCCGTCAAAATGTCCACCGGGGCACAACACCTTGACCTCTCCGTCGAGGAGGTCGAGAGAGGTACCCTCCCAGAAGATGTGGTTGTCGGCAGGACGCTGGAGCCACTGCTTGTCGTTGGCATGGGTGTAGATAGGGATCCCTCCAAACGCCTCACTCCAGTCCTTGAGAGACGAGTAGTAATGTGGGTGGGAGATGACAATCGCCTTGAGCCCTCCATGGTCCTCCTTGATCTTGCGGACTGTTTCGTCGTCAATAAGCGTGATACAGTCCCAGAGAATGTTACCCTTGGGAGTCTTGACGAGGATCCCGCGCTGGCCGATCGCATAAGAAGGTGTGGTCGAGATAGAGATCAAATGTTCAGGGTCGGCCGTTGTAGGAGTAAAGACGTTGGTGTATTTTCCGCTGGACTTGAGTTCCTCGAGAGTGGTCCATTCCTGGCCGCCTTGACGGACGTACTGGCGAGGATCGTCGCAGATGATGCAGGATTCTTGGGGCTTGCCAGAGGGGTCGGCGAGGGTGTTGACACCGCAGGTGACACAGACGAAGGACGATGCACGAGTCATTTTTTTCTTGTGTTGTAGGTGTGTTGCAGGTACGGAAGTATGTATGACAGTGAAAGAGAGGGATGGTTGTTGCTGTTGCTGTTGATGAAGAATGAAAGGAAAGGGAATGGTGGCTCCTATTTATGCATTTGCACCAAATCACAGCGCAGCAGCGTCTTTTCGGCGAGGGAAATAGACGCCGCGCTCAAACCCAATTCAAATAAAAATATGCCCGACAAGACACCCACACAAATGCACATGCACAACAAATGACAAACGGCGTCATTTTCCTCAATTGCTCATTTGCTTGGAGGAGAGAGAAGTGATTGGATCGATTGACTCATTGGACCCATTGCCACCCACAGAAGTTCCCAGGATCGTCATTTGTCAGGAAGCCATCAAACCAGAAATGCGCAGACTCCATGGTTAAGCTTGCCATGGGTATTGTTTGCTCTGACTCCCATGGTTGTAATTATGATTGTGATCATGTAAGCCTGCGCTCAAAATAAGTTCTCGGAATTGCCACCACAGCGCTGCGCAGACCCCGATTTTTATTTTTGTTGACGCGAGTCGCGTAAAGGAGGTGATGGGATAATTTAAGTCTGGACGACCATACCATGTCAAGGTCAAGAAGGGCGATGCCTGTTGCCATGGTCAATCAACACTCCTGCCCATCGATCGTCACCACAAAGGAAATATGACCATGAGCCAAAAAAAAAAAAAAACAATGCCAATGCAACTGGCTCCAAGGTCGCACAGACAAGCTCGACCCTTTTTCTTTTTCTTTTTCCTCGTCCTCTTGTCTTTTGCCTTTTCACCACACACTTCTCCTAGTCAAACAAAATAAAGTCCATTCGACCCATTCTCCGAAACCGCTTGCATCACCACACACTATCCTCTCCGTCCTCGCGGTTGTGAGGGTGCTGTATGGTCGAGTGAGGGGATTTGCCAATCGGGGTTTAATGAGCTGCGTGTTCATTGGCATAGTCAACAAAATACAGGGGCTTGCTCACACGCAACATCCGTATCGCCACAACAATTCGAAGCCGTTGCTTAGCGCACCCCCTCTGTTTCACCATTTACAACAAACCCCATCGCCGCCTCTCGTTCAGAGAAGCCAAAGGCAGGATAAATCGTACCGAGTGCTACGCATATCGTCGCCAGCTATGGCTTACCAACAACTCTTCCTTATACAAGTGCTAAGGGGCGTTCAAGTTGATGTGGACGAGATGAGAAAGGCGAACAAAAATGGTGCCGGCACGGACACAGCTATAACCTGCCACATGTAGGTAAACTTTGCGCCTGTTGTGCCTGTTTGTCTCTTTGGACATATTCCAAAGCTGACAATGGACGATTTTTTTTTTTTTTTTTTTGGGTCAACTAGGTGACGCAGACGACAGGAAAGATGTATTTTGGTTGAATGGATAGAGAGTCTTGCTAAGCACCTTCATTGGCATATGTAAGGATTTTTTTGTATGGGGAACATGGTGGTAGAAAGTGAGGGCCACGGTTTGGAGGTACCAGCATACATGTGTTTGTGAATGTCGAGCATGCATCAACTGCTGCTCTCAGCTTTTTTTCTCTTTTCGCTCCAAGCGCTTGTACAACACGAAAAATGAGCATTGAATTGGCTGTCCCTTTATTTTTTTTTTAGTATTTTCATGCAGGAGAAGGGGGAGTAAATGTCTCACGCTAGAGAAGGAAGATCGTGTGTACTCCGCGTGAGAAAAAAAAGTAGAAAGAAGGATGTAAGAGAAGCAAGAATAGTGAGCACAAGATCAAAGTGGCAAGAACTAAAAGGAGAGAATCAACGTGGAAGGAAGACAAGGGAAGTACGGAAGAAAAAAAAAATGAAAGTCGAAAGGTGCCACGGTCCCCAGTAGCAGCTTCAAGTCCTTCTCCATCTCCTTCCTTCAAGCACGTCGATGGGCCACGAGGGTGTAAATGTGCTCCTTCCAGGTCTCGCGCATCTCCCATCCCTCCATCATCCACGACTGCTGCGAGCTCCCGATCGCTTGGGTCTCACAGAACTTGCGCAACTTAATCTTCTTGAGGCTAGGAAGAGACACCACCTGACCGAACCCGGACTCCTGCGAGAAGTCGATACCCGTTTCAATGTCGCTGCGGTGGAGTTTATCGATTAACTTGGTGGCCCACTTGTTTCTGTCGTACCTGATGTTGTCGTAGGTGTAACTCCATCCAAAGTTGATCTTCACGAGGTTCCGGAGTTGCGCCAGGTTCGCATAGACTTGTTGCTGCATCGCATGTAATGCCTTCTGGTGGTCCTGAGCCTCCTTCCCCGCAGCAGTCCTGCGTGTAAATCTGGTTTCGATACGAGCTCGGTCCAAGCATTGAAACATGGTCGATGTTCGTCTTGAAAGGGACGCGAATCACAATGTCCAGCTTCTCGAGGCTCATACAGGTCCATGTTGGCCCGTTGATGATATCCTCTGCCAGAACGACATGTCCATCACCAAGACACTCTCTCAACCGAGCGCATGCAGCCAAGATCTGACACACTTCAGCAGACCAGTTATCCCGGAGACTGAACCGCAGGTAGACGAGCGCGTTGCTGTATGTGCTCGAGATCGCATTCAGGTCCGTGGGGCTGATCAATCCGACTTCCAGTCTGACGAGAAACGGCATCTGCAAGACCAATATATATGCACCCTGAAGTGTTCCTAACCTCGACCATGGAGGAGCAAACTCGTGAGAGGATAGATTTGCGCAGGAAGCCTGTGTACCTTGGTCACCTTTTTCTCCCACCAGTACACTCGACGAGCCCCAAGACATTCCATCGCTGGGAAGATTGTCGAGAGCTGTTGGAACATGGCTGTTGGGTTTTCGACGTTTCCTGCCTTGATACACACCGTCCTGATGTTGGGAAAGCGAACCCGCGCGGTCTCGATGGCAGACAAGTCCTTAGCGACCAGAGTCGAAAGCGTATGCTAAGAACCGTGTTCGATGGTAGGCAGGTATGGTGTATCGGGTGTCCTTTTGACGTGTATCTGTAGGCTGAGAGATCCCTCAGAGCAGGAAACGCCAAGGCAATGGAACGGAGCTGATGGTGAGAGATGGACCCATTCGTGAAGGCGAGAGATCGGAGGTTGCTGTGAGGTGTTGATGACGCAAGAGTCTTGTAATCGGATTCCGTACGTCCTGAATGAACAAATGACCACAAGGTCGGCAAGAGAGTCCCCATGTTGCTGACGAGGTAGTCGTCTGCGTACATGCCAATATGCAGGTGTCGGATCTTAGTGAGCGTCGAAAAGGTACTGATCAAGAAAGACTCGCTTGCCCGGGTCAGGTTGTAGACAAGTCGCAACGGATACGAAGTTGTGGTTATAGTAATGGCGAACTTATCCACGGGCAAGACGGAGTTGAAGGCGAGTTGTTGTAAACCAGGATCGGAGAGGACAAACGCCCAAACCGCCATGGTCTGGTCTAGAACCCGAGTGTTGTGTGCATGGGACCAAAAGGCAGATCTTGGTACAAGGGTCTCCCATTCACTAGGGATGGGGGACAATGGCTCTTGGTCAAGGCCGTACTCCTTGCCATTCATGCACAGTCAACTCAGGTCAACATTGCTGAAGGTCAGCGATTGGAGGGTTGTCAGGTTAGCTTTGAGTGCTGCATTCAGGATCGCCACGTCGTCCATATTCAAGTCGCGGATCCATTGGTTGTGCTTGGAGAAAAGGCTTGGTAACTCCCCGAAGGGGATGGAATGAAGGATGGATCGCCAAAGTCGCTCGCAGCTGTTGACGACACGGCAGAGGGATGGTGTGAAGGCCATTCTCCATTCACGACAGACGGTCATACAAGTAAGAGAGGTCTTGGCGTTGAGGTAGAGACCGATCTGGAGCAGGACCTCAGGCGGAAGTGTCTGCATGGTTGTCGTTGCTGCGATGATGGTGTTTGGGAAAGAGGAGTGAGGAGGAGAGAAAGGAGGAGGGAGAGGGTAGGAGATACGGATGTGATCGCAGCAGAGAGGGTAGGAGAGAGAGAAAAGACTGAAAAAAGAACGAAAAAAAGAAGGGAAGGAAGGGTAAAAAAGAATCTTGCAAAGGGGAAAGAGCCACAAAGAAGCTTGCAAGAGGGGAATGAAACAAATGCGCGCTTGCATCATGTGGACAGATCGACATTGACGCGTCTCTCATGAAAATAAAGCATGCAACTTTTCAAGGTCGAACGTGGGAAATAATATCTTGCAGCGGAGGAGGATATGACCTTCGTAGTTGTCTTTTTGTTTCTTGCTAAGTTGTTCCTTGTCTCTGTCTCTTCACAAAGAACAAAGGGTCATCATTCAAAACAGAAAAGCGGCGTGTCGTGCTATTTTGGTAGATAGGTGCACACATTTGTGTTAAGTGTTTTGCCACCAATCCTTGTCGGTTTCTGTAATTGGTCATGGCCAGGAAGTGTTCCCGTTGTATGTTAAATTACGCTGTCGGTGGTACAGCCAACGAAGAGCTGTGTTGTGCGTGCACTTGTTATACTCGCTAGGACAAGTGTAGAATCTACGGCTGTCAACGATCCATTTTGCTGTGCTGTCTAAGCAAGTCGGCATATGCAAGCATTCTTCTCTTGTAACAATAAAAAGGCATACACAGCCCCAAAAGAGGCGAAGCGGGCAAGAAGGACAAAAAAGCAATCGCCGTGGACCACCGGAAACAACCCCAAAAACTCAATCACCTCAACAATTACTTCTCTCTTCTCACGAACCTAAACCCCCCAAAAGTCCTCATCCCCTGTCCGACTAAACCAACACCGACACTGGTGTAAAATGCACAAATTAGACCAGGACACTATATACTCACCTCAATATCTTTTTAGACGCGAATGATGCCATACAGGATTCTGGCTCATATAGCCAAATGGCTATTTAGAGTGTGTTTGAGTATGTTTATTCTTCTGTCTTCCTCCTCTTGCCCCATTGCCATGTCCACACCTGCCAACAAGATTCCACCCCTCATGGTTGATCATGCATGCAACTGTGCTGTAACAAAATTTCACTGGCTGGCGTCCAAGGCGATCAGATAAGATACGAGGGCTTGCCTGACCAAAAAAACCCAAATCGGAATCTTCAGTCTGCCCTTGTGAATAGGACGCTTTCGACCTGAAAGCGAGAAGACGTCCTATTCACTCCATCATTGGTGTTAGCATGGCTTCACATATTGCCAATATATTATTGAGAATGGTTGGCTTCTTATATTAAGACACACTTGCCCACTCGCCCACTTGTCTCGTTCTCCCTCTCGTCCGCCCTTGTCTTGTTGCACCACCTAATGGATTCATTGGCGCATGAGTGATAGACATCTGCGAAGACAACTATTGTACAACATGCAACACGACCTCTGTTCACCGTAGTAGAGGTTGTACTGACGTCTGGGAATTATACGAAGTATTTCCGTCCTCATTGGAGGCTCGTTGGACGCGGCAGGTCTGGCTAACTTTCTGGCAAACATACAGGTGGCGGCAAGTGAAGTGCCGAATGCTGCAGGACTTTCTGGCGTATTGAGGGTGGAATATTGGTGACGGAAAGCAATGAGTTGCACTTTACAAACCGCATCATTTCACCAATAGCCGTGATAAAGTGGAGTCGTGATGGAAGAGAAAGAGTGACTGATTAGAGATCGTGGCAAAGGCTACGACGAAAGGCATGTAAGCGATAGCTGGTCAATGGTTTTTATTCTCAATGTGGCAAGGAAATATCAAAGATGACTTTATCTGACAGGCTAACACAAAGAGAAGTGCATCCGCTGCGCAAAGGCGAGGTTGGAGCGAAGGACCTCAGAGTGTATTTGTCCCATCTATTTCATCACGCCGCCATTTCATAGCAACGGAACCTGCAATCCAGGTGATTTGCCAGCAACTGCTGACTCCATATCGATCTTCAGCGCATACTGCTTCAATTGCTGTAACTCCGGAGGGACGTTGATGTAAACTTTCCCATCTGAGTTCAAGTACTCCTGCTTCTTGAAATCGGCATAGAAGTGGCTTGGGACGACGAAGATAAGCCGAGGATCATCAGAGGGAATCCAGCTTGCCTTCTTGAGGCTGACGATAAGATTTTTGAGTGGCAGTCCGTTGATGGGGTGGGTCGTGGATACTGTGATTTGGAACAGGTCTCTTGGAGCGAGCAGGAAGTCAACATAGGCATGGTTCCAAATCTTTGGGATGAATAATGTACCCGGCGAAGCCTGGGTAATCGTATCGAAATGCTCTATCTTTGGGTTCCGTGGGATTTCCAAACGAGCTGACTGCCCAGTCTCGAGATCCTTCAGTTCAAAGGTGTGGCCACCCTCTCGGAAGGCACGGAGGACATATGCTTCGAACAAAATACCGCAGGCGCTTCCGTCAGGTCTCAGGACGATCCTCTTCATCACGTCGTCCCAGGTGTCCCGAGTCAGTGAACCGGTAAGCTTCTCGACGACGTATGCTGAAGCCCATTCCAATCGATCGGTGCGGTGATTATCGATGGGCCAATGGTGAATCAGATGATCGCTGGAGTCTAGAGCGTCTTTCCCTTGCGGGAATAACTGTTGCAGCAGTGCCATCGAACTGTCGACTGTCTTGAGGGCTTGTTCAAGACGATCCAGTGCCTTGGTCATGGCACCGTCAAGGTCCCTCGGACGGCGGTTTAATTCCTAGCGATGAATTAAGTCAAGAACAGCCATGGGTTAAATGGAAGAGAGGTTAGGCGCGTATTTATTGTCTCCAAGAAAAGCGTTGTGGATTGGGCCCATAACATACCTTCATCGGCTTTTCTAGGACATATCTCGGCACACCGCCAATCTTTGAGTAGAGTTCTTCCACCGCATCCAAAGGGACCACCTTGTAGCCTGTAACACTGTCCCAGCACTTCTTCAACTCGTCTATATCCCATGGGGCCATGTAGTAACGCCATGTTACCTCTTTCTCGACGTCCTTATATTGGGGGACGTCGAAAAACAGAGTCTTTGTTGAATATGATATGGCGGTCTTGGCTTCATTGAGTCTTGGGTAAGGTGCGCTGTCTGCAAAATACCATGTGTCGGGTAGATTGAGGAAGACGTTAAAGTCGCTGATATTACCATATCGGACAGTCGAGCGCCCTCCAAAGACGTAGCATTCAGCACTCTGTTCGGTGTGGAAAATGATAATCGGAGGGTTGCTGTCGTCGCTCTCGGCAAGAAGTCGGATGGTGAAATACACTAGGAAGGCGGATTTGCCGACCCCAGATGTACCTGTAACAACGACATGCTTCTTAGCGTATATAGTGAGCGCTGGATTGTTCTCAAACGTCCCGAGGATTGTGTCGTAAAGTTCTTTGTAAGCCTCTCTGACATAGAGATCCTTTGTACCGACGATGGGAAGTTCGGTGCCGGGAGGAGCTGAGAGAATGTCCTTGGCCTTGATTTTGCCTTTCAACTCGCGGGCTGCGTTAGACAGCGAGTCGTACCTTTCACTCTCGTTTGTACCGACGACAGAACGATCGGTGGCGGGAGGAGCCGATATCTCGTCCATGTCCTCGATGATGGCACGTCGTAATTCCTGGGCAGTGGTAGATAACGAGTGGAAGGTGTCCGCCCTGTTGACCTTTTGACCGATGTAATTAAGTAGCAAGACTCTTTCTTTGTTGTCGAGACGAGAGAGGTCAAATTCGCTACCCACCATAGCTATCTTCGCGAGACCAGCATCCTCAATCGCATCCATCAGCGTGTGCGAACGATAACGCTTTCTCGTGGAAGAGGGCCCTAGTAAGAGAAACAGCGTGCAAGCAAAGGGAGCGACAAGAATATTAGCAACTTTTACCATGTCCACCAATGATTGAAAGCAATGAGGTCGTTTGAAAATGGTCATAAATACAGTCAAAGCCAAGCTGTTTACCTGCATCTTTCTCACGGTCTCTTTTCGCAACTATAGGACGTTAAAATGAATATTGCGAAAGGGTATTACCAATACCATTTCGTTATGCTGAGAAGTTCATGCGCATTGAGTAGTTAAAGCAAAGCACGTCTGCATTACCCTGTTGTCGCTGGACGATGATGTGGATCGTTTTCTTGGGTGGTGTCTCTTTAAAGACATCGGAGAGTTTGCTTGCCACTCTGAGTTTCTCCTTCCCTGACTCAGGCACAGAGTCGAGCACAATGGGAGCGTCGTCGTCGTCGTCATCTTTGATGGAGACTTTCCAGAGGGTAAGCTCGTTTGCATCAACCCCGATGAACTTGCCGGGATTCTCGGTCTCGATGAGCTCCTTGAGGTCACCGACTGTCTTAGTGGGGTCCATCTCGACAGAGAAGGCGTTCAATTGCCCATTGACAAGACAGAATAGGGTCATAAGGTTCTTGTCCATGGTCCTGCGAAGTATCAATGAGAAAGAGGCGATGTAGGCTGGAAAGTAAAGGATATGGAGAAGTCGAGGGGTGAAAGAAAAAAGGCGAAAGGATGAAAGAGGGTGTGAGCTTAAAAGGGCGTAGGAATGGTGGCAAAGGTTGGCAATAAGAATGGGAGTAGTGGTGCGGAGTGAGGTGGTAAGGTAAGGGCGAAGAAAGTGTGGGAATGGTGGCGAAAGGAAGACGGAAATAGAACTATCCTCCTTTATTTCCTCCTTGCCTTCATTCGTTCATTGAAGCCTCCCGCACCTTCGCAATCACATACGGGCAATGCAAGAACATCCCTCTGCTAGCTGGGGCTAGACAAGATGGATCAAGGTGTTCTTGGTGGGCCACAGCGAGGGCTCTATGATGCCTCGTTATCACCTCAAGTACCTCCTCGACGGTCAAACCAAAGTCGGTTGCGTTTCCTCCACCCTTTGTCCCCTCTACGCCCTCTTCCTGATAGGTCTCGGTCTCTACGACCCTATCAAGAAGATTGTTGATCCTCTCTGTCTCTCCTGCTTCCAGGTCCTGCAAGACTCGCCCTTCCTAAAGGACCTTAACGAGGGTGGCCACACTGTTCCGGGTGTCGAGTACCACTACGTGGTCTCCAAGTACGCCTACGACATTTCGTCAAGTTTGAAATTGTATCGGAAACCTTCAAGAGAAAAGAGAAAAGACAGATACTCATCGTAGGATTCTCTAACGTATTTTTCCCCAATCCCGCGATCATGTACGACGAGCTGGCAACGCCTTACACCAACGGACTCTTAAAAGACGCGGCGACCAACCCACTAGCAGAAAATATAGTGACTCTATCGCTTTGCCCCGCAAAATGTCGATGGCCACAATAGCCAGATGTTCAGCCCTCTTGCTTTCAACTCTATCCGTGCGTTTTTCGACCGATCGCTCAACCAGAATTTTAAGTGTCTTGGTAGCGTTTTGTAGCCCTTTCTACAGATGGTCGCTACAGCCCAGCTGTACCATTCTTGTAATGAAATACTTCTTTGTCTCTCAAGACCCACGAAATCTCTTCTGTTCAAGTACACCTCGAAAACAGGTCCATGTACTGAACAGGAATTTCGCGTTTTAATTGGTCAATTGCTCATTTCGCGTTCCTTTGGTCAGACGAAGGTCCACGACGAGGAAAGAAAAAAAGGTCCCAAGGTCATAAGGACAGATAAAAAGGCACGCTTCTCATGCCTGTACGGTTTATTGCATGCGCGGAACAGAATACAAGCGCTTTTTGGGGGAGTGAGTGGTTGTAAATACGAGAGAGGATACTGGTATGAAAGGAGTGAAAAGAAAAAAAAAGAGTAATGAACACTATACAAAGAAAGAAGGACACAGCCAAGGAGGGTTCTCCCAGCTTTATGTCTTCTTGTGCCAGACGAGCTTGTATCCTTCCTGAGCTTCTGGGTCGACATACTTGGCCAAGCCCAAAGTCTTGAAGCGCTGGTCGATCAAGAGACCTTTGGAGAGCTCGACAATGACCAGGACCTGGAGGTGTGGGCAGTAGAGCAGGGCCTCGAAGAATCGACTCGTCGTCGCGCCGGGGGCGACCAGGTGCAGCTGCTCCAGACGCTTGCAGTTCTTGGCCAGCGCAACAAGGGACTCCTGTTTATAGGCCATCCCGCTGATAGAGGTTCCTGCGCGGGGGATAATGAGGTTGCGGAGGTAGCGAAGCTTAGACAGGGTTTGGAAGGAAACGTCCGAGATCTCGTTGGCGTCTAGAAGCGAGATGTATTCCAGTCTGACGCAGTTGGCAGTCAGTTCGAGAACAGCCTCGTCATTGATCTTTGGCTTGACGGACTCGATCCAGGAAACATTGAGATGGCGCAAGTCGGGGCAATGTCTGGCAAACTCGATCATCTCGGTCGCGCCCAGTCCTTCGTCTGAATCCAGCAAGACCAACTTTGTCAGGGCTTTTCCACAGGTGCGAGCGAGCTGCTGGAAAGTTTCTGCGGGAATGTTCTTGCAACGCTTGAGCACTAATTCCTTGAGGGGGTTTGTGTGGGTCGCAAAGATGTGGAAGGGGTGGCCCTGGCCGACGGGGAGGACAGGGCAGATGTAGTTGGCGAGGGAGAGCATGAAGAGGCGGCGGCAGGACTCTGCAAGGGAACCCCAGGGAATCAATCCTTCCTCGTTCTCTGTCGAGACCTGGCGTCCAGTTGCAAAGACGAGCGTGAGGTCGCCCAGGCGTTTGCTGCAGTGCTCGGAGAGGGCGAGGACGACGTCGGGAGTGATCCAGTTGATGACAAACTGGCCGTTCTGCTTGTCGACTACGTCGTGCGAGTCGATAATCTCGATCCGCCGGACAAACTCGCCGTACTCGTGGGTCGACGAAAAGTCGGCGTTCTCGGTCTGCTGAAGGAAGACGTTGAGCTCCTCGCCGGCTTTCCATCCATGGAAGGTGCGTTCCTGCCAGAGAAGGGGTGACGCGATGGCGTTCCAAGTTTTGCAGACGAGCGAGACTGGTCCGAGGTTGTTGTAGATGGTGTGGGTCCGATGGTTTAGATAGTCATAGTGCTGGACAGCCAAGTAGCCAAAGATGTAGCGCAGGAGGGATGGTTTCAGGGAGTGAATCCCTACAGGACGGGCGCCACTGTCCTGGTGTTCCTGAGCCTGTTGGAGGAGGTCGGCGGTGGAGTTGTTGTAGGAGGCGTTGGAGGCGGTGCTGTATCCGGAGGTGGAGAAGTAGGCCGGGTTGGAGTACTGGTATGGGTCTGAGAGCGGGCCCTTGGACGACTGGGCCTGAGAGTTTGCTATTGAGATGGCCTCGATCGACCGTTCCAAGTCCAGGGTGTTTTCCAGGGCCATCTTGATTCGTGGTTTGGTACTTGACTTTGGTTCTTGCTACGCGTGGTAAGGCGGAGGAAAGGGGAGGAAGAGGAGGAAGAGTAGGAGAGGAGTGCGGGGATGACCAGAGAAAGAGAGCCGATGCGAGAAAAGGAGATGAAGAGGGTTGAGGGGGGATGGGAAGGAAGGAGAATAGAGAAGACAGAAGAAGAAGAAAAAGAAGAAGAAGAGAAAGGAGGGGAGATGATGATGAACACAGTCAATGGACGTGAGAGCGAGGACGAGGAGGAAGGAGGATTGGTGTGTTGGAACGGTGGAGGTGGTTGTGGCTGAAAAACAAGAGGAGGTGAGCCCATGGACGGATACAGAAGAAAATTTCATATGGAATTGGCACGCTCCCAGGCAGTTGTGTATTGTGGGTGCCGATGGATACATTCTGGTGAAGGAAATTGGACTTTGACATCAGTCCATCGGCACAGCAACACAGCAAGGGCTGTTGACTCCAATTGAAGGAGGCAACAAGAAATAAGCAAGCAAAATAAACGGCAAGGCAGAAACGCAGGTGGACAGGCACAGAACCCAAGCACGATTCATGTTTCAATAAGCACAAGGCAGCAGCCAAGCAAGGGTGAACCCAACGATTTCATATCTCACTTGTCCATCCTTGCCTACACTTCATACTTGACAATCCTTGCCTACATTTCTTACTTGACAATCGCTATCTCCACATCCCTCTAGTCAGTCTTGGCCTACCTACTCTACCTATTCTACTTGTTAATACTTGTCTACATATCACCCTCATCATCCTAATCCACACACTAGACAAAGTGGTTGTTTTTGGTACTTTTTTACTCTTTTTTAAAGACAATGAAAAAATGATATAGATGAGATGTAGTGGGATATGCTGAAGGTAGGAAAATGAAAGAAAAACGAAACAAAGCCATAAGCCAAATGTTGACAATATAACCATACGCTTTAGGACATGTCGACGTCCATGAGCTTGGTCTTTTGTGCAACCTTCTGGACCTGGGGCAGGTTCTTGATGGCGGGGGTGTCGACCAGATGGATGTGCTTCTGGATAAGAGCCTGGTTCTCGGTCCTCTGGCGCAACTTGTTGCCCGACATCCTGTTCTTGTAAAACACACGCTCGCGCTTGGCCTTGATCTCCTGCGATCTCTTCAAAGCCCTGATCGTCGTCGCCATCAAGTCGCGGTCGTATCTGACTGGAATGTTGCGGCGCTTCTCGAACTGGAACGTCGAGTCCTATTGGCATAATAAGCAAGAAAAATGACTTTGTTAGGAATGCGAATGATAACTGCGGCACAATCGACCTGAACTGGACTGGACTGAATTGGGCAGAGCAAGAATAGATAGTCCTGTTTCCTGTGTAATGAAAATTCTAAGAGGGTACGTACGATGGTCATCTCCTTGCCAGCAGACTTGCGGAAGGCCTTGGTCCAGCGGACCTTACGGGGGTTGCGCTTCATCTTGAAGTTCTTGTGGCATTTTGATCTGCAGAAGCGGAAGGTCTAAATTGTATCAAACAAAGAGGTAGAGGTTTGTTAGGTAAGAAGTAGTAATAGAATGGCTGCTTTCTTGCCTCTTCGTTGATATATGCTCCTGCCTTGCCCTGACCGACTTAATAGATGAGTTGGGTTGTTGAATGTCGATTATTTCAGGGTCCTTGGCAGATATACTTGATATCCTGACTAACTGGCAGAGATGCTCGGCATTGGCGGTCTATTCTCTCTCACTCAGTCCTGTACAGTAGGCTCTTCTTCTTCATCCATCGAGAAGTGCTGTCTCCTGAAGAGGAAAGAGTATCTGCTTTGTCGACTCGGTGTGGCTGTCCTGTATGTTTACCTTGGAGTCGTTGCGGACGAACATGGTGCCGTGACCGGGGTAGCAGGTCGACGAGCAGAAATAGCACTTCTCCAAACGCATTGTAGATTATAAGATGTGTGTGTAAGAGTAAAAAAGGGGAGGAAAGGGAAGAAAGGAAGGAAGGTGGTCGATGTTCGTTTGTTGTTAGGAGGAGTGATGACAAAGTGACAGCGGACAGAGGAGAAAAGAGAACAGAAGACGGTTGAGACAAAGTCAAAAGGCAGGAAAAAAAAAAAAAAAGAAAAAAAAAAAGCACAAGGACTGCCTACTTGCACTGAGTGCTATTCCATTTAACAGGGACATGTTTACATTTTTCTGCGCGAGGACTGCTGTTTTCTTTCTTGATGTTAATGGTCACCTGATAAAAATACACGTGATGGTTGTGTCCCAGCCCTTCGTCACCCTGGCCACTTTTTTCACTTCTTCCCTCCTTGCATCCCTTCTCTTTTGCACTCGCTTTTTCTCTGTGGCTCGTCGACCCCTTCAGTTCATTCTTACCATCACCTCGTTCAACTCCTACGCCACTAAAAAGCTATACATCCCTTCAACAACAACGGCGACGCGTCTTTACCGCCTTCGAATCATCCTCCTCCTTCACATCAACAACCTCTTTTCAATCCTCCCTTTCGCACTGCAGGTCATTCCCTCCCTTTATTTCAGGACTCGCTCTGTTTGTTTTTTGGTACACCGCCGCACAATCGACCGTTGGCACTGTTGACTGATTGTCTGCCTTGTCCGGTCTGCCCTGTGTTTCTTCTTTCTTCCGCTACCTCCACCTCTTGGGCACACACTTCCCGTCTTCTCTGGCCCGGCCTGGTCTGCCGAACCATACCGATAACAACAATTGCGTCTTACCGGCCTAAACAAAACGACCAACACAGGACACAGAGAACGGACAGGTCAGACATCGAGCAAACAACTACGCCTGGACTGACCGTTTGACGCAAGTCTCCCTACCGACTACCACCTTTACTGAACACACAACAACGGCGACTGCAACAACCAGGCACACCCCATGGAGAATACCGACGCCTCGAGCACTGCCTCTTCCCCTCACAGGGGAGTGAGTCCCACTGCCAAGGACATCGAGGCCGTGGCCGCTGTGACAGCCCAGGCTCAAGCCCAGGCCTTTCCTGCCACTCTCTCTGATGCGACCGCCGATATCCTGGCTCTGACCAAGGCCCTCACCACCCCAATCGAACATATTATGCCTGAGGACCCTGCAACCACTGTCTCGGAACAAGTCATCGCCGCCGTTGCCTCACCCTTGGTCGAGAACAACCCAGTCGTGACCGCCGCAACAGAGTCTGGACTTTATCAAACACAGGACAGCGAGTCGGCAGCAGCAGTGGCAGCAGTGACGGCAGCGCTCACACCCTCCTCAGGACAGCAATCCCTCCATGACCATCAGACCCCAGAGAGTCATCATCAACAAGCAGCAGTTCGGGAGGACCACGAACAAACATCCAAGCCTATGGACTGGACCAACGCCGACGATGTCAACAGCGCCTATAACCAGGTCCTTTCAATAAACGCCCAAAAGGAGAAACCCTTGGGCAAGCGGACAGCTCAGGAAGCCTTTGAGCAGGATGAGGCCGCAAGAGCACTTCAGCTCATTGCGCTCTCACTTGGCGCGCCCAGCACTTCAAGCGCCAACACGGGCACCAGCATGGATGCGACCACAGCTGCTATTGCCGCGTCTATCTCTGGAGCTGAGCACAAGGAAACCCACGTGGTAACGGACCCGGCTACCGCAGCGCAGTTACAGCAGGGCATGGAAGGTGTCCTGAAGACCCAGGAGACAGCGGCGTCGGTGACGGATACCCTCATGTCGATATCACGGGCCATCAACTTTCCTTCCGAGTCGTCATCCTACTCCAAAATTCAGGACAGCACCGATGCATTCACGCAGGCTGTTATCAACGCTACGCAGATGGAGATGAACAAGAACAAGGAGCTCGCGACACTTGCCAACAGTCTCGGTAACAGCAATGGCAGCAAGGAAGGTCACATGGACACGAGCGGTCTGGAGAAACTGAGTCTTCATCACGAAAACCGAGCTGCTACTGGCGACCAGTCGACATCAGCAGCGGCAGCATCAGGAGGAGCGCCAACGACATCCGGTTCCAATCAAGGATTCTCGTTCGAGATCGACAAGGTCACTGGCAAGGCGTTGATCAAGTGGACGGAGCCGAGCGAATCGAGTACAGAGATTCACGATGCAGATGCGCGCGCGATTCAGCAGGCACTCCACACCTTGATTGTCAACAGTGGAATCGGTTTGTCAGACTTGGGAGTAGCTAACGCTGAACTATTGGGAGCAGCCCCACCACTCGGACAGTTCCCAGCCCAGGGTTCACAGTTCGGAACAGCACAGGATTCAGCAACTCCCAAGGCTCTACCACCAGCTCCTCGGAAAAAGCGACGACCAGCAACAACGTCAACTGCAGCCAGCGAGAAGAATACGGCAGCATCGATCCCAGAGGGCGCGGCGTCATTTCCCTGCGAGTTCCAGGGCTGCAACAAGGTCTTTGCGCGTCTCTACAACCTCAAGTCTCATTCCAAGACACATACCAACGAGAGGCCTTTTGTGTGCGCTCATTGCGATCTGGCGTTTGCTCGAGGACACGATCTGAAGCGACATGTCAAGGTCCACGGAGGCGAAAAGCCGTTTACGTGCAGTGGTTGCTCAAAGTCATTTTCCCGCCTGGATGCTCTTGGTCGCCATCGGGCCAACTCTAAAAACCGTGCTGGATGCCAATCGATCAAGGATGCGCTTCCTCTTCCTCTTCCACCAGTGACGATTTCAGAAACCATGGTGGCTGCGGCATCTAGTATCCCTATCTCGGCACCTCCCTCTATTCCTGGATCCGCTTCTGCCTCTGCCCCCGCATCTCCACCCCCTCCTCCTCCACCCGCATAGCTCCCTTGATATTGTTTATTAACTCGTTTATTTTCCTTTCTTTTCCTCAAAAACACCTCTTATTAAAAACACACGACAAAGAAGAGCACATCTACTTTGTTACATTATTAGCCAAATTGATAACGTTTTATTTCTGAGCAGTAGAGTAAGGATGTTTGTCATGGTCGAGGACGCGGTCAAACGCGAGACGCGTTTTTGGTTGTTTTGAATTGTGCACATAAAAAATCAACAAGCCACCACGTAACAGACACATAAAAGCAGCTCAGATCGAAGCAAATTTTTTTTTCTCTTTCTTCTTCATCCTCTTCACACCTCCCCTTTCCTTCCACTTCTCTTTTCCCATTCACCTTTTTCACCTTGACCCTATCTTCCTGCCCCAATCCTCCTGTCAGTCGTACAAACTTCGTAAGGTAAACATCACTTCCTCTCTCTTTTCTTTAGTTCCTCCTCACAACTTCATATTATGTTTGCATCTGATGATTACATAGTTCACCCGACATTGAACCAGGTTGGCGCTTGGTCTTCATGGGGAATAACACAGCACATCTTTCGCTCCTATCTGAACAAACTTACATACTCCTACTCTTGAGAGTGTTTTCGCGATATTGTTGGGGAGAAAACGAAACTAATTATTGCATTTTTTTGTTATTTCGTTCAGTTCAATTGCATAGGGAGTACGATTAGCTATAATGACATGCTTGAATATAATAAAAACACTTGAAACAAACGAGACCCAAACGTGTGGATGCGAAAACTTTTTTCTATGCGATATTATGATGGGTGATGTTGGAGATAATCGAACTAGATAAAGAGAGAAAATGTAGAAACGATGATAGCTCCAAGGCTGATCCACCCAGCAGCAGCAATCGAAGGAATCACACTCGCTAGTGCATCGTTACGGTTGGGTCGCACCTTGATCGCCGTCAGCGTCGTGTTGATAGGCGGACGAACTAATTTCATTTATCGAGAGAAAGGACAAAAAAAAAAAAGCGTTGTGTGAGCACGAGCAAGTACTACAAAACAAGCACTCGGAAGCAAAAGGGAATAATAATCACAAGAGGTCCTTTGCTAAAATTTACCAAAGGGAATGGGAGGCTGGTCATCTGAACAAGTGGCTCGACAATCGGCTTTCCATTTCGCGCTCAGGATCTGTTCAGGCCCCTTGATACACTGGAAGTAATTGTTCGCGACTGAACAGGTGCGCCAGTAGTGGTAGTTGTCGAGGGGGAGGGGTCCAGAGAGCAGGTTGTTGGATAGGTTGAGAACTGTCAAGTTCAGTCCTGCACCCCAGGGGGGTAGCGGACCCGAAAGCTGGTTGTATGACAGATCCAGTACTAGATGATGTTGAGTGACAAAAGAGCGCGCGTTAGTATCTCATAAGCCAGGTGCCTGCTCTTTGTCGCGCATACTGTTATCTCTTCGATCGTCAACTTACCCGAGAGGAACTTGAGTTTGTCAAGTGCTGGAATAGGTCCACCAAACTCATTCCGATCCAACAACAACGTCTTCAAGTTCGTAAACCCGTTCAAGAACGCGGGCAGCTGCCCCTGCATCGAATTATTCGATACATCCAGCTTTGTCAAATTCACCATCCGCATCTGCCACGATACAGGGAACCCACCCGAGATCCCCAACGAGTCTAGTTTCAACTGCTTCAGTTTTGGAAGCCGGGTAAACGATTCCAAAAAGACGGATGAGGGGACCACCACATTCGCGGGGGTCACATTTGCTGGGACGCCTGGGGGGTGGAGGTTCAAGGTGTCGGTGGGGGACAAGAGGGAACTGTTGGAGATAGGCTCGAGGTTGAAGGTGAATGCGGGGACGGGATCGCCGGTGGTGAAAAGGTTTTGGCCGATCGCTAGGGAGTGGAGGTTGGGGAGGGTTGTGATCCAGTCTGGGAGGGAGCCTGTTAATGCGTTCTGTTCTAGGTTGAGCGTCCCGAGGTTGGCCCAACCCGGTGCCCCCGAAGGGAGGCTTCCTGACAGTCGGTTATGGCTCAGGTCTGTCAATGTAGCGTGTGAAAATGAGGATGTGTCAATTGAAGTCTGTGTATAAAGTGTCCATATGGCCCATTCGCAAATAAAAAAATTGCAAAAGAAATATTGACAACGATCATACCCAAAATCAAGAGAGGCAGGTTGGCAAGGCTGGAAGGAATGGGTCCTGAAAGGTTGTTGTAATAAAGGAGCAAGTACTGGAGGCTAATGCACGCACAGCAAAAAGTAAGGATAGCAAAGGCGTTAGTTAGCTATTTGGTGTCAAAACGTCTCTTCTCATGCAGCAAGCTGCTCCCATTTCGGCTCTAATTGAATTTACCCTGTCAGGCTGCCAATACTCTCGGGCAACTTTCCTGACAATCCTTGTCCTATCAATATTGAGTCCACATACAAAATTGGTTAGTGTCATTGCCAAGTATGTCTTTCAACGCCAATTCGTTCCTGAACATGCAAAAAGAACCAAGCGCTTGAACGTACCAGCGAGGTAGATGTAGATGATTTGGTTGTTGGCGTTACACTTGATGCCCGAAGAATTGGGGTATTCGGCATTACAGCAATTGGCCGTGTCGGGCACAAACTGCCAAGGCCCCGTTGCCTTGTAAAGATCTGCAATCACTGCACAGTCAGGACTCGGTGTACCAGCCTTGATGATCCCCGAAGGGACTGTGGGCAAGGGTGCTGGTGGCTGAGTAGTAGGAGTAGGAGTAGTGGGTGGGGTGATAGGAGCTGAAGGTGTAGGTTCGAGGACAATGGGTGGAGGGGCAGGAACAAGTTCTGGTGTGGGAGTAGGAGCGGAGGGAGTGGTAACAGCCAGGGTAGGGATAGAAGGGTCAGAAGGATCGCTCTCAAGATCGGCAGGATCTGCAAAAGTATCGTCGTTTTCACTACTACCGCTACTGCTGCTTCCTTCTTCACCATCTCCGCCTTCGTCTGAATCCTGGGCAGATACAAAGCTTCCTCCCTGAAGGAGCGTTAGGATCAGGAGAAATAAGAGAGGGAGAAGCAGTGTTTTTGTTGCTCGCCTATAACCTATCATTGTCAATGCAAGGGTGTGAAGAGAGTGTGTTAGTTAACAAGAGGTCTATTAGTTGTCGTTCACAGGTTTGCAAGGCTGTTGTTTTTGTTGCTGTCAGAGGGTTGTTTGTTTACCTCTGATAGCCATTGCTGTGCGTTTTTGATGTTTGAGGATGGTCTACGAGAGAGAGATGTGTACTGGAAGTGTATGAACAGATAAGGAATGGAATCAGGGGACGAGTTATCGAGTAGATGTATGCGAGAGAGTTAGTAGATTCCAAGTGCACAGACAGAAGGAGAGAGAAGGGGGAAGAGACAAAGATGGAGAGGATGGAGAGGATGGTGAAAGGAAGATGTCGTAAAGAGTAGAGAATAAAGGGTGTGGGTGTCGAGAGAGTAGCAGAGAAGGAAGAGCTTGGAGTAAAGAATTAAAGAAAAGAAAGATAACAAACAACCATTGCCGACTTTAAAATACTGCTATCCATGGAGGCACAATTCGCACTCTATATGGCACCCGTCCTGGTTGTTCAAATGCGCCATGAATGCAGACGATAACGGAGTCTGGGAAAGAGAAAAGAACACAAAACAAAAGACAGACAACAAAGGAGACACAAAGGCATGTTCCTCCACTCTCACATACTCTCTCTCTCTCTCTCTTATTCCTTGTCTGTCTCTCTGCTTGTCTCCCTTTCTGCCTCTCTGTTGTTGTGTGTCTCTGGCTCATATGCACCCTTACAGCTACCAGAGTGGTCTCTGCTTTTCGTCTCCGCATCCCTTCAGGAGAATCGTCTGAATCCCGATTTGTCGAATAGGTTCATCACGTTGGCGGTTTAGGGCCAGGGCAGCGTACAAGAGGAGTGTGCAGGCCGAACTCGGGGGAGACCCTCTCCTTGATAGTGTTCCCCTTATCCCCTCCCCCTTTGCCGCCTATGTTAAAGAAAGAGAGCGAGAGAGAGCGAGAGAGGGAGTCAAAGAAAAGAACAAAAAGCATAGTCAATCCAAAAAGGACGCGAAAAATAAAGGGGGGCGCTGTTCTGGGAAAAAGAGTCAAGGATGAACAACAAAATAAACCTTGAATCAAGTCATCACTTGGTATTCGTGCACGTTCAAACACGAAAGTATAGCACAGGACAATAAGCTATTATCGGATTGGGCGATAGGACATTCATGGAATGGATCACTGGCAGCCAATAGTTTATTTAATCCTCTTCACTTTCAAACCAGAGTTACTGTACTTGAGGAAAGGGAGAGGAAAAAGAAGAACGAAAGAGAGAGGCGGGAGGAAGGAAGCGGTGGCACATGTGATAATACATACAAGGCGAAATAGAAATGGCTACGAACAGGAGTGGGTTTGGTACTTTACAGGGTTGAAACAAAAAAGAAAATAGACACTGGAAACGAAAACGAAAAGTAAGAAAGAAAAAGAGAGAGAAAGAGAGAGAGAGAGAGAGAGAGAGAGAGAGAGAGAGAGAGAGAGAGAGAGAGAGAGAGAGAGAGAGAGAGAGAGAGAGAGAGTAGCAAGGAGAAGGTTCATTTGCCATTCTGTCCTGAATGGCCAACCGGTGCTGCCTCGGTGTCCATTGACTCGGTATACAGCGCAAATCGGAGATTCGAGTGCGACGACGACGGCATAGAGGCTCCTGGGTGGATAGGGGGTGTTCCAATGTGCATGCCTCCAAGCGTCTTGTACAATGAATGTGTCGGTGACGCCAGTGGGGCTGGGATCGAAGCGCCTGCCTGGCGCACACCAGCACCAGCACCTGTACCCGCCTGCGACTGTGGCTGCGCCTGTCGGTTTGCGCGAATGATATCAATCTCTGACTGCAGTCGACGAATCAAATCTGCCTTCTTGCCGCCGCCATGCTTGCCACGCTGCCTCAACATCTCCTTGAGTTCTGCAACTGTCACATCGTCAAAATCAACCCGTTCCATCGCCGCATCCATGAGTCTCTGCTGCTCCTCCGTCTTTGCCTGCGACATGGAATGGCGAGATAAAATCCTGTCAATCTGGATGGGTGCTGGTGAGGTTGCCGATGTCGACAGGATCGAAGGACTCGAAAGGGGAATGTTCTCGCTTCCAGGAGTCAGGTTCGGAGGCAAGATGATCCGCTTGGCCTTGGAGTCCAATCCCAGACTCATTGGAATGGCAGGAAGAGCTGAAGCGGCAGAGCTCTGAGCCAACGTTGTGGATGATTCTGAGGAGGATCTCCGTCTTTGGATCCCTGCTGCCGCTGCTGCTGCTCGTCGCTCCGCTAGGGTGAGGACAGGTGACGGGGTCGATGGCGTCTGATTGGCTGGCGTCGATTCTTGTCCAGGTTGGGTGCCTTGGCTGTCAGCCTGTGTCGTGCTCAGTGACAGTTGATGAACCATGGGAATCTCCGCCGAGACAGCCTTGACAACCTTCTTTTTACGAAGTGGCGGCGTCTTGGGTGGGTTGATGCCATTGGATGTTTGATTGGCCGCCATAAGCGCGGCTGTCAGTCCCTGTGTTGGCGAATGAAGAAGTGGTGTTTCCGATTTGAGATCGAGAGAAGCCCGGTTAGTCTTGGAACCATTCTGTCCGAAGAGCGCCTTGATGCCGCCTTGAGAGACTCGTGCGCCTGTAGTCGAGGGTCGTGGCCGGGATTTGATCTTGGACGAGGCACTGGGGGATGAAGCTGGTCCGGGGGATGCCTGTCTCGACGTAAAGTAGTCGTCTTCTGCATGGTTTCCGGGAGAGAGAGGCGACTGAGCAGGAGAATGTCCTGAAGGAAACTGGTTCATTCCATGGAGATATTGATGAGAATACTGCTGGTGGTGAAGAGGCGAGGGAGAGTAGGCCATTCCGATGCCGGGGCTCTGTGGCAGCTGTGTTTGGGTGGCAAGCTCTAGTTGCATTCGAAGTTGTTGCTGTTGCTGCAGCTGGTATAGGCGGTGTTGCTGTTGTTGCTGTTGCTCGACCTGCTGCTGCTCAAGGTGCTGCTGCTCAAGGTGCTGCTGCTGTTGTTGTTGCTGAAGTTGTTGTTGCTGTTGTTGTTGCTGGAGTTGTTGTTGCTGTAGTTGAACCTGTTGTTCCTGTTGGTGACGCTGCTGCTGAAGTTGGTGTTGCTGTTGGGCCGTCAACGACTGCTGCTCGAGCTGCTGTTGCTGTTGCTGTTGCTGCTGCTGCTGCTGCTGCGGTGTCTGTGGGTCGGTATGAAGAAGCACAGGTGAGGAGTCCTGCATATCAAAAGAAAACACGCCGCCTCCCGCCATTGAATCGCTGGGCATCATCTGTAATTGATCCATATCGACTCCGCCCGTCGGTTCTCCGAATTGACCTATCGATAAGTAGGATGTCCAGTCATGACCACCAAGGCCTTGGCCAATATCGTTTGGGAGTGACATTCCAGAGACGTCGGCGACAAGACCCGAATCTGCGAGCGGCATCGACGACGTGTAGAGCGGCAATGACGACGGATCGAAAACAAAGGGTTCTTGAGCGGAGAGGCCCATAGCGGTTTGACGTTGGTCCATGGCGAGGAAATGTTCCTGTTGCTGCTTCTCAAGCTCGTCCTGTTCCTGTTGAAGCTGCTGAAGTTGGAATTGTTGAATTTGCTGAAGGTGCTGAAGCTGCGGTCCCTGAGGTTGGCTCTCCGGTGTGAGGGTATACATGGCCTGGTATCCGACTGAGAAGTCGTGATAGTGTTGTTCAGGCGGCAGAGGCTGGGTAAGCAAACTGTTGCAGGACGAGTTTTGGGATGATTGATGATACATGTGTCTGGAAAGTCGAGTGAGCGAAGGAAGGAAAGGAAGGAAAGGAAGGGGCGAACTTTGTTAGCGCGCAGGGGCAAAAGAAAAAAAAGGAGTCAGCAGGTCTGGTGAAGAGAATAAAACGTAGAGCAGAAGGTGGAGTTGTAGGGGTGAGGGAAAGGGCGTAAAAAAGTGTGCGTGAGAGAGTCTCAGTTCGAAAGGTTGTTTAAAGTGGCGCCTGTCGGTCGTGAAAAAGGCGAAGGGGAGGTTTGAAGAAAAAGAAGGAAGGAAGAAGGAAGAAGGAAGAAGGAAAAAGGAAGAAGGAAGAAGAAAGAAGAGAGAAAAAGAGCAGGATGCGTTTGTTGTTGGAGGTGCTGCTCGGTAGCAAAGGACGGGCAGGCGGCTGAATCGGTCGGTGTTGCGTTATCGAGTTAATGGACACTAGTGTCAATGAGGGGTGTGCGAGAGGAAAAGAAGAAGAGAGAGAGAGGGCGGCCTAGCGTGGATTAGTTCTCGGAGCCCAATGAGGCGAGCGTCAAGCAAGCTGTATGTGGCTGTTGTGTCTGACTCTGTGGTGTGGCTGTCTCTGTCTGTGTGTCTGTGTGCTGGGTGTGTGTGAACAAAAGTATTGCACTCGAGTACTGCAAACGAACGTAGCCGACAAAAGTCCAGTGAAAAGTTAAAGATAGATCTTCTTCAACACGGCTATGATGCATCCGCCATCCCGATCCTCGCCTCTCGTCTTTGTCCTCTTTGTCATCAGCCATCCGAGTTTTTGTATGATTGACCCTCTTCTTCTTTCCTTGTGAGTTGCTGCTTGAGAATAGCTTGCGATTGAGCGTGTGTATGTGTATGCGTGCGTGTGCTGTCTGCTCCCATGTGAGATCCCCCTTGTGTCCATGTGTTCTTTTGCGCCGAGTGCGTGAGTCAAGCCATGTCGACAGACAAAGTAGTCATACGGATGAGAGCTCTTTTTTTTTTTTTTTTTTTTTTCTTTTCTTTTCTTTCTTCTTCCTTCTTCCTTTCCTTTCTTTTCTCATGGTCGGTCCTTTTGTGTTGGATGTTATCAGCCCCAACTCTCTCCAGAGTAGCTCCAGTATCGCCCCCCAGGTTCCAGTTCCATGCCCTCGTGCTATCCATTGTTAGCACCAATAACCCATATTTTTTTTTGTCTCTCTCTCTTGGTCTCTTGTCCCTTGCCTCGTCTCCTTCTGTGTCCTGACTTGCTTTGCTCCTTTCGTAAACTTGTCCAAGGGCGAAGGTAGAACTCCCATCCCTTGCTTGGCAAAACAGGAACACTCTCTCTGCTCATCGAGTGCGTCCTCTTGTTCAGCTTATCCTGCTCTGTCAGTCCTTGCCCGCCTGTACGCTTTTTCTTGGACTCGCTTCCATGAATCCCGAGTCCCGAATTCCTGGATCCTGATCGTGATGCGACATGCAAACACACTACACAGTACAGACAGTGACATTATAACAAGCGAGAGGGAGAAATCAGAGGGGACAAGAAAGGAGGCGAATACCTACGTTTGTTGTTTTTGGGGAGTGAACCTGCAGTTGTCAGGATCTGCTTGGCTTTTTTTTTTTTTGGACTTTTTTTTTTTCTTTTCTTCCTGGGCCTGGATTGGGGTTGTTGTTGTTTTTCAAAGCGCACACACAAACTCACCAGGTGCCAGTTGGGAGTTGATTGTCGTTTGATTCTTGGTTTTGTTTTCTGTGCGAATGAGCAAGTCGGTGAGAGTGGGAGTGGGAGTGAGAGAAAGTAAAGGTTGAAGTTGAAGAGTTGAAGAGTTGAAGAGTGGTTTCTGCAACGGACTAGGAATAATAAAAAAGCTGAAAAAGGGTCGAGAGGGTGTCAGGAGAGGGAGGAAGAAAAAAAAAAAAAAAAAAAGTGTCGAGTGTGGTGGTGAAGAAAGAAAGAGAAGTAGGAAGGAAGAGAGAAGTGAAAATAAACAAAATCGATTTGCTGTGCCGTCTGTCCTACCAAAACAAAAATAAATCCTTGGCAAATCCAACAACTCAATCGGCGCCAGCTACGCAGTTTTTTTGTATTTTTATTATGTCAACCTCAACCAGATAAAGCTATCGTCTATGCTGCACCATGGTCCCACTGTGCCTGACCGTATGCCTATATAACCCGTACCATGGAAAAAAAAAAGAAAGTCAACATTAGTGATCAGTTGACAATAACACCCACGACAGCACTCAAGTGCAAAGAAAAGTGCTAAAAGGTAAACTTACTCCGGTGGCGGGTGGGTACGAGTAGCCGCTTGCGGGACCAGCCCACTGTGCATGAGCAGGGTCAACCATTTCCGATCCTGCGTCTGAAGGTGCCACTGCACTGTCCTTCTCCACACTTTCGGATGATGCCTGCACTTGGCCATCCATAGCCACATCATCCCTCTTCTCCTCCTTCACCTCTGCTTCTTCCTGTCTATGCCTCTTGGCTCGCTCTTCCTCCTCGGCCTGTTCAGCAGCAGCAGCAGCTCGCTTCCTCGACTGAGCCACATAGACCGACGGTGCTTTGATATCAGCCTCCAGCTGGTTGTACCTTGCCGCAGAGGTGCCAAACTCCATCACAAAGTCAAGGTAGCTCTGGCCGTAATCATTCCTTACTGACTCTGGAAGACCCGAGTAGCGCACCTGTTCATAGACTGCCGACACACGCTTCTCATAGTCTTCGCCTATTGTTTCATTGAATAATAAAAGAATTAGTCGATCATCGATCACTCTGTACGTTGTTACTGTCATTTCCACATTGTTAACCGATGTCATCAAAAATAATGATCAAGAAAGAACATAGGGAGACGGATACCACAAAGACGTGGGGAAAAAAAAAGAAAAACAAGGAAAAGCAAGTACAAGAGCATGTAGACAAAAGTGGAGACACAAAGGCAAAGAATAAAAAGAGGTACATACCTGGTTGATCCATCTCAAACTTGATGTAGTTGGAAAAGTAAAACCTGCTGTCAAACTTTCCTTCCCCAGTCTTGAAGATCGCACGCGCTCCATCGACATCCTTCCTCACCTGCCACAAAAACTTGGCGTACAGTGTCACAATCGCGGTCTGGGTCATCATATCGATATTGTCCAGACCCAGCTGAGATGCATACACCAACTCGGATGCCGAAAGATCGCTCGGTGAAATGCGTCTCTCAAAGTTAGCAAATCGAACAATCGTCTCGATATGTCCAGGCACTATCGAAGAAATAACGGTGGCGCGTTAGTCTCCAAATTTTGTTCAAGAACACATTCAAACTCAAACAATGACATACACTTACAGCGCTCAAGTGTTTTCTGGTACTGCTGGCGGGCTGCCTCATTGTCTCCGCGCTCTTCCTCGATCATGGCGAGCGTAAGGGCCAGTGAGGGGTTCGAGGAGGGTACCATGACAACCGCCCTCGAGTAAATATCCTGTAAAAGGTCAACATTGCCCAGTGATCTGGCCCATGCTCCATATCTCAACCAAAACTCTTCATACAGTGCCTATTTCGGTTAAATGGTGCAAAGTTAAACTTGTTAGCATCTCTGCCGATGAGAAGCGCTCCAGCGAAACAATCAGTGGCCATTCATGTACTTACACAGGTAACAAGGCAGCGCTCGTAAAGGACGCGGATGCGTTCGACATCGCCCTCAGTCTCCTCAAAGTCGAGATATCGGCGCCAGTTGGACAGTTGTGGCATGTCCATGGGCTTGACATGAAAGTATGGCCGCTTGATCTCAGCCTCAAAGGGCCACCTCTTGTTAGTCTCCTCAGCTGTGCGAGCATAGATCAAGCCACTCGCCTCGATCACCAAGCGACGGATCTCTGCCTCCAATTGCTCCTCTGGCATCTCCTCAGAAGATTCATCCTGAGCCCCTCTAGCTGTCGCCTTGGCCTTGAAAGTGTTGTATTGCTCCTCTGACAAAATCTCGCTCATTGGGCGGGTCGACGCCAATTGCACATATCTACCAGGGGAAATATCGAAGATTAAGAATAAGTGCTGTTAGTCACGCTGGTCAAGTCCCCATCCTGACAAATGCGTTGCAATTTGTGATCCGAGTCGGAGCGGACTTACTGCTGGTAGAAACGCGCGTATTGATGCATTGGGATCTTGATGACGCGCTCCATAAGCTGGAACATCTTAGAGTGCTCCTCCTTCTCCTCGTAGAACGAAATGAACTTTTCCCAGAAAACATGAGGCATAAAGTCCAGCCCGACGCATTTTGCTCCGCGTTCGAAAAGCCTAGAAGGATAAATTGGAAGAACAAGTTAATAGGTATTCATTCAAATAAGGCGCGAGCAAAAGTCACGATAGAAAAAAGGGTAATCGCATACACAGTGAGATGAGTAGAGTGAAAGGAGAATGAAATGGTGGACTGAAAATCACGGAAACGTAAACTGCCTTGTCACGCCGAGTCCGTCCTGTTCCTTCCTTAGGATCGACAGAGAATGAACAGGTCGCGTTCCCAGATCTTTGGCTCTAGTCCTGATGGGCGCGATATATGATGGAGGCGCACGATATGTGACGGAGGCGCATCATAGGTGTGCAACCAAAATGGTACACGGATCAGAGCGTGGACCTCCCGTATATTCCACAATAACGCGACAATCATCCTCCAAGGAACCAAACAAAAAAACGACAAAAAACGTATTTGCTTGCCCTTGCATCCTGATGTAGTAGTAGGAGAGAGAGACTGCACGCGAATTCCTGTGAGCTCGCTGTTCTTTGGTCTGTTAAGATTCGGTCGCTTGGATCCTTGGGAGAGAAAATCCACTAGAGCTGCTCCTTTTTCAAGTCCTGGCGAAGGTTTTCCAGATAATAAGAAGGACGGGCGAAAATATCCAATGCCAATGGTTCGTGAATACAAGCGGCCTTGCTCGCATCAAAGTGAGGGAAGAGGGCAGTCCACACAAAAGAAGAGCGCGTGCAATGACATGAAAAGCAACAACAAAAAAAGGGACAAGAGCAAGAACGCATGATAAGAGCACTCACTGTTCAATTTCTTCCCGGTTGTCGGCCTTGTGCTCCATGATGAACGTGCAGTACTGGACCCACAGGTCGACCGAGTTGGCGATTCCCTTGACACCACGTTCAAAGATCTATTGTTATCATTCATTGATCAATTGATTAAGGTGATTTTGATCAGTAACAATAGTCGCGATCACGTCATGTTTATCCGCATGGGCAACAAAGATTTGGTTAGTAGTCCTGTACCTCAATGGCACCTTCTGCACCGCGGGCGAGAAACTCCAGATCAGAGTACTTCTTCCAGTATCCAAAGCAGAGCGGGAACTGTTCCAGAAAGGCATCGTACAGGATCCTGACATTGGCAATGTTGGCTGGAGGCGCATCGGGCGTGAACCCTCCGTCCTGTCTATCAGCCAAACGCATCAGTTCCTCCCAAACGTCAAACTCTCCTGGTGTGGCCTTGATGACTGTCCAGCATCTGTCCCATGCTTCAATAAGGGCGGGATCCGTTGTAGTTGGCATAGGTGCGCCACTAGGTGTTGTCGTCGGTTGCTGGGGGACGACTACTTCGCCTCCGTTCTCCTCCTGAACACTGTTGACATCGGCTGCCCCTATAGTAGTACAACAGCAACAATAAACCGCACAGGTTAGTTATCAGTATACTTTTTTACAGTTGGTCAAGGTTGATCATGCTACTGATCTTGTCTCTCTGCGCAAAAGTATTGGTGATTGTGGTCTGTTACCGTGGTGGGGTGATGTGTAAGCAACGGCTGCTTCTGCGGAGTCCATGGAGATGAGAGTTTGTTCTTTTGGCTGTTTTTTGTTTGTGGAAGAGATGAGGCGTGGAGTTGAGTGAGAGTGTGGAAAGTGTGCAAGTGCGCAGGTAAAGGAAGGAGAGTTGATCCGATGGTGTCAGGTTAGAGAGAGACAAAGGAGCAAGCAAGGTTCATGATCAATGGACTGCCACCAAAACGGTGCTAAACTACGTCACTCAGGCAAAAGCGAAGTCTTGTCACGTTTTTCCTTTATCTTCGCTTTTCGTCCTTTCTCTCACTCTCTCCCTCTCTCCCTCTCTTCTTTTTCGTCTTCCTTTCAACCTCTCATTCCCTCGACCAAGGCGAACAACGACAATGTCATTCACCTGTGGATGCAACTCAACTGACCAGCCAAAGGAGCCCCAGTTTAAAAAGTCAAAGTACTTTGTACGTCAAACTGGACAAGGTGTTGTTCGCTTTTGCCTTTCAATATCATATGGTATCACACGGCATCATACCATGCTGTGTATTGTTACGATCAAACTCACCATTCTTCATGGTTCGACGCTATTAGGAGGACGTGGCGGCAAGCTTTGCTGTCAACACCAAGTACCAGGTAACGAAACAATGGAAATCAGCACGATGTAAAAGTCTATCTAGTCTGCACTATGTCAGATCAGTAAACAGAAGCCTATTATTCTCACATCCCATTTTTTAACCTCTGGTGTTTTCTCAATTCTAGACTCTTTATGCACAGTAAGAACGCCGCTTTGAGGATATGATGTTGACAGACTGCATGAGGAACGAAAGTGTCGCGAAAGAAAAAAAAACTCACATGGACCACACGACTTGTGTGATTCGTTATGACTAGTTACTCATGGTTGGTCGAGGCAAGACGTGACATCCCCAAGAACGCCTTCATCGAGGCCGAACTCCACAACCCTGCCGACTTTGCCAAGCCTCTCAAAGTCACAGCAATCGAACTCCAGGCCCAGGATGGCGAGTCGCCTTGGTAAAAAAAAATACAAATTGCGTCTCAATATGCGATCGCTTAAATGGATCACAGGCGAGAAGAGTGTTCTTTCCTAAACTTTCGTGGTTTACTTTCCTCCTCCTTGTGAAACACCATAGGGCAAACCGTCGGTTCTATGTGCTGTCACCCCGGTTGGAGACTCTGACGTGTGGTCTTCACCCAGTTAAGCTGAACATTTACAAAGACGAGGTAACCATGTATGATTCAATTCCACATAGCGTGTGATTTGTGTGGTGCATGTTCCGAGCCAGCCATTTCTCCACACATGATCGAGAATTGTACGACATTGCGTCCCTCCCTCGCTTGACTTGTGAACTAATGAAATGCATCTCTTGGTTTTTCGTTCATAGTCCAGGAGCTCGCTGTTGGGGTCACACGAGAATGCCATTCTGTCGCGGATTGACACTCAGTACTGCATGAAGGACGAGTTTATGGAGAAGATGAAGGAGGCTGCCAAGAATACCGAGTGGAAGTCTATGAAGGCAGAAGGATCGAACGTACATAGTGGTGTGGGATCATAGATATATTCCTTTCTGTTACAAAAATGAACTACCTTGCATTTTCTATCTTCATTGGCGTGTCCCTTCTTTTTATTCCATCCTTTCAGTGTTGATCACCAAATGATACACCGATGATAATTCTCTCGCACGAATGGATGCAATCGCCTTTTCGCGTGTTGATTAGTGACGAAGGATGAAGTGCAAACGCGTTGATGCGAGACTCAGCACGAAACGCGTTGTGTTGAGGACAGCGCAGCACCTATGCGGAGCGGTGTCAAACCCTGATGCCTGCGAGCAGGAAATAACAATACCGAAGGTTCGTTTTGAATACCAGGCTTACTTGATCACAACCATAACTACAGCCATGGGTGTCATGGCAAACAATACCCATGGCAAGCTTGACCATGGAGTCTGCGCATTTGTGGCTTGATGTCTACTCTGTTCCTGACAAATGACGATCTTGTCCCTGGGAACTTGTGTGAGTGGCAATGGGTCCGATGGGTCAATTGATCCAATCCCCTCTCTCACCTTCAAGCAAATGAACAATTGAGGAAAATAATAATGGCGCCGTTCGTCGTTTGTTGTGTGCATGTGTGATAATTTTATTTTTGAGTTGGGTGGAGCGCGGCGTCTATTTCCCCGGCGAATATACGCTGCTGCGCTGTGATTTGGTGCAAATGCATAAATAGGAGCCATCATTCCCCTTTCTTTCTACTTTATCGACAGCAACAGCAACAACCATCCCTCTCTTTCACTCTCATACACACTTCCGCACCCTCAACACCCCTACAACACAAGAAAAAAATGACTCGTGCATCGTCCTTCGTCTGTGTCACCTGCGGTGTCAACACCCTCGCAGTCCCCTCTGGCAAGCCCCAAGAATCCTGCATCATCTGCGACGATCCTCGCCAGTACGTCCGTCAAGGCGGCCAGGAATGGACCACTCTCGAGGAACTCAAGTCCAGCGGAAAATACACCAATGTCTTTACTCCTACAACGGCCGACCCTGAACATTTGATCTCTATCTCGACCACACCTTCTTATGCGATCGGCCAGCGCGGGATCCTCGTCAAGACTCCCAAGGGCAACATTCTCTGGGACTGTATCACGCTTATTGACGACGAAACAGTCCGCAAGATCAAGGAGGACCATGGAGGGCTCAAGGCGATTGTCATCTCCCACCCACATTACTACTCGTCTCTCAAGGACTGGAGTGAGGCGTTTGGAGGGATCCCTATCTACACCCATGCCAACGACAAGCAGTGGCTCCAGCGTCCTGCCGACAACCACATCTTCTGGGAGGGTACCTCTCTCGACCTCCTCGACGGAGAGGTCAAGGTGTTGTGCCCTGGTGGACACTTTGACGGATCAAGTCTGCTGCTCTGGAACAAGAACCTCCTGGTCGCCGATACGATGATGGTCGCGGCCTCGCGCAAGTCCGTCTCGTTCATGTACAGTTTTCCCAACTACTGGCCCCTGGGACCCAACGAGGTTCAAACGATCTGGAAAACTGTCCGACCTTACGAGGTCAACAACATTCTGGGCGCATGGATTGGCAAGGAGATTGTTGGCAACGGTCGCAACATCATCTTCAACAGTGCCAAGTTGTACACTCAGTACAGCGGACATGACTCCAACAAGTTTTATGGCTCTGACAGTGACGAGCTCACTTTCAGCAAGTAAGCACTTGCTATTAATTCCCACGGATCCACCCTAGTGCAGGATGATCCTCCTTCCCCCCTTTTATGCAGACCCCCTTTTTTTTCTCATATTCTATCGCCATCATTTTCTCATTCAAAAGTGAAACCCAAAGCGAATCATATCACTAATATCAAAATGCTTATTTGTCTCTGATGGTAATGGGTGCTGTATCACTGATGCGGCACCTGTGTGAAAAGGGAGATGTGGAATGAAAAATGAGGTTTCTCTTTATTCCTTCGATGCGTGATTGTCGAAAGAGATAAACAAAGGCTTACTCGGGGACATGATTGCCCGAGATGAATAGTGTGCGGATGTACAAGGAAGGAAGGAGTGAGGGAGAAGGTGAGAAATAGTAGTAAATAAGAGGTATATAACAGTGCACAAAGGAACGTAAGTAGTTCCTTGTGTGCGTGGGGTGCTGTGACATCAGCAGGAGAAGAGAGGCGAAGTGATCGCGTCTACTTGGTCAAGGCCGAAAGACAGTTGACGGTCTGGGAAGCCTTGGGGTTGATGAAGGCGTTGACGGAGTTGAAGACAATGGGGTCGAGCATCTGCAGGACGTGGCCGCTATTAGATGTGTGCATAAGGGTGAGAGAGAATAGAGGTGAGTGATCTTGTTTTCTCAGTGGTGTTGAACACTGTCAAGAGAGAGTCGTTATTCAATATGAAATACCTCAAATCCAGACTGCAGAGATCCTGGAGAACGACATTGCGGACCAAGGGGTTGTTGTCTCGGAGCTTGCCGTTGGTGTAAGGGGTGACGACCTCATCAAACTTGGAGACAATGAACTTGTATTCCACACCAGGGACAGTGTCGCCACCGGCGTTGAGCTTGGTCAAGAAGTCGCTTCCCTCCAAGAGCTGGAAGCACGACAAGCAGACGGGATCGACGAGCCTAGTAGGTACAGAGAGAAAGTAGAGGAAGGGTGAGTGGGAGTGAATTTTTGGGGTTGCTGTTGATCTTATAGCCAAGTGCTCATGTTTACATGCAAGAGACGAATGCTGGATTGGACACTTACTTCTTAATAGGGTCATAAAGCTGGTTACATCGATGACAAAGAAAAAAGAGAGCAGGCAAACAAAACAAAGAGGCGTGATTAGTAAAAAGGTGCATGGTTTGCGCCACCCGCACTCCACACATTCCTGAACGCGACAAGAACAGGATCCAAGACGAGCAAAGACTTACGCCGAGGGAGTTGAGGAAAGGGTAGAGACCGTTGAGGTTGGTTCCGTAGGCGATGGCACCAAAAGCTGTAAACTTGGCTACAATGACAGAAGTACATAAAAGAGCTTTCTTGTTAGCTGCTGATGCTGTTTCATTAGGCTCACTTATCTTCTTTCTCCTTTGTTCTTCTTTCTCCTTTGTTCTTCTTTCTCCATGTCATCCAGGTACGGCTGGAAGAGTACACAGCATTCCAAGAGACAAGACAAATGTTCACCTACCGACTTTAGCTTGTCCGCCAAGGAACTTGAGGTAGTAGCGAGGCATCAACGATCCCTGGGAGTGACCCACCAAATCGACCTTGGTTGCGCCGGTCGCGGAAAGCACCTTATCGACAAAAGCCGACAGCTCGGCGGCGCTGTTCTCCATCTTGTCCAATCCGGCAAACAGGGGGATGTTCTGGTAACGTCCATAAGTCAAAGAGAACACGCAGAAGCCCTTTGCAGCGAGTCTGTTGGGTGAAGAGGTGGAAAGTGATCGGGAAAGGTGCAATTGAGTAATTTTTTGTTTGGTTAATCATTTCACAGGGGTTTTGTACAGGAAGAAAAAAAAATTGGACATTGCCGATTGTTCAATGGGTTCGCGAGAGAGAGAGCGCACTCACCTTGGGCTCATGTACAGCCAATTGTCCCAGCCGTTTCCGATCTTTTTTTTGCGAAGTAAACGTCAAAAAAGATATGTTCATAGAGGAGAAGACGTAGAAGGAAGGGGGTGGTTATTAGTCGATTGAAGGAATCATTTTCGCTGGAAAAAGGACAGAGGAGTGCGTACTGATCCAATTCGATCCACATCTGTCCCTCTTTTTTCCCCCTCCCAATCCTCTTGCCAACAAAAAAAGAGTAACTTACAAGACCGTGGACGAGAATGACGGGTCGCTGACCAGCCTTAGGCTTGCAGTTCCAGTCATTGGCGCCATTGAAGGCACGCTTCATCAGCTGCTCGTGCTCCTCGATCTGCTCGGCGGTGTAGATACGGTCGCTCACGGGGATATAGGCGCTAACGGCATCGACAGGTTCGGCAGGGATGGGAGAGGCTTCGACAAAGGTTGACGCGATGGTGGCCAAGGCAATGGCGGCAATGGAAAGAGTCTTCGAGAAGAGCATGGTTGTTTGCTTGTTGTTCGTGAAGAGAAGGAGGAGTGAGATAGGCGTAAGGTTTGCTTGACTTGAACGGGTGCGAATATGGGCTACGCTGGAGAGCTTGATGAAGGCTGGAAGAGGGAACGGCGGTAGGACGAGGACGGACGGAAAGAGGGGATTTTGAGGAAGAGAGGAGGGGGCAAGTGGAAAGGTGTTGCGACAAGGAAACAAAACATGTGGGCATGGAGGGTCGTTTTATACGAGAGGAATGTAGAGAGTACTCGCCCAGTTTTTGTGTTTATTGTAGAAGAGAGAGAGAGCCTAGTTATTTGTTATTTCTTTTGCAAGGTACTTCTTTCTGTCGCCTTGGAAAAGTTACTCAGTCATCGATAATTTGAAGCTGGATGGGTCGAGTGTGTCGAAGTTACGGGTGTTGCTAATTAGCACGAGATGAATGAACAAGGCAGAATGGTATGGTAGAGGCGGGCATTAAGGAAAGGAAAATAACAACGGACAAAGGGGTTGACAGGGCCAGGGGGTCAGAGGGAGAGTGAAGCGATGGGAATTCAATAATTGAATAAGCAAAGGCTTTAATTGAATGAATCAGAGACAAAGGGGGGAAGGAATCAGGGGAGAGAAGGGGAACATGGCGCAAGGAATTTCCCGAGAGAATAATAATTCAACTAATGCGCTTCTTGTTGCTATTCTCACTCCTCTTGGACCTGTGCAGAAGGAAAACAGACAAATGAACTCTTTCTTGCTTGCTTTGTTGTTGTGGTCGTTGTACCGAAGACGAGGATGAAGGAGGGCGAAATCGTTGACATGCGCTGCGTGTCTAGTCTCCTCCTCTCCTCCTTTGCCTCCTTCTCGGCATTCCCCCTAACAAAGAGTACTAGTGCGCACATCAGCAAGGTTGCATAGTGGCATTCCGGCACCGGAACACTTCACTAGCCAGTCCGATTGTCACTTAGGCACAGTTCGGATCCTTCTTCCCTTTCTTTCAGGCACAAACAATAACGCGAAACAATCGAAACAGACAAACATCTAAAAGTGAAAAAAACATCAGCCGAGGATGTAATAATACCGTATTACTCCTCTCATCCTCCTGGACATCCCTATTGGGTTTGCACCCCATCGTAAAGTGCTTGTACATCCTCGTCCGTATAGTCTTGTCACTCTGGCTGTCTGAAGTATGCAGATGGGGAGCGGAGGTTTGGTGTGTATCCTCCACCCAGCCATCCATTCCATAAAACCCCACCAGTCAGGGACAATAGAGTTTTCTTTTCGTGAACCTTTTCTCTGTCAAAAGGGCAAAAAATCGTAGCCATGTGGAAATCCAATCAGATTCTTGCTCGATATGCATATCGTCTGCCGGCTGCTAGTCAACCAACCGCGTACCATTTTTTGTTATTTTCACATAAAGCTCTTTCAAGTCGAGTTGGATAAAGTAAACAAGGGGTACCCGTAAACAAGTAGCTCGAGGTGTACCTCTATTGGCTAACCTACATACCATTGAAGAGTACTTGAAGGGGATGTCAGTGGAGAGCATGTGTGAAACCGAGATATAGAAGAAATAGCGGACAAAAGACGCTCCTCAATTGTTTGTTGTTCCAATCCACCTGCGCTGGACTCAAAGGTGACAATGGCTTTGCGGACGGAATAATAAACATAATCGTGTTTAGCAACTATCAATACAGAGAGAGGAGGGGGCCTCGGCCTCGGGGAGGACCTCCCATCTAGCGAGACTCGTGGATTGTATAATGAAAATGGTGGAAAGAGTGGTGAAGAAAGAGTAGGGAGTGTCGATTGGGGTTTTCTTGGTTAGGGTGCATGACGCGTCCGCCGAGGGTTGAGTCGATCGTGTGTAAACAAACAAAGCGCCGAGGGTGACTGAGAGTCAATGATAAATGGAAGCCAAGGAGACAATGGCATGGGGAGAGAGAGAGAACGAACCGTGGATTCCAGGGTGACAGTATGGATATGGGTGGAGGGAAAGAGGGTGGGTGAATAAACAATAAAGCAAAAAAAAGGAGGGCGTCATTTGGTAGCACAAACTGTGGAGGAGAGAGGATAAAGAGAAGGCAGGGGTGATGATGCAGGTCCACATGTGTGTGTGGATACAATATCGACGTACTTCTCCCACATATCTTTTGCCCCTATTTCTCCTTTTCTACTCCTTTGCCTGCCCCACCTCTACAGTACAGGAGACTAAAAACAATAAAGACAGGAATGTCAGCAGGGATGAAGGCAAAACTTAACATGAACAAGGAGGTGCCAATTGCACCTTTCTTTATTGCCCCTGTCCCTTTCCCTAACCTTGACCCCTTCTGCCCCCTTATGCCCAATGCACAGTTGGTAATAGGTTTGTATTGGTATATGGTATTGAGTGCGTCTCCGTTTCCAACCATATTTTCTTCGCCAGCCGAGGATTGAGTAAACAAATTGGTGGAGGATGAGAGTTAGAGCAGCGAATGAGCTTCGGCGTCGACAGCAGGGGTGCTGTTACCACTACGGAGCCAATCGCCTCTACTTCCCTTGTCCCCTGCTGCTTGCATGCAGTTAAAAGCGTCCATAGACTACCATACCCAATCTCAATGCTCTTTTACGCCTCATTGTCCTCAAAAAATCGCTCACGTTTCAATTGCCATCCCGAAGTCTCGGCTTACTCCCGCCCCACAAGCATACAATCCTCCTGAGCCGGGGTTCCCTTTTTTTTTTTACTATTGTTGTTGTGCCGGCCAACAAGCGAAAAAAAAAGTTGCCCAAAACATGGATGCCAAGAAGGACACGTGTTGACCAACAAAGCTTTCTCTGTAGTTTTGTTTACTCTTTGTTTACCATGCCCCAAGCGCTTCTATGGGTGTCTAGTCATCGGATCAATAAAGGGCTGGCGTTCTGTCATGAATATGTGCAAAGTACTCTCTTTTGGTCTCGACCGAGGAAAGGCTCCATGTATGCTTACCAAGGAGAAATAAACAATCGATCACTCTCGCTCTAGCTTTCCCGCTCATCGGCCTTTCACTGAGTATCCTTCCGATGATAGTGAAATGCGAATCGAGCGTCTTAACTTCTCCTCTGGCCTTTGGCATTTTCTCCCACACTATTGATGATTATTATCTTTCGAGCCTCTTGGCTAGCGCCGCGAGTAAGGAATGGAGAAGCAATTGTTATTCGTAGTCAAAAGCTTGTATTCAAAGGAGAGTCAGGACTTTGCGCCTTTTCCAGTGCCTCCGTGATCTAATGTGGTTGGCCGCTTCACTCTGACACGAGCTCTGCAATATTGTTCATTTGTTTTGCATTTTTCTTGCTGGAGAGACCGTTAAGGCACTCTAGTTTGTTTAAAAGTATTAATGCCAACCATTGTTCAGTGCCAATTCACAGACCATGAGAAAAAAATAAACGGACGGCCAATTGGACCAAGTGCGTTTAGTTAACTTGTAGATAGAGTAGACAACACCGCACTGCACGAGCCTGTGGAAATAGTTGTGGAGATGGCCGCGCATTCTACTAGCCTTAATAGTTACCTCTCCTTCCACACTCTTGATGCAATTGTTGAACGGCATTGCTTCTCATTCGCTGCACTCCTGAGCATCTAAAGCGGAGTAGGCGTCGAGCGGAGCTGTCAACATTGCGTTTATTGATGTGCGTTCGTGTGCTTGTGGCGCCTGTGTTTGTATTTGTAATTAGGGCATAAGAAAAAGCAAAGACCTAGCCTTGCTCCGTTGTCCAGAATTACCAGTACCTAGACACAACAACCCAAACACCCAATCTCACCGCCGCCTACTATCGCTGTTGCTACCCAACACGTCAAAAGCAGTCTACGCATTGAACGACAGCCGACTGGGCGAGAAAGGTATCCATGACAGTCGTCCGACGCCTCGCGCAATCCTCGTCTTCGTCATTCGATGAATCCGAACATAGGTCAATGGGTCGTTTCCTGTGTCCGCCGCTCCAAAACGATAACGAATCGCTAGGCTTGACGTCGGTAGTCGTGAGCGGCAAGAAAGCACCAGCCGAGCGAATCAGAGGCAGGCCGCCGGCTGAGGTTATCATAGATTCCGAAATGGGCATACCAATTCCTCTGAAGGAGGCGAGTTCCATGACGGCAGCGTAGCTTGCAGCGGCGAACATGATGGTTCCAATCAGGGTGAGGTACGCCCGAGAGATCGTCGACATCACTTGCCAGATGATGGACATCATGTCGCCGTGGAGTGCCCTGAAGTGAAGTCGACCGGCGTAGGCTGGCAGGAGATTCTGTGTCAAGATCCTGACATCGCTGTATGAGAAGGCAATCAATCCACGACCCCAGACCTGCTTCAGCGCTAGAATCACCTCCAAATACTGCAAGAAGCCGTCAAACTCGGGCTCACTGACGTACAGTTTGTATTGCAAATGGCCGAGGAATCGTCGCTCGAGATCGTTCAGTTCCTGAGTTGTATATTGTCCCTTTGTAAAGTCGGCCCACTCGGCGTTAGAGAAGGTGGCGTCGAAGAGGTACTTGTCCGCACAGATGACTGCGACGAGGAACAGAGTGATGCTCGACCAGGGTTCCTGCCCGGGTTTGTTGCATTTGCTGGTATCTTGGGTATCATTGGTCGAGGTGGTCGAGGAAGTATCGGAGGAGGTATCGGAAGAGGCAGACGGAGAGTGGAATGTGAAGGTAGAGGGAGAGGATATTGTGCTGTCAGGCAAGGTAGCAATCTTCCGGCGAAAAGGTCGGGACAGTAATGAAGATGATGACTGCGATGTTGATGTGGGTGATGTGATATGGTCATAGTCCGGTCCTTGGTCGAGACGAGTTTTGCGCTTCAGTGTCCGGGATATCCTGGCCTTGAATCGATCGATGTAGATGAGGGCGAGGATGAGGGTTGTGCACGAAAGTTGAGTCCGTTTTAGAATCCGCTGAATAAAGTAGAATGCCTCTGTTTCCTCGTCCAAGGGGCTGCTGCTAGTGGTCGATTGTTGTGGTTGAGTTTGTCCATGCATTCCTTTGCTGTTCTCTTGGTGTTCGGGGTGCAGTTTCGAGCCGAACAGCGAGAGCTCCCGTCCTGTAATCATTGAAGTAATTAGCGCTGCGGCAAGGTCTATTATATACACAAGGACATTATTAAAGGTGGGTTAGAGAATGGTGTAGGGCACAGTGTGAATGAGGTATCAAAGATAAAGGTGTGGTGTTTTACCGATGAGGTTTAGAGGGATGCGAATGAACTCATCCCGGGCATATCCATGGTTTTTGAGGTGGCCTAGGAAGGCATTATATTCTCTCAATGGCTCCGCATACTACAGTACGGTAGAGATAGAAACAAAGAGTATGTGAGTCAAAACATGTCTCTTATTCCTCTACTGTAACCCTGCAGGTAACCTTGTTGGAGAATGCAATGTGTGTCTGACTGTGACATACGGTGGTGTCAGCCATGAGGACTCGATCCTTGTCCCTATGGGACTGCGCCTTTCTGGAGTGCTTCCTCCTGCGCTGCTGCTTGGTTGCCATCGGGTGCTGTCTTGTTGAGTGTCTGTCTGTGTGTTGATTAGATGGAAGTGGTATGAGTAGTCAAGGGTAAGGTAAAGAGAAGAGAGCAATGAAAGTGAGTGTGACCACACCTCGATGACCTCAGTCTGCCTTTTTTTCTTTTCTCTCAAGTCAGGGTCCTCGTATCTCCGTCACAAATCACGTGCACTCGACGCCTCAAACTCTACCCGAGCGCCCAATGTTCAGCCCCCAGGCCAAGTGGGCAAATAAAAGTGTGCTCGTTTCTTTTCTTTTTTCTGCCTCCCACTCTTCTTTCTTTCCTTTCACTCTTCTCCTCACCTTCTTCACACACGTACTCCACAATACCTTCTTCTATTCAACATATAACACACGCGCTGTACTCTACTACCACTACAAACACCTAATCAACAATGTCGACTCTCGCCACTGCAGCCGTTCGCGACCGTATCAGAGGATGTCTCTTTGGTACGTTTATCAACAGGCCGATGCAGAGCGATCTTACTGCTGAGAGAAGAAAAGCAACGAGGACCACAAGCGACGTGAAACTTACTAATAGCTGCTCCATTAACGCTGTTGAAAACATAATAGGAAATGCAATTGGAGATGCGTATGGCCTTGCGACCGAGTTTATGACCACCCGAGTTGCCGAGAGGTTGTATGGAAATGGACCCATTGCCTTTGGAACCGACCCTGGGTAAGCCAATATTCAGCACTTCTGCAATTGCGCCCAACTTGTACCGCAGTTCCAGTGTACCCTGTTGTCTACGTGATGGTGCCTACTGTGGGAATTTTTTGGTGTCTTTGTGTTTGAGACTTGGCACAGCAGATATAAACATTCGCCAACCCACTCGCCACGTTCACCGCCTTACCGTCTTGAATGTACATTGCTTTGCCACCGGTCCTAACAGCCTGGACATTTCTCGTTTACTCGCAAAATAGATACCCAGTGTGGGAGGATGGGCATCGCCCAATCACCGATCGCAACGACTTTACGGACGACACGGACCAGATGCTCGTCATGCTTCAGTCGTTGCAGCAAACGCGCGACGGTATTCTCCATCCCGCCAACTTTGCCCAACGACTCACGGAGTGGGGGGACCATGGTATCATCGAGATTGGAGCCGCTCCTGGTCGTGGACTTGGGTACACCGTTGGTCGTGTCATGAGCCACAGAGACTTTTCAACCAACCCCCATCGTGCCGCCTTTGAGGTAATATTGCAAATGCGGTAAGAGTCATGTATGGGCGCAATGTCTTTCCACCAAACTGTTCAGCTGTACTCATGAGTTCTTGCCATTCGCGTCTCCGTGATAGGTCTGGGACTCGGCAGGTCGAGAATTAGCTCCCAATGGCGCAGTTATGCGTACAGCAGTAGCTGGAGTTGAGCGTTTTTGGGATGAGACCCGAGTTGTTCAGAACGCCATGGCTGCTGCCAAGATCACTCACGCCGACCCTCGATCGGTCGTCAGTGCTCTCATATCTTCCGTCTTGATTTCACGATTCCTTCGAGGAGGTGGGTTGAACGCGGCCGAGGATCAAGGAAGAGTTTGGAACACTAAACTGGCTGAAGCTGGATATCATCAGGAACTGTTGTCCTATCTGGAACGAGGAACTAACCTGCAAGGAGACAGGAGTTTGAACCCAGACTACAACGAGACGCCCGAGAGCAAGTTTGAACCCAAGAACTATGACATGATTACGCAGGAACGGTTGTTGAAGGATGCTGCTGTTCGTGGTGGGACCTACAGAGACCAATTCAAGGACCATAAGTTGGCTGACTGGAACAAAGATCGCCCCAAGGTGACTCTGCGTGACGATATTGGCTGGGTGGGAATCGACAACGTGGGTGAGGATGATGCTGCTGGTTCTTTGGCTCGGTCTGTCGTTGCTGACTACAAGTTCCTGCTGCAGGAGACTCAAGTCGCTCCTCCCTCGAATCCCAGTCAAAGGATTCAGGACCAGTGGGCGGCAGAGATGGAGTCGATGTGCTTCCCACAATCCATGGGACAGCTCCACTTGGGAGCAAGCGACTCAATCGGTTACACTTTCAAGTGTATTGGAGTTAGCTATTATGGTGCGACAAGGCGGCAGGATCCTTCGCCTACTTCTCCCGAGTATGGTGGCGGAGAAGGATTGTTTCGAGGATTGATGGAGCAGGTCACTATTGAAGCGGGCGATGCAGATACCAACTGTGCTGTGATGGGATCTCTTTTGGGCGCTCGTTTTGGTCTCCAGGGCGGCATTCCAGAAAACTGGTGGAAGAATCTTCAGCACTTGGACTGGTTGGAAGAAACGATCGACGCTTATACCGACCGCGTTTTGGCCGACTATGAAGCCCATGTGGAGACTCATTAGATTGCTATTATTTCTTTATTAATATACATGAAGGGAAAATATGGTAGTGTGTGTTCTCACTGGATGTTAGTGTGCAGTTTGAATTTTTAAATAAAATATAAATTCGCGGTTATGTTGTTAGACGCGTTCATTCCTGCCATGCTTTTCCATTGAAGACTAAATGAATATGATCCACGTAGATTTGAACGATCGTGGAGAGTTTTACCAATTGATACTCAAGAGATCAGTGCTCTTGTGACACCAAGTCCGGCGCATGATGTCGGTACCTTTGTCGGTCGGTCAAGGGTTATTCAAGCATTGTCCCTCCAAACCCATATGCGACATGGCTTCGGATTTGCCCTTGGCGCTGTACGACTACCGCTTTGAGAATGTGGAGTGGTAGTGTCAGACCGAGATCGATATTGTCAATGATAGCATGCCGCTGGGATTGTACCGTACAAGGGAGGCGTAGTGATCGTGCTATATGACAAAGTCGCTGATGTGCTAGCGGATTCCGAGACAGCCCGACCAGAACATGCTGAGCGACCTACCGGAGCCGGGACTGGTGGCAACTTGCCAGATACGTGTCAAGGATTACGCTACCGAGACGAAGAAGGATAGCACCATCGCACTACGTGGTGATATATGTATCTGAGCACACGGTACGCTCAGGTAAAAGAAGCATTGTCGTCTGTATCCTCCCTCTCGTTCCCGGCACGGGCGTCAGTCGATTGTTCCTTCTGTTCGAGATCATTCCGGTTATCACTGCCCTCAACTTCGTCCACTCCATTCTCCTCTTCGTTGATGTCCGAGTGACCTTTACTTGCTAAAAATAATGAAGTAGAGCAACCTATATAGATTAGTATTCATTCAAATCTTGTTCTACAAAAAGACCAACTACTTTAGCTACACACCTTCAGCGGAGAATAGGGAAGCCAAGGACTATTCGACATGAGCTGCAACTACATTGGTCAACCCTCCACTCACGATCTCGCTACGATCCATGACATCGTTCTCGAGCCTCCTTATGTGATGTGCCAGACAAATAGTAAAAACGCAATGGGATTAACAAAAATACGTGCTTCCGCAACTAAGTGAGGTTAGCCACGATCATCCACATACCAGTCTTCCCTTCCGTATATCCTTTGCAAGGAGCTGGTCGCAATAGTCTTTTCTCGCATCCTTTCCGAATTGCCAGTCAGCTACCATAGTCTCCTTGGGCGAACACTGGTAAATTGCGTACTCTCGGACTATTTTGTAGCTGAAGTTGGCGTCTCGCCTCTGAGAAAACCTGAACTTGTAAAACTTGAAAAAGGTAACAGCTGTAAAGTCCTCCACAGCATTTCCCGAAAAAAACTTCCGATACTCCTCCGCAGAGTCCGGTGGAGCAATGAAAGTCTTTTTGCTCATGTTTTTTAAAGCAGTGGGATTCAAAAATGTTAGTAATTGTCGCATAAAATGACCATAGGATCCACCTTTAAGTTCCTGTACAATTCAGTCAAAGTTAAGATGAAGTCCGGCTAGACGCGGTTCAATACAACGCTTTGTCGTCAGAGCTATCTCCCTTTGGTCTAAAGGTCAATAAGCAAAGAGACAACGACTTTCGCATCAAGAGCAAGTCTTAGCTCAAGATGCCAGTCGAGTCTGTACCAACAACTCTATTGGGCTGGGATACCTGAGGAGAAGGTATGCGCCATCAATATGCCTGACGGTGGGCATTTCCCACTGTTTGACCAACTACAGCTGAAATGCAGCACGTCGCAGCAATCCCACCTGAATATTAAAATATATGTTGAAATAAAGAGATGACTTGCCTTGTAAGCCTGGGTGTCGAGATCCAGTAGCGACGCGGATGCACCTGACATGCACTCAGAAGGTAGCTTAATGAGAGGGTCGTTGGAGGCCCACGAGAGTCGTTGAAATCGTTGACACGGTCGTAGGTGATCCGGGGTCGTTGTTTTTCTTGATTGCAAGAAAGAGGGCTGTTGGAGTTAGGCAACAAAGTTATGGAAGTGATGGGAAGGATGACGAAGGTGCACTGCTTTTATTACATCACCGCAGTTCAGGTTGAGTCTCGTTCAGGTTTGTGACGGCTGATTATTATTATCCTATCCTCACAGAGGGCTCTGCAAATCCTAAGTGTCCACAATGCAAATATGCGACAACTCCTTCCCAGTAGCGAAAGCGCCGAGGAAAAAAAACACGCGTGTAAGCTTGTGGGATTGAGGAAACCTCAGACTGTGCAAAGTAAAATACAAGCATAACATATTATTATTAACAAAAATGTGTCTATTTGTGATCCCAGGGGCGTGTGATGACTTGGAGCACGGCCTTGTCGAATGCTGGAGGGTTGTCCAAATAGAGATGGTGTCCAGCATCAGAGATCCTCATGAGCACTGTCGGTACGGTCATCGATCTCCTTGCTTTTTCAGCTGCCCTGTAATCCATCCAGTCGCTTTCGCCGTCTATGAAAAATGCGGATCAAATTAAAGGCCGTTTAGATTCGATTGCATCGTGGACCTAAAGGACAATAAGAAGCAAAGTATAGAGGGGACTACTTACACAAAAAGGCGGTAGGCATGGTGAGATCTTTGAGACGATCCATGAGTGGCCAGCGTGCATAGGCGCCAGGAGCGAGAATGGTCGCCAAAGCATATTCACCGCTTCCACTCTTGGACGAGATATGGTAAATGTAATTGTTCAAGTCCTATTTGACAAAGATGAAGCGGTATTAGGTTAGCGCTTACTCGGAAGATCACCAACAACAGACCCAACACACAAATGCGACTAATTGGCATGCCTTTTGTTCATCGTCTTCCAGGTGGGCAAAGCGGCGAGAGGTGTATGCGGCAACCAGCGAGGGTCCAAATGGCCCTGTGAAGCGCATGATGGATTGCGGAGTAATGTTTCGTTCCCATGCGCCAATGGCCAATTTGCGCACCCACGATGACACTGGGGGAGGGTTGGGTGTGCTGCTGGCCTGTGGTGAAGGAGGTCTTGTTGTTTGACTGGGTCCTGTAGAATCATCTTCCTTTGGTGGCTCTGGGAGTGGCGCCTTTTGTGCTTCTGGGTTCTCTGGGATTCCCACTATTTTAGCAAACAAAGAGGATGAAAGGTAATTAGTCAACTGAAAAGTGAGTATGCTTCTTGAAGTATATTCTTAAAAGACAGAGTAAGAGAAAGTCAAGGACTGTACCTGGGCTGACAAGGATGAGCTTTTCAACACGTTCGGGATACTTGAGGGCATAGGCTGTGGAGAGATAGCCACCGAGGGAGTGGCCGACGAGGACCATCTTTTCAATCTTTTGGATCTGGCGCCACTCCTCGAGACCCTCGATAAAAAAGTTTTCTGAATCCCTGACGACATCCTTGATTGATGTCTTTGAGGTGTGTTTGAAGTTGAAGGCAGGACGTGAGCTGCCTCCCATGCCCAGCCAGTCGATCGCATAGACCTTGGAGTTGGGGATTTGACTTAGACTGAGGTAGTTGCGGAAGAAGAAGGCCAAGCCGGCGCCGTAACCATGGCAGACAACAATGGCTCGTTCACCGGGTGCTGGGGGAGAGATCATAGATTCGTTGTCTGTTGCGGTTTTGATGTCGAGCTTGGTTTGGGCGATAGGTGTCCGTCCTTGATCGTCGGTCTGTTGATCCTTGCTCTCGACAGCAGCCTCAGAGGTGTCGACGGCGGAGGGACTGGAGTTTTGGTGGATGATGAGTGTGTTGATGAGTCTGTTCTTTCCTGAGAGGGGGACGAGTCCGACACGGGCCTGGGTTAAGCTGTTGGAGGCATCGGTTGAGGCGACGCCTTTGAAGGAGAAGAACTGGAGGCGGGAGAGGAGTCTGGCTTCAGCGATCTGGACCTGTTCCTTGTTGGTGCGGCCCCACCAGGTCTGGAAAGCGCCCCAGCGAGAGAACATCTCGGGGGCTGGCGGTAGGGTTTCTGAAGGCATGATGGGGAAGCGGAAGCGCGGGCGGATTAATAGGCGTGGAATGGTGGCGAGAGTGTCTTTGAGGTCGGTGGAGGAGCAGAGCGTGAGGAGAACAGCTATGCCAGCAGCGACGAGGGAGTAGAGTGCGAGTCTTTTTGTGAGCGAAATGGTGATTTAGAGAAGGAGGAGTTCTTGGTTGGTTGGTGGAAAGAAAGTGGAAAGTGAGAGTGTTTTATGGGAGAGAGTGGATGGTGAAAGGAAAGAAGTGAGTAGAGGAGTTGATGAGTAAAGAAAGAAGAGGGCCAGAACCGTTTTTATGTTTTTATGCGCTGTGGGCGGAGATAAAAAGACATTTTGCGTGGATGAAGAAAAATACCCGTTTTGGGAAAGTGCGCTTGCGTGTTGCTTACACGGACAGGGGTGGCCAATAATCAATCATCTTTCAACATCCATCATCATCACACAGATCACACCGCCCGATCACTTTTGTGCAATTAGAGATTGATTCTTCTCTAATTGAATGCACTGTCACGTGCACAATGCCCTCCTTCCTTCCTTCCTCCTGTCGAAGCTCACATTCAGTTCTATTTCATCATCTCAAGAACTACACTCACTCGACGCTTGACAGGATTACCTCGACCTCCTTCATCAACAACAACAGCAGAGAACAACGACAACGACAAGGACAAGGATGCAACGACGTGTACAAAAAGACCCCATCGCCGAATATTCCACACGGCTGTGTGCGTATATTAACAGTCAGCCTGCAGTAGCGCTATCCTACGCTCGCTATTTTGGCGAATACCCTACAGCTACAAAGGCGACTATGACATCGATCGACCAGAATGGATTTGATATCGTCTGCCACGACCAAGGAGAAGAGCACGAAGTCAGAGTCACCTTTGGTCATCCACTCCACGCCGCCAGCCAGGCCAAACACGAGCTCGATACCCTTGCAAAGGAAGCCGAAACCGCCCTTCGAGGCAACGACCCCCAATCTCAGGTACGCTCTCTTTTCTGGATCTCTTTTTGTTCTTACCGAGATCAAGGGCTTGTCGTGTCATTATGTCTCCAGACATGAATGATTGCAATGGCTGATTTCGCCTTGGATCAGGCGCTTCGTTACACCTCGCAGAAGCAGAAATGATCATTATCCTCCGAGACTGGGCCGTTTACATGTATAGGCCCCTATTGCTAACATTTACTAACGGTTACTCGCTCAAACTGAACCCCCCCCCCCCTCCCTGGATAATAGAATCTCATGCCAGATAGCCCTTCAGCGATGTTGCCGGATCTGGATACTTTGGCAGCTGTGCTACTGTGCATGGGATCAGTGGTGATTTACCTCAATTTCTTCCCCAACACAACTAACCCGACATTGCAGTGGGTGCTGAAGACGGTGGGACCATGGAGGATAAAACTGATTGTTCAGGGCCTTGCGATTGCGCATATTATCGAGTCATTGGTGTCGGTGTATTTCACGGTGGTGGTTGGTCAGGGGTTCTTTCAGACCGCCGATGTGGTTCAGTGGGCGCTGGTAGTTGTTGTGTTTGGATACCCTTCTCTCTTCCACTTGATCCGCCTGGCCAGTCGCCAACAGCAACAGCGAGTTGCACAAGCGTCAGCTCAAGGGCAGGCACAAGGGCAAGCCAGTGAATAAAAAGCAGTCTCGTTCTCCTAATAAGCCACATCCTCCTTCTCGATAAATTGACTTTATGTTCGCGTCTCCTTTTGAATCGTCTCTTTTCGACTCTTGACTACAAAAACGAGACGAACGACCATCACTCCCTCTCCTCCTTTCTTCCTTTGTTTTATTATCCTTTGTCTTTACATTTCTTGTACCATACCACTTTATTCATTCTTTCCCCTTTCTCATTCACTCATTCACTCACATACACTGACACACTTGCCCTCAACAATAACCACAAAAGCTACGCCTCCCTCGTTCACGTATTCATAAGCATCAAGCACCAACCAAAACAAAAAAAAAACCACATCGGCACAGTGACCACCATGGAGGCGCACTTTGATCGCTGGAGGGAGACAGAGATGCACGAGGAGCTGTAAGCAAACACAAATACTCTTGTAGCACCCAACATAAACACGGCACAATGACAACGAAACTTGAGGCACGCCCCTAACAATCATCGAACAACAACAACAACAACAAACAAACAATAGATTGACATACGCCACCCCGCTTCTCAACACACCAAGCAATGACCTTCACCATCCCGTCGTGGTAGTACTGCAAAGGGCCCTGATTGCCGCGCTCGAAGACGGAATTACAGCTGTAGAGGTGGCCACATTCCTGGCAGAGTTGGCACAGCGACAGGAAGGTACCTGTACAACGGACGTGGCTTCAGATATTGTCGACTTGATCTGGATCATGGACATTGAAAGCGAGGCTATTAGTCGGGAGCGTCAAGACAAGCTCCGTGAACTCACCAAAGCTATCATCGTAAGGCTTTTTTTCATTTATCATCTTCGTTTATGCTTATTGCAGGACAGGAGATGAGTACTGAGGATCGTGAAGAGAAATATGGAGACGAGATATATGGGGAAGAGAAGGAATGAAGAAAGGAAGGAGGAAAGAGAAAGAGAAAGAAGGAGAAGAGACGAATAAAGAAGAAAAGGAAGAATTAGAAAGGGTCGCATGAGCTAAATCGATGCAGTTATCAGAGCAAATATACTAAACTCGCTTTCGTTACCTCCATTATGACATATAGGCAAGGGCATTTGTTCCTGTCGACATCATGAAGGAGAGATGGGAGATTCCGTTTCTGGAACAGGTCGGACTCATCCCCAACTCAAAATGGTTCACCGTCCGCGTCGTGCGTATCAACACATCCCAATTGTAAGTCGACGCTCAAATGCACTTCACCATCGCCCCACCATTTTTGCTCTAGTCGACGATGGATAGATTAACCAACCACACCTATACGCCTGCGACCCCCTTGTCGGGAACACATTTTAGATACAAGCAACAAAAGTACAATCTCTTGCGCGAGGAATCAGAGGGATACTCCAAATTGATCACGGAATTGGCAAGCGGGACCGCCGACGAAGATAACGACAAGGCGACAGAAGATAAGGCCAGCACCGTCCTCACCCACGTCCAATCTCTCATCGGTAAGCCGTTTTTACATAATATTCACATTGTAGTATACATGGATCAGGGCAAGGCGTTTCTGCAATTATGACAGGCTGACTAACTTACTATTGTTTTCTCTCTACGCAGGTTGTTTCGATCTGGATCCCAACAGAGTTTTGGACATTGTTCTAGACGTGTTTGCTGCGAATATCGTCACACACTACCGTTTCTTCATTCACTTCCTGGGAATGTCTCAGTGGAACCCAAAAGCTCAGGAGCATGGAACAGCTGGTCGCGTCAAGACCTGTGCACAGATCCTGGGCTTCAAATTTCAGATCCTTCAAGTATGTCGATACCAGCGTGCAGCTGGTTCCTTTTGACAATCAATCACTCATCCTTTGCTTGACAGCAAATTAATTAACCTTGTACTATCGTTTCCATTTGCTGTCCTAGAAACAGGAGCATCGTCACAAGAACCCGGTCGAGCTCTACATGGTGGCAGCTTTGCTGATCAAGTCGTCGATTGTGATGCTTGAAGACCTCTACGCACATGTAAGCCACGATTTTCCTTTGTCGTTGTTTCGAGAATGTTGCTTTGGTTCCATATGACAGCGTAACTAATGTCATGGTTGTACAATCCTTTATATCATAATAGCTTTCGTTGCCTGATGAGGCTATGGAAGCAGAGTACAAGAAATTTGTGGCAGACATGAAGGACAAGGCCATGTCATTCAAGGGCAACGCTTTGGCTGTGAGTTTTCAACTATATCTTGCTAGATCGTTAATGCACTGTTTTTGTAACATTTCTGACCAAATCACGCTTTGTCAAACAATCCTGAAAACACAGATGGCAGGAGCGTTGTTGGATGACGCGCCCACAGGAAGCGCAGCGACAGCTACTAAGGAGGCGCCTAAGCCAGATGCCAGCGCAGCTGAGCCAGTGGTGGAGCTGCCACTCCCAAACCAAAAAGTCGGCATCACGAACGCTCTGCTTGCTATTGGAGATGTAGAGAATGCTTTGCTTGTCCTCGCCAACTTTCCACGACTCACAGCATCATACCCGGAGATGGCAGATCTGATCTGTCGGATTATTCACGTTATGATCCAAGGAGTCTACGACCAATTCTCGCCAAGCAAGCGCCACCCCGAGCTGGTTCAGGACAAGGGCATTACGAATCGATATCCCACAGTTCCAAAGGGGCGGGAAATCACTACTCTCCGCATTTTGTCGCCTCGGATTCCCCTTTCAACGTCGACGCAGCGCTACGAGTTTTTCTATACAAAGTGGGCTGATGGTCTACTCCGCTGTGATTCGATCGAGGATATTGTCGAGTTTGTCCACCCTTTGCTCACTGTAGTCGGTGTTCGCATTCATCGTGACACCGTCCTTGTTACAAAGCTTTGCCGCATTGGAGCAGGAACGTTAGATAGCCTTCGGGAGTCGATCAAGCGCGAGGAGCTGAAGCAGACGTTGTTGGAACAAAAAGACGGCGAGGCTGCAACTGACGATTCAGTTATCAAGAGCCTCGTTGCCAGGAAAGAATTCGTCGAATCTATTTGGGTGGACATGACAAGAGCACTGTTCCTCCCAACTATTTCTCTAATCTACTCCAACCCGGGTAAGTTTGTTTTCTACCTGATCACTATCTTGGTATTTCTCTCATACTTTATTCCATGAATGCTAACCAATATCTTTTTACTGTTTTCTCATTATCCACTAGGCCTGGTAAATGAGGTTTGGCAGGTTTTGAAGGGCTTGCGATATGAAACACGATTTGGTCTCTACGGAGAATGGAAGACAGAGTCGTCAAAATTGTACCCGGAGATGTTGGTCGTCACTGCGGAGACAGAGAAGGAGGCCAAGAACGTGATGCGCCGAATCAACAAGGAGGACGTGAAGCAATATGGACGCAAGTTTGCCAAGCTGGCTCACTCGAACCCCCTTATCGTCTTTGCTGCAGCCATGAAGCAACTCGAAGGAGGATACGACAACATGGTTCAGCCGCTCGTTGACGCCTGCAAGTACCTCACCGACTTTGGCTACGACGTTCTGGGATACGCCCTTCTCGAGTCCATTTCCAAGAACACCCGCAGCAAAGTCCAAGAAGATGGCGTCTTGCCAGCCAAATGGATGAACAGTAAGCCACGGCCATTGTGAGCATCTCTCACATGATCCTTCGCAGGTATGAGTATGAATAGAAGCTAACATGACTCTTTATGTAACGATCCTTTTTAGCATTGGCGTCGTTCTGCGGAAACTTGTATCGCAAGTATCCCTCGGCCGAGCTCGATGGCATCCTGCAGTACATTGTCAACCAACTGCGTATGCAGATCCCACACGATCTGGTCGTCTTGAGGGAGCTGCTGTCAAAGATGGGCGGTGTCGAGGATCCAAGTAATCTGAACGACACGCAGCTTCAGGCCATGGCAGGAGGAGAATTGCTCAGGAACGAGGCTCTCTTTGGAGGCGTTGCCGGAACGGTCATGAAGAAGAACGCCAAGAGTTGCTACCGTTTGCAGGAGGCGATGCTCCACGACAACATTGCCAGCCACCTCTTGGTCTTGCTCGCGCAACATCGACAGGAGTGCATCTTTGGCGAGGAGGAGATTCCTCACCTGAAGCTTCTGAGTAACTTGACGGATCAAGCACATACTATGCTTCTTCAACTCACGGACTTCATGTCGGTTAACCTCCAGAAGGACTACCCTCGAATTGTTCCCTCACTCACCGACCTGTGTTCCAAGTACAAAATTGAGCCAAGCGTGGCCATGCACATCTTGCGCCCAAAGCTTCAAGACTTGGTTCAGGTACACGTTACTTAATGTTCTCGTAGTAGACTTCCATCGCTGTTCTAGAGAATGATTTTTCTGACACAACGTCTCCCTCTTTTATTGTTTTGACTTTTATAGAAGGAACGGGAGCAAAAGGAGCGAGAACTGAAATCGGTGGCGACTCAGGGCAAGCCAACCGCGGATGCTAACGTGCCTAAACAGGAAGCCATGGAAATCGACAGTCAGCCAACTATTGCCGGCGATTCTTCAACAAGCGCCAACCCTACGGAAACGGCTGCCCTGCCGTGGCTCAAATCCCTTGAACTCATCGCGGAGGAAGCTAAGGCGATTCTCCCTACAAGGGCCTGGCGAGGGCTGAGCCCTCAGTTCTATGTTACCTTCTGGCAGTTGAGTCTCTACGACGTCTTTGTGCCTGTGGATCAGTACAAGGCCGAAATTGCAAAGTTGAAGCAGGCCGTTGTCAACATGGACAATGACCGGGCCCATTATGGCCCCACTGCGCAGGCGAAGCGAGGCCGAGATCGTGAGCGACTTCTCATCTCGGCGGCCAGACTAGACCTTGAGATGAAAAACCAACTCATCAACCACAAGCACGTCACGGAGCGCCTCAAGAGAGAATCTCAGCATTGGTTCGCAGGCTGTAAGTATCCATCAATCGATTATCTCATTGTCACGCTACTAGTATTGTTTATTCTTCAAGTGTTCTGACAGGGTGTACTCGATTAATATACTCTTTCAGTAGTGGCGCCTGACCGCCACGAAATAGCCAGTCAGACAATTCAGTACTGCATCTACCCTCGTGCTATCTCGTCCAATCTCGATGCACTGTACTGCTCCAAGTTCCTGGAGATTATGCACAATCTGGGAACCGCCAACTTTTCAACCCTCTCTGTTTACGACAAGGTAATTCTTGTTTATGATCTGCTCTTGTGCAGTTTCAAGCATTATTATATCGTGAGGTAATCTAACCAGTTCTCTTCTTTTTTATTTTAGTTGAATATGGAGATTGATCGCGTCATTTTCCTGTCTTCAGAACACGAAGCGAAGACGTATGGCCGGTTCATGAACCAGGTTCTCTCGCATCTTGGCCGGTTGCATGCCAACAAGGACATATTCGAAAAGGAAGCGGTTCCTTCTCATCTCATAGGATTCCGTAAGGAGTGGCGAGACACACCTAAGCTTTTGGAGTATGAAGATTTCCGGCACTTGATGTACAAGTGGCACACCAGACTCTTCAGGGTAAGTAATCTGATGAAATTGCAACAAAGGATGTTTTGCAAAAGTGGTGCAAGTAAGGTATTAATCAACAAGCTGCCTATCTATACTGCTGTAACGTAGATATTTGTTGGCATGCTGGATTCCAAAGAGTACATGCGGATCAAGAACTCGATCATGATCCTCCGAGAGATCGCGTCGTGCTATCCGGTTTTGTCTCTCATCGGAAACAAACTGTTCTCCACAGTTCAGAATCTCGCCGTCAAGGAAACTAGAGATGACCTCAAGCTCATGGCGAATGCCTATCTGGGAGTCCTCAAAAAACAGCAGGACAACGATCTCTGGATTGCCGTAGCATTGTTCCACAAACATAAGCCATCAACATCAGCGGATTCAGGACGCTCAGCTCCCCGTGATGCCCCAACCTCACCGACAGTTAATGGGTCTCAAGCTGCCACACAGCAGACTAAGGCCGAAGTTGCCAGACCTGCTCAGTCATTGTCCAACAACTACAGAGAGAGTGATGATAGAGGGTACGTATATGTTCTTGGCGCGATGGTGGATTTGATACGGTTAGGCCCAATTTCCTCTGTTAACTAACGATCCATTTGCGTTCCTTGAAACCATTAGATATTCGCGCTCATCAACTACCAATAACCTTGCCAAAGATCGAGTCAACACCGTCAGGGACTCCCGCATCGGCGGAACAGTCTCTCCCGGAGGTGGAGGTCGAAGGAACATTCCACTCCCTCCCAAACCTGCTGTCCCAGCATATGATAGCAGGAACGATCAATCTCAGGCATCTCTCAACAGAGACACTCGCGATCCCCCAGTTCGTGAGAGAGAATCCTCCGCTGTGACCAACCAGCCCCGTGTCGATGCAGTGCCAGAGCTACTTGTTATTTCTTTGAAGAGCACACCGACCACGCGGGACGCCCAGGAGAACAAGGACGGCGCCAAAGACCAACCGCGTGAGTCTACCCGTGACGATGGCAAGGAAATTGCTCCTCGAGACTCGACCAAGGAGTCAGCCAGAGAACTAAGCAAGGATCAGGGTAACCGAGACCAAACGAGGAACTCGCCTCGTGATGTCGGAAGGGACTACAAAGATAGCAATATTCAGCGCGATGGAGGCGGACGTGATCGGATTCGAGATTTGGTCGAAGGTACCGATCGGGAACCTCGAGGTGACCTGAAGGGATCATCCGCCATGCCTCCATCCGATGTCAGAGACCGTCGCGATGGACGAGACATTGCCGTCAGTCGAAAAGACCTCCGAGACTCTGCGCCCAGGGACCCTCGCGAGAGAGACGCTCGTGATGGACGGGACGCAAGGGATGCCCGACCTTTGCCAGCCTCTGCTCGGGATTTGCGTGAGTTGAGAGATGGAGGTGATGCAAGGGAGGGTAGGAATGGCAGAGAGCCACGTGAGAGTCGGGATGTTCGAGACGCCAGAGATATCCGAGATCTGCGTGAAGGCCGAGATGCAAGAGATCCACGGGATGTCCGCGAAGGCCGAGATGCTCGAGATACCAGGGTTCTCCTGGCCCCCAAGGACCCGCGGGAAACGCCGCGCGACGAAGCCAGAGAGGGCAAGGATGCGCGCGACGGAGGAGCCCGTCCTGCCATTCCACGCCAACAATCGAGCGAGACCTCGCGGGTGCATCCCTCTCGAGCTGCTCTGCTTCAATTGGATACTGGGTCGCCAAGTGAGCCTTCGAACGACATTGACCGTCCAAAGGAGCGCGAACGATACCGCGACGATGACGATAAGAAGGCAGCAACCGGACGTGAGACAGAGAGAGGCCGTGACAGAGATATTGTGGAAGACCCGGATCGAGCAATGTTGCGCGAAGGGGCCAGGGACAGAAGAACTCAAGGCCGGGAACGCGTTCGCGAAGCTATCAAGGAGGCTGTTGCGTCGGATATCCCTTCAATGGCCAGCGGGCGAGATCGCCAACGTGGTGACGGCGGCGGGCGTGATCAGGAAAGGCGAGGCGCAGACCGCCGAGACGAAGTCACTGGCACCAACCGCACCAAAGTCTCTCCTACCAGACGAGGCGAAGACAGGGCAAGAGAAGGTCGTGAACGCGAGGGCCGAGCCTCTCCTCCGAGTGCCGAGAGTGTGCGTGAAGGTCACCGAGAAGTTCCAGAGTACGGCCGAGACGAAAATCAAGATCGAGAGGAGGTACGGTCTTCTCGCGGAGGCGCCAGACAAGAGCCCAGTACGCGTGATCGCGACGGACGTGGTACTTCTCGCCGCCATGAAGCAGGCCAAGAAGGTACCTTTCTACGATTTGTGATCTTTTCAACGCTTTACAACACCACTCTTATTTGAATGAACGTAGGCTAATGTCGTTTTGTTTTCTATATTTTCCTCTTTAAAAGAGAGCCGCAAGGGAGGCAGGGAATCCCGATCAGAGCGTCGAACCGACTCGAGCGATCGAAAACGTGGTCGTGGAAGCCGAAACCCCAGTCCTGAGCGCGAGAAGGAATCTAAGCGTCGACGTGATGATCCAACAGCCGAAGAAACAAGGGTGAGTGAAAAAGTAGTGTGGCACTCTAAATGTCTTGCTTGGGCGAGAGGAAAATCGTCTCATCGTTTTATCATTCTTTCGTCTTTTTTTTTCTAGGGTTCGAGCCGAAGTGCTAGTTCAAGTCGTAAGCGCCAAATTGAACCAGATGGTACGCTTGGGTTGCGTCCTTCGATGCGAGATCGACTACATGTACATTTTTGTTCGCTCACCAATATCGATACATCTTTTACCTCTTTATTAGTCGGCCGCGATGGTTCGCCCCGAGATAGGACTAAGGACCTGCCCTCGTCCTCGCCATTAGCAGAATCTTTCACTGTCGATTCTTTGGCAATGCCTCCACCCCCACCGCGTGCAGATGGAAGCGCTGCTGTCGTCCGTCCTGGATCTCCCCTGATGTCTACACCCAGCGCAAACGTAAGTTGCAAAAACAGGAATGAGCATTCTAAAGCATGCCTAGTATGTTAAAAGCAAGAAGAAAATTAGCGAACGATAACTTATCCCATGCAACCAATAGGCGAGAGGAGTAGCCATTGTCACTCCTTCGGGATCAAAACGTATCAAGCTGAACCGACCCACGGATGACCACCCTTCAGATGTATACCTTCAGAGCAGTTCTTCGAGCTCGCCAAATTTCTCCTCTCGACATGACCACGATGGACTTTCTGGAGCAAGTATCGAAATTGGCCTTAGCACGAGCTCGCTCCGTTCGCGATCGAACGCTGGCGGTGGATCGACGGCGGACCATGGTATTTCTACCTCCCGCGGCCACGAAGAATCTCGCCGAGAGTAAGTCTTTCGATTCATCATTTTCCTGCGCCTCTTTTCCTCTTTGCATCCTTGTCATTGATATCCCGTGCTAACTTTTTGTCTTTTTTCGTTCCATAGTAGTCGCAGAGGAGAGCCATCACGATCGAGAGACCACGGAATGGGCACGGGCAGTAACCGTTTGAGTACTGCCCATAGCAGTAGTAGTGGTGGCGGAGGAGGACGTGGCATATCTTCAAATGCCCCTTCTGAGAGAACTGGCGGTCGTCGCACCAGCAAAAGGAGATAGATGTCTCTCTCGGACAGACTACTAGCCAACGCGTGATTTCCACTTGACTAGCGTTGCCAAAAAACAACGATAGTGTCTTTATTTTTAATCGTTGTCAATAACAAAAAAACCCTTTTCACAGAGCTCGTTTTTCTATTATGTGTAGCAATGTATAATGTATGTCAGTCAAACAATGGTTGTATTGCGTTGGGCTCATGAAATGAACAAAAAGATAAATATTGTTGGACAAAAAGGGGACTTACCATCGTAATACCAGGTGCGGACAGTTCTGTCATCACTTGAACTGACAAACATGCTCTGCTTGGGTGACCAAACGGCGTTGTAGACCATGGCCTCGTGTCCTTGGAGCTTTTGCAGGATGTCTCCCGACTCTTGGTCCCAGATGTAGACAAGTCCATCCTCGGATCCTCCTACCAGCAGCGAGTTGTGTGCGAATCCTGCTCTGATAAAGTTCTTGGACGTATTCTGATGACCCTTGAGCTTCCGGAGAGGGCGTGTCTAAGATCATGAAGAAAATCGAGAGATCAGTGGAGGTCACTCGCGTGGCAGCGACATTGTAGATGTTTTCAGGCGGTGAAGACAGCTTCGTGCAACTTACCATACGGACATCCCATAGGCGGTTCGAGTTGTCTTTTGAGCTGCTGAGAAGAAGCGTGCCGTTTGAGTTCATGGCTACGGAAGTGACCTCGCCCAAGTGAGAAGATATGGTCTTGATGCACACGCCTGAAACGAGATCCCAGAACTTGATAGTGTTGTCCTTGGATCCACTGACAATGAGGTTGCCGACGGGGTTAATAATGACTTTGGAGACCGCGAGCTGGTGCCCGCTGAATGTCTTTACTACTTGTCCTGTCGTCAAGTCGTGCAGCCTCACAATCTTGTCGTATCCTCCCGAAACCACATGGTTCTATGTCCATGTAAAATATGTGGCAAATGATGGAAGAGAGATGAGTGAGGGGTTTCAAGGTAGAACGATGGCGAAGTGCGATTCAAGCGGACAAGGATATCACAAATGCCACGTACGCTGGTTGGGTGATATTTCACAGTGTAGACATCTCCAGAATGGCCGCTGAGGGTAGCCCGACAGGAAGCCTTGGAGCCCTTGATATCCCAAATCTTGACAGTCGAGTCTCCACTGGCACTGGCGACAGTTGTTCCAGCATCGTTGGATGATACATCCCAGATTCTTGAAGAGTGACCTTCCAAAATATGAAGACATTGCCCTGATTCCGTGTCCCACACCCGGAGCGTATTGTCGCTATTAGTATTCATTCAATTGAAAAGTTGTCATTAGCAAGAGGAAACAAGCTATCCCGAATATCTTCATGGCAAAATGCACGCAGTGAATGTACCTTGATCCAGAGATGATGGTGCGGCCTTCGTGTCCAACAAACTCGGCACACTTGACGTTGCCGCGATGACCTTGCATGATGGTTTTGCATGCGTTGGGAATCACAAAGGGCGAAAAGTCTTGCAAAAGTGTTTCGACAATGGGTGAGATCCTTGGATGGTAGCGTGATACCTCGATCTGGTAGGCAACCGCTTGGCGGAGAAGGTTGAGCAATCTGTTTGGAGGCACATAGATCGAACCTGGAAAAAGATGGGTTGATATCGTGTTTGTTAGTCGTTAGAGACTACGGACAAGGCGTAAGAAAACAATGGACCGAGCAGGCAAAATACGACGAGGCGTGACATACCATCCTTGACAGAGTTCTCGACATCGAGCATGCTCTGGAACTTTTCGACCAACTTGTCTCGTCCCTGAGCGATTCCTTCCCAACTTCTGAACGAAGGCGCGTCATGGATTGACTTTGTTGTAAGAAGGTAACACAGGTCCTTGAACTCTGCTGGGGTCTTTTGATGCTGCTCCAGGGGTTTCAAGCGCTTTTGAATAAATGTGAATGCCTAGAGTCGAACAACAAAAGCCCGTCGTCAGTTAAGAAGAATGTATCCAGGCATGGCTGATATAACTTCTCTGTCCATGAAGTTAAAGGTTTCTGATATGTACCTTTTGCATTTCCCGATGCTCAATGTACTCGAGATACTGCTGCTTGTAGACGGCAAAGAGAAAACTCTTTTGGTTCTTGAAGAGCGGTTTTGAACAGATCTTGTCGACTTCTGTCCACTCTCCATCTAATCAATCAATCAATCATCATGTATCGTTGCATGCCACTGTTAGATATTGGCCATGAACTCTCAAGTACTTGAGTCTGTTGTCCATCTCTCAGAGATAATACGGCAACGACATCCCAAGTGGTGGACTTACCAAGGATGGCCTTCTTCAACCGACGCGTGTCGTTAGTGTTTTCCTCCCGCTCGTGCCATTTAACATTGGACTCATCCTGGATCGTCATTTGCGAAGCATTGTATCCTTCGTCTCCAAGATACTGCATAATCATTCGTATGATATCCTATTTGGATCCAAGAGTCGCAAGGGATGCTGGTTAGCCTACATGGTCTCATTATTCGTGATAAACAGAGATAACTCCAGGCATATCTCTCGTAAGCTTGCCTCACGGATATGCGGGTCGTCGGGGTTAAAGATATCTTCAGTCGGCCTTATCCTGTTGGGGTTCATGCCGACGTGACTATGAGTGGCAGCCATGGCAGGCATACTGTCCAGAGAGGGAGGCATATAAGACACGGTGATTGGTGTCAGTCGTCCATAGTGGTAGGATAGTTCGTGTATTCCTGACCGGTTGTATTTGAAGAGACATGACTGGATGGACGCGAGAGTATCTTACGCTCGCTTTGCAGGGCTGTTGCTCTCCTGATCCTTGCTGCCGATATTCATTGCCTGTAAGGACGAGGCTAGCGAGTTGTTTGGCGACCCGTTGGTGACGTCCATTGGTTGCTTGTGGTGATGTGTAGTGTTCGATGAGGGCGATGCGGTCCTGTTTCTTTCTTTTGTAAGAGTGTACAGGTTCTTTCTCGTTGGTGGTTGTGGTGTCTGTGAGTGTGAGAGAGAGAGAGAGTAATGATCCTGCGTATGGTTGTAGAACGATGGCGGGAGCGAGCAAAGAAGAAGCAAAGTGGACCAGTCACAAATCATGCCTGATGACTGACAGAGCTTTGGCGCGCATTTTTATTTTTATTTTTCTTCGAAACAGGACATAGACGGACAGGCAGACAGACAGTCAACCAGGACCAAGAAGGCGGAACAGCAAACAACCATCATCCATCGCCGCACGGATCAGAAGACAACAACCACACTCGAAACAATCAAGCGTCCCTCGATGGTTGGATGATCCCTCCCCCACCCGCACCTACCCTTCCTGTCTTCCCTCCTTCCCTCTTTTTGCTCAACCCAAACAAGCAGCCTTTCTATCTAACACCGCGATTACACATCTCACGACTCCGCTCCCACAAACAACACTACACACGACAAGACACGAATATTGCAGTGTGACATGATGAACAGAGACATGCTTAAGTTGCGGAAGGATCCCACCATCCCTCCCTCTGCCGCTGCAACCGTCAACACCTCCACCACAAACGCATTCCCTGTCTCACCGCGGCTAGGAGGCACCGGAGGAGACGGTAGAGGAAACCGTAGTGGGCGCCAACGCACCTCGCCAAAAGGGTCAGGTGCGGGAAGCAATGTCGCCTCTGTCCCTGCCAGCTCGAACGCCTCGGTATCTTCAGCACAACACACTGCAACCAACGGAGGGCCGACCGTTGGTTACAATACGTTAGGAAGTCCTGGATACATTTCCGGACCCAACGGGCTAGGCATCGGCGCAGCCAGCGGAGGAGGGTCTTCACCTTTGGTGGCCGGAAACGGAAGTCATTCCCAGCAGGACGGCTCAGGGGCAAACGATGGTCAGAGTCCTCTGCAACCATCTATATCACCCATCAGCACCCCAAACACATACAAGTTTGACACCAATGGCGCACTCTGGGCTCTTTCAGCCTCTCCAGACTATTCATCGGTTGCCGTTGTCGGTCGTGATGGTAACGAATACATCGATTGTCTCAATGCTATTTGCTTTCGCTACGAAATGGACGTACTTATTTACTCACACCGTTACCTTTCCACTATGTATAATAATAGTTCTCAAAATTCTGAATGTCACCGAGTGGGGCGCCGAGGAAGCTATCAACTTGAAGGCTGTTGGTGTCAGGAACAACTTTGCAGGAAGCATGGACGTCAAATGGGGTCCAACCACAGGTAGAGACATCATGAACGGCAGACATAATGAAGGTACATCCTTGTACCAAATTTACACACGGGACTGAGCAGATCACTTTGTACCTGACCTTTGCGACCCTCTAGGACGAGATGCAAAGATTGCCACGATTGGCACCAACGGACCCATCGTCATCTGGGATATCGGAACGCACAACAAGATCGGTAGGATTGATGTCAATTTTTGTCTGCATCTTCGCAAAATGCTAATAATGACACATTTAGCACGAGTGTACTCACCGTGGTTCTCACGTTTGATCTTCTAGGCCGGACTATCAAGGAACATACCCGCTCTGTCAACAGGATCTGTTTTTCGCCGCAAGAACCCAACTTGCTTCTTAGTGCATCATCTGATTCTACCATCAGGCTTTGGGTGAGTGATAATGCTTTAAGTAGTAGTCGGTAAGGTAGACATGTTCATACATACTAACAGACACATTGTCTTGACCATTCTGCAGGATTTGCGAGCTGGCAATAAGCCAGGTACAGTCATGGACGCGAAGGAAGTTGTTCGAGAAGTTCAATTCAACCCAACGTCTATGAACGATATTGTGGCAGGATATGAGAGTGGAAACATTCAGGTAAGGCTCAAGAACATGTCGTACCATGTCGCACATATTGGTTGTCTCTTGCCTCAGGACTCATGATTCTCCTATCTCATATTGAACGTGACATTTAGCGCTGGGATCTCCGGAACCCTCTTACTGGCGAGAAAAAGTTTATGGCCCACATAGGATTCGTCACGTCTCTAGATTACCACCCGAGCGGGAGATTTTTGGCGAGCGGTGGACGCGACAAGACCATCAAGGTGAGTGTTTCGCAGCGTCTATTATATCGTTTACGATACACTTGGAGTAGGAATAGTGGCAGTAATGAACTGAACAAACACGTTTTTGTCAACTATAGGTCTGGGACATGGAGGATGAGAAGAGGCGGGAGATTCACACCATTCCTACAATCCAGTATACATCAAAAATTCAATGGCGACCCAACAGGCCGTATCAACTTGCGGCAAGTTTCAAGGACGAGTCGACTGTGCAAGTGTTTGATGTGCGGCGCCCCTATGTACCGCTTCACATTCTATCTCAGCACGACAAGGACGTGACGTCTATTCTCTGGAAGGACAGCGATGTTCTTTGGACTGTCTCCAAAGACAAAACTTTTGCCTCGACTCTTGTCAAGGGAAAAACGATATCGGCGGACCTGCTGCCGGGCGGAAAAGCAGCAATGAACTGCTATGGTCAGCTGGCATTCACGGTCTCGACAAAGGCTGGACCTGATTCGTTTGAGCGAGATCTTGTTCCCAAGCCTGGTCGACCCATCGCAAAGGCGGTAGCACTTGACGGCAGTTCAGAGGTAATTACATATCGCTTGTCGCTTCCTTTTGGTAGCACAATGGTCAAAAGACAAAGCCTGTCGAACAAGTATGAGATGAAACTGACATTTGTCATTCCTACCATTAGCCGATGGTGTATAGGACTAGGCAGACGGGAGGAGTGTTCGACTGCGAGCTTTTCAACCACGAGGCATTTATCTACTGTGCTCAAAACTATTCCATGGAAGGGGGAAACATCCGCGAGGTGTGCGAACATAATTCGAACGTCGCATGGCAAGCCAACAAATACCGCGATTCTCAAGCATGGACCGCCCTGAAGCTGTTTTTCAGCGAGATGGCAGACCCTGCCATCGTTCTATCTCAAGGTGCGCTTTCACCTGTTGACTTGCATTTATTTCCCTTTACCGTCTGTGTAGCTATTGATCATTTGCTTTATTCATTATTCATGCTCACCTTCTTTTCTTCCTCCGACGTCATTCTTGTAGTGGACGCTGTTGCATCTGAGGCTACGGTATGGAGCAACACACTCGGTCGAGTTGCCTCGAATGATATATTCAATGCATGCGAATAGTTGCTAACTTTCATTTATTTTTTCCAATTTTACCATAGACAACGACTGCTACAAAGGAGGAGGAACAGCAGGATGATGATGACGACATTGATACACTGGAGACGAGGGCGACCAAGCCTGTCGTGCCGAGTCTTTTCGCGATCAAAGTCTCGGATGCTCCTGTCAAACGGAATTGGTCGCACGACGATACCATTCGCAACATGCTAGAGTTTTACGCCGAGCAAGGAGAAGTGCAGATGTGCGTCACGATATTGTTGGTTCTGGCGGACGAGGAGGATTTGCCAGAATTTAAGCTGTCAGAACAGTGGTTTGGCTCGTATATCGATCTGTTGTCGAGGTTTAAGCTGTGGAGCATTGCGACGGCAGTCTCGCAAGCGTGCAAAGATGTCAGGATCCACACTATGAACCAGGACTCAACCACGATCCACACGTCATGCTCGAGTTGTATGAAACCTATCTTGACTCGAGCGCCAAGTTCGTCAGGCTTTTGGGCATGCGATCGTTGCCGCAAGGTCCTGAGCTCGTGTTCGGTCTGCCACAAGACTGTGCGGGGCATCTTTACCTGGTGCACACAGTGCTCTCATGGGTTCCATCTGCAGCATGCACAGGAGTGGTTCTCTCAGTCAGCAGAGTGCCCTACTGGATGCGGTCATCAGTGTTTTCCCGAGATGCTCAAGATTCAGCGAGAACAAGAGGAACAGATGTCGCTTCGACAGGAAACACCCGATAACGAGCATGACCCGTCTCACCCACATGCGTCTCTTCAACACCATAGTCACCATCTTCGGCCTCGCTCAGTTCATTCCCATCCTCAGCAGGAGCTGGCCTCCAACCCAGGACATTCTACCCTTCGAGCGGCTGATTCTAGTGATGCCAAAGCATCTTCGTCTTTATCCTACTTGCCCTATAATGTTGTATAATCGTACGAATAAAATGCACGTTTGCCAACTTCTCGTTGATTGCCAATGATAGGATGCTCAGTCCGGAGGTTTAATTTCGAGCGTGAGTATCTGGGGATGGGCCAGAGTTCTCTCTCTCTCTCTCTCTTTCTCTCTCTCTCGCTCTCTCTCTCTCTCTCTCTCTCTCTCTCGCTCTCTCTCTCTCTCTTACTCATTCAGAATTTGACTCCTCCTTTCCTTTCTCATTCCACGCGTCCACTCGACCGGCAACTAGTCCTCCTGCTTTCATTCGTCTCCGACACGCCATCAATTTTTACTCAAGCGAATGTGAGTCTCATTCACTCTTTTAGCTTGGAGAGGCGTGTTCTGGGGTTGTTCAGCCCCGTCTTGTCGTGATGGATGCCGGTGTCATGCATAAAGACACGGCAGAGGATGAGCTTGTTTGCAACAATATCGTCAAAGTCAGGATCATCATTGATACTGTACATGTTAGTGTAATGGATTTGTACAGCGTACCTTTTATACGTTATCGTTTTTGACGACCAAGGTCGGCTATTTGTTGTATATCATACAAACATTGTTTTTTTGTTAGACAGACTTCAAGATAAAGTGCTGGATAAAAATGTCTGGCGCTCTCCCCCTGTTACTACTACACCTTTCCTTCTCGTCTCTAACACTCTCTTGTCCTTCCTCTCGCCCTTGTCTCCCTCTATTTCCCTGTTCAAACCCTCTTGCTCTGCTGCTATTACACACGCTGAACGTTTAGTAAAGGAGGGTGTGGGATGCTGCACTGCCAGCCAATATGTTGCACCTGGCTGTACATAGATCTGATTCATAATCCGGTTTATTACACTACTCATCATCGCCGTCATCGAAACTTGCCCTCTTATTCTTCTTGGAAGGCGTGAGCAAAACATAGGGCGCTAGTTCGGCTTGCCTTTGTGGCGGTGTTGTAGGGAGCGGATGGCGTGGATTGGTGTTGAGGACATCGGCGACCTCCGCTGCAAACCTTCTAGTGTGCTCCTATTCAATTGAATTGATGTTCACAAGTGTAGGATTAGAACGGTACTTCATTTAATTGCGCCTTCAATTTTAATGCTTACGACAAAGGCAAGGAGCACGTGCAACGAGTCTGATCTGAGAAACTGCTTGAATTGAGAAGTATGGGCAGGGAGTCAAATACTTTGGGGTATTGCACGGCCGGCTCCCAAAACATCGCCATATCTTTTCGTAAAGTGTAGAGATCAATCGAAAGCCCTCTTCCTTCAGCGATCATAGGGAATATCTTCGTGGTATCGACTCCTTGCTCCTCCAGGTCCAGCAGTATCGCTGCATTAAGTCGACCAGCTTTTCATTGTTGCTGTTCACATGAGTCATCTGTCGCCGTGCTGGCTTTGAATTCGTAAATACTGACTTCGCCCTCCCAGTGGAAATCCGCGTAGATCCTGACTGACAAACCCGCCTTTCTGCCGCCTACATGTTTGGTGGTAGCTCCAAATGCTTCTTCGATAAGAAGTCGAGCATTTCTCGTTGCTGGTGATGTAAGCTCCCCACTAGTGGCAACAGAAAACACGGTTAAAATCACTGCTTTCCGTCCTTTTATCATGTGGTTATGTTATCAACCACGACAGGTACTTACGGTATGACACGGACTGCTTGTCCGCCAAATAACATGCCAATTACGAAAGACCAGACCGATACATATACGTGTTCCGGAGTTCCCAACAACAAAATCCTTAGTATTTCTCCTTGAACTTTTAAGTTCGGGTAGGCTAGCCTTCAACAATTCATTCCTCACATAAACATACATCTCCTTGGATTTGGAGACGCGAATGTCTCGGGAACCTCCAGCAGTTGAGCAGGCTTCCCTTGCGCCTAAATAAAGTTTCGTGCAGAACTAAGTTTTAGTCGACGTGTTTTGGTTAATTTAGTTCATATACATACTGGAAAACATGTCATAAAAATCGCTAGACTGAGCCTAACCATTACAAAGACCAGCCGTGCCCTCCGCCCTTTTTTCATTATCGGACTCATCCAACTGTTCCTGATCTTGCGAGCCACCTAACTGCGTTCCGATGATGCGCTCGCTCTTGGAGATGACGCCAACCGCAGTCCTCTTTGCCGACATCGAAAGCTGGGACAATATTGTTCTGGATGCCCAGTACTCCTTGCCGTCATTACGTCGCCAAATCTCGTACTCGCTACTTGTTGCTGATCGTACTCGTAGCGGTAATGCGCTTGTGGAAAGGAGATCCGTGAATGCATCATGCGCATCTTTCTCGAGCTAATATCCACACGCACTCACAAAGTTGGTAAAGCTGAGTCGTTCCCTGTTCGTAGTTCTGCCATTGAGCCACTCAAGAGGAGACAAGCAATCTGCAACGCCTGTCGACGGAGAAGCATCAGCTTCAAGAGCATCCTGACTACCACTGTTATAATTATTGATATTGTTCTTGTTGTCCGCTTTCTTGGAGTCCATTCTGGCTATCTTTTTGATCCGAACACAGAAAAAGCGTTTGGCGAAGTACTACGAATGCTCCAATTGGCTCCTAGATTTAATAACGGAAAGTAGAAAAACACAAGTTGAACAAACGACAAAAGGATTGCTGCCAATTACACAAACCCAATGAATGAATGGACAAAGCAAAGTGGTGGAACTAGGATCTTCAACCACATAATGAACATGCACGCGCTCCTCTAACCGCCTCCCTGCCGCGTACTAAACAGGATGCGCTGAGAAAGAGGGAGCAAAAAGAGAAAGAGGGAGAATACAAGAGAAAGAGGGAGCAAACAAGAGAGAGAAGGACCAAACAAGAGAAAGGAGTAAACAATGAAGAAAGAAGTGTCATAGCACGTTTTCAAACAAAAAAGAACGTTATCAAAAATGATTAAAATGACAATGGGCGCGATAATTCATCTATTGAGCCCTATGAGAACATATCCTCTATTGCTTGGGAAGTTTTCTTCCAAGATCAGATAATTTTGCATAAATCTTTTTACTCACTTCGGTGACGTAATTATGGCGCCCGCCTGGCGCCCATTGTCCTGCAGGCGGCAAACGGACACGCATGGAAAAAGGGCAAGGCAAATTGTCTTTATTTCCTGAATAAGAAGGAAATAATGAATAATATCTCGTTACTGTATTTTACGACCGCATTTGCTACGAATGATTTAGACTTTAGTGGGTTGTCCAACCGACTCGCCCACCGTTGCACAATCACCAATCATTCGCCGACCGTCTGACCATCGCGTCCATCAATCACCATTACCAATCACTCGCCGACCGTCGCGTCCATCACTCACTCACTCATCGACCGTCCGACCTTCGCGTCCATCACTCACTCACTCACGGACCGTCTGATCGTCGCATCCATCCATCACTCACTCACCAACCGTCCGACCGTCGCGTCCATCACCAGTCACTCGCCGACCGTCCATTACTCGCCGACCATCCATTACTCGCCGACCATCCATCACTCGCCGACTGTCCATCACTCGCCGATCATCACCGACTGTCCCATCTCGTCCCATCAGCTCGCAGAGGATGGCGCGATCACCAAAGGTCATAGATTGCAGTGCTTGTTCAGCAGGCTTTTTAACAAAGAGACAACTGAACCTGCATAAAACTGATAATCATGAACCAACCTTTGAAGGAATCTTTACCAATGCATAAGGCGCTGTGGAACCCTGTACTCTGCGTCGTGTGGAAGGCGTTTTCAGGTGCCCACGTTGTCAACAATCGTTCGGAACTCAATCTGGTATCCGAAAACATCTCAAGAGAGGGAATTGCAAGATTGTGGATGGTTGCAGTGTGGTGAATGTGGATGTTGACTCGGAAGGAGGCGAAGTCGAAGAGGGCGGTACTTCCAATGACGGTGAATTCTACGAACCTCCAACAAAGAAGACAAAGCTGCTGGACGCCGAGCTTGCTGCTGCAAAACAAGAGGTTGTAAAGAGTACCACTAAAATTCTTCCGCTTGAGATAGTGAAGTTCGCAACCACGGCCATGGATATTGCACCATTTTTGATCAGCGAGGATAATGCTGTCGCAAGCACAAGCACAGGGTTTACTGTCTTTCTAGAGAGAAACTGCGTGTCACTTCTGACTTCAAGATTACAGCCGGGGTTCAGCATTACCCAGATCGACTTGAATGACAGCAGCCAACACCTTTCACCCGAAGATGGCTATGAAGAGATGGGGAGTGATCATCTGACAGCAGTTGAGTCTGGTGGAGCAACAGGGCTCGAGCGACTCTCCGGGGCCTACATCGTCACAGGGTCAAAAATCGCAAGGATCTTGTGCCTGGAGGTCTACCAACGAGATGTGACCGCTGACCCACATGCCGAATCCATGACGGCTCTACCATCAAGCATACCTACAAGGTCGCGCTGCACGCAGTACAATGGACGCCTCAAACTGGTCATCTTAGTGGACAACTTCAGGAACAAACGACTTGTAATTGGCGTTAGAGACAACAATTACCTCGTCACAGCATTGGAATGGGAGAAATCAGCTGAAATTGGTCCTTCTCGATGCGCCGAGTTTCCGATCAACGACTCAAGCAGGATTTTCGTGTCGACAAAAAGAGTTGGCTCCTCACTTGTAGATAGTGTGTTGGGATTGGCACAGGTGCGAAGCCACTTCGGCCACCGTACCACGTACACCACTCGCAGAGGCGCCTTGGCGGGATATGCATCGATTCCGCAATTGCCCCTGACCGTCTTCACACTTTGGCTTTGGGGAGTCCCACTCTCGAAAGTTTTTCATTGCCTCTGGAGTCGATCAAGGGAGCATAAGCAAGGAATTTTTTTTCACTTGAGCGATGTTGATAATCCGGACCCCAAGGACCAGGGACCTGGAGCTATGGCCTGTCGTAGCTTGCGGAGGCTCTTTCACGGGAACGATAGATTGGACATCTCTTCCAGTGAGGATGCCGAGAAGCATCTTACTAGCCTTGCTGGGAGCTTCTCTTCTCTTATCTCAAATAGGAACCGCGCGATGGCGTCAAGAATTATGTCGG